CATTGGCAATACGTTGGTTTGGGGTGCTGGTCATTGTGGACATTAGCTGAGATTGCATTGGCGTCGTCCCTTCGTTGAATCTCCCTCTCGAAACACCGATCCCTTTGGACGTGTGCCAAATAGTGAGCTACAGCAGCATCCTTCGCTCCGCAGCCCATTACGAAAAGATTGTGTATTTGTGGGAAAGCCGCCAAAGCAGATGCATCCTATGCACTTTTCCCAAAGAAGACCTCCCTCCACGTTCCTTCTGGGTTGTTCCTCGACTGTATCAATCGATACTACGCCGGAGTTGAGATTGCCAGTCTAGCCTTGATTGCCCATCAAAATTGGCCATCAATGCACCTGGATCTTGATTTTCGATGGGGGGGATCCCTACAGCTTCGAGCAACCCCCGTTCAATTATTTCCTAGAATTGCGAGCCAACCGGTGAGCCAACCAGCTGAATTGATGTTTCCTATGTTGTTGTTAGTCCCCCCCCGGCTTATTCCATTTCCTATCCTTGCTCCCGTTCTCAAAATCGTCCGATTCTCCAGTCCCGTCTTGCCAATGTCTCCCGTTGAGACTTGCGGCTTGCCATTCGTGTTAGCCGCAACCAACCAGGGCAGATATCAGCCAAAAGGATACCTTGCTCACGAGTGATTGAGGTGAGCCGGGGGAGCCGGCAGCAAGCCGCACCAACAACCAACTTAATATCCGTTCGCAGGCCTCCGAGACATGCTGCGAGGCTATCCACTAGACTGGACAATGAGCAGTCGTTTTTTGAAGAGGCAGTCAGAAAGCAACCAGACCAAAAGAGAAAACTATGTCTCAGCCGAACTTGCAAGAGAGACAAAGGCCTACGGAGACACGCATATTTATCTAATAGCGTTCGCCAGGGCGGCGGCAGCGATCGTTTCTTTTTCCAGGGGCTGGTGTTAGCTCACCCGCTCGAGGCGTCGGGATAGCAAGCCGGTTAGACGTTGACAGTCGGAGATCAGGGCAGCAGTTGGAAACCCCACTCCATGGTCATTGATTTTGCTGAAAAGACGATGCAGTTTGGTCTCGTAGCCAAGCAACGGGGGCGGGATTCCCATCGAGTTGAAGGTACAGGGAGGTCTTGGCAAACATACCTTTGGCACCCAGTAGTGCTCATTGTTAGAAGTCGCCCGAAGACTAATTACTCACCTAATTACTCACACACCATGGTCAGCTTTTCCCAAGCAAGCAGCCGGCTCCTGACAGGGCTACCCTCATCTGGCAAACAGCGCTAACCCCAAGCTGAACTGCCCGGGTCTAGTCTTATCACAGATGGGAGGCCCTGCAAGTGTGCCACGCTGCACACAACTCTGAGTGGAGGGCCGGCCGGCTGGGACCATTGTCGAGGCCGCGCGCCGCGCGCCGCCGCACACGACCAGTGCCGGCAGCCGGATCCGTCCAACTGGACGACGGTCTAGAACCTTGGGTAACACAAATGTACACATGAGCATTTCTGGGGAAACGAACGAAAGTTGACGACATGGTGTTGCATTGCTATCAAAGTGCATCGCAGCATCGCGTGTATGGACAGGCTGAGCGGCGCCAACGCTTCGCCGTTGGCCGTCACGCCCGTCCGCCTGGCTTCACAGTTTGGGGTCGCGCGATCTTTTTGGGATATCGATTTCACTTTTTTTTGTATTAAACTATCAGTACTTTTTGTAACAAAAGACGCAGACGGGTTGCAACTAGAGCCGTTGCTTACTTGCGCATGTCGACTACGGCTCTGATGCAGTCGCCCTGCTTCATGGTGTCGAATGCATTGTTCATCTCGCCCAGCGTCTTCCTGTGGGTGATGAACTCGTCCACCTTAAGGGCGCCCTTGAGGTAGTCCGACACAAGGCCGGGGAGCTGGGAACGGCCCTTGACACCTCCGAACGCGCAACCCCTCCACACACGACCGGTGACGAGCTGGAATGCTGCGTTGAAGCACGGTTAGCATCTTATCACACGATGACGATGCGTTGAAGGGTTGGAACTTACGCCGAGTGGAGATTTCCTGACCGGCAGCAGCGACACCGATGATGATGCTCTGACCCCAGCCCTTGTGGCAGGCCTCGAGGGCAGCACGCATGACACCGACATTGCCAGTGCAGTCAAAGGTGAAGTCACAGCCGCCGTCCGTCATCTCAACGAGCTTGTCAACAATGGACTGGTCGCCGAGCTGAGTAGGGTTGACAAAGTCGGTGGCGCCGAACTTCCTCGCCCACTCCTCCTTGTTGGGGTTGACGTCGACGACGATGATCTTGCCGGCCTTGTTGACAACGGCACCCTGGACAACGGACAGACCGACACAGCCAGCGCCGAAAACGGCGATGTTGTCACCCTCCTGGACGTTGGCGGTGATCTTTGCGGCACCGTAGCCGGTGGTGATGCCGCAGCCGAGCAGGCAGGTGCGGTCCATGGGGGCATCCTGCTGGACGGCAACGACAGAGATGTCGGCGACGACGGTGTACTGGGAGAAGGTGGACGTGCCCATGAAGTGCAGCAGGTCCTTGCCCTTGCACTTAAAGCGCGAGGTGCCGTCGGGCATGACGCCCTTGCCCTGGGTGGCGCGGATCTTGCCGCAGAGGTTGGTCTTGCCGGACTTGCAGAACTTGCACTCCTGGCACTCGGGGGTGTAGAGGGCGACGACGTGGTCACCGGGCTTCACATTGGTGACGCCCTCGCCGACGGACTCGACGATACCGGCGCCCTCATGGCCCAGAACAATGGGGAAGGCACCCTCGGGATCCTTGCCGGAGAGAGTGTAGGCATCTAGGAGAGGTTCCGGATCAGCATCTCCTGATCATATAGATATGGCTTCGGAAGCCCTCCCGAGCAGTGGGCGGGGTACTGGAGACGGCGGGTTTCCTCACCTGTGTGGCAGACACCAGTGTAGTATATTTCGATACGGACCTCGTGGGCCTTGGGCGGGGCGACTTCGATGTCCTCGATGCTCAAGGGCTTGCCGGCCTCCCAGGCGACGGCAGCCTTGCAAGTGATGGTCTGTTTTGGAGATCAATTGGGTCAGCGGGAGTGTTCGAGCGGGCGGAGGTCGAGACATGGAAATCTGGTTGCTGCTCTCGATTCCACTCGGTTCGACGAGAGCTACCCCGCAATGCGAAGCAAGAGCAGGGAATACAGATGTAGATATAGATTGACGTACCTTTCCTGCGGTGGCAGACATTGCGGATTCTTCAAGATTGACGATGGGTTATGAGAACCTTGATGGAAAAGGAATCACACACTAAGCTTAGCTCACTGGGCAGGGTAGGGTATTTATTTCGAGGGAGGGGGGCATTTCAAGATGCAGATGGACAAGAACTGCCGCCGCCCCGGTTGTCTTTTGGCGCACATCTCCAAACCCCACCTTGCGTTTCCCTCGGGAGGGGAAAAGCGTCCGAGTGATTGTCAGGTCTCGGGGGTTCGGGGAGCTGAACTATACTATGGTACTATGGTACTATCCATTTTTTCTCCATACCTTGCGCCAGCCCAGCCCAATTGCCAAACACTTTGAAAAGCGGGGGTCTCAGCCCGTCATCGAGGCGCCAGAGTGACAGGTGAATTCGGCAGTGGAGGGGGTACAACACGACTGATGCTAGCCGGGACTCTTGAGCAAGACGGGATGAGAGAAAACGTATACGTCATTGGAGGGTGAAGCTCTGTCAATAGCTATCTCACTGCGGTTGAGCTAGCCAGGCGGCACCCAGTCTGTTTTATTTTATTTGCGAACCGACCATGCCTCGCAGCTAACGAAGTAACCCACGGATGACTTTCCGAGAACGAAGCGCGCTTTCCCGGTCTCGACCGCCGCACCACGGCCACCCAGCCGGGGCAAGCGGGACAGGCCTTGATTGGTATGCCGGACCACGAATGCTTTCCCTTCCCTCTCTCTCTCTCTCTCTCTCTCTCTCTCTCGCCGGCCCTGTCTGCATGATTCCATGAGGGGTTGGCCAAAAGTTTAAGCCGTCGGAGTTAGGCTTTTGAGTTCCCTTTGGTGCAGTCCGTCCAGGCATGGTCCATCGGCGATTGTCAACGCCAAGGCTCATTCGTGATGGCTTTCCCGTGATGTCAAGGGTCGGGGAAGCAGGCGGCTGTCTGACTACCCGATTTATGTCCGTGGGTAGCTTCTGTCTTGATTTACCACCTTTGGCAGCTCTACCCTATCTAATCTACGGCCCGGAACCTCCTAGAACTCCGAAGAGGGGCCATGATTAGATGGTTAGATACAGAGTCAGTTGCCCGCGGACGCTTTCAACTCAAGGTTACCAAAGAACAAGGGAAAGCTCTATCTCAACTACAGATGAACAATCAACTGAGGTGTAGGTAATATGAGTGTTGATGAGATGGAGGGGTACAAAGACAAGTCAAAAGATGCGGAACCTTCACGTATGCATGTGTGTGTGTGTGTGTGTGCACTACCCCGGATTAAGAGCCATCACAATCGCATCACAGTTGCATAGTTTCGGAGGGAAACCACCTGAACCTTGAGGGAAGTCTCCAACGATATGACATGAGAATTTGGTGTTTGGGCACTATCTCGGTGCCATCATCCATGTGTCAGGATGCGCTCTGGAAGCTTTCGAGTTTTGGCTCCAGAGGATCCGATTTGGTGTGTCAGCGGCCAACTGGGAGCTCGGGCCACTTTGACCAGACTGCAACGGTGGTGAGAGTGTGGCAGGCACGGCAGGGAAGCAAGGAAGCTCGAAGTGGGCCTCAGGCGGCGGCATCTTCCGCGTTGACGGGCCAAGCATCGCGAACCTCCAAAATTTATCCAGCAAAAGCGCGTCCGACCAAACATCACACCCACCCACTCAGCCTCGTCACTGGCCGCGCCTGCAAGACCAATCAGCCTCGACGACCGCTGCAAACCGAATGGAAGCGGCTTGATCTTCTATCTTCGCTGTCGAATCCACTTACACTCGCTCCCGCTGACCACCAACGTCTCCGCGACAACACAAGGTCCATTTGGGTGACCTGAGGTCGCCCCCTCCATCGACGTCGTCATGCCCAACAAATTCTCCTTCGACGACTCGGCCTTCGACAGTTCGCCACCGTCGACGCCAGGCCAGACACCTCAGAAGGGCTCACACTACCCTTTTGGCGACAACCCCTCGACCACACCCGCCGGCCCCCCACCCTCGTCTGCCGCCTCGTTCACACCCGCAGGCGCGCCGTCCGAATCCTACCTCGGAAGTTCCTTATTGCAGGGAGTCACCGCTCAGAAGCCATTTGGTTTCGGCAACGCAAGCTCCAATGGCACAAGGCAGAACCTTTTCGGGAGGAGCGACTCCGCTTCCCAGCAACCTTTGGGTCGATCAATCCACCAGAGTGCCAAGCCAGCAGCGAGGCAGCCGTCGGCACTAAGCAGGGAATACGGCGCCGGCGAAAGCGAAGTCAGCTACGATAACCGGACGGGCAGGTACATGATTCCCGATTCTTCAGAGGAAGAGGAAGAAGATGAGGACGAGGAATACGATGAGCGCGACGCCGCCGACGCCGAGATGGAGCGATACCTTGAAGCCGACATCGACCAGGATGACATTGTCGCGGAGCCGGGAGTCGAGGATATTGAAGACGACGACGACATATTCCTGAACATGCAACATGGCGGCCGCGACGACGAAGAGCTCGGCTACTCGGACGAAGGCGAAGGCGGCATGGGCGCCGAGGAGTCGGATCTCCTACTCCTGGCCACCCCCGCAGCAACGGCGCGCATGCGCAGGGAGGCCGAAGATATTTTCCGCGCATCGTCTATGCGCCGCTCGTCGGCCGGAAGACGGAAAGATTTCAAGTTCTCTGCTGTCGCGAAGGACCTGTACAAGGGACTGGGCATGGCTGTGATCACTGAGTCGCCCGAGGTCGTTCTGAAGACGGAGGACTTGATCAACCAGCTTTACAACGAAGGGATCGGCGCGCAGGAGGACCCTGAACAGCTCGACATCTCGCTCTCGACCATTGTCTATCCGCTGGTGGAGCTCTGGGACAACTTCGCCCAAACCTTACCCATGCCGGAGGGGGAACATATTGCTGAGATTGGTCCCGGACCCGATACTGAGCCGTTCCAGAAGGCTGCCTATGTCGCTCGCCTGGTTCTCCAGATGCACCACACCCGCTTCGCACAGCAGGGCTCCGCCGAAACGGAGGTGCCGCCGCTGCCTTACGTCTTGTTCCAATGGATCGAAGAAAACCACAACCTATACCCCGAGCAGTACGATATCGTATTGAACCACAAGCCTAGTCCAGCATGCCACAGCCTTTTCTGGCCGACGTTGCGAGGCGCTCTGATTCGCGGCAGTGTCGACCTTGCATCCAAGCTGCTAAGGAATGCTGGATGGGAGTCTGTCAAAAAGGGGCCTCGAGCCGATTACGCCTACTCGGGCAAAGCTCTCGAAAACTTGCAACGCGCTGTTGGCATTGCCTGTGAGGCACTCGACATATGCCCAGCGAACAAGGGCAACTGGGACATATTCAGCAGCGATTGGACGTTGTACCGCATTCAGGCCAAGGGCTCTCTTGATAAGCTTCAGCGATTCGCAGAGGGTAAGGACAAGAACCCGTTCACTAGCGGTAACGATAACGGATACGGCGGGGCGTCTCTGGCTGGCCTGGTACGGAAGGCCGAGGGCCAGGTTCCTTGGGACATCTACGAACACCTCCAGACTGTCTACCAAATCATTTTGGGAACGCCGGAAGCCATCCTGGAGACAGCACAGGACTGGTGTGAAGCCACGATTGGTTTGTTTGGATGGTGGGAAGAAGGCCGCGGTCAGCAAAAGAGCTTGCGCATGTCTCGCTCTCAAGGACTGCGGGTATCTAGTAGTTCTCTTGGACCGGAGGCTTACTTTGAGCGCCTGTCACTTGCCTTCCACACCGCAGTCGAGTCGGACTTCTACTTCAACTCTATGAACCCTGTGGAAGTCGCCATTGCTTCTGCTTTCGAGTCGGACTTCGCAGCCGTCATCGGAATCCTTCGAGCATGGTCTCTTCCCATCGCTTCTTCGGTGGCAGAGCTCGCCTCTCTTGGACAATGGCTCCCTAAGCCCGAGCAGCCTAACTTGATCACTATGGAAAGTTTGGATATGGAGGATCTGGACATTCTCGGAGTTTCGCCGCAGACTGCGGACGAGGTGGAGGGTATCAAAGACACAACACTTACACACTACGCACGCGAACTGGCTGGCATCGACCAGCTTTCTGAAGATCGAACTGGCTGGGAGATGGCGATCCAAGTCCTCGGACGCATGGATTCGGCTACAAAGTCCGAGGATATGGTTGGAGAACTGCTTCGCGACATTCTAGCACAGCTCGACTCCGACTCTGGAGTCACCGTCGACAAGGTCTGGAGGATCCTGAATGATCTCGGCATGATCACCTATGCCGAAGAGACAGCTGAGGTATGTCATTATCTGTTGACACGAGGTAATAAGTTGACTAACAAATGGTAGACCTACGCGGACATTCTCGCAAAGGATTCCCACAGATACGGAGAGGCTCTGTGGTACTACGCTCTGGCTCACCGGCCAGGCAAGGTCCGCGAAGTGCTCAATCTCCTCATGTCCTACTCTCTTATTCATTCCACGGTCTATCCTCCTGCCAACGACTTGGACGACCACCTTTACCGACTCCTCAACGAGCGTAGCCAAACACTTGAGAAATACGCCAAACAGGACCTTGAAGCGGCTAACCTCCTTGGCCGGATGCTGAGCGGATACGCTACCCTCCGAAAGTTCTACGAAATCCGCGACACTGACGGACTTGCAAACATGTCTCCGTACAAGTCTGCCTCGCTTCGCAAACAAGCGGCTTCAGCCCTTGTTGCCGTCATCGCTAGCTCCGACGACAACATTCGCGGCGGCCTTTACGACGAGACGCGAGACGCCGTTGTTAGCGAGGACTTTATCCTCGCCCTGCTCGGCGAGACTCTCCCCTTTGTCAACCAGAACCCTTCTGTCATCACTCTTGACCAGATGGACACGCTCCTCAAGGCCATCGAGGACATTCAGACAGTCAACTCCACCATCTTCAACGCCGCTGACGAATTCTTCAAGCTTGTCTTGGCATCAACACCGGGACTGAAGGGCTCTACGCCCGCAGACCTAATCCGCAAGAGCACCGGCTCTCTCAGCGGAAGCAGCTACATGCTTAGTGGCAGCTCCATGCTGGCCAGCCAGCTCCACCGCTCCATCAGCGGCGGCGGCGGCGGTCTGTCTCTCGCCAAGGCCAAGCGCGGCTGGGACTGGAGAACAGGACTTACTGCGGGCGCCTCGGCGGAGGACGTGCTTCGAGTACTCAGATTGGGTCTGTCGAGAGACCTGGCGACGTTGTGGTTGGCCGATGCGGATAACACGCCTGTGTACTAGGATCGCATCGGACGTGTCGCGGGTGTAAAGCGCAAGCGCGACAGGGTGTTGGCTCCTTAGCTGCAAGTCGCGGAGCCGGGATGGGATTGACGGGACGGAACGGAGTTTGATAATGATGTAAATGGAAGGCATTCAAAGAAATTTTCTGATGTATAATACCACTGGTTCGCCGGGGGAGTGATGATTTGTCGTCGCTGCCCTGGATGATTATTCAAGATCACACCGTTCCTACAAGAACGTTCTCCACATGCTGTGAGCCCGCTGCACCGCGTCATCCCTCACAAGGCGCTGGCAGTGTCATTTCACTTGGTCGTGGGTTAAGGGTCCATGGTGGGCCTACGGCGTGGATGAAATTTGCGAGCGTTGGTGATTTCGCCAACGGGTCTCACCGTACTTCGAAACCCATTACCGCGGTGCAGAGGCATTCGGAAAACTCTGGCATACCGGGATCTCCCCCAACGATGAAGACAAAAAGGGCAGGAAGGTCGTTGCGTTGAGGACTAGGGTGCGTGAGATGCTGGGCTTGGATGAGGTCATCAAGCTTGAGCTGAGCGCCTCTCTGTTGGCCCGCCCGGAGTAGGCGAACTAGTATGAAGAGATCTTTACTCAGAAATTTTGATAATATCTATGGTACTAAAAAACGAGAAACCCCCCCCCCCCCCCCCCCAAAAAAAAAAACACACTTCTGTATACCAGATGTTGTTAGGCAGCTCAAGAGCGAGACGTCATGGAAACCTCAGAATACGACCACAGTGCGAGAGTCGCATCGGTGGCGAAGACCAACTGTGTATGCTCGCTTTGTGGCTACGCGAAGGATGGAGCAAATATTTGCTCCTTCCTCAACGACTTCACCTTGCGGTCAGAAGACCTTCACTGCAGCAATGATACTTCTTTATAACTTATTCTGTTGCTTCAATCCTCAATGACGCTGTCGATTGGTATGTTTAGACTGGAAGTGACCCCGACAAGATGCTCATTTGGTCAACGGTGGCCAAATCGACCACGTCACAAGGAAGAATACGCGTCGACCAAGTAGGTAGCTCATCACCCCTAGACCATTGAACTTAACCGGGTGATTCCATTCACCAAAGCTTTCTGACATCGAATAGACTTCACTGCGTTGTACGCTATCAATCCGGCTGTTGACGTGTTGTCGCCGCCTTTGTGGGGCAGAGGCGACGGGTGAGGCTCGGCAAAGAGATGATGATGAGCTTCATGTCCCATCGCGTGTCGCAACCAGCATAAGAGAGGGAAACAGCTCCGCTTCGGCAATTGTTACGGATGTATTGAAAGAACCTGGTCTGCCTCCAAGACCTCCGGAAACGACGGGTTGGGGGTCGTATGCCGGCAAGCCGCTCCGTCTACGGCCCACCGCATCAGCCACTTCGAGAGCCCGGAGGGCGAAGAACGGAGCGGACAGCTCGGAATCACAGACGGAAGCCACATCATCGTCTCGGCCTGCTCCAAAGAAATTAGAGAACGGGAAATGGGGGACGTATCACAGTCAACAGGTTCAGGGCCCTGTTCTTGATCCGAAGGTCAGGAGAAGGCAGAGGCAAAGGGGCGTGAAGGCTCCCCCGAGATATGCGCCGGCGCCGCGATGGAGACCTGATGATCTTCCGAGCAAAGAGAGAATCGGGCAATGGGGTGTTTACCACGTGCTACAGAATCCTAGACACTCCAAGGACCGCCGTCTAGGAGGGGAATCATCCATCCTGCGCGCCGCTGAGCATGGCGAGACGGTGGCAGATGACCCTCTAGAAAATCTCTCCCTTCCTGCAGATTATGCCTTGGGTGAAGAGCATGGTTCACGTACCAAGACAGTAGCGCTGGAGGATTCCAATAAGCCTGCACAGGCGTCGGGGATTCGAGAAGGGGTGGCTTTCCGTCGGCATGGGCGTGTCTCTGCCCTTGCCTGCCAAGAAGAACAAGGCTCTGTCAAACGCCATTCGAAACAAATAAAAACCGACATATTAACGGCCGTAGATGGAACCAAGCCCGACAAACGATGCATGAAAACATCACAGGACAGGCCACTATCTACGTTGCTGTGGAGAAAGATGAATTTCACCCTCAGTGCGAACAGTGGGTCGATTATAGAGAGACTTGGAGCCAGAACACACGCTCGAGGAGAGTCTGGTCCTGCACTTCTTTCTTCCATGAAGTGGGGTGTCACGTTTCCTAAACGAGGAGATCAGACAAGCAACATAGAGGGTCATCGCATGCTAGCCAGGAGAGAGGAACTCTTAGCACTCATTCAAGTGTCACAGGTCTCGAAAATTCAACCTGCTCAGCACGGCAGAAGGAGAGGTCGTCATAACAATCTAGCAAAAGTCATGTCTGAAAAGGTTTCTGAACTAGATCAGCCGGAGTCTTGTTCAGTCATGCACGTCGCTGCTCGTGACGAGAGAGGAGGTCAACGAGACAAAAGTTTACCTACCAAAGAGAGGTCTGGTTCACTTTTTCTGGGGCATGAGGGTTCAAACCCGCCATCCATCACGCCTGTCTCTGATCTCTCGACCAAAGAGAAGATCGTTTCTAATCGTCAAGTGCTCGAGGGTTCGCCGTTATCGCTATGTAGCAGAACACGAGAACACCACAAGTCTCGGAACGAATCAAGACACGACGGACCAGAGCAATGGCTAGACACGGATGCTTTCAACCGAAATGAACAGTCCATCGCTCCGACCGGGAGTCCCGTCATGCCGGAAGATATTGAAAGACACATTCGGAAGTCCAGTATTAAAACGTTCCAATGGTCTGTTAGCGAGCACCTAGCCGACTACAAAAACCAACAGACACCTGGCGAATACGTCCGTGACTGGCCTTCTTGGATCGAGATGCTTCTCAAGGAACACGACACATCATCGGCCAGACCAGGAGACTGTTCCCTTTGTTTGCAACATACCACCGGAATTACGAGGCATCACCTACTCCCGAAAGGTGTGACAAAACGTCATCCGGGTCGGTTCACAGCGGAGCAGAGAAACAGGATACTGGAGCTTTGCCAGCCATGTCATAAGAGTTTACATCACGTTTTCCACAACAAATCCCTCGCCACGACATACAATTCAGCTGCCCGGATTTCCTCAGAGCCGCGCTTTCAGTCGTGGCTGTTCTTTACACAGCATCATGCGATAGAAGACATGCGTCGACTCATGATGCGTCCCCCAGAAAAACGTCCTGTTTTGTAAGTACTCCAGTCCTGCAATACGTCACCATCCCTCTACCCTCTTACCTTCTCGCAACCTTCTCTTAACCTAAAGCTACGAGGTGAACGGCACTGACATTATAACCGCAGAACAAATGCGGAGTTCAAGAATCTGGTGGCAACAGTTGAAACCGCGCTCGACCGTATCTGGACTGAGAATAGGCTGCCTGGGGAACATGTTTGTGGAGGCGACCGACGCCGTGCATTGCGACTGGCAGTACAAGCGGCTGGGGCCCCTAAGGATACATTTTTGGTGAATATTCGGAGCATAATGCGAAAACGGCCTGAATGGGCGGGATGGTACCGCCATGTTTTCCTGACGGGGAACAAATATGAGCATGTGCTAAGTTTTAGGAGGTCCAGACTCTTGCGATAGTGATCGCTGGATACTCCTTTAAGGGTGATTTGCAGATACTATAGATATACCCGCACAATCCAAATAGAGTGCTGTATATGTGTCACTCATTTCCCATACCGAGCCTTGCCAGACGCGTAGCGCCGCTTGCCACCACTTGCTGGGAGAGCGATGCTTACGTAACCATATTTGAGTTTCATCATTAAGCAAATAACTATCTTTACTCCTCGTATACCTCACGTATTGCTAAGCCGGGCCATACTACAAGAACCCTTTAGCAGGTGAGAGAGTGTCTTACTGACTGCCTCAATGTCCTGGCTTAATCGAGTCTGTTTCAACTAGCCTTCTCCTTCGAAGTTGTTTCGGGAACTACACCAGTGTATAATGATAAAGATGCAAGTGGAGGGAAGGATGGGCGAGCAAGTCGATGCTACTCTACATGAGAGTGGTCAATGAGGCTCATCCGTTTATCGTTTTCCAGCAAGAGAGCCTGGCCAGTTGTCAGTGCAGCGATCCGTATCTAAAACAAGTATTTTAGAACGCCTCCGATACTTTGATTCTCAGGGGCTTTTCAAACGTATGCCATCATTTTGAAAACAATTAGCATCGGAGGTATGGGCTGTAGCTGGATCGCTGAAGTCTGGTAAATGGTTAAGAAATGGCAACACTTTACTGACACTGACGCAAAAATTCCCCCTTGTGCAATGAAATTAACGAAAGAGGGTGCAAGTTACGAGAGTGTCAAATTGCTATACACAATCTTCTAATTTACAAGCCCTCGTACAATGGCCAGCATAATGTCTGACACATGTGCGTACCTCTTTGCAGTTGGCTCAAGTCAAGGTAGCATCTTCAGCAAAGCCATGTCCCGATGGACCTAAGTGCTCTTAGAAAGACTTTTGCCGGAAAGGCATGATTATCTTAAGGTGCTTTAGCAATCGCACAATGCCATAGCAAGACATATTCTCACCTACGCAGCCCAGTCCCACATGTTGTGAACGGATTCGCAAACATTGAGCGGACTATCATCTATCTCGAAGACAATATTGCAGACCTCGTTGTCGGCAGGCGTGCTCCAGCAGGCATAGTTTCCTTCGAAATCAATACAAACTAGCTGAGCAAAAGTGCCACCGCCACCACCCTGATGGAGCTGGCAACTTGTGACTTTGTCTTTGGTCACTTGGCTAAGGGCGGTAATCTGCTGGACGTCTCGGGATTGCCATTCCCAGCCTTTTGGGTCGTCATCACTGAATGTAAAGCCAGTGTTTGCTTTACGAGGGTAGGGGTCGCGAACTGGTGTACAGTAGTCGGCGGCAATGACGGTCGAGACGCCGAGGGTAAAAACGGAGAGAAGAGTGGGAAGCTGCATCTATACCGAGGATTAGTCACTGTCCATACCCATTGGTGGAAGATATCGTACATTGGGAATTTTGAGTTGAAGGCGGAACAGCGAATGTAGTCCTTTTAGAGTGGTAACGAGTGTGAATGATGTGTTGATGATTTGGTTCTAGATCAGCAGTGGGCGAGATCTATTGCTTACTCATATAGAACGACGTGGTGATGGAGAAAGGGGCTTTCACGGTCGTGGAGTTTGATGACTGAACAACTATCTGTTAGCTTGAAAATCCTCAAAACTGAGTGTTACATGATGCCGAATCTACCGAGTCTCTCTAATTAAACCATAATAAAGTTCAATACTTTTGCAAATGCGGTGAACTTCAAGATATTGGTGGGCTTGGTGGTTCTGGAACAGTTGTGTGTACGCAACATACAGAAATCCAGTGCTTTAGACACTGTGGCATAGTATTATTTATTTTCTTTAGATGTAAGTTTCGACCGATTTAGTTAGCGTTCAGATTGCTAAGGCAATGACATCCGGTCGATACTAGAGGCAGAAGGACTGACGTATTGACACTCTCATCAATAACTTAGTTCATTTAGTCAGACTATCTTCTAAGGTGCCATCTCTAGTTTACATCCTAGGACACTTCGAAGTATCATAGTCGCCAAGGTCTTTGCCTCTTTCTCTGAAACTTGGACAGGGCCACTGCCTCTGTTCCACGTAATATCCTTCATGTCCGCTTTGTGCCCCTCTGCGGTCCCCGCCACGTTCGTGTCGGGGCCCAACAATTTTGCTTTGATCCGGAACTGCTCACCGCCGGTCTAACTTCGATAAACATGGACCACTACGTGGCCCTGCTTGTCCGGCCCGTCCGAACGACACATCCAGCGATCTTCCATTGCCGCGGGTCGATAGCCGTTGAGAAGCTTAGCGGTGTCTGTGCTGGAAAGGCCGAAATGCCTAGGGGCGGTTGCAGAATGGTCGATGGGAATTTCTTCCCAGGTCAAGCCGCCCACTTTCTGTACTCCAGGAGTAGAAGCGGCAGTGCTTATGGAGTCTGATGAGTCGCTCATGATTGTGGGAAAGATGGATTTGAGAAGAGATTTGAACATTGTTGGAAATGTTTGATCAAGTGGAAATGGTTGTATGGTGAGTGGGTGGATGTCGACCTAGCCTAGTCGATGGAAATCCGGAGTTTATAAGTGTGCGGATGCGCCTGCGGCCATTTTGTACCGTAATTAATAAGCCGCAGGCGTTCTGTATAGAATTCAGAAGCAGACGGCACCCTAAAAATGGCCGAGTACCCTACTTTAACTGGACGTACTACCTTTGACACTATAAGGAGGAAACTTAAGAACAAATCTTAGTACAGATCACTCGGCTACTCAGCACAATGATGAACTTGAAAAACTGGTACAACAGCCCTACTAACTAGAGCCCAAATTAGACATCACATCTCTTTCGTGGCTAAGGGGTCTTTAAACTTTTGTATCTACGAACAATCAGATTCGCCCTACTGGAGGTGGACTACAGCAAATGAATCGCACATAGTCTAGGCCAACACTAGTAACCAACTCGAGCTTGTCAAACTTTCGATCAATCAGCAAGTACTTATGTATACATTCGTTAAAAATGATGAAAAATAGTAACAAAGGGAGAGAAAAAGAGACGCGTGATCAGGATGGACTTCTTTACTATAGAAGTGATTACACCAGCATCTGTTGGAGTTGGCTTGAAACTCTTGACTTCCTATCCTGGCTGGAACTCAGTAACTGCTACGCCCTACAGCTAACCTGGCCCATCTAGAGGAGCTCTATAAGAGATTTTTTGTCGGCTCTTGCGGAACTCTGACTTTCGGATCCGATCACAAGTTCAATTACTCATTCATGCATCTAAACTAAATGTAGACTATGTGCAAGACGAGAGATGATGCTACAGTGTGGAAATCGAACATAGGTCGTAATCATAGACCCAAACCAGGGTAAGTTGAGACCATCGTGGATGAATTTGTCTCTTTGTAGGATGCTTGGTACTTAGCAGAACCATGATGAGAAAAATATAAATTTAACAACTTCCCAAGGTCTTGATTAGAGAAAGCTACTGTGAACCAGACGCTCACATCTATACACTCTTTCCTTTAACAAAACCAACTCATTTTCACTTAAAACACTCTCTATCTTCTCGTCCTTCTTTACCTCTTAAAAATGGCCAAGCAACATCCCCTCGTGATTAGACTCTTCCTTGCCTCTCTCTGGGCTTTCCTTTGCCACGCTATCGATGTTTATAGCGCCGATTCAAGGCCTTTCTCCACCATTCAAGCCTCCAGGGGGATGTTACCTAAGGGCTTGTCTACGGTTGGCGTGGTCTCGGCTGACATCAGCCTGTGGAACCATGTCCATGGAGGTTCCGATAATTTCAGTAAAGATGAGGATGGATACGTATCTACAACCTCGGACTCGAACCTGGCTGCAAACTGGGTTAAGTGGCACTTCGGCGGAAACGGCTACATCTACCGCATTCATTCTGCCCCGAATATGATCGACTGTCAGGTGACCCTCGGGAAATACAATCCGTACAACGACGAGAAGGAGTTCGCCGCTCTCGGTGGCATTAAGATAAACCAGATCATCGGCTGGACTCCTGTTCGCAACAATTTCAAAGGAAAGGAAAAGTTGAACCCCTTGTATCGGGCTGCCACCTATAGTAATATGGGCAACGGCGGAGCTCAGCCCCAACTCGCGGCTTTTCCTCCCGACCACGAAGCTTGGGCCGAGGCTCCTTGGTCACAGTATAGCACCTGCAGACGCTCTGCAAGAGAATTCTTTATGAAGAAGCGAGCATGCTCGCCAGCCAAGAGTAACCAAGCGTTCGCCACAGAGTATCTAGAGTACGTCAACGCAATCTGCCCGGCGTGTGAATAGTTTGTTGAACGACCGGCAATTCGTCAAGCACCATAACGGCCCTTCCACTCAATTCTTTTCGGGCAAAGAAAGCCAGGAGGTCTATTGAGGTTCTCGGACCACGAGGTTTTCTATTAGAAAACCGTCCACGCTTACTCGCGTGTCGTTCCCATTCGGACAATCTTTGTATTTAACTTACCTTTTTTTTTGTCTTTTCAATAAGTTGTAAAGTAGGTTGCGATGAAGCCAAGTAGAGGATGGTTCTCGAAACTCGGATATACATCCTTTATGACAATGGTGAAATGTAGATTTTGATGTAATTGAGAGACGCGTGCTGTTGTATAGTGTGCTTTGGCAACTTGGAATGAACCGTTTGGTGATTGGATGAACTGACATGGGGCTGAGCTAGTCAACCAATTCGACCGGATGAAGCTCCTGTCCTTCCTATCATATTATTTCTATAGGCTCGACAGCTGCTTAGACGTGGAGAACCCCGCGCCCTTGGACGCTGTTCTGTCTATCGCCGAGGACTTTGTCTTTCTTCAGTACGACTATAATGTTGAGTACAACTTCCTCCCCAGTATAGAAGCAAGACTGAACAGCGGATCATGGTTCACTCATGGGAAGTCCAGTCTTCCTAAGCATGACCATATATGAAATGAAGGTAATTGGTTGCTTATACTCAATGAAAGTACACGAATAGAAACCCCAGCTCTTCCAACCGTTACAGCTTTTCGTCATGTAGTAGAAGTAAAAAGACCAAAGGATTAGCAAACAAATGAAATAGTTGTCTCTCGTTTATTTAGGAAATCTCAGATATAGACTTCGCGCGTCGTAAATGCAGAAATAACCTCAAATACTTCTATCTGGTGTACTAAAATTCGTCGTTCGAAGGCAATGCTAGCCATGCAAAACTGAGGTTTTGTTTTCTTTTAGATACACGAACGACAAATCTCAAATGTTCGCCAGGAATCTTAAAACCCACTCTGCCGCAACGGCGGCATCGTCTTCCTTCTTAGTATCCGCAAACGCCTGCTGCAAAAACTCCTGAGAGAAACCCTTCTCTGGTGTGTAAAAGTACTTGATCGTCTCTTCCATGATGGTCTTGTTGCACTCGAAATGGGGCTGAATCGTGAGGACCCGCGACGGCTCGTAGAGGCCTTGGACCTCGCAGTGCGTGGTACCTCCAATACTCATCCAACTCCCAGGGAGCTTTGCCGGGGACTGCGGAAGAGCAACATGATCGCCGTGACACATCTGGAGCCGCAGGTTGCGCGAAAACGAGTCAGATACGGATTCGGCTTGCCCAAGTGCGCTTAGACAAGGAAAGTCTTCAACGAGTTTCTGGTTCAGAGAGATCGTCTGGACCCCGAACTCATAGCCCTTGGGATCCTTTTCTACGACGGCGCCATGTGGGCCGAGAAGGACTTTTCCGATGAGCTGATGTCCGAAGCACGTTCCGAAGATACGGACGTTGGGGTAGGTCGTGTAAACCCTTTCGATAAAGGTGCCAAGTGTGAGGACCCAAAGATCAGTGTCGTATGCCGCTGCAATGGAACCGGTAATCAATATCGCATCTACGTTGGCGGGATCAGGATAGATTCCAGAGACGACGTCCCAGGTTGTGAACTTGACGTGCTGCAATACATCGAGTCGTTTAGCAGCGGCACCGAGGAGTTTGATGTATTGTGCGCTGTAATATTGGCCATAGGTTGATTGGACAGCCGGGACCATCACATCTGTGTCCAATATGGCAATGTGCCGGATATCAGTCTCTTTGAGAGGGGTCGTCGTCGCAATTGTCTTGGGTGCTATCCCTGGCGTCACCGCTCCTCCGGCTTCTTACCGAAATCTCAGTACAGAACAGCCCATATATCCCACTGATGACTGACCGTGCACATGTTCTTGTTTCATTGTTTTGGTAGGGTATAATTTCAGCCGTCAAAAACGATTGATGAATTTGTATCATAGAGAATTATGTACATGAATGGTGAGAAGCGTGCCAAGAGTACCAGTCAGTTGGGGTTTGTTTAGAGTTCGGGAGCTGCTCCGAGTCGGAATACATTTGTCACGACTCCGCCCTTTCGGGCATCAACGCCGGCGTCGGTCCCTGTACCGAATCAAGACCCACTAGTGATTGTTTACAGCAATTCGCTCAGGACGAACCACTTGATAAGCTGGAAACCTATTCGAACCCCTTTGTGGGGTGTTTCAACTGCTGAAACTGATCAAATGTTCATTCAATGCTGCAAGTCGAATCTCATACCACTACTATTTAGCTGAGCCTAGATAGAAGCTTTATTGAACTGTGTAAAAGCAGCAACGCCACACAGCAGGTTTCCTTTTCTTAGAACTTGTATCCTGATCTTTGCAAGATCTCTTCCAAAAGTCGATGGTTCTTCAAGGCTGCCTCGAAGTCGGCATATCTCAAGGCGTCGCCCTTGGCGAAGCCATCCAATATCAGTGCCGTGTTCAGCCCCAAGTCTGGAACTTTAGCTACGGCAGGGGTACCCGGCTTCTTCAGTTCGACTTCCCGCTCCTCCCCAGTGGCTAGCTTCACTTTGAGCTTCTTGCTAGGGTTATGAGCCTGCCACATCATTCCAGGTCCCCAACTAGCCTCGATTTCTCCCTTGGTGCCGCTGATGATCCATCGGGCGCCAATATTATCAACAGTTACGCTGGCTGTTCTGAAATTGAGCGAAGCTGTGGCTCCGTTCTCAAGCTTTCCTTGGACGAGAATGTGGTCAGGCGAGCTCTTGGGGTAGGCTGGATCGATAACCTTGGTCCTATCCGCATTGTGTAGGGGCACCTTGGTGGCATCAATCTTGAGAACAGAGGACAAACTATCGACATCGAAGTCGCCGACAACATGAGTAAAGGAGTCCAAAACTATGAATCGCGCTTGTTAGTCCACAAAGGTTTGTCGCCGAACACCACCAGAACTTATGAACGACTCACAGTGTCCGAATCCGATGTGGAACATGTTCCCTCCGCTCTTGATATCAAGATAATATTCCGCCCCCTTGACCCAGAAGGTTGGAGGGAAGTACGGAAGGGCGCCCACGACAGAAGTGCTAAGGATGTCGCCGATCTCCCCACTCTCGACGATTTCCCTTAACTTGACAGTGAGTCCATCGCCGCGGCCCTGAAGGCCAACAATCGTCTTCAGCCCATTTTCCCTGGCCAACCGGGTTAGCTCTTCAGCCTCTGCAACTGAAGCTCCAAGAGGCCACTCTACAAAGATTTGTTTTTTCGCCGCAATTGCGGGAAGCGCTAGCTCGAGATGTTTGGTAACGACAACGCTAACGACCACCAAATCCACGTCGGGGTCTTTTGCGAGCTTTTCGACATCTCCATAGGCTTTGGTAGAGCTGGAGAGCTTGTGCATCTCAACCGAGCGACGGGCGGCTTCGACGGATGAGTTGCAGAGGGCGACAATTTCGTATTCTGGAGAGTTCTGGAATGATGGAAGGATGGCGATTGTAGCCCATGCTCCTGGACCCATATCTGACCCCTTGGCAGATAAACCGACAATTCCAACGCGTATGGGAGACATGGTGTAGGCAAGAATGGCAGCTCAAGGTCGAGTTTTGGACTTGTAGCTGCTGCAGTTACAGCGTGATCTATTATACTTCGAATGATTAATCAATAAACAGTGGTCTCGACACCTGCCATCGTGCGATAATAGTCCCTTCAATGATCCCTGTGTTCTCAACAACACGAGATAATTGGAACATGAAGTATCACGTATCGCGTGTGAACCCCGATAGGACGAAACTCCGGCATGTGAAGCGGAGGTGTGGAGCGGCTTCCCAACCTTAACAATCAAGTGGCTGCTGATTGGTCGGGATTCCGCGGGCAGACCAGATCAAATCCGGAGCATCGAGCTTCACTTGTCAACTTTTGCATTCACCTTGCAACATACGACGCTGCTTGCCAATCAACATGAGCAGACCGATTAGCCGCAAAAAGTCATGTGGTCCTTGCCGGGTCAGTAAGGCGAGATGCTCCCTTGAGTCACCATGCCGGCGATGCGAAGAAAGGAATCTAGACTGCAAGTACGACCATCTACCGAGACGTTCAGCAGCATACCGAGCATTGCGTCCCCAGCCAGCCCTTGGAGGAGATCTCCGCAGGGACTCGGAGCAGCCCAGCTCTTACTCAGAGCGATTGGCTCATAGCGGAAGCGCTCTTGCCGCTTCATCTATGGAAAACCAAGTTGAAAGTGTTGATAGACCACCGACGAACTGGGATGCACTGCTATCACCCTCGTTTCTAAATTTCTCACCGGGCTGTGAGCTTGACTTACTGAGCCTACCAAGCCCTTCCTCTGCAATGCGCTTGAATACGCTCCAAGGCCCTCAATCATCACCCGAACCTAGTGGGCTTTCTTGGCTACGGAATAGCCAACAATCAGGTGTACCGGACGACCAAAGGGCCTTACTTTCTTCAGGTGATCCGGTTCTTCTCCCTACTGGAAGAACAAGTCAGCTGCACACACAAAGCAGAGAATGTTTGCCTGGGCCTCCTCATCCATTTTACCAGGACAGACCGCTTGCGCCGCGACGCAACAAGGCAGCGGCTTCGTGCTTCACCGTTAAAGTACTTCTGGGGCAGTTGCTGGCTTATCCCAAAATGATGGCCAAGGGTGGTCGACTACCACCATTCATATTCCCCCCTGCGGTGTGGAGGGAAACAGTTTACCAACTGATTCTTGTGGCAAGGAGTTCCACAAGTGCTTACCGGAGACTTTGGCTATCTGTTGTAACTTGGTACAGAGCTTCGAAGCAAGAACTTCTGGGAGTACGTCTTTCGTGTGGAGAAGTATCTACAAAGAGGTTGAGAGGCTTCGACGAGAGGTAAATTACCACCGCAATTTACTTTACCACAACTCCCGTATGTTCCTCTAACATCATTGAAAAACCAAGCATACTTCCTACGACTGCGAGGGACTTTTGCAAGCCCTACAAGCCGTAGTTATATACCTCCTGCTTCAAGCGGGAGACCCGGACTCAATACCCGAGAACGATATTATGACACTGTTATCGACCCCTGATGTAAGGCACCTGGAAAGTCGTTTCGGGCTGTTACTGACGAGAGGGTCCAATCGTTCGCGGTAGTCGATTGCAAGAACCCTTCACGTGTCCTGCGACTATACCAGTAATTTAACCAGCAGCAACAAGATTGATCGTCGAAACTGGGCCATTTGCGAAAGTGTTCGAAGGTAATCATGGAAAGACAGTTTTTATGACTCCCGAGTTATTAACAAGACGTGCAGGACGATATGTATCTTATTCGGTATCGAGCTCCTATTAGATGTAGACTTCAACGTCGCAGGGACAGAGTGCGGAGGTTATAGTCAATTACCTCTTCCTTCAGGAAGGGAGTTGTGGGAAGCCGTTTCGAACGACGAATGGGCAGCACGATATAGCAAGGCACATGTTCAGTCCCGCAATGAGAGAGTATTGAGCATACGGGATCTTCGACAAGCCAGACGAGCTATAGGAGCTGTAGGAGTAGACACTACTGATGTGAGCGAAGAAGGGCAGCTTGTAGCCCAAGTTGCAGAGTGGTGTGAGAGTCTGGACGAGCTTGGGATGATGATATGGTTGGCTGTCATGCTGGAGTCTTAGTGTGTTCAAGACAGGGTTAGAGGCAGGTAACGGAAGTATACACTTGCAAGATGGCCTTGTATGTGTCCGGTGAATAACTATGTGTTGAAACCCGTTCATCAATTTTCGCATTGTAGACGAATGATCTTGGTTATCTAAATTGGTAATGTGCCAAAGCACTCCGCTTCGATCAAATGGCATTACTGCCATATGTTAATGGTATGTGCTGTATCTACCAAGGGGCTAGCTCTAAAAACAATGACTGGGATCACGGTATTGAGCGGTTCCATACAGTCTCCCAAGATCCTCTTGCATCGAGACCTACATTGTCTAGAGTCAAAGCTGCTTCTGGGATACGCCCTATAACAATCCTAGCTTCATCGAGGCAATCTTTACTATTTCTGTCAACCGGGATGGCTCTTGGGGTTTAAATGTACTTAGTACTCGAGTTGTTTTGATTCGCCGCTTCTGACTCTAGCGCAAGAGCAAGCTCGATGTTGGCAGCTCGTTCCCGCGAGGTCAAATTCTTCACTGTGGTTGCTGTTTTCCTGGACCACTGAAACGAAAATCCCAATTTCTTTCTACTCTCCCTACCGCCCGTACGCGGCATGTTGGGAGTGGAACGACGCCGGGCGGTCAAACGATTCTGTAAAAGGAGGTCAATTGGTGGAGGGCAAGCGAAAACTAAACTGATTGCCAGCTCGAGTGCTCTTTAGAATATCAATGGACTGTCACAAGGTTGGGTGTTTTTCTTTCTAGGGGAAAAAAACCGGCTTACATTGTGAGATTCAACAGAACAAACCCTAACGAGTAGAACTCATATACTTCTTACTTTGTGAGAGCTCATCAAGAACTATTGCGACTGTTACAAAGATAAAATGTAGTCAAAAAACCGATGGAGCCAGCTTCGCAAATCTGAAGTCTTTCTAAGGTCTCGCTTGCTTGATATAAACCTCAGTACATTGAAGTCTGGGAGCCCGAGAAACGACATCTTCGCTTTTTATTAACATCCAATAACAGCACAAAGCATGAGACGGTTTGTCTGCAGACTTCGAACTATTGCCCGTATTGTGGGGGACTTTCGGGATCGAATGTTCGCGCCAAGCTTCTTCTCTGATATATCTGGGGTCTCTGAGGCCTTCTAGCTCAAAAGTGCGATCACTTTGAATTCTAATTCCATGCGAGGTGAGGAGCAAATTTCGAAATACAGGATACCAGAAATCGCATGCTCTGTATTCTCACATCTTTGCTGTTGCTGTGGTGAGTTGCTGCTCATAGCCACTTGATTCCTTCCAATGATTACACGTTTTTCAAGAGTTATTAACTTCAGACTGCGTCAAATCTGCCTGCTCACAAGGTTCTTCCACAAGAACATGGCGAGCATGGACTTTCCCTGCACTGACATATTTCAGTGCGCATATCTCCAGCCCCTCTCGGCACCTGAATTCTCAGAATACCCCTCCGCCTCGTCCAACTTCTTGTTCAGTCGGATCGCACGCCATTTAGCAAGCCCAGCCGCTGCGATAACCAAGAGACAGCCGACCAGGACCAGGCCTCCACCAAGTCTATAGAAAGGCTCGTGCGAACGCGGCCAAAAGTAGGGACTGAACCAATGGCTGGTCTGGCTGATACAGTTGGCAATTGCGATCAGTGCGGCCTTTTTACTCCGAGGGGCGGGGACTACGGTTGTTTCCCATGAGAGTTGTAGGTTCAGGCCGTTATATGTGCCAGAGATAAGCAAGAAGAGGCCGAAGTATCGAGCCCCAACATTCGTCGTTGAGATCAGCACTGCACAGCCGATGGCACTACCAACAATAGGCAAGACAATGTGCCAAAAAGACTCTTGGTGGCGACCGGAAGACCAAGCAACAACACAGGCAAATGCGAAGGCAAATGCGTACGGAGGTGCCTGGATGAGGTACGTCGTAAGCTCGCCGAAGTCGAAGGTGTTCACAATCTGACCACTATCGTCAGTCCACGTGGTTACATAAAATGACTTCGATGCATCAAACTTACCGAAGGCAGGAAATCTTTGAAAGCTTGGGCCGTAACGAGCGCAAAGTGCATTAGACAGAAGATCCAGGTGAAGGGATCCTTGACGGCATCTCTGAGACCGTCCCATGTTCCGCCTGCAACCTCTTCAACTCCACCGTTAGAGCATAGGATGCGATACTGCGCCATCTCTTTTTCCGCCGGAGTGAGGAATCTTGTGTTGTGAGGCCAGTCTGGAAGAAGAGCGAAAGCAGCGAAAGCAACCAAGAAGGTAGCGATGCCCTCGATCAGGAAGAACCATTGCCAGGAGTACAGCCCAGAGACGCCGCCCATTGTAGTCAAGATACCAGCAGCGAGAAAGCCAGAGATGATGTTAGAGATGGTATTCCCGGCGTGCCATATGGCCATACGACTTGGATTTTCATGCTTATTATACCAAGAGGATGTCACTGATAGTTTTTTGCATAAGTCGATGATTTAAGCTTGAGAAACAGAACAGGATTCACTTACTGAGAGTGATACCGGGAAAGAAAGGTGCTTCGGCTAGACCAGTAAAGAACCGCAGAGCGGCAAACCCAGCACCACTGTACTCAGCTGTCAGCGCCTCCTGTTCTTACATGTACCTTGTAAGAGGTGACAAGAGATTCTCGCTTACCTTTTCAAAGCAGGTGTGCAAATCGTTGCCGCGCCCCATGCGATCATCGTAGAGGGGAGAAACCATCTCGGGTTCGCCTTAGCCAACCACAGATTGCCTGGCAGTTGTCCAACAAGATAGCCGATGTAGAACGTTGAAATTCCCAAATTCCACATGGTGTCAGACATATGCAGATCCTCTTGCATGCCACCGAGCCTCGCATTAGATACGTTGATTCGATCAAGGTAACTGGTAAGCCGCTTCCATGTTAGTTGTAAGACTTTCTGCTTGGCAGCGCATTATTGTGAACTTGCCTCATGAGAAACATGCATGTAATGGTAGGCATCATCCTCAAGTCGATCTTCCGCACCACTCCTTTATTAAGCTTATCCATCTCCGCGTCGCTCAAGTCTCGCAGAAGATCGAAGCGACCCTGTATTTCCTTAAAGGAGATTTCGCAATGCTGGCCGAGTTTCTCCTTAGGCTGAACCTCATCACCAGATTTGTCGGAGTGTTCGAGCTGGCTGCACTCGATTGCATTCTTGGTGACACTATTGACTACCCGATCACTGGTTTCTGGAGTCATATTGGCGGGCCGGATGAGATTAATTGAGTGGCAGGGATCAGTGGTGATATAATTGACTGTTGGAGTCACACAATGAGACCTCTTGTCGAAGTTACTTTTGACCTTCGATTCGAGCCCGACTTTATACTTGCACAACCCATTGTCTCAGCCATAAGTCGCAAGTTGCAAGCCAGAAGAATTGTATGGCGTTCTTGGCAATCCGGGGACTCCAGAATACCCCGCGTCGAAAGCATCCAGCAGGGTTCAGGAGCGTTGGGGTGAGACTGACTCTCCACAAACACTGCCTCATGAACCGTTCCCGCGGGAAGCACTATTGACACTAGGTTGCGTGACCGGAGTCGCATTTGGTTCTGGGAATTACTCGAGCTGTTGGAAATCTGGTTGCCCTAAACAAGCTAGTTGATTTCAGTTAGACCACTCCAAATATTCGTCGGCCACCAACAGCGAACACTTTTGGAAGGACAACAGCCAAGGCCACTGACTTGGACCCGGTGTTAAATTTGGCCCCGAGAAAGTGACGCTCAGCCGTCCTATGGAACCCCTCGCCTTGTTGTATTGCCCAGGTCTGTGTTGCAAGACGCTTCTTTCGCTCGTTGTTACAGACAAAGGTAGCTAATTGCGGGTTACTCACTCACCGTATCACGTTCCCTGTTCATTGCGTTGTTGTGAGCACCAGTGGCCTCAGAAAACAGATTGTGCCGACGAATCTCCTTTCTGATAGTTGAAACAGATAACTACGAAAACCTATCCTAATGAGCCAGAAGACTCGAGATCTTTTCATATACAGTGAAGACAATTCCTCCGCTCAGAATCAGACGTCCAAGTCTCATCGTGCTCCCGCTCCAGAAACCCCCCACACCTCTTTCTGACAGCACCTTTCGGAACGATTCCAGAGTACCGGCTCCACGGGCAGATTGTGCTCTCGTCTTGATTGTATCAAACGGTTGGGTGGCATAGACTGTGATGACACCGGCAACTGCTCCAGAGCCAAATGTTACGAGGGAGTTGTTAGGGAACCCATGCTTCTTGGACAATTCTCTTAGCACGTTATAGGAGCCCATTCGCACAGCAGAGGTTGCGGACTGCTTCAGTGTGGTAGAAACGATACCACGGTACGCTTCACCGATTCCATTTTTCTTAACCATTGTAACCAATGCATGCGTTCCGCCCACGTATCTCCTTGCGCCTGATTTGGCATCATCAATCCTGCATTTAAGCTCTGATCAGTTACTGCTGGGAAACATAGTTTACATGCATTCAAAGTTCGCCAGATGCTGAGCTGGAAAAAACTTACAGTGCCGTCTTCACTCGCTCAGTAGGAGTCACTGCCACAACGCTTTCCACACATCCGGCGATCATGCCGGCCAAGATGCCCCGCGCGGGTGTCAGGTGTCCTTTGTCGTCCATCAGGGAATTTCTGATCGAGTCGAAGGACAGGAACCTAACTCCAGCCTTGAAAGTTGTTCCCTAAAAACTGTGAGTGCAATGCCTCACTTGGGGAAAGAAACTGGCTATACAATGATCAAAGTTGAGCATCCGGTGTAGATGGCTCTAGGACCATCTTTTCGGGCCACCTGAAGAAGGACTGCAAACGGGTTCTTGCTGCCGGTTGAGTGGAGCTGTGCTCTTGTCTTTGCAAACTCGAAAGGGTACTTCGAAGGGTACCAATAGTCAGCGACTGAAGATATATAGTAGAAGCATATCTAATTAAACCGAGAAAGACTTACTGTAACTGCAGCTTCGACAGCTCCAGCAACTCCACCCGAGAACAATGAGATTCCAGGAGAGATCTTGTGCTTCGCGCTTGAATCAAGTTCTCGTTTGGCTTTGCTTGAGCTGGCAAGCTTTGGGTTTGGCACAACTGATGCCACAGAATCCATGATGGTTGTACAGAACCGTATACTTTTGATGGTTCCTCTTTTCCTTAGGTCTGTCTAAGTGAAAATGTTCCGGCTAATAGCGGAAACACAGTTGGCGCGTAACGAGAAGGCGAGTTTCGATGCGAACCTCTAGACGTACCCAGTAACACACTCAACTTATTGGAGCGCCGGAACTATGGAAATGCTGCAAAATTATGTTGTTTGTCATTGTTCCCCAATTACAGACATAGCACTGCCCTATCTGCAGTGGATTGAGCTGAAGGAAGCCCCAGTCTCCCGGTTCCCGTTACCCGCGGGAACATTGGACGGCAGGCGGGTGACAAGAAAAAGCCCTATACCTTGAGAGTTGGGGATAACTTAGGTACTCCCGCTCTAAAAATACGAAAAGCAGTACATTGTCATCCGTAACATTTCTTACCCAGCCTAGGTATCCCCTACCGAAATCCTCCTTGAAGGTGTCCGGCTTTTTCTTTGTCACCCGTTTGGACGGGTATCAGAGGAGATGTGGACTCTGAGATGAGCCAATCAGAACTCTTCCCGTACCCGCGGCCCAACTAGCTTGACAGCTGCATTGACCTGACGTCAGATTCTATCCGCGGGTAGACTCTTCTTTCCTCTCGACAACTTTAATTCCCGGATGTGATGATCTTCACGTCTACCCACGTCTACCCGCTTACCATCCACGGGTATTGAGACTGAGACACCCGGTACTCTTGATTTTTCCTCTCATGGAACGGAGATCAGGAGACAGCATCACGGCATCCGGGCGTCCCCGGAGACGGGCAGTTGAAGCCTGTTCGTTCTGCCGACGGCGCAAGGTTCGTTTTTGGCCCTGTCGTTGCGCACTCGATGGAGCTAACTTTCAACCACTAGATCAAGTGCAACAATGAGCAACCAACGTGCGCTAATTGCAAGACTTATGGAAAGGATTGCATCTACGAGCCTTTAGCGAATCTCGCCGAAAAACCGGCAGAGTCAACACCAGCATTGCGTCGTGCGGAAAGGCGACGGCAAGACACGCGGAATGGGCGAAGAGCAGACCTCGGCACCCCGTCACGGATCCGGGAAGAAGACGGCGGCCATGGCTCTCCCGCGGAGCACGACGACGTCAGACCGCACACCCCTGGTGATCCGGATCCTCCGGTCCACTCACCTGCTCATACCAACCGGCGGCAGACGAGAATTCCAGCGGAACCAAACTCTTCCCACCGAGCAGGGGTTTCCCGTATTGTGGTATCCGCAAACGGTGTCTCGAGCTATCATGGCCGTACGAGCGCTCTGTTCGAGGAGAGTCTACAGGAACGGTCATCGGCGATTGACTTACGTCCACGGATGCCAGATGAATGGATAGAGAAGGGGTTGGTTGCCGAGGCGGCTAGACAACGTAAGCTCATTGTATTGATTGAAGCTAAGCTTCGATTACGTCTTGCGCTGCTATGGTACCGCACTAACAAACAACAGGCCAGCTTGAGGAGTTCAACTATAGAGCGGGAACGCTCGACTTCGATGGTGTGGATCCAGAACTTGGCATGCACCTCCTGTCTCTCCACTGGAATCGACAGCATCATTCGTTTCTGCTGACCTATCGGCCCGCATTCATGCGCGACATGGCTTGCAACGGGCCCTACTTTTCAAAGATACTGCTCAACGCCATTTACTTCGGGGCCTCCAAGTTCAGCCCTCGTCGGGAAGTTCGGAGAGATACCAACGACGTGCGCACCGCCGGATGGGCATTCCGTGAACGTGTCAGGAACTTGCTCGGCGATGCGCTCGACAGTAGTGATATCACAACGATTCAAGCCTTGCTAGTGATGACAAACTCACTTTTTGCATTGGGTGATGAGAGGAGTGCTGCTTGGCTATATGCAGGTCTGGCGTTTCGTATGATCATCGACTTGGGCATGCATGTTGATGCGCCGGGCCTTGGTATCACGCGGAAGTTCTCTGACGAGGATCTAGAAATACGACGGCGGGTCTTTTGGGGCGCGTTCGGTATGAAACCCCTGTTTGAACAGCAGACGTCGCTCCTGACCGTTGATAGTTGTCGACAAGATCCAGAGTCTCTATCAAGGGCGTCCAGCATCACTAAAAGAATCCGATACGTTGGTGCCCATTAAGTTTCTGGACACATTCGAAGAATTCGAGAATTGGAAACCGTTTGCATACTCCACCGATGCCACCAGCTACCCTGGCTCGCCCGCATACAGCGTGTCAACGTTTACGTGCCTCTGCCGTCTTTCCGTTGTCATGAGCGACATCCTAAGCTGCATCTACACGGAGCGAGCATTTGACAAGAGCGCAACAGAGCTTTCCACCATGCTCGAAAGCCTCAGCTCTAAGTTGGCTGCTTGGAAGGCCGCACTGCCTATACATCTTGGCTTTGACCCAAAGAGCAGTGACAAAGTGCCTCCTCCACACGTACTAAGCTTGCAGTAAGTACTATGGCTGCACGGTAACTCACTATTGAGTGATGTATAATCTAACATGGCTCCAGCGCCATGTACCATGTTCTCACCATCCTCCTCCACCGTCCGTTCGTGGCCGATGGTCATCTCTACAATACTTCTCGTTCGATATCGGTCAACTCGTTCATCACCTGTGCCTCTGCAGCCGACAGCATAGTCGGCATTCTTCGAGCATATGATAAAGTGTTCTCGGTGCGACATGCACCGTACCTGATCTCCTATGCCACCTACGTTGCCGCCACGATCCACGTACGGATCGCAGCGAAGCGCAGCACAGAATCGGAAGCCCGTGAACGCCTGGAAACCTGTATGTCTGTGTTCCGTGAGAACCAAGAAACGAATTGGGCAGTTAGGAGGGCGAAAACTATTGTGGAAGGCTTGATGACGCGACTGGGTGTAAGTCTCTCTCGCGTTGACGCCCATGAGAGGCACAGGAGTAGCATACTTCCTAACATGGAAGCAACTGGCTCTGCGTCTGGCGCTCGAAGAGATGCAGAAGGCGGGGTACGCCTAGCAAGAACTGATGAGGTACACCCTCCACAGACTGTGCTAGAGAACACATCACCTGCTCTGGGATGGTCAGACATCGACGGGATCATTCAAAGCTTTGTACGAGGGCAAGAATTTAATCCAGTCGCAACGGATCTGGGCCAGGCGGAACCTAATCCGCAACCAGTACCGTCAGGAACGGGGCTGCAGCCCGCGAACCTCGACCCTTCCAGTATGGTGGGCAATCAGACTTGGTTTCAGGGGATGTCAGATGGGGATGGCGGCGTCGCTTCCTTCGACGACCTTCTCTTCGGCTTCAACGGCTCCGCACTTGACAGTGTGTTCTCCTGATACAACTGGGTTGGGTTTATCATCAATTAGGAAGCCTGACCGATGAACGGACTTCTTTCCCATCTGAGAGCCGACTTTTGCAACCATTGCTCCACTGTGTCGGGCAGGGGCGCCGCAACGTCTGATCCCGCGGGACAGATTCACTCCCGCGGATACATGGCCCAAACACATAAGCATGATTCACAGCACACCTCATGCTATGAACAACACGGAAGCATTGTTATTAACACGCAGGATTCGGCAGAGAACAATGGCATTATAGCCACTGATAATTTGTTTCGGACCAATCGTCCTCGGCCTCAATTACTTATCTATGCTAAGAGAATGACCTCTGGGCCTTTAACATGAGCATCGCCAATGCACTTCAACACTAAGGTCTCCAGCACACACATTAGATCCTGCAGGTTCCTTCACCAAGTCTTACACACCACGATACTACCTTTTCACACCCCCATCATGGCTATAACCCCAACTACCTCGAAACGCCGTGTGAGGCACTCTCTTCCCGCGGTCCTGATGCGAGCCGGCACATCCAAAGGCCTCTTTATTCACCGGTCCCACCTACCGCCATCGCAAGATGAGTGGGCAACACCCCTCCTCGCCGCAATGGGCTCGAGAAACAACGACGCTCGCCAGATCGACGGCGTTGGAGGCGGAAGTAGCGTGACCTCCAAAGTTGCTGTCGTCGCCCCGTCGAGCCGACCAGGTGTTGATGTTGAATACACCTTCGTCCAGGTTGCCGTTGGAAGCGAGACCGTCGATCTCAGTGGCAACTGCGGCAACATTTGTTCAGGGGTTGGTCCCTTTGCCGTGCAAGAGCGGTTGGTGACGCCGATGCCGGGGGCGCGGGCAGTGGACGTGAAGATCTTCAATACCAACACTTCAAAGCTCATCGTCGAGACCGTGTATCTCGATGAGGATGGAAACGTGGAGGAAGACGGTGACTGCATCATTCCTGGCGTGAAGGGTGCTGGCAGCGAGATCAAGGTTGCGTTTGTCGAGCCAGTGGGAAGTATGACTGGCAAGTTGTTCCCTAGCGGAGAGCGGCTTGAGAGGATTGTCGTGGAAGAGATGGTGACTTTGGGAGACTTTGCTGTGGATGTTACACTCATCGACTCGGCGAACCCGTTTGTCCTTGTTGATGCCCAAAGTCTGCCCGTTGCGCTCAGGGAGCAGCCGGCCGATTCCCCGCTAGCTCTCGAGGTCGCCGAGGCCATCCGAAGGCGGGGAGCTGTTCGGATGGGCCTCGCCAGCACCATCGAGGCCGCCGGTCTGGTCAGGGGAACGCCGAAGCTTGCATATGTTTCACGCCAACCGAACGGTGGGGTGGCCAAAGAAGCAGTGGATATTCGAGTTCAAGCTTACAGCATGGGTAAGCCTCATCCCAGTTTACAGCTCACGGGTGGCGTCACCCTTGCGAGCGCCGTGATCAAGGAGGGAACGGTAGCGCATCGCATCGTGTGTAAGGAGCCGACTCTACACACGGAGGGCATACCGACACCAAGAAGAACGCCAAGTCCGGTGGAGGGCGCGGTCAAGTTGCCGACGGAGGACATCCTCGGCCGCTCACTTGTTGACGAATACAAGGCAGGCCGAATTGTTCGAATTCAGCATGGTAGTGGGATCATGGATGTGGAAGTCTGGACCCACGAAGATGAAGAGGGGGCAGTGGTTGATCAATGCGTCGTAACGAGGACCGCACGACGGCTCTTCGAGGGCAATGTTCTATATTACTCCTGACTGTTGATAGAAATGGGGCGGCTAGGTGATTTTGACTCCAAGCATAGCATTCAATAGACACACCATCTAGATTTACCGAACAACGACTTGGTCCTGTTACTTTATGTTCGTCCAGTATACTGACGCATTGAAAATGTTCCTCGCAAATGAGAGTTGGAAGGAAAGAAAAGTTTTTCAGTGTGAGAATCAAGCCTGTAATCTGCAACAGCTTTGAGTTGTTGTGTTTTCCGCGGTCTAAGTCTCCCCGCATCCTGACCCAGGGCCCGCGCAACTTGGGAGATGCGCAACTTAACAAACCTTCACATCGCCAACGATGGCACACAAAAGAGGAAAAGAGAATGGCCGACGACTTCAAACCCAGAAGAAGGAGCATATTGCAAAAGCGAAAAAGAATCTCCTCGACGGGGAATTGAACCCCGGTCCCCTGCGAATCGTTTGAATGACAAGCAGATATCCTCACCACTAGACTATCGGGGATTAGTGGATGTGTTCATCCAATGATAGTTGGTTGAGAGAATTCCTGGCTTGTGGGAATATATAGCTTACATCAATGCGTACAGCACAACCTCTCCACCCTTAAATGTGCCTCAAAACACGGGAACGTTTCAAAGGCGTGTGAATATAATGAGTGGTGTGATATGCTGGCACGTTTCTTATTTTCTGCTTTTGTTTTGTGCCTCCGTATCGCGGTGCGATCGCGACGGTCTGACTACGCCTGCAGAATGGCCGAGGCCGCGCAACATACATGGAGTAGGATTCATTTACGACAGATAAACTGTCCATGAGGTGCTTCAATACCCAAGGGCTTAAAAGACAAGTGATGATTCTAGCAGGGAACTGTTGGAATCGCAGAATTACCTTGGCGACAAAACCGTGACACTATGCTCCTTTCTACAGGGCAGAACGTCGCTTCAGCAGCATCGAGTGCGTGCCATGTCCATGTCAGCTTCGTATGCGAGCCTGTCTAGAGGCCGAAGGTGCAGCAATGGGTTTATGCAGATTTCTCGAGTTCCGCTCAAATCATCGTGCCAATTGCTGTCATATCGATGTCCCATTATTCACGAAGAAACCCCATGTTGTCGATTGAGAGTAAGCCCAAGAGGCCATTGCATGTATTACTAGCAGCTAAGATACGAGATAACAAAGTCATCCACACACATTGTGTGATACCCTCGGATCATCTGTTTCAAGCCATATCAATGGGGGTAGACAGAGCCCGGTGTCACACAGTGGCAGAAGGTGCATGGTCATAGTCCAAGGCATCGATACATTTGCAACAAGCGCTTTTTGAATCCCTCCCTAACCCGTAAAACCATCATATGCCGAATCCTTCTCATCCCTGGTTCCTACATGAAACGGACAAGCAATCTCCAATCGACAAAGACTCTGACACTGAGCCCTCAAGAGGACAGATGACCCCCGGGCTCATTTACGCCTTCGGAGCAGAAGTCGACTCGGCGACGGCAGCATCCTTCTGTTTCTCCGGGATCAGATTGCGGAGGGACAGGTCGTAGACAACATCCTCGACGCGCTTGACGTCGTACTTGACCGCATCGACACGCTTACGGAGGATGTCGTTCTTCAGATTGAGCAGCTGGAAACCGGCAAAGAGGTCCTTGACGAAGCTGCTAATCTCAACAGGCATGGCAAAGTCGCTCAGAGTCACGGCGTTGGTGGCGAGGCGTGAGAGCTCCTGCGTCAGGTCCGTCAGGGCGAGAAGGTACTCCTCGATGGTGAGGTGGAAGGCGTCGCGGTCCTTGAGGTTGACAGGGACTGCCGCATCGTTAGCTCTAGGCTCCCAGGAGAGACAAACAACAGCGGTTGCCTCGGCTGCCTGAGGTACAAGTCAAGACACATACCTTTGAAGATTTCGCCGACCTCCTCGAGGGTCAGGAGTCGGGCGACGGGACCAGGCTTGCCATCGGGAGTGAGGCCGCCCAGCCAGCCGCAGAGAAGAACGGTGAAGATGGCGTTCTGCACTTGGCGATTCCACTTCTGATTGTACCTAGGGGTCGTGAGTCAGAGGGTGCTTGTTGCCTTGACGGCATGTCATGAATGCCTACTTGTAGTAGGGGTGCTTGGAGGCGATTTCCTGGAGCTCTCCAATGACCTCAATCTCCTTCTGAATGCCTGTCTGCACGTCTGAAAGCAATGGTCTGTCTGTAGGCACACGGTCTTGTCAGAATCGCTGGGCGTTACTGCGGGGCAGAGAGGCGGCGCCGAGCGCCGATGGGGTGAGGACTCACACTGCTCACGCGGGGTGGCGTGGATGCGGGACAGCAGGCCCTGGACGTAGGAGATGGCCCTGTCCAGCTTCTGGACCGTCTGACTCATCTGATCACGGACCTGTTGGTCCTCGTCGATCTTGTTCTTGAGGTGCTCAAAGATCTGGGGGTCCAGAAGACGGGAGGCGGGGACCTCGCCCATGTTGGTGTCGTTGTCCATGACAGTGATGATGCGACCGAGTGACGGTGAGAGTTGGTTCTAGGCAATGCGTGAGTATGTGGGCGATGAGATGAGTGATTCTTCAGTAAAACAAAAACAACAACGAAAACAGGTTCCTCTGGAATATCGCGAGTGCTTTTGGGTATTCGCGAGTCGTTCCTTGACAGACGGCGGTATCGACCTTGGTAGTGAGATCCAAATTTGGTGGACGGAGAGCCCCGCGATTTAGGGCGACGTCACTGGAGAACGCAGACACTGAAAATCAGAGTTTGACTTACGACAGCGACTCACTTTGATGGCAGTGAGAGAATCATTCACAACCATGCAGAAATGGACGAGATATTACCAGTTGCAGCACCGTCGCGATGCATTTGATGGATCAAGGCTCTAGGAAAATTATGCAAAGGGAAGGCGGTCAACAGTCAGCAAATAGAGGGGCATGAGTTGACATGGATCGCCATGGAGAAGCATCAAGACAGCAGACATCAACGGCTTCTCACTCCACCAAGCACTGTTTCCAACTTTACGAGGCCGTCAAAAATGTCACTCGCCAGGTTTATTAAATCAAGGAGCAGGACCGGTGGTAACCTTCTTCGCATGCCTGGCAAGCCAGACAATCGCAATGAAGATTAGGGGTTTGCATCGCCTGGAGGCAGTGAAATACCAGGGACACGATGGAGACGACATACAGCAAGCCGCAGTGGTCGTCTCCGGATGATCAAAAATAGGAATAATCAAGATTGATGCCAATAGGCATCTTTCAGAGATTAAACTGAAAAGAACAGATACTACACTTGATCTAAGCCAAAAGGCAAAGAAGAGCTAAAGAGAAAAGAAGAGAAAGCTTTAAGAACCGCAGGCGGACCGCGATTTATATAGCTTAGGGTGGGTGGTCTGTGCAGCGCATACGATCAGTACGGTGTACGTACCGCGGAGGAAACTCAGGCCAATTTTTGCAGTGCAGTACGTACAGGTACGTACCGGCGCGTTCTGCCTGGCTCGTCTATGGCAACCAGCGAGCCTCACAATGTCGAGGATGGCTCCTGCCTGGAACCGAAGGTCTAATATTTGCTTGTATGTGTGAGTGCAGAAGGCCTCAGCCAAGATGTTTGTTGTTCAGCAGCATTCCTGCTTAGATTTTCCATCCTAGAGCAACGCGATGCCAAGGCAATAACACCGTGGCGGGGACACTATTTGCTCTGCATCATGTATCTGTGAATATCTTGTTTGTGGCCACTGACCTTGTTTCCTCGACTGCATACCTAGTTGGCTGGCATCTTCGTGGATTGCTTGCCTTGCTTTTGAGTCCGCGGCTTTCACTCGGCATTGTCACATGCATGTGCTTGTTGTGTTGCCACAAGTTGATACTCAAGTGTTGAGCATCACATCTCCAGCTGCTCTTGATGTACGACCTTGTGATGTATGTTCATAGCCGCTGCAGTCATTCAATACGCAATGTGCATGTTGCCGTGAATGGGGCGGAGCAATCGCCATCTTCGAACCGTAGATGGTCACGCTTCATTCAATGAGCTGTGCATTGTTCACTGGTAATAGGTTTGCTGCTAGGATTAGACAGCCAGTTAATTACTGAGGGGATTATCACACACTGCTTTTTTCTTATGGGTCATAAGGGCAACATGTACTATGGTAATGATTCATCATATCTGCCGGTGGCCTCGTTGAGAGCTGGTCCAAAGCAGCAGGCCACTCTCAAGGTTGCTTATCAGAATGCAACACTGAACACATACACACTTGACGCCATATCTTGCACAGCGGTTCCAAGTCGACCTAGAGGCGAACCCTGTTGGCATCGTACTCTATTTGTATGACGGAAATCCGGGGAGAGTCAAGGGACCGGTCGTTCTGCACAGCCTCGAAAATCCCGGTTGAGATACCAGCGAGCCATGCATGTCATGCAGCTCTCGTCTAGCAGCGGGAAGGGGGGGGCTCTCTTCCCGTAGTTCCGGAGCTCAGGGCACCCAAAGTCTATCGCCATCTGCGTCGTGTGGCCGTCATTTCTGGCGCCGGCGCTGGTGCAGCAGGGTGCAGCTTCTGCAGCGAGCTTCCATTCGTCTAGCACCTTGGGGGGACCACATCACCCAAAAAGTCTGAATTGCGATCCTAATCGAAACAAAATTAAGCTTCTCATTGGCGGCTTGTCCAGACGAAAGGTGCATATGCGGGCCCTCGTCCCCCTTGCAGCCGAGTGACGCTCCCGAGGAAGGTTAGAAACGAGTACCTCCAGCTTGGTGCGAAAGCCCTGCGTTTCCTTTGTACCTCCAATTTCCAGCCGTTGTTGGTCTGGTGGTGACCCTTGACTACCGGCAGAAAGGGGGCAAACACAAATGTCAACAAAATTTTGAGTGGAAGCCAGAGAGACAAGCCAGACTGTGTGAGGGCCCAATCGAAATCCAAGGACACCCTGCGAACTTTTTGATTTGACGCCGTCCCGCGTCTCTTGTCTTCCCGCCCTTTCTCACCACACGCCAACCCCGACGCCTTCGTCTGGTCGTATTCGGATTTCCCGTGCCAGACCGCCTCTCCTTTCTACCTCATCTCGTCTCCGATGCCTTGATTGAACCTTCTCTTGGGCCTCTGCTACACTATTCCCTCTCCGAACCCCCCCGCCGGACTGCGCTGCCAGATCCACGACCGTCACACGGACTCGGTTTCCAGTTACACGAGAGGTGCATGACCCCACGTTGAGATTTGCTGCTTTGTGTATATTTGTATAAAAGAACAGTCAACATGTCGGGTCGATACTCTTTGCGCCAGACTCCTAGGTTAGTCGAACAGTGTTTTATCTACTCTCTCTCTCTCTCTCTCTCTCTCTCTCTCTCTCTCTCTGCGACCTTGAAAGCTCTCACTCGAAGCATTTGGGCCTGTCGCAAAGCACCCATTTCCACACTTGTTTTGTGCCCGTATGATAACTGGAATCATGACTACCCTCGCTCACCCCTCCAATGGGTCAATACCTTGCGCAACATCTCTTCTGTCGATATAGCTAACCCATTGACCAGGAAGAAGGAGCTCTTTGAGGGCATGGTTGAGACCCCTCGCAGGGTGTCTTCCAGACGCAAGTCCCCCGAGGCCACCACCGAGTCGAAGCCCCAGTCCCGCGCCGCCCCGAGACGTCGCACCACTGGCAAGTTCCGGGAAGAGATCTCGGACGAAGAGGTCGAGAAGCCCCTGACGAACGGATACGCCAGCGGTCACACCAATGGTCATGCCAACGGTCATGCCAACGGTCACGTAAAGAAGGAGGAGCATGCCGTAAACAGCAACGGCCACGCCATCAATGGACACCTCGAAGTGAAGACGGAGAAGACTGCGGCAGGCAACGGCCATATCCCTTCAGAGACGAACGAGGTCCTGCCCGCCTACCAGAAGGGCGATATTATTGACGGTTGGGAGGTCGGCACGGATCCCAAGATCGACGCCTCGGGCCACTTCGAGTTCGGCGGTAGCATCGGGGCGCTTTCGCTGATGATCGGTTTCCCTCTGCTCATGTGGTACATGTGGATTGGAGCCACCTACTACGAAGGCAAGCTGCCCACGCGCGAGGAGGGCCAGAGCTGGGGCGAATTCGGCCGGCACCTCGTGGACCTCGTCTACACCGGCGCGTTCCCTACGCTCCGCGCCTGGCGCATCTACTGGACCTTCTTCATCTTCGAAGGCATCTGCTACTGCGTCCTGCCTGGCGTCTGGGCCTGGGGCAAACCCCTTCCCCACGAGAACGGCAAGCAGCTCAAGTACTTCTGCAACGCCTACGTCAGCTTCTACTTCACCATCTCCGTCATGGCTGTCCTCCACTTCACCGGCATCTTCCCCGTCTACACCTTCATTGACGAGTTTGGTCCCCTGATGTCCGTGGCTATTCTGAGCGGCTTCCTCGTGTCCTTCATCGCCTATTTCTCTGCTCTGTGGAGGGGCGCCCAGCATCGCATGTCCGGCTACCCGATCTACGACTTCTTCCTTGGCGCTGAGCTGAACCCCCGCATGTTCGGCATCCTGGACTTCAAGATGTTCTTCGAGGTCCGCATCCCCTGGTTCATCCTCTTTGGCCTTAGCTGCGGTGCCGCCGCCCGTCAGTATGAGAAGTACGGCTACGTTTCGGGCGAGGTGCTCTTCCTGGTCATGGCTCACTACCTGTACGCCAACGCCTGCGCCAAGGGCGAGCAGCTCATTGTTCCCACCTGGTAAGTCCCGTGTATTCCTCCAGCAACGAAACACCAACTAACACCACCCCAGGGACATGTACTACGAGAAGTGGGGCTTCATGCTCATCTTCTGGAACCTCGCTGGCGTCCCCCTCTCGTACTGCCACTGCACAATCTATCTTGCCAACCACCACCCTTCAGAGTACAAGTGGAACCCCTTTGCGCTCGCCTTCCTCTTCGCGTCGTACCTCTTCGTCTACTGGGTCTGGGACACGACCAACAGCCAGAAGAACGGCTTCCGCGCGCAGGAACGCGGCCAGCTCATAAAGCGCCGCACCTTCCCCCAGCTGCCCTGGCAGACGGTCAAGAACCCAAAGACAATCACCTCGGCCAAGGGCGACGTCATTCTCGCCGACGGCTGGTACGGCTACGCCCGCAAGATCCACTACACCTGCGATGCCTTCTTCGCTATCTGCTGGGGCCTCATCACGGGCTTCAAGAGCCCCTTCCCCTGGTTCTACCCCGTCTTCTTCTGTGCTATGATCGCCCACCGTGCCGCCCGCGACATCCACCGTTGCCGTCAAAAGTACGGTGATGCCTGGGCCCAGTACGAGCGCGAGGTGCCCTACCTCTTCATTCCCGTAAGTCTCACTATCCAGAGCCAGGCGAAATATGAACTCCAATTAACCATGATAACAGTACGTCATCTAAATGACACAACACCACTTGTCCCTCGCCTAACACGCGGCGTATCATGCCATGTTCGGGCCATTGTTTTCTGTACATATACGCTTCTTCGCCTGGGAGCCAGTGCAACTAGTTTAATGCTGGAGGTAATTGAGGCAGGCTGGAAAGGTACGGGAAACGAGAAAAAAGAGTTGTCGACATATGCTTTGAGAACGATGCCGGCATACAGACCTTGTAATCATACACCACAAGCGGCGCCTCCTTTGTTGGCGACACCGCGGATTTCTTTGTATATATTTTCACAGTGTATCCGCTGTGGACTAAGATCCGAGTAAAACGAGCAAAATGAAAAAATTGATAAACACATATCAAAATGCCTGTGCCTCTAGCGATATATAACCACGGGTTCCACTTAAGTCCATCAACCTGCATGGTTTCTGAGTAGGAAGTAAGTGATCGCTAACATTCGTGGACCGGATCTTCTACCATGGAAGCATCTAGACATCTTACCACTGTCATAATGCCCTGTCCTTGGCCACAACTGTCACAGTGCGATTTCATAGCAAAGCCGTTGTTTCTCCACAAGAGCATGGCATGTCACTACCTAGCTACGCTATCTGGGTCTTCCCGACAACGCGAGACCCATTGTATCAATCTTGGACAGGAAACACGTTGAAGAGCCTGATTATCTTAGGAAGTCGATACTTTCCCCAGATTTCCAATAGTCCAAGTTGATTGGACAGACGTACTGTTAACTCCAATATTCCTCCATCGAGTTAGGGAGCTCGGGCTGTCGAAAATCACATGGGCGTGGATCAAACATGGCCGTAATTGAGACGCAAAAAAAGCATTATCGCAACCTAGACTACAATTCCATTCCCCATCACCGTTGTCTATGCTGAGCAACCGCCCCCTAAATGGATAGCATACCTTGTTGGCACAATAGTACATATACGTTTGATTCCTGGCCGAGACAATCCCCGACCGTCCCAAACATTGGCATTTCGTGACCTTTGACCGTTTCCACGCCTATGCCGTAAACCTTTGATCGAATTTCCGACGCGCCTGCTGATGATATTTGTCTGCTCTGTGGCAGTGATGCCCGTGCAAGTTGTGGCGTAAGTACATCTTGTCAACCGTTCAACCGAGCATTCGTCGCTGAGGTGTCTTTTAGTGGCAGACGACGTCCTGAGTGGCCTTGGAGTTCATGAGAAGGGCAACAATCAAGCCGTAAAGACCTAAGGGCGACAGGTTAACCGACGTACATGCAAAGCAATGGCAGAGAAACGTACCCAAGACTTCGGCGAAAATAAGAATCAGAATCATGCCGACGAAAAGACGGGGCTGTTGAGCAGTTCCACGGACACCGGCGTCACCGACGATACCAATGGCGAAACCAGCAGCAAGACCAGCCAGACCGACAGACAGACCAGCACCGAACTGGATGAAACCAGTGTAAAGGGACATCTCCTGGGCAAGGCCGTCGGAGATAAGCACGGATACGACGAGACCGTAAATGGCAATGATACCAGCCATAATGACGGGAACAATGTCTAATTATTTCGTTAGCATATTCTGATGTGTTTCAGCCCCCCGTGTGAGGTCTTCGATGGTGATGGTTGTTTCGTACTCTTGACGATCAGGTCAGGGCGCAGAACACCCATAGCCGAAATACCGACACCGGACTTTGCGGTACCGTAAGAGGCACCCATGCAGGTGAAGACAATGGCCACGGTGCAGCCCATGGCACCGAAAAAGGGCTATGTCATGTTAGCGATGTCGTGAACGCGATGTCGAGCTGATGCCCAAATGGCTCATTGTGGGTAGTTGGAAGGGGGCGACGTCATGGATCGATGAGTCGGCAGGCACAGGGATAACGAACCGCGTAGACGGGGCTGTGACATTATCGCGTTAGCATATGAGCTTCAGAAACGTGATGGGAAGCTAGCTGAGCACGTCGGGCGTCGAAACGGATGGGGTTGGGAGCTTCGACTGATGGATAAGGAGCTCGGAGACGGGGGCAACACGAATGTTGACGTTGACGTACCAGAGTTCGGAAGGCATTTTGGCGGTTTGTGGGGGTTTGGACGAAATAAATTCGAAGAAAAAGGCGTGAGAAAGTCGGAAATGAAGGGAAATGCGGCGACAGCTGGGCTGAGGAGGATGGCGGTGATGACTGTTGTGGCGGCGAGGTTCGATGCTGCGTCGGCGACTGCTCGAGATGAGGTGTGCTTGTTAAGATCTCGTTTCTAGGTTGGCCTTCTGGTTGGTTGCAAGGTTTTGCGGCGCGCTGACAGCTCCGTGCCCTTACGTAAGTCAAGGAGGAGGCAGTGCCTCGGAAGCCGGCCAAAGGTCGGTTCCGAGAGTGGCTGGCTTTTGCGGAAGATACCCACTTCCAAGCGGAACCTGCCGTCGAATTTGGGGAAGGTGGGATATTTTTTTTCTTTGGCTTCAGACCGAGATTTTTGGATCTTCACGTTCACCACATACATCCACCGACCTTTAACCTCACCATCAGGGCGAGCCAACGCAAGGAACCCTGCATTCTATAACTTCGGTAAGTTGTGCTTCTTTGCGATTGTCTATTGACAGGATCTAATTTCTACTTTCAGACATCTCTTCGACCCAACCTCAACAATGGCTGATCAATCCGCTGCCTGGCCCCTTGCCGACGATGCTCTCCAGCAGGAGATCCTGGATCTGGTCCAGCAGTGCCAGCACTACCGTCAGCTGAAGAAGGGCGGTACGTTTTATTTGGACCCCTATGTTCTGTATTATTTTACTGACTGTTGTAATTTAGCCAACGAGGCTACCAAGACCCTCAACCGTGGTGTCTCTGAGCTCATCATCCTCGCTGCCGACACCAACCCCCTCAGCATTGTTCTCCACCTGCCTCTCCTTTCCGAAGACAAGAACGTTCCCTACGTTTATGTCAAGTCCAAGACCGCCCTTGGCCGCGCCTGCGGTGTTTCCCGCGCCGTCATTGCTGCCAGCATCACCTCCAACGAGGGCAGCGAGCTTGCCGGACCCATCCGAGCTCTCCGTGACAAGATCGAGAGACTTGCCATCTAAGATACCCACAATGTAGGATATTGGGCGGCGTTTGTGCTATAGCTTGGAGGTGCTATAAAACGATTTGGAATGGAAAAGTCTGAATTGTTGATAGCTATCGACTAGTTATTCTTCGGCTAAGGCTACCTCAAAGCTTTCCCTGCAAGACGGCACCGTAGCCATGAAAAATGGCTATGCTGCCGGTTTCGCAGGAGACTTCGTTGTGGGATAGCGCATATACAGAAAACCTTCAATTGATGATCGTCGAAAAATTTAAGTTCCAAATATGCAATGTCCATAAACTATGCACGTATCGAGGTCTCGTTCAAGACGAGCTACGCAGAGTACCTCGTCTTAATAGCAACTCTCTCGGGGTCCAATAGCTGAAATATGAGGCGAGAGCTTAATGTTCTGAGGTGTGTGACCAAGACAGGACGTATTGGACGAATGAAGACTGGGCCCCTTAGACTGAACCAATTGTTCAGCGTCGTGTCTCAAGCGTGACCCGGATTGGACTAATAGCAAGTCGCACCGCCCAAGAAATGCAGTCTGACGTTACCCCGCGGCCCACCACCCATGTCATAGCTACATGTACGATTTTGGCCGACGCTGCTGGGTGCATCAGCAGTTCGTGCTGCGTACAACGCCCCATCTTCTCCTGCGCATCTTCACCAACACCGCTATTGTGAACGTTGCGGCTTTGAATATCTCTGATACACCCGTTCATGGCTTCATTCGAATAAATTCTAGACAACTCTGGGTTCTCTTTCCTTCTTCATCGTACTCCGCGCATTGCGTGGTACCAGATCGCGAGATGCCCGGTATCGCTCGCAAGATCGTCATCTGCGCTGCGGTTGACGGCCTTATCATCCAACCATTTGTGACCAAAGGACAGCGCCCCGCGCAACCGGTCAGGATCAAATATGGCGACGCATCAATAACCCCAGCGTCTCGAGAGCAGATCCCCAACGTTTCCCAACCGAACTCTTCTTTCGAGGCCTTCGGAGTTATTGGTGTGTACTCGGAGCTCCCAGCCGTTGCGCATTCTATGCTAACCACCATACGCTACAGGACTAATCACAGTCTCACGCCTGAGTTACCTAATAACGATCACTCGCCGACAACAAGTCGCACAGATCTGCGGCTTCCCGATCTATGTCGTCACCGAGGTCGCCGTGACCCCATGCACCTCCCAGCAAGAAGCCAGAGAAGCTATCACGAAGACGGCTCTGGAGCTGCAAGAACGCAACACGGACAAGGATGCCGACGACAGCGACAGCGACGACTATGTCGAGCATCCTACGAGCGGTGATGAGGTCGAGGACCCGGCGCAAGAGGCTAAGGCGGAGAATGACAAGGCACCCGAATCCGTTAAGAGCACCGTTGCCAAGGACGTTATTGGCAGAAGAGGCAGCTATGGGAGATTTGCTCAGACATGGTTCAGTAAGAGTGGATGGACGCAAGACCAGAAGAGGTCTGCCGGTTGGAGCGGCACTGCGCATCAAGTCCGTCGCTCCATCGATCATAGCCCTAGCAAGGCCGCCGCTTCACGTCCGACGGCAGACGAGACTAATGAACCGGCGCCAGCATCTACGCTGCTGCCGAAGCTTCTCCGCACGACTCAGATTCTTTTTGGCTCGTCCCGGAGCTTCTTCTTCTCGTACGATTTCGATATCACGCGGCGGTGGGCGAGTCGCTCGACGCCGCAATCTGACGAGGTGCCCCTGCATGAGCGTGTCGATCCCATCTTCTTCTGGAACAAGAACACCCTGAAGCCGTTCATGGAAGCTGGACAAGATGCCTTGCTACTCCCCTTAATGCAGGGTTTCGTAGGCCAGAAGAGCTTCGTGGTGGACAGTAGCCCTCCCCAACAAGACGATGGGCTCGGAGACTCTGTGGAGTTGTCCACCATCAAGCAAGCCAATGCCGAGCTACCTTCTCCGCCATCAGAGAAAGTCCGCGACTCGGTTGATCTTCGTTCAACCGAGAAAAAGTTTATTTTGACTGTAATCTCCCGTCGTTCGACGCAAAGAGCTGGTCTGAGATATTTGAGACGAGGCATCGATGAACAAGGTTACGTGGCGAATGCCGTCGAAACGGAACAAATTCTCTCGAGCACCTACTGGGACAAGTCGTCAAAGATCTACTCCTTCCTCCAGATTCGAGGCAGTATTCCGCTGTTCTTTACACAGTCACCCGTCTCCTTGAAGCCCGCACCAGTGATCCAACACTCACCAGAAGCAAACTACAACGCAACAAGGAAACATCTGGAACGTCTGAAAACAGAATATGGCGGTTTGCAGATTGTTAATCTTGTCGAAAAGCATGGCGTTGAAGCAACGGTCGGCAGCCAGTATGAGAAGACTGTTCAGCGACTAAATGAGGAAGAATTCAAGGGCCAAGATGAGGCTGTAGCATTTGAGTGGTTCGACTTCCATTCGGCCTGCCGAGGAATGAAGTTTGAGAATGTCAGTCAACTTCTCGAAACTCTTCGCGACAAGTTGGAGGGATTTGGAAGCACCGTCGAAGAAGCTGGGCAGATCAAAGCAAAGCAGCAGGGTGTCTTGCGCACCAACTGCATGGACTGTCTCGACAGAACAAACGTATGCCAGAGCTCGTTTGGCAAGTTCATGCTTGAAGCTCAGTTGAAGGCGGAGGGTTATGACCTTGCTGCTCAAGTGGACCAGCAAACACAATGGTTCAACACGCTGTGGGCAGATAATGGCGATGCTGTGTCGAAGCAATACGCTTCGACGGCAGCCATGAAAGGCGACTACACAAGAACAAGGAAGAGGAATCTCGGTGGCACTTTGAACGACCTTGGTCTTTCCTTGACCCGATACTACAATGGGTGAGACATTGTGTGGTTCCTCTCTATTTTCTATTCGCTAACGCACGACCCAGCATGGTCAATGACTACTTCAGTCAGGCTGCCATCGACTTTCTCCTAGGCAACGTCAACTCGATGGTCTTCCAAGAGTTCGAAGCCGAGATGATGACAAAAGACCCAGCCGTTTCCATGCTGAAGATGAGGGAGCAGGCTATTGAATTGTCGCAGAAGCGTGTCATCTCCGACGAGAGTGAAGAGTTCATGGGCGGCTGGGTTCTCTTCAGCCCCCACCAATCAGACACCTTACGAGCTATGCCCTTCGAGGAAGTGGTGTTGCTGTTGACGGATGCTGCCCTCTACCTGTGCCGATTTGATTGGAACATGGACAAGGTTTCATCCTTTGAGCGAATCGATCTCGCCCACGTCGTCGGTATCAAGTTTGGCACGTACATCATCTCGACGGTCTCTCCCGGTCAGACGGACGAGACCAAGAACGTCGGTTTCGTGGTTTCGTACCAGCCAGGCAAAAATGATGTCACGAGAACGAACACCAGAACGTTTTCGAACCTAGGCACAACGAAAACCAAAACAGACCAGTCGAACACTTCGGAGCAACAACAGCAGCCTCAGTCTGCTTTGAACAGCTTGCTGGGCGGCGGGCGCTCCAAAGCCTCGCCGGTGCGCAAGCTTGCTTTCAAGGCTCCTTACTCGCAATCGTCTGCCGCCGTGACAGGCGAAGGACCGAAGCTCAGCGAGATTCAGCAGGTCGTCAGCATTTGCGCGGAAATAGAACGATTGGCGTTCCTGAGCCAGCCCGGCAAGGAGAAGCCGGACACCGAGAGCATCATAGAGAAGGGCGACATCATCTCGCTCGAGGAGGCAAGGCAGAGTACAGGCTTGCTGGACCACATCAGCTACTCTCTGAAGAGACTCGTCTGGGCGTAATGGGGTTCGCCCTCCGAGACCGCCCCATCATCTTTCTGGCGTTTAGGGCTTGGTGGCGCGGTACAGGTGCATTTGGTAGCGCATGTTTTCGAGGGGGATTGGGTACTTTAGAGAGTCGGCGAGGCGGAACCAGACGGAGTCGTGGGATTCGAGCTTCTCCCACCGACAGCCCTCGACGACGCCCTCCTTCTCCGGCTTCGTGGCAAGGGTGTGGTCCATGAGCCACTGCATGGGGTACTTCTTGCTCTCCTTGCCGACGGCCGCCTCCGAGTAGCTGCCGGGGCTGTCGACGACAAGGAGCAGAGAGCCCAGGGGCACGGTGGCGGTCAGGTCGAGGAGGAAGGCTGTGGTCTTGCCGATGCCGGCGGTCGTGTACAACTCGTTGAGTGTGAATAGTAGAGTAACAATTAATGGCTCATTCCCGAGCTTCTGCGAGAGCTGGTCCCGTGTCATAGAGAGGACATCCTGCTGCGTAAACGAGGAGGTCAGGCGGTCGGCCTCAATGATGGCCATGTTGGCGGCCTTGGCCGCGGCGTTGGCGTACTTTGACAACGGCGGTGGGGTTGTAAGGGCGTCGTGCAGTTTGGCAACGGCGTCGTCCCACGGGGCCGAGTCAAGGAGGGCCATGGTGCCCCCGAGGGAGCGGGAGGGTTGCTGGGAGAGGTAGGCCGCGAAGGCGGCAATCTCTGCTGCGCCGCCGCCGATGGAGAGCATCCTGATGGACTTTGTGAGTTCCGTGCTGGGCTTGGGCGTGTCGGTAGTAGGTTCCGTTGGGGCGGTGGGAGTGGTGGTCTCAGTCTCCGCGGGTGGAGGGGGAGTGACGTTCTCGCCCTCCGCCGCGGAAGCGGGAACGACCTGATCGTCGTCGGCGGCGGCAGCAGCAGCAGAGGGTCCATCATCCCCAGAGGATCCAGTTGTACCAACGGTTTGGTCCTCAGAGGAGAGCACGACATCCTGGTGAGCATCACCCGTCTCCTCCGCCTCGGTCACGGCTCCAGCTTCGGCCCCGTCTTCAGCCTTGGTCTCGCCCTCAGCCTTCGCCTCAACCTTCACCTCGGTTTCCAGCTCCTCCAGATACTCCTCGATCCCCAGAAACACGGCGGCGTACCCCAACGCGCGCGTAGGGCTCCATCTCGCCGCGTACGCATCCAGGGCCTCCGGCCGCGCCTTGGCGAACGCGGCGTCAAAGTCGCGCGCGTACAGCGCGGCCTTCACCTCCTGCAGGATCTCGCCGAGGGAGTGCGACGTCAGCACCGGGTTGTAGGCGGCGTTGAAGGTGGAGAGGATGCGCTGCTGGAGGGGCATGGGGAGCAGGGCGCTGATGGTGTTGGACTCTGCCGTCGAGGACGGGGCTTCCTTGGGCTGCTGGGACTTTGAGGGCTTGGGCTTGGCGGCGGGCTTCTTGGTGGTTTTTCTTCCGGACTGGTGGCTTGTGTCGCGGATGTTGTGCTCGACCTTCATTTTTTTGCCCATGTTTGCGGTATTGTGTCTGGGTCGATTTGTATAGACTTTTGGTTGTTGGTGTTCACGAACTTGAAGTTGAATGTGAGAATTTGATGGAGGGGCAATGGAGGGGTAGATTTTTTTGTCTCTTTTTTTCCTTTGGGTGTGTGGTTGAAGGCGCAGGCTTTTCCTATGATTCCAAGCTGACCGAGACTGATTGCGATGTCTTTGCGTGAGGCACAAACAGGCTTACTGATTATCTCTCACGATGTGGTTGTTGGCTTCACGTTGTAGGCTCTCATCAAATTGTTTGTCTACGGCTGTGGTTGAAGTGGGGTGAGGCGAAAACTCAATCGGGCAGGATCCACACCGCCCGCTTTCACTCGTTCACTCGTTCACTCGTGGTCGAGCTTAGTGGCATAGAGAGCGGGCTCATGAGAGCTATCATCGCGCATGAGTCTCATTTTGGCACTCGTCTACACATCTCGACTCAAAATCGAGCGGTTGTCACGCGAACCAAAAAAATAACTTGCTGGCCTCATTACATCCCGGACGGCATGAGTTGCACTGCCAAGAGCTGCATCGACAGCTCAGGGCATAGCTCTGGATACGCCTTCTAGAGCCTGGTCAAATCGTCATAAGAGGCCCGATTAGCGGCCGGTTTCCAAACATGTAACGGCGAGGCTAATCCTATTTCAACAAAAAGAAAATGAGGCAAAACATGGTTCTCGATATCTCGTCCCTAAGCCAAGATAACTTTTCCCCCCTTCCCTTGTTGCATCTTGTTCCGCTCAATCCCAACCAACAACGGATACACGTCGCTGCAAGTGGCGGATATGCGGGTGGAGTGGCTTGATGTCATACGCAGGGAAGGACAGAGCTTGGGCCTGGGGCCGCCTTGATTTGTGCGGGTAAATACGAAACTGACCGGACCCCAGGCGGTTGGCCCGTGCACACCGGCTCCGGAGGGGACGCTGCGAGACGAGCGCAGAGCGGCAGATTGAAGCGTAGGCAAAAGCCCAAAAGGCTTCGCAGCATTAAGGGTCTACCGGCGTGTATTCTACCGGTCCCGAATATCGCGCTTCGAGACGGTTTGAATTTTTTTTCCCCTCCCAGCAGAGCGCAAGAAACAACCGAATCACAAACGTAGGTAGCCGTCTCATGCACATCGGTTCTGGGATACCTACTTTGAGTACATAAAGACGGTGGCCCTTGCCCATCGTCCTTACATAGTACTGGAGCTTCCGCGCTGGCCGTGTTTTATTACGAACGGGTGTCGCGCATCTCGATGCAAGGCAACGACGCAATAGAGGGGTCGGAGGGGCATCCTGACGCCGAGCAGAAGGCTGCGAGTCGGCCCTGCGACCGAAGGGTGAAGTAAAAAATTCGTAGCAGACGGGAAGGGTGTCATTATGCAATCAGGGTCCACCAACATGACTGGACCTGACTGAGACTCTCAACAGTGAGCACGCCGCGAAGGGATTCGACCAGGGGATCCAGGCGGCGGAGGAGGGCCCAGAGCTTATCCGCGTCGCCGGCTTGAAACGACGCGAGCGAGCAGTGAGACCGATGAGGGCGGGACATTTTCGGCGCTTGGCTCTCTCTCAGACAATGAGGTGGGTTTGCTCTGCTTGGACAAGGCTTAAAGTCCGGTATGCTCTGGGCCTATGGCCGACGCAGGTCGTAACAGCAGTCATCCACGCATTGTGAGTGAATAAATAGCGCGAGGCTACTGGGCCGTGAGGGGCCAGGAGGGGCGATAGGGTGGACCGGAGATACCCAAAAAAGATGCAACCATCTCCACGGATTAGTCAAGGAGAAGCCGATGTTGCCAGCAAGATACCAAAGGGGACCCAGAAGAAGCACAGGGCCGCAGGTGAAGCGTTGTGGGCATTATGACGACAGACCGTCTCCAGTCCCCATCGATGCCGTCGTCCGCACGAGTCAATAACGGCTTCGATAGGACTTCTCGAAGATGTCGAGAGTCAGTTCAGCGTGAAAACTACGTCACCTACAGAATCCATGATATGCCATCTGGGTGCTGACTGAGGTCCTGTGGTGGGTGGTGGATGGGTTGACGGTTGAACCTGGCCGTCGAGTCTGGTGTGATTCGTCGAGATGGGATCTCCTGGGAGAGGGTGTCGCCCCGACGTCGGTATGCGGCGGTAGAGAAGCAGAAGCGAAAGCAGCGGGAGTTGGAGGCCCCGGACATTATTGCCTCCAAGGGGTCGCTGGTTGAATTGGGAGTACGGGCTACGGATCTGAAGCCTGCGGTTTGGTGCCGACAAAGCCACCAATGCTAGGACGAGGTAGACGGGTGACTGGGCAGCGGGAGGGGCAGAAGGTGACAAGTCGACGCAAATCAGTCCACAGCGTTTTTTCTCCCGGGACGACGAGGTTGTTGAGACGAGCTGAAGGTCACCATGGTCCCCTCTTGTCCCATTCCTAAAGCCGAAAACTGGAGATGCGACGAACAAAAAAAAGGGCGAGGAAGGAAAGGGCCCCCACTCCATGTGAAGATGGACCGACATCGAAGACGGTGAAATGGTTGGATGAGTGACTTTGCGTGACTTTCTTGTTCTAGTTTGTTTTTTTAATCTTGGTCTCGAAGCATCTTCTTGCCATGTAGTAAAGCCAAGCTGGCGGAGGCAGGAAAGAGGTTCTCAGCCGGGCGTCCCGCTGACAAGCTGCTGCCCGCTCTGAGTAAGGTACGCAGGAGCGGCAGGTATAGCTCGCCGGTTCGGTTGGTAAGCTGGGTAAATGTACCTCGCCGTGCTAGTGGAGGGGCAAAGCTACTTCCTTACCTCACCTCTCACAATGCTGAGGCAGAGACCATGAAGCTACTTCGAGGTACATGCTACATTGCCGTTGACAACTCCTCGCGGCTATCCCCAATCCAATCTTACCATAGTGCAGAGGAGCCTTGTTGGTGGGTTGCTAGATCAAGTTCACCACGAGTTCCATGACAACGCCCCCTGGCAAGATATTCCACCGTGTGATGGCAGGTACCTTGCCTGGCTGGATGGTGACATTGTGAAGTGCGTTATGGTTGACGAGTATTGTGAGTGAATCCGACGGCGGGCGTCACTGGTCTGTGCCTGGTCTGGTGCTGGTTACTGCTGGGCGCGCTGGCTGCCCCTCCACCCCTCCATGTCCCTCAGGTCCTTGTCCACTCCCACGTCAGGTCCCCACCAAATGCTCAATAGTTACCTTCCCGGCCGACATACGCAGTGGGAAGAGACATTACCACCACCATTCCCCGTCCCTCTCTCCTCCCTTTTGATCTACCCTTTTCCCTCTCCCAACCGATTGCTCTTTTAAAACCTCTTCTCCTCCCACATCACATTCTCTTTCTTCCTCTTGATCGAGTTCTTCACATCTTAAAAACTCTTGGAAGAAAATCAGACATCATGGGTTACACCGAACAAGACTGGAAGGCGATCAACACGATCCGCCTGCTCGCTGTGAGTTTCACCCGCCCGCCAGTTTTTCTTACCCCGCCTACGCTCGTTGAGACCGTTGCTGGCTACCCCGCCATTGGCATCACCGCCGACCGTGGCACGGCGGCAACAGCTCGCCAAAGAGCTTCCCTCATCGAGTTTCCTTCGAGACGGCCGTCCAATTCACAAGCTTCGCAGTATGCTGACAACGATTGCAATTTCTAGGTCGATGCCACCTTCAACAGCAACTCCGGCCACCCTGGTGCGCCCATGTACGTACTCTCCCACACTGCGCGTATTTCGTGAAAGATTGGGATCAGGAAACTCACCAATTTGTCTTCTAGGGGTATGGCGCCGGTCGCCCACGTTCTCTTCAACAAGTTCATGAAGTTCAACCCCAAGAACCCCAAGTGGGTGAACCGTGACCGCTTCGTTCTCTCGTAAGTTTCATTCCTCACGCAAAAAGCACCAAAATCCTCGAGCCAGAAGCTGACGGGTTCTCAGCAACGGCCACGGCTGCATGCTTCAGTATGCCCTCCTCCACCTCTTCGGCTACGGTGTCTCCATCGACGACCTGAAGAAGTTCCGCGTAAGTTTTGGCTACCCACGATGAGTCGATAAAACGACCAATCGTACTGACATCGCCCAAAGACGGTCGACAGCATCACCCCCGGTCACCCCGAGGCTCACGACACACCCGGCATTGAGGTCACCACTGGCCCTCTTGGTCAGGGTATCTCTAACGCTGTTGGTCTGGCCATTGCACAGGCTCACACCGCTGCCACCTTCAACAAGGATGGCTTCAACCTGTCCGACAACTACACCTACACCTTCCTCGGTGATGGTTGCTTGATGGAGGGTGTCTCTGGCGAGGCCTCTTCCCTGGCTGGTCACCTTCAGCTCGGCAACCTGATTGCCATCTACGACGACAACCACATCTCCATTGACGGTGACACCAACGTCGCCTTCACTGAGGATGTCGTCAAGAGATACGAGTCCTTCGGCTGGGAGGTCCTCGTCGTCGACGACGGTGACAACGACCTCGACAGCATCGAGAAGGCCATCGCCCAGGCCCAGAAGTCCAAGGACAAGCCCACTCTCATCAAGCTGAGAACCACCATTGGTTTCGGCTCCCTCCAGCAGGGCACCCACGGTGTCCACGGCTCTCCCCTGAAGGCCGACGACATCAAGCAGCTCAAGGAGAAGTTCGGCTTCAACCCTGAGCAGTCTTTCGTCGTTCCCCAGGAGGTCTACGACCTGTACAACAAGCACGCCGCTGAGGGCGCTGCTGCCGAAGAGGAGTGGAACAAGCTCTTCTCCAAGTACTCTGAGAAGTACCCCAACGAGTCCAAGGACCTCATCCGCCGTCTCAAGGGCGACCTCCCCGAGGGCTGGGAGAAGTCCCTCCCCATCTACACCCCGAACGACCCCGCCATTGCTTCCCGCAAGCTTTCCGAGACTGTCCTCCAGAAGATCTACCAGGTCGTCCCCGAGCTGCTCGGTGGCTCTGCTGACTTGACTGGCTCCAACCTGACCCGCTGGAAGGAGGCTGTCGACTTCCAGGCCCCCGCTACCGGCCTTGGTGACTACTCTGGCCGCTACATCCGCTACGGTGTCCGTGAGCACGGCATGGGTGCCATCATGAACGGTCTCGCTGCCTACGGCACCATCTTGCCCTACGGCGGCACCTTCCTCAACTTTGTCTCCTACGCTGCCGGTGCTGTCCGTCTCAGCGCTCTGTCTCAGGTCCGCACCATCTGGGTTGCCACTCACGACTCCATTGGTCTTGGTGAGGACGGCCCTACCCACCAGCCTATCGAGACTCTCGCCCACTTCCGTGCTCTCCCCAACAACATGGTCTGGCGCCCTGCCGACGGTAACGAGACCAGTGCCGCTTACTACGTTGCCCTGACCTCCAAGCACACCCCCAGCATCATTGCTCTTTCTCGCCAGAACCTGCCTCAGCTTGAGGGCTCCATCATCGAGAAGGCCATCAAGGGTGGTTACGTCTTGCACGAGGCTCCCAACGCCGACATCACCCTCGTCTCCACCGGTTCTGAGGTCTGCATCTGCATTGATGCCGTCCAGTACCTCAAGGAGAAGCACAACATCACTGCCCGTGTTGTCTCCATGCCCTGCACGGAGGTCTTCGATTCTCAGCCCAAGGACTACAAGTTGTCTGTCCTTCCCGACGGCAAGCCCATCATGTCCGTTGAGGTCATGAGCACCCTCGGCTGGGAGAGATACTCCCACGAGCAGTTCGGTATCAACCGCTTTGGTGCTTCCGGTGCTTACAAGGACGTCTACAAGGCAAGTTTCACCTGTTCCATGTCCTACCAAACAACACTAACAACCTCTGCAGAAGTTCGAGTTCACCCCCGAGGGCATTGCCAAGCGTGCTGTCGCCACTGTCGACTTCTGGAAGGACGTTCCCAACGTCCGCTCTCCTGTCAACCGTGCTTTCCAGCAGATCATTTAAAGCGGTTATATCCATGGGTAGAAATTGGTTAATTGGCGATTGTTCTTATATTTTTTTTTAACGCGATGATGGACGTTTACGGGGAAAATGAACTCGGTATATAGAGGACCGTCAAAATCAAAGATTATGATTAACGCGAACGCGCTTTCCTGTACGCCTATCCTGCAACCGGGCGGCTTCATGCTGAAACCTGTGGCCATAATCTCATCGCTCGTATCCTCGTGACAACCGAACGCTGGCCGCCTGCCTGTCCAAGTCACAATCTCCGCCAAAGTTTCCTGTCATAAGCTGTCCATTCACGGACATATTATACCCTTTTTTGATCCAACGACACCCTCCCAGACGTACGTATATCTATCGTTGAGCACCATCGGTCATGTCGCCTGTACCTTCTTCGGCGGCCCATTCACGTTGAAATTCCCTGCCTACCCTCTCAAGTCTGCCGGCAGCGCGACGCGCCTCCATGGCCTCCTCACCCGTCGCCGCAACTACGACGCCAACCAGCATAGGCGCCGCATTCTCCGAGTCCTCACCCGGTTTTCCCGTGTCAGGTATCGCGCCCGTCCTGGCCAACGACGCAGCCGCCGCGGATGACTCCGCTGTGGGGATAGCACCAGCCGCAGCACCCGACGATATCGGCCTTGAGGTAGAAGAGGTATGGTTATTCGCAGCGGCGGCGGGGGCGGAGCCTTCTCTACCGTTCGGCAGGGCGTCGGCGCCGTTGAGGAAGGAGGCCAGGACGACGGGGCTCCCTGGCCCGTGTTCGACGATGATGCGCTGGGCGGGGCCGAGGGAGAAGCGGTTCGCGGCGGCGTGGGCGGTCAGGGAGGTCGTGGTCAGGGAGGTGAGGGCCTCGAGCTGGGGCTGGGAGTGCGCCGAGGTCAGGATCGGGTTGAGGGCGCGGTCCGTTAGGTGGAGGGCCAGTGAAGGGTACTGGGAGGGGAGGGAGGCCATTTTTGTCGTTCGGGCGGGCTGGGACGGCTGGCGCTGTGACTAGGCGCACGTGGGTTGGTGGGCGTGTGTCAATTGGAATTGCGGACCTTGATGGTAGAAATATGTTTATTGCCAAGAGGAGAGAAGATTGACGACGAGGGTATAGATTTGCAAGTAAATCGGTAGAAGATCAGCGTGGAAAGAGAAAAGAGAAGAGAAGAGAGAGAGAGAGACAGAGACGACGAGGCTTTGTGAGAGAGGTGCGGTTTGGCGCGGGCTGCCACCTGTGGTGGTTCAGCCATGAGGTAGATTGTAGCGCTTGGTTCGCAGCCATACCCCGCCATTACCCCGCCAAATGCCGTGCCCGACGCCAAAGGGTGGAACCCGCCGACCGCTGTTGAGAGATATTACACTGTATCTTTGGCGCACTATCTTTTGGTGCGGGCTGCTGCATTCGTGACCCCCACCCCCAAAGATACAGGGCTTTCTACAGAAACTACAATGGCATGGGGGGAATTCGTCTGACAATAGACAAAGCAGAGTAGTTCGAATGACGACGGGGGTCATGGGGCTTATGCGCCGGAACGTTGGGGCTTACTCCTGCGTTGCAAAGGGTGTTGTGTTGTCTTCAAGGGCTGGATCTTGATCTCGGTGCTCGCTTGGCGTCGGCTAACTTGGGGGTGCTGCCAGTGCTCCTACGCTTCTCGCGGTTATGTACGACTGGGGCAACGGCGCTGCCCGAAGACTTGGGCGACGAGCGTGTCCCGTGTCGGCCGTCAACGCTACGCCGGTGGCGGGAAGATCGAAGACGGGTTGCCGAAGGCGAGTTGACGGGGTCAGCGGCCCAGAGGTCTGTTGCCACGATATGGTGTTTCTTTGGGGAGGATGCCCGAGGAGGAGATTCGGCAAAATGGACCGTCTTTTGACTGCGACGAGCGGTCGGCGTCCCTGGCGCTGTTTCTAGGCGAGAATCGTGTGGTCCACTTGTCGAGGGAAGCACCCCGTCGTCTTTGTCGGTCTCTTCGCCTATCGTAGATAGTCGGCGGTCAGCATCAGAGGCATCGTCATCGTCATCTGAGTCGGACGAAGAGGCTTCCGAAATCTGCCCCTGCGGCTCATATATTGGTACGGGAGCGACCTCCGCCACTGCGGGACTTGGTTTCTGGCGCGAACGACGCCGCCGAGCACGTTGCTGTTGATAATCGGTCGCATCCGCTCCAGAGACTTCACGGTTCGAAAAGAGGGTCCCATTGAACCAAGCTTCATGGATTTCGGCAGGCTGGTGGTCCCAACAGAGATGATTGGTGAAGCGAGCATCGTGAGCTTTGACCTGGTCGTTGGAACACCTGGATACCCGACACGTATCTGGATCTAGAGTCAGAGAAACAGTACGTTCTCGATGGGGCTAGGTGGGACACTCACATAAATGGTCTTGACAGTACGGGCCCTTGCGGTATCGCGGCCTCGTGCATCCCTGCCGTTTACACACCGCGTGCTGAGCGCAGTATCGCGACCTGGACCCCGGATCGCAAGCTTTTTGACAGCCCGAAGCCTGGCAGCGTGGATTTGGTTTGTCGAGGTTGCTGCTGCTGTTGGCGCTGGAGTTGCCGCTCGAGACGCACTGCCCCATGACGCCTACCACCGTCCTCGTTTCCTCCTCCAGCGCGCGCTGGGAGGTTGGATGGTGTTGGAGGAGAGCATTTCTCGAAGAGAAAGTCAGCTTGGTATAGTCTGATTTACGTGCTGCATAAAACGTGCCAGTGTTATTGTTATTGCGGCAGCTCCTCTGATCATCCTAAATGAGGTAAGTCGTTCCTTGAAAGTGGCAGGGCGAACGTCCTGACGAACGATAGAGCACCCCTCCCGTTCCCCTGGTCTGTTGCATCCCGCGCTGGCAAGCAAGCAGACAGGTTCCCTTGCCACTGGAAGCCCAGACGCTTCCCGCATGCGATTTGGGCGCGGGACTGGTGCCAACTGGACATCAGCGCAGACCAAATAATAGAAAGGTTGCCAATCACGTCGTGTTTTACAAGGTTGGAGCGGTTGGCGTACTGCGAGGAAAATGTAAGGCGCCAACGCATGAGGTGGTCGAGTGGGCCAGAGGAGGTACAGGGGAGGGAATTGGCGAGCCGCTCAGCTGTGACGAAGTCCGCCTACGTTGTCGAGGTCTTCCGGCCCATCGCGACGGACAGGAGTTGGATCTCATTTAACGAGTGTCATGAACGGTTCGTTGTGTGGGTGTTGCCAGCTGCGCAAAGAATAGCGGCAGGAAGCCCAAGCAGAAGGGCAAATGTGTGGTTTGGTATTTGAAGCCGTCGAGTATTCGATCCGACCACATTAGGAATGCATTACTGCAACTTAAGGGCGAAGTTTTCAGAGGGACATGATAGTATCATTGAGTGTTGTTTGCTGATGTTTAATGGACGACGTCGCAGGTGTAGTGCAGGTGTTCATCAGATAAGAGGGCCGTTCCCCGTAACTCTAGCGGCCTCGATGCCGAGTAAAGCGTGCGCGCGCGTTCGTCATTGGGGGAAGGCCCCTGCCCACCAAAGATACCACACTTCCACAGGCAGTGGAATGTGGCTTGTTCCTGACACGAGTGGACAGCTAAGCTGAAGCAAGCTCCTGCAGGCCAAATCTGAAGCATTCAATTCGCGGCCCTTGACATTCCATCACGAACCTCTCAACGACGACGACATCCACCGTTCTCGCAGCTTCTACAACGATTCCCAACATCGCTTTGATCCATTAACAAGTCAAATAATAACCACGTTCTGCCACCCACAATGGCCGACGCCGAGGAGAAAGCCAAAGCTGAGAAGCTGGCCGCGGCCAGGAAGAGGGTGAGCTTCCCTAGCATGCGATTATTTGTTCATCGCTGACAGCCCGTCAGGTGGAAGAGATGAAGAAGAAGAAGACGAAGAAAGCCAGCGGATCATCCAAGAAGGAGAAGGCCGAAGCTACAGCCGCGGAACCCAGCACTCCCAAAGAAAAGCAGCCCGAACCTGCGCCAACAACCCCCGCCGAGCCCGAGACGACCAACGAAGAGACGAAGGAGGACGAGAAGGAGGCAACGGAAGCAGTCGCGGAGCAGCCAGCATCGCCAACCGCATCCCAGCCGTCTCTGGCTGAACAGTCCAAGCTTCGATCTGCCTCCTTTAGGCAAGGATCCGTGTCTGCCGGCAGTGGACCTCTTTCGCCTGGAGCGCAGGGTCCGGAGGGGGAGACTGCCACCGATATCTACCGCAAGCATGTCGCTCGCATAGAAGAGCTTGAGAAGGAGAACAAGCGCCTCGCCAAAGAGTCCACCGACTCGGAGAAGAGATGGAAGAAGGCCGAAGAGGAGCTTGCCGACTTGCGTGAGACAGAGGGCGGATCAGACAGTCAAGTTGAGAAGCTGGTGAGCATTGATCTGTTTTTGACCGCTCGGTAGTGCCTGCTCCAAAGGCTAACAAGCTTGATAACAGAGGTCCGAAATCGAGGCTCTTCATCGACAGAACTCTCAACTCCAGCAACAAGCCTCTCGCTCTGGCGCTCGTCATGGCTCTTCCCCGTCGGTCTCTATGTCTTCACCCCCCGCCGAGCTTGAAGCCCAACTGGCCTCAAAGACGGCGACTATCGAGTCAATGGAGATTGAGATCTCAAAGCTTCGCGCCCAGGTCGACCGCCAGGCCAGCGGCACATCCTCTGAGCGCGAGCAGATCGCGGCTCTGGAAGAGAAGCTTGCACGGTCTGAGAAGGCCGCCACTAAGGCACAGCAAGAACTCACCGACTTGCGGAAGAACCTCGACCGTACGGCGGAAAAGGCCGTCCGCGAGGGCAGCGAGCGCACAAGTGCAGAGACTAAGCTTCGCAGTCTGCAGCACGAACTCGCAGAATCCATCGATGCCCGGCTAGAGGCCGAGAAAAAGGCAGACGGCCTGGAGAAGAAGGTCACGACGTTGACTACATTGCACAAGGAGCAAGACTCGCGGACGCAGACACTGCGCAAGGAGAAGGAGCGCGCCGAGAAGGAGGTCAGTGAGCTCAAGGCGCGGGTCGAGAGCCTAGAGAGCGAGAACACAAGACTACGCAGCCGCAAGTCCACCGAAGGCGGTGGTGGCCTGGACGACGACGGCGTGGACGAGCTCGAAAACGAGGAGCGCCTGCGCCTCGAGAAGAAGGTCCGCGATCTCGAGGCCGAAGTCTACGAGCTTCGCCACGGACAGTGGCAGGAGAAGCGCCGCGAGCTCAACAGCCCCAGCTTCGAAAACGTCGACCTTGGCGGCAGCCGTGGCACCTCGCCGTCCGCGCAAAGGAAGCAACCTGGAGGTATTGGTGACTTTTTCCAGAGCGGCATCAACGCCCTTACCGGCACCGCCGACGACGAGTTGCTCGAGGACGACGACATGGACTTTGATGAGGACGCGTTCCGTCGCGCACAGGAGGAAGATGCCAAGAAGCGTCTTGAGCGCATCAAAGAGATCAAGCGCACACTCAAGAACTGGGAGGGGTGGAGGCTGGACCTCGTCGAGAACCGGCGGGGCGGCTCTGAAGGCATCGGCGAGGTGTTTGAGGTCTAGATTCAGCACTAGCGACTAGCGATACGATGTGACCAATGGAACAGGACTTGAATGAAGCCTTTCGCGGACACGGGTTTCGAGCAAGACAGGCACGATACAGGTAAATTGGGCCCCACATCCAGACAAACGCCGTGGGAGTGCCGAGATAATCGGTGCGAGACCTGCTGCACTGCCGGTAAACTTGACGCCTGTAGTCCACCTATCCGCCCCGAAAAGTTGCTAGGCCACTCGCTTCGTTACTCAGCCGACGGCGATCGTCAGTCGTGCATCCTGCATCCCAAACCCCTGCGCAGGATAGCATTTGCCTCAGGCAAAAGCCGCATGTGACGACGCGTACCCGGGCGTTTCTTTGTAGACAGGGACGCGTAAAGCACTCCAAGGGTACGTCATCCCGTCCTCCCCGGTTCCAAAAGATCATGAGCACAAGGTGTTGAAGTTAAGCCAGCACAAGCACCCCATTTGTCCAGACATCAAACGGACGTGAGCAGATGAGGTCCAACGTCGCCGCATGGCGATATCCACGGGAGGGCAAGCGGGTTTCTAACGAAATAGTGAAAGAGAAGAGGAGTGGTCATCGATTTATGGAGAGGGATATCACTTTTTTTTTTTCTTCATGAAAAAAAGTTATCCCCGGGGTTCTATGTTACTACACAATTAAGGCCAGACAGAATACAATGGCAATAGAATTACAAATTTGTTTGCAGGAAAAAAAAGCCATGAGTTGAGGGGGAGAGAAATGTACAATCTACCATTTGCCGCCGTTACCATGAAAAGGAACTCTGGAGAAGGTGTGGTATTTCTCTTTGTTCTTCCTTCTGTTCCCCCAGTGTTTTTTTGTGCTTGACGCTCTGCGAAAAGAAGAGGGGGATTGAGGAAATGAGTATGAGGGAAGGGGATATCAAAAAGTAGTCGTCATCGTTCTCTGCTTCGCCACCATGAAAAATGAAAAAACCGTGAATGATGCCGTAGAAAACGCCTGTTCCCTCTCTTGTAGAATTACCAACGTCGCCAGACTGTACAGGGGCATGTGACCAGTCGCCCGGAAAAAATGAATAAAAAGAGGAGGTATGGATCATGAAAAGCACCTCTGGCCCCATAACGCCTCGTGGATGCGTGTTTCGTAAGGATGTTGTGTACGTGGTGTGACGGGTGATGTGGTGTGGCTGCGGAGAGGAGTGGGAAATGTGGAAGCCTGGAGCGAGTCGTCGCGGCCACCGGAAGTCTAGGGTGAGATGTTATCGTAACGCCGTAACGGGAAGTTCGGTAGAAAGCTGTCGCTTTCGGGCAGAGGCGCAGGCGTTGGTTCTGATTGTCACAACATCGTGGCGGTGGGCGCGCCCAGGCCGGTGCCGTCGAGATTCGTGCGCAACGCATCCTGCAACTCCGCAATCTGCGTCATCATGGCGAAGCTGTGCTGGCCCTGCCTGTCGAGCTGCTGGCGAAGCTCCTCGTTCTCCTGGCGCACACGCTTGATCTCCTCGCGCAGCTCGTCCAATCCGGCGTCGGAGCTCTTCCTAGAGCGCTTCCGCTTGTTCCCTGCCCCGAAGCCACCGGCCTTTTCGCTGTCGCCGTCGCTGCCTGTCTGGATGTCCTCTTGAACGGTGCTAGAGCCATCGCTCGTGTGTACTCGTCGCAGATGCTCATTGAGGTTCTCCTGGCGCGAAAAGCCTTTGCCTGTATGGCGCTTGCAGTTCGGATGCGGACAGTTGACCGTGTTCTTCGGACCGCCGTGCTTGCCGTGTACCTCGCGCTCGTGACGGAGGAGACCACCGGAGTACGTAAAGCCCGGGAGCTTCTCGCAGCCTTCAGCAGCGCATCGGTAGGGTCGCTCGTGCTTGTCCATGTGCTTGCTGGTGAGGGAAAATCGTTAGCATAGTCCTAGAGTGGCAAGATTGCGGATGAGCAGAACTCACCTCCATTCGCATTTCCTTGTGAAGACTTGCGTCTCTTCCGTGCATCCCGGAAAGGTGCAGTAGAACTTTCCGTCGGGCTGTTTCGTGACCTCGCGTTCGGGCTTGGGTATGCATTTGACCCTCGAGGAAGGAGTCGAGGCTTCGCCGTCGTCCTTGTTGTTGTTTGACGGCAGAGGCTCGGGTAGCGCGGGAGGAAGCTGCGAGGGAAGAGACGCAAGTGTTGGAGGGGCGGAGAGATCGAGTCGCGTGGCATCAGAAACACCTACGGAACCATCGTCGAGACCATCTGGCATCAGAGACCGATCGTCTCCGAGCATCGAAGCTGTCGGATTGTAGGACGCAAGGTCCGGGACGTCGGTCGCTTGGTACTGTGCCGTCGGGTCGACGTTGTGGTCATGATCCGGGTCGCCGATCGGAGGGTAGGACCCATCGTGCATGAAGTTCCGGGGTTCGTAAACGACGCTCATCTTGAATGTGATGCGGTGGTTGCTTGATAAGCTTGCTACGGATGGGCAGTGATGGCCGGAGGATGTCGTGACCGGCAGGAAGAAAGAAGTCGCGACTTCCACGTCCTTTGGGGGAATCCGCTATCAAGGCCAAAGATGATAACCGATGGAATGAGGAACGAAAAATAGGTCGCAGTTTGAGGGTGTTGCAACTGCGGTTGCACTTTCGTACTCGAAAACGCGTACTTTGTCAAGCTTGCACAAGTTGCGATGAGCTCCGAATACTGCGAAGGCAGAAAAGTCAGTTCGGCCTGAAAAATCTGGCTAGAAGTCGGTCGTCCTAGTGTAAAACGCAGAAGCTGCGGGTTGCTTCAGCCACAAAGACGACAATTAATCAGCATGAAAGTTTCCCACGTGACCCACACTCGCCACTCAGTCGCAGAGGCTCCACTTGCATGCTTGTTGCCCGTTGTGGCGCAAGACGACTGAAGGCAGAAGCTGAAAGCATATGAGGGAACCCACTCACTCAGAGAACAACTATCAGCTGCATGATAATCAACTTCGATGCACTGCAAAAATAAGACTTAGAACTTCTTACCGTGAGCGACCCTTGGATCGTTATATGCCTGTGACTCCGTCGGATTTTAGGCGGCAGACACAGGTGAATCGATTCTTCAGCGATGGTAATGGTTGTTGTGCCTGCGGTGCCTGCAGTCCCTCGTACCGTTGAGTCACAGCGGGAACACGTTTCGGTTGGCCTCAAGGCTACCATGTCAGCCCAGGGGTCCGCGCTTGCCTTGTTATAGCTGGGTTGATCCCGTGACTATGGCTAGCAGCTCGGCAGCCGGCGATATGTCTATCTCTCAAGGGGAGAGTGGCTGCCCGGTTAGTACAAATCTGCAGGAAAGGTGTTGGGAGAGTCACCTGCTTACGGAGGACTCTTATAGATGATCCTCCGATCTCAGAGGCCTTTCCGCATGCCTATGATTGGTAATCTCTGGAGAGGTTGAGCCGCGTGCGAGCATGGTGTGGAATCAAAGTAGATATTCACAGCCGCAATGAAGCCGTCTGACAGGATCAGTCATGGGGGGCTCCAGTAACTGTTGGCTGGGCTGATGATAGTAGACCGACTGATGATTCTCGGTGACGGCCAAGGGAGCACCGGGCGTTCCAACAGGTGTAAGTGTTCTCTTACGGATTTCTGAGTGCGGTAATGGGAATTCTCGTAGGCACCGGTTGGTCTTCCACACGATAAGAAGTGTTACAAGTGTTAACAGGGTCCACGCAAGAGGGAGGCTTCGTGAGCAGCTACACGGCCAGACTGCAGGTACTTGATCGTTGGCTATCATTGTGAGCGTACCTAGAATGGTTCACTGTTTGTATGATGATTTGTTTTCGCACTTGCGCGTCTTGACTTTGCTGAAGCCGTAAACAGCAGGGAATGGTTCACACCACCTCCCCCTTTGGGACTTGTGTTGTCACCCTGTCTGCCGCCCTCGCAGTTCGCGTACCACTTGGTTGGATCGCCAGGAGCTGCCGTTGTTGGCCGGTTACTAGCCGAGACGTTGGATGCCTATTCGTCATCTTGACCGGTGACTGGGTTAGGTATCGTGATGACACGCGATGGGTGGTGTGGAGGACAACCCCGCGCTAACGGGATATGATCTGAACTTCTTCACGGTGGATCGTCTCCAGCCTTTTCGGTGAAGCAGTTGGCTACCGGACCAATAATGCGGATGTGAAAATCCGCATTGAGGCAGTTAACTGCGCATTGCAGTGGAAGCAGGCGGCGTAATAGCCAGGCAGCTCGAGGTGACTGAACAGGCAACTGGCCTGGCGACGATGTGCAAAGAGACCAGTCACAGAGCTGAGCAGATGTGATGTAATGAAGCCTGGATAGTAGGTATTCAGTACACGGTAAAGGAGAAATAATTAAGGAGAGAAGTTCGATTTGGTGACGAGACATGAGACTATGGAAGTGGGGTTGTGGTGAGGAGAAGGGAAAGGAGATGAGTGAGTGCCCTCACTTCTGAGGCAGACTTTTTGATGCCTTAAGCCGGTGACAGCCAAGGACATCCGCCAGGCACTCAAACACTGATGGATGCAGGTCACGAACAGCCATCAAGGCAAACTGCTTCTCACGCCGGAGGAGGTCATGATAACCAAGTGCTCTCGGGCTATCGTCACAAGCAAGACGTTGTAAGGTTGAAGCGACGTCCAACGTCAAGAAATTACCCCACCACCACCACCACCACCACCACCACCACCACCACCACCAGCAGGTCCGAACGCTGTGCTCGATTTTGGCGACTCCCGGCTCCAGCTGGCTCCAACATAGGTTGCTCGCCAACAGTCTCTTAGGTACCAATTAACCACGCCTTGATTTCAACACTACATTAAATATCTCAAATCGTTTCATGCTCTTGACTGGAAGCGACAGGCTCCACTTCATGTTCGGCAACTATTTTGACATAATTGACTCACTGTTTTCCCTCCATCTCTCCCCAAAGCGTCACTATAGCCTTTGCACCGTCCCTTGGGTTACTCTTCAGTCACAATGCAGTGTGCCCCGACCTTCGACCGGTCTGACAGCACGACAGATGGGCTCGCTCTAGTGACCGAGTCCGGAGTTACTGAAGGACGGAAATTGTGGGTTTCACCGCAGGCCATCGACAAATCGCAGCGATAGACGGGTGGAGCGCCCTTTTCGTTTGGGCGAGAACGGCCGATCAAAGGTTGCAGACGTGCATCGTTCTACTCCCTTTGGAGCTCTAGACTGCCTGTCCAGATCTGCTAGTGTACCTAGGCAAGAACCACCTGAAAAAGAGGCCCTAGCTGCTGTTGTGGAGGTGTCCACTAACAGCTCCGATGCGCCTCACCAGAAAAGAGAAAGAAAGAAAGAAAGAAAGAAAGAAAGAAAAAAACCGAAGCGAAGCGATTCTTGGCCAATTGACGCCTTAAAAATCGCCTGTGATATCCGCTCGCCCAGAACATCGATTCTCTCCATCACACTTGATCACCTATCGCAACGCATACCTCAAGCCGATTGCTGCGTCCGTGGACTAGCAAAATCGAACCGGCTAAAACAAAACCCATTGGTATTTTTTCATTCATCGTTTTGTGACAGTGGCCAGAAAAAGACTAGTAGCACGCACTCCCATTGCTTCGCAGTCAAGTATGGATCACCTACACGGAGAGGCGCACAGCGCTGATGATAAGCAACCCAATGAGTTCAGCACTGCGGCTGCTTCGTCGAGCGCAGACATTCCAGCTGGGCCATCGCGCCAGGAGGAGGGCGAATATGACATCGAGACAGTCGAGAAGGTCTACAGGTACGCCCTCTGTGCCTTCTATTGCTGCCATTGGTAGCACGACGATGCTAACCGAGCTTTAGGAAGCTTGACCTCCGCATTATTCCAGGTGACTATTTTATCCAACCTAAAGTACAAAAACAGTTCTAACGATACTATAGCTTTTTGGGTTCTTTACTTCGTCTGCTCGGCCATTCGGTCCAATATTGGTATCGCGCAGACCATGAACGCAGCTCAAGGTCATGACTTGATGACGGTCCTCGGTCTGACGGCCAGGGACACTTCAACCGCATTGGCCCTTTTCTATGTAGCATATGTCATCTTCGACTGTCCCTCCAATCTCGTCATGGCCAAATTAAGCCCCCGGATCTGGATGGCTCGCATCGTCATCGCGACTGGTATCATCGGCACCTGCTTCGCTGCCGTTCAGAGTGCCTGGAGTGTCAAGTATGTCTCTTGCAAGCCAGCCCTTGACTAATTACTAACCGTCTCAGGCTGCTTCGGTTCTTGTTGGGTGTTGTCATTGCAGGCATGTGGCCGGGAATGTCGTATTACCTGACCTTGTTCTACCCGCCGTCTCGGACGGGCAAGAGAATCGGCATGTACTTTACAGCTGCCCAGCTCTCGGCCGCCGTCGTCGGTCTTGTATCTGCTGGGTTCCAACTTATGGATGGTCTCGGAGGCCTGGTTGGCTTCCGATGGATGTTCCTCATCTACGGACTTGTCGCCGTTGTGCTTGGTTTTTCCTTGCTTTGGTGGCTTCCTGACCGTCCCCTTCCGCCTGGTCAGAAGCGTGAACGACCGAACTGGCTGAAGTGGCTTCCACCCACCCCAGAAGCACTTTCCGGCCAGGATGCCGTCATTCATTACCATGACCTTCGCCGGGTCTACCACCCGAGACCCTGGACCCTCAGAGACCTGGTCAGGGTTCTCATCGACTGGCGTCTTTGGCCTTTGACCTTCATGTACTTCGGGGTCGTTGGCGTCGGTATCGGAACTCAGCTTTATGGGTCCGTCATCATCCGTTCCATTGTGCCCACGGCAACGAGCATTCAAGTCAGCTTGCTCTTTGCTCCCATCTGGATCGTGAGTCCATCCCATACCCATTTGCTGTTTTTATTTTATGTCTTTACATCAGCTAACCGTTTCCAGATGGACTTGATTGCTATTCTGCTGGTGATGCCACTTTCCGATCGCTTCCACGGCCACCGACCTTTCATCTTCTCGGCCGCCGTGTGCATTCAGATCACTGGTCTGCTTGTCGTCACTTTTGCCCTCGACAACGGATGGGCTCGGTACGGCGGACTTTTGATGGTCGGATTCGGCCTGGGCCCAACTGTCCCCAACTGCATGACTTGGACAAATGAGATCTTCCAGCGCCGCCACGGCGAGGTTGGAGTTGCAGCTGCTACTGCCCTGGTGTCCGGTCTCGGAAACCTCGGAAGTATCGTCACTACCTACGCTCTTTACACGGGATGGCCAGAGGACGCTGCCAAGGGCCGTTACCAGTACCGTCGCAGCAACTACGCAATGATCGGCATCCTCTGCCTGAGTATTGCCAGCAGCTTCGCCATGTTTTTCCTTTTGAAAATCTTCGGCAACAAACCCGCCAACAAGATCTCAAACCTTGACTCTTCCAGCGAGGTCGAAGACGGTGCCGCGAGACGCGAAGCCCGGGAGCGAGGCTTCGGAAAGCTGTTCCCTCGTAACACGCAGCGCCAGGAAGCCTAAAAGGCTTTCAAAGGGACGTTAGGCCGACCGACGATCGAAGCAAGACACGCTTCAAGGGTTTCAACAGCCAGTGGCCCCCAATCGACAATTATTACGACGTCCTGCTCACAGACAGTTCAACCTGCCGATTCTCTTCTTTTTGCTATTGCCTAGCACCTTTAATTCGACAACTTCATTCAATAATTACTGCAGATACCCATCTGAAGTTTGGATATACCTTTCATCCGAGGGAAGGCTCGAGTTTTCGCCGCCGCAGGGCGAAGAGCGGCGGACAAACGAGGCTGGATTCCTCGACGGCGACAGTGCTTCTACGCCATCGCTGGGAAACGGCGTATTGGACTGGAGGCGGTGACCGGCGACAATGCTCTTGCGCTATCGCAGTTTGGTCCGCCTTGTGGGAAACAAAAAAAGAGGATGGTTTGGAAACAAACGGAAGGATTCGCGGTGGAGGAGTTTTGTGTTTCTGTTTTGCATTTTGATGATACCCCATACGTGTTTAGATACGTTGTCGTTCGAGATATTCGCCACTCGACCGCGAAAGTGCTGTTACGCCATCGCTGGGACTGCGTGTTGAACCGAGGCAATGGCGGCGACAATGCTCTTGCGCTATCGTCAGTCTTGCCTCGTGGGCGCGCTTTGCGAGTTTGACTTCAGTATACGATGTTGCTCTCAGCTTACCGGCTTTTCAGCTTGGTAGCTTCATATAGAGGAGGGAATATTGGCTGGTCGGTCTTTCATAGTAAAAATTTAAGTCTTGTTCCTCTCAGTCGGCTCCCCAGCCGTTGAAGCAAGGGGAGATTCGAGGCCCGTCCCGTTTGAAGCGACGCCGGTGGCACACACTTCCACGAGGCTCACACGCGTCTAGACAAGCGTGTCATCCGCAAGACGAGTACAACATAGCGCACTTCAACGCCTAGCACGTTCCAACAGGGGAGCTTGGAATGTGAACACGAGGTTCATATAGATGAATTGTAACCTTCATACTGAGGGTAACGTCCGGAAAGCATGCTTGAAAAAGATCAAATAAACGATACCACGCGCGCCACAGTTGTTCATTGGGGTACATACATCCCTGGAATATGGATATCGAGAGTTTAGACAGCACGCGCTGCACCCGCATGTCCCACGAGAACTGTTACGCAAGGCGCATTTATCGCCTGCAACGAAGACTCGAAGCCTCGTCACTGGCCACTCCTTCACGGCCTTGATGTCGGCCGTCCGCATGATCGTGCCTATTGGAAACGCAATTATCAGCCTCTGCACGGGGCGTCGAAACCTCTCCTCAGACTCTGCTGCCTTTGGTTTGTTTTCGAATCCGTTCCTTGCATTTTCTACTGAGGTCGTGCCCGGTCACACAATCGGGTCAGGCGCTTCCCCTGCTTCGTTTGACGTTGCGTCGGATGGGGGCTTAACTAAGGCGAGCCTTATTCCCTCGGTCGGCACCAGTGCCAAGAGACGCCTAGATCAGATTCGGGGCTGACGTTGTGCCTTTTCGTCCACCCAGCGTCAGCCCACGAAAACGGCGGGCGCAGATAAGGCAGAAAGGCAGGGGTGGTGTTTGCCTGTTCTCTCTTCGAAATGAACTTGCTGCGATCGCTGGCCCCAAGCCTTACATTCTCCTTCCTCTTTGATATTTTGAGGTTGGTACGGAAACCGTTGGTTGTGTCGACGCACACCAGTCTTAGGCTTCTTCAACAAGTGTCGTCAGCCTGGAGCGAATGAGAGAAGATGGCCCCCACGACGGTCTCGTAAAGCAGCCAATCATGCCCCAAGTTTTAATGGCTGAACTGGCAGTGATTGGAATTGGGTGTGTGACTTCCGTGTATGTGCCGTGAAGCTACATCTCCTGCATGCGCAATGGGTCGTACCGAAGCATCCAAAGGCTAGGCGTGTTGGGGGCTTTTTGATATCGGAGACGATGTCGTCGAGGAGGTGAGGATGGACCGCATGTTACGGAACCTAAAAAAAGAAGACAGCGAGGGGCCTTGGGTCTCTGGGAAGGGTATATGAATCCAGGCCAGGGCGAAGCTTGCTGATGGCAACAATCCAAGCACTAGATCACCAAACTTGTCTAACCTTTCACGATGACGGGTGAAGTTCAGAGCTCTCCTTACGACAGCCCGCACGACCAAGATGGAGACGTAGAGGAGAAGAGGAGTACCGACCAAGGGGAGGGCAGCGTCACAACCACGGACATCAAGCCACCACCGGACCGCAGCCGGGTCCAGACCATCATCCTGATGCTAGCGCTCTGCATGGCCGTCTTCCTCGCGGCCCTCGATGCCGTCATCATTACAACGGCTCTTCCGACCATTGCCCGGGAAGTTGGAGCCTCGGACTCGGGCTTCGCCTGGATCGGCGCCGCGTACCTGCTCGCCAACGCCGCCTCGGTCCCACTCTGGGGTAAAGTCAGCGATATTTTCGGTCGGAAGCCGATTCTCGTCATCGCCAACGTGGTGTTCATGGTGGGCAGTTTGGTGTCGGCGCTCGCAGGAACCCTGACGATGCTCGTCGGCGGACGTGCCGTGCAAGGCCTCGGGGGTGGCGGGCTGATGGCGCTTGTCAACATTACTATCGGAGACCTCTTCAGCCCGCGGGAACGGGGCATGTACTTTGGCATGGTGGGCGCGGTTTGGGGACTCGCCAGTGGCATTGGGCCTCTCATCGGCGGCGGGCTGACGGAGAACATCTCGTGGAGATGGTGCTTCTGGATCAACCTACCCATATCCGGGGTGTCCCTCCTCATCCTGGTCTTCTTCCTCCGTGTCCATACACCAAAGACGCCTCTGTTCAAGGGTCTGATGGCGATCGACTGGCTCGGTACACTCACGTTCACCGGCGCGACGTTGATGCTACTCCTCGGGCTGCAATTTGGCGGGCTCCGGAACCCTTGGGGCTCTCCGACGGTCATCTGCCTCATCGTCTTTGGCTGCGTCACCTACGCCGTCTTTGCTCTCGTCGAGCGCTTCGCAAAGTACCCTCTGATGCCAGGCTCGCTCTTCCACGACAGATCGGTCGTCTTCTGCTACGTCGCCAACTTCTGCCACGGCCTGGGGTTCGCAGCCATCGCCTTCTTCCTGCCGCTCTACTTCCAGACGGTCCTCGGCGCGAGCCCGATCCAGTCAGGCGTGTGGCTACTCGCGACGGCGATTCCGCTGGCGGTATGTACTATTGGCGTCGGCGTGACGATTAAGAAGACGGGGCGGTACGCCGAGATCATACGCGTGTCCATGGCTCTCACGGCCATCGCATTCGGGCTGTTCGTTACGCTGCCGCCGCGACGCGACTGGCCGCGGCTGATTCTCTTCCAGTTGTTGGGGGCGCTGGGCATCTCGCCAAACCTGCAGGCGCTGCTGATTGCGCTGCAGGCGCTGGTGAGGCCGATGGACGTGTCGGCGGGGACGGCCATGTTTGCGGTTGTGAGGCACATCGCGCTCGGGATCGGCGTGGTCGTCGGGCAGGTCATCTTCCAGAGCGTCATGGGGCGGCACGAGCAGGACTTACTGGACGCCGGGGTTCCAGGGGATGTTGCGGCGAGCCTCGGGAGCGGGTCGACGATTGCGGCGCACGAGATGATAGAGGGGTTGAACGTGCGGCAGAGGGAGGTAGTCCAAGCGGCGGTGACGGACAGCATCAGCAAGCTGTGGATCTTCTTCTGCGTTGCGTCGGGGGTTGGTTTGGCGGCAACATTCTTCATCAGGCAGGTCGAGTTGAGTCGAATGCATACGGAAACGAAGACGGGGCTGGAGGCGGAGGAGGCAAAGGTTGTCGAGGGCCGGAGGGCGAGAGGGGGGGCAAGGCATGGCGAGGTCTGAGGACAAAGTTGGCTGGGATAGAGACAGGTTGGGCGGTTTTCGTGATTGTAAGATGGTTTGTATAGACACAAGAACCATAGAAATAGACATTATATATAGGGTGACTGCTTTGGTTTAGGACAGGCTGGTCTCACGATCCTCGGCAAAGGGGAACATGTTCTTGCAACGAAAGACGCAATACGCATCGATTTCTTATACCTGCCTGGATGTAAATATTTGAGCGAAGATGAATTGCAGCCATGCTTGCTTAAACTGGATGACGAATTGAAGTATTTCACGAAGTCTCAACGATTCCGGCTGAATCCCCATACGCAGATGTGTATATATCTATAGATCACCTGCCGGGGTAAAACCGGCCGAATCCGGCACGATGTGAGATGTCGAGATGAGGTGAGGTGATGTTAGTTGGTGTGAAGTGAGCCGTTCCCACAGGTACACACACGCTTGCATTCAATGCAAAGAGACTGGAGGAAATTGGTTTGCTGCGAATTGGGGTAAACCAACAGGAACGCTTGGCAGTCACCGACCGAGGTCCTCGCCCCCGCAACTCGCCTCAGACATCCCAGCAGGCAGCCATACATGGATTCCATCGCTCAACCTCATCCGATGGTAAGACTCATAACAAGAAGTCTTTAATTACTCCTTTTCGCACATTGAGGACACGTTCAATCTGCTACTGGCGAGAGACATTGCAAATAATGGCCTCTTCCTTTGAGGGATAAGTGTCTAGTAGCACCGCCTGAGGCCAATTCAACACCGCCACCTCAGGCGGGCACGGCCATGAACCATCAGGTCAAGCCAAGCAGGCTGCGCCTTTGCTTTGATGCCCAGGCAGCGATATCCTTTTCCTGTAAGGACCCATGACATTTATCAAGAACCAGATCGCTTCGCTTTTCTCCTCTTTAATCATACGACCGCCACGAGCACTAACGGCGAGACAGAACAACACAGCACCATCTCCAACACCAGTGTGTCTAGCGACGCACGCACCTAAATATCACAATGTCCTTCTCAAACCTCATCCCCGCGGCCCTCAAGCCCAAGCCGCGCAAACAACTTAAATCGAACCCCCAGAAAACGTCCTACACCTCCAACGACGTCCCAATCCCCGCTGACTTCCTCTCGGTCCCCTTGCCCGAGGACGCACCCCCCGTGACCCTTAAGAAAGTCGACTGGTCCGCATCCGCGCTCCCTGAGAACGGGCCCCTCTACGCCGTGGTTCTAGACAACGTCCTCACGCCCCAGGAGTGCGCGCAGCTGATCCGCCTGGCGGAGGACAGCGCGGTGAACCGCGGGGACAAGGGTGACGAACCGTGGCAGCCGGCGATGGTGAACATCGGGGCGGGGTGGGAAATCCTGGAGTCGGATTACCGGAATAGTGACCGCATCATCTGGGACCAGCAGGAGGTTGTCGATCGGCTCTGGGCGCGGTGTCGGCTTGCGCCGGGGCTAGAGGAGCAGCTGAGAGAGGTGGAAGGGACGAGCAAACCAGGGAAGGGGGAGGAGACGAGGTGGATGTTTAACAGGTTCAACAAGCGGATGAGGTTTTTGAAGTACCAAAAAGGGCAGTTTTTCAGACGTGAGTTCTTCTTCCTTCCCATCAGCCTCTTACCCCGGCGACGTAGTCTCGTATACCGAGAGAGAATGACGGCTGACGGAGGACGTGTTAGCACACTGCGACGGCCCTTACGGCGAAGAGGGCGAGGACGGGACCGTGTACCGGACGCACTACACCGTCCAACTCTACCTCAACGACTCTGTGGCCGAGGTGGGTAAGGAGAAAGCGGACCTTGTGGGCGGTGCGACGACGTTCTTGTCGGGCGACGAGAAGAGGCGGGTCAACATCGACCCGAAGGCCGGCAGGGTGCTCATCTTCCAGCACAAGAGACTATTCCACTGCGGCGACGACGTCGTCACCGGAACCAAGTATACTATGAGGACGGATATTCTATACGAGCTTGTGAGGACGAAGATCAAGGTGGATGGGAGTGTGGAGGGTGAGGGACAGCGTGAGAGTGCTTGAGTTTGGCTGGGGTCCTTGGTCTGGGTGTTGAAGTTTGCAAAACTGCGGGTTGGAGATATCCTCTGCTACATCCAGGGTGTTCTTTTATAAAATAAGTACCATCCGTTCGTCGCGTTGCATCGTCTCCGTGGACATGGTGTGCTGGTCAAGACCGTTTTGAGTATCAGCCAGTAGTAACGCTACATCGCAGTGGGATGCAATCTTCGACTCAATCCAGGAGGACAAACGTGGCGCCTCAAAACTATATGTATGTGAATTGAGCAAAAAGCAAAAGTAATGCCTCGTGGCGGAATCGAACCGCCGATCTTCTCATGACACTAAAGTACTAGTGAGACGCTATACCACTTAGCCAACAAGGCTTCCTGATTGGATGATGGTGAAGCTGTGAAAAGCTTACTTATTCCATACTCGCAAGTTTCACGAATTTGGACCCACTACCTCTTCTCAGCTCTTGTTCTTTACTATTCTTACCCTAAAGCCTTTGGCCCTCTCAGGAGTGATTTAATAACGTCTGCGTCGTCTGAGGACTTGTTGACAAGTATGAACCAGCTGCACTTCCTTGAGCTAATTGGCCGCGACCATGCCTTGGACCTTAGGATCGTCCTCACTGTGAGCGTGTCTCCAGAATCTTGTGCTGTTCCAGCCAAACTCCATGCGGAGCTCTGCTCAGGGTCCCTTGGGGGCGGATCATTGCCGCCGGGCGTAGTGGAGAAGCATCTGGGGCAGTGCAAGATCGTTCACGGTAGGTCAAAATTGGAGAAAACGATGTATATTGGATCCTAGCGAGGCCCATGTCGAGTTATCCGTATGCAGAGTGTAACGTGACTGGAAGAGTCTAAAATCTGGGGGAAGATAGATAGGCGCATGCTTAGTCTTGGCGTGCTAGAAGCGGTCGAGTCGAGAGCAACAAGTTCAGCCTTACCGGGCGTTTTGATAGACAGTTTGGCTTGGCAGGAAATGGTGCATCAAGACTGTTAAGATGAGGCATCGTGGATGTGTGAGATGGAATAGTGCGCCAAGTATGTCGGCAACCCCTTTCCGTCCTTGAATTAACCAGGCGCTGCAAAGCCACGCTGTCGGTGCGCAGCGAGGACAACCTCATCAGCCAACCGAGAGTCCGCAGCATGCACAGAAACAACGCAATTCGGACCCCAGCATTCCAGAACCAGACCAAAGCGCGAACCGTCGGGACAGCAGCCAATGAGCAAACTTTCCTCCTCTAAAAACTGGCCGACAAGACGGACCTCACATCTGCGGCGCTACCAAGCAGCTCATATTGGATGGTCCCAGCGCCTTCATTGCCAAGGGAATGCCCAGGCGCGTAGATCGCGGGAGGGCGAAATTTGGGACATGGGCAAGCCAAGCAAGGGAGCTAGGTAGTAGAACCAAGGAGAGCAAGCGATCGCGTTGATGAAGGAAAAGCTTGTCCTGGGATTGATGCCTTTTGGTTGGCACAGTGTTCAGAGTGGTGTTTAGCAGGTTTCAAGAGGGCGAATCGTTCGCAGCCACTCATCAAGGGCTGGTCAAAACGAGAGACTGTCGATCGCGAGCACACCCACCCGTAAACAGACTGGCTGGAGAGAGTCGACAGGCTAAACACCGCGACGGCGACTATGGTGACGGCGCAACGAATGTGAATGCATGACGGCGAAAGCAGCAGGTCACTCTATTTCCAGCCGTCTCTGACCAACCGAGACCCGCATTTCATCATTTGGAAAAAGAGGGACTGAATCAGGGATGACCGCGCAATGGAAGAAGAAAACACGAATCTCACTGGCCGACCGGCACGTCATGTGACTCTACTCGTGATTCCGATTCAGGGGTTTTCCCCCTTGGTCTTGTTGTTGTGCCACGGATGACTACCTACTCTACTGGCGGCGCGCCATCGCTCCCTCACCCAAGTCTCAGGAGGTACCGGTACTTTCATCGTATTCATTACGAGGCCAGAATCGATTGCTTCTGATCTTGGACAAATGACAAGAAAACGACACGATCGAAATCGAAGGAGAATAGAAAAACCAAGCCAAGACAATATGCTCGGCATTACGACAGCTGTGCACCGTTTTCAGCCCTTTTTTTTTTATCCCCGTTGCTTGGCATCTCGGGCCCTGTCCTGGATCGCCAAGACCACGGGACAAGACGCTGGAAAACTTGGAATTTGCTTGTTTTCCACACTGGCGACTTGGCGCTCCTGGGCGCTGCGTGCCATGCAACGAATCGTCCGCCGCGAGAGCGCAGGAAGCAGCAGGAACAGGAAAAGGGCGCCGCTACCGCCAACACGCCACTGGACTCAAAGGAACATGGCTGCATGGGCTGTTGTTTCCATCCGCATTCCCGGGGCAGAGGCGCAAATGATGCAGAAGAGACGACCGCCTGGTCCTGCTCCCCCCGAGGGGACCGGCTGGGAGGGCGCGCATTATTCGTATTGTTGGTCCGTCAGCTGGCATTAGCTGCTGGCCTGTGTGAAAACTGTACCGTACTGTTACCCGACATGGGCATCTTGGGCCGCTCTTCCTGGCCCTTCTCCCACCCTTGCTCAGTCCAGTAATTCCCGTACCGGTACTATGCCGGGATCCCTCTCCTCCCATTCTCGCACTTGCACCCGCCCGATGTCTAACTGCCTGACATTAGCACGCCCCTTCGCTGTCACTCATTCCTCCCCGACCCTCTTCTTCCTCGATTTCCCTCAACGTCCCTGTTCATCTCTTTCCTCTCCCTCCTTCACCCACTCGTTTTTACCTATTCCCGAACCCACAAAATACAGCATCCAGCGACATTCGACGGCTGGCACCTTTGACTCTCGCCCATTCTCCTCGTTCAACGTGAATCGAAACACTCTCCGAATACCTCACATGATACGACCGTAACACGATTGCGCTGCATCTTCGAGGGAACCAACTCTCCTTCCCGGTCCCTTTCCTTTCTCCCGTCTCTTCTAGTCGCTCGCTCCAAACATAACGTCACTCGACAACCACAACCATGAAGCACTCCTTTATCGCCCGCGCTGCGACGGCGCTTCTCCTCTCCAGTGGCTTCGCCAATGCCGTATACTCCATCGCCTCCGACGGTACTTCCTCCCGCACCCCGACACCCGTATCCGGCTCCGTGATGCGGACTTGACTAACACTGTGCCCAGACGACATCAAGACGACGGCCAAGGACCTTGCGTACGATCTCATGAGCTTTTACGATGGCAACCTGACGGGCCACACGCCCGGTATCTTGCCTGGTCCTCCGCCGGCGGGTGATTACTACTGGTGGGAGGCCGGTGCCATGTGGGGAACCATGATTGATTATTGGCACTTGACCGGCGATTCCACCTACAACGACGTCGTCATGCAAGCCATGCTGCACCAGGTCGGACCCAACCGCGATTACATGCCTCCCAATTACACGGCCTCACTGGGTAACGACGACCAAGGTTTCTGGGGCATGTCCGCCATGACCGCCGCCGAGGATGGCTTCCCCAACCCGCCTGAAGACGAGGCCCAATGGCTTGCCCTGGCCCAAGCCGTCTTTAACACCATGGCCAGCCCGGATAGACATGACAACACGTGCGGAGGTGGTCTCCGTTGGCAGATTCCCTTCTCCAACAACGGTTACAACTACAAGAACAGTAAGGCTGATGCTCGCTTCCACTTGCGAACTGGAGACTGATTGAGATTCAGGCATTGCCAACGGCTGCTTCTTCAACATTGGCGCCCGACTGGCTCGCTACACCAAAAACCAGACATATGCCGACTGGGCCGAGAAGACTTGGGATTGGATGACGGGTGTAGGCTTCATCGACGCCAATTATAACATCTATGACGGTGCCCATGTCGAGCAAAACTGCACAGATATCAACAAGGCCCAGTTCTCTTACAACAATGGCGTTTACCTCCTCGGTGCCGCCATGATGTACAACTACGTAAGTGGCTGCCTTCGTGCTCGAACTTCAATGGTATGGTTCTAACCTTGTATAACAGACGGACGGCGATACGAAGTGGAAGACACGTCTCGATGGTCTCATCAATGCCACCTTTACCCTGTTCTTCCCAAACAACATCGCCTTTGAAATCGCTTGCGAGGAACACAACACTTGCACCACTGACATGTTGAGTTTCAAGGGTTACGTTGCTCGATGGATGTCGATCGTGACCCAGGTCGCACCCTACACCGCTCCAACGGTGCTACCGATCCTCAAGACATCGGCAGAAGCTGCTGTCAAGCAGTGCACGGGGCAGGACAACCAGCGGACCTGTGGCTTCAAATGGAGTACAGGTGTCTACGACGGCACAAAGGGAGCCGGTCAGCAGATGAACGTGCTAGCTGCCGTCTCGTCTCTTCTCATCAGCGAGACCAAGGCACCGGTGACCAACACCACCGGCGGTATCTCCAAGGGAGACCCAAACGCCGGAAGCCACTCGGACAATCTCCTCGGAGAGGAGACCCCAATTACAACAGGGGACAAGGCTGGTGCCGGCATCCTGACCTTTTTGGTGCTGGCTTCCGCCGCCGGCACCTTCGGCTGGATGAGTTTCGGAGCGTAAAAAACTGGATGAGCAGCATGTAACGACTTGAATTTCTTGCCATTTGTTTACACACAGTAGCACCACGGTTCTGCTGGCGGGTTGTCCTCGCAATAGGGATGTACAGGCGTCAAGGTCAAGGAAGACCCCGGGTTGTTGATTGGTTACTGGCGTTGGCTTTTCTTCTGATGCACCCAAAACGATGCCGGGCAATGCGGTCTCTGGGTCGTATTCACTTCTTCTATCCCCCTGCGGCGGTCGTGGACGTTGGATAAGCCACGACTGTTGGGGAAACCCCCTATAGTCTATAATGTAGCTATGCTACCACATACATAGTCTCCTAGAATAGACAGTTCGTCATCAAGGCGATGTTATAGTGTGCATCTCATTGAGATCTGGAGGCAGCCGTCTTTGGCCAATCGTGAAACGGGATGCATAGCAAGTTGGCGACGCCATGACGCCATCTCATCCGATGTCGCGACTGGAAATGGGCACAGATGCAGGGCCTGTCACCTGCAGTCGCAGGGCCCTTGATGTCTGCGCATAGCACCCCAAAGCTGCAGCCATCATCGGACAGTCCCCCGGCCGTTGCAGTGTGCGTCATCTTGTAGCTGTCGTCTTATCCTGTGGCGGCAACCGTTTCAGCGGACGGAACCATGGCCATGACGATCGAGGAAGCTCGTGTGAGAAGAAGGTTTGGAAGGGCAATGCCAAGTGCTTCTTTTCTGGCCGACTTTTCTCCGCTCATTTCTCTAGGCGCTCATCACTGCCATGAGTTTTTTGTTCGAAGTTCTCCGCTGCATTATGTTGTCCTCTGCCCAAGACGCCAACTCCACCCACAGCACTCTCTGCCAATCAAAGCGCTGAAAGTCTCATGGGCGATCCCTCTCTCGCAATCAAGTCCACACCACGGCACTCTCATTCACTCACCCAGTCATCCAAAAGATCCGATTGAGGCTTACCACACCTACATTCAACCTAAAGCACCACAACCCTGTCTTCCAAGTTTGGCCCGCCGTCCAGTCTCACTTTGATTGGCTCTCCACTGCCCAAACTCTTGTTCATCGTAAGATTATTTCTGGAGGCAGTCGGGCGCAACAATGCCGATCCCGGACTTTGCCAACGAGGCCATCTTCCCGGCCTTTGACGGCCTCCCCATCGAGGACGCCGGCGCGGCCGACCCGCCCTCGTACGCCGCATCCTCCGAGCCCCCGTCCTACGTGCCGCCGCCGCCGCCGGACCCGCCGTCATACTCTGACTCGCAATCCGGCTCCGGCTCCGCGTCCGCTGCCGCGGCGTCACTCACCCTGACCGATACGGCCGCGACGTCTGCCGGCGCCGCCGTCACGCCCAAGCCGTCATCCCACGACGCGCGGGAGGAGTGGTTCCTCGTCGCCGAGGTGAAGCAGAACATGACCATCACGAAGCCGACGCTGGTGGTGGTGGACCGCGGCGGGACCGAGTTCGCGGTGACCTTTGAGGACCGCGGGATCGATCTCAGGCCCGTGAGGCAGGGGTGGACGATTGTTGTGCCGCGGGCGGTGAGGACGGCGCCGAAGGGGGGCAAGAGAGGGTTCGTGAGGGTGCCGGAGGGGAGGGGCACGAGCGTCAAGTACGTCCCCGGCGGGCTGGAGAAGATTGGGGAGCTCGGGGCGAAGGTCCGGGGGGATGGGGGGGAAGGCGAGGACGCGGGAAAGAGGCTTAGGGGGAGGTGTGCGGGCTGCGGGAAGGGGGAAGGGGAGGATGGGGGCGCTCTGAAGAGCTGTACTGCGTGCGGTGTTGCGAGGTACTGTGGCAAGGTGAGTTTCCATGATTCTGTTGGCGGCGTCGCTCGTCTAGACCCGAGTCTGCAAGGGGATGTTTGCTGTGGAAGAGAATGCTGACATTACCGGTGTAGGAATGCCAAAAGGAGGATTGGAAGGCGCATAAGAACGATTGTAAAGTGCTGAAGGGTATGGTGAACGCGTGGGGGATATGATGGATGAGACTCGGATCACAGAAAAGGGGGTGGGTAGGCGTTGCAGGCGAGAGTGCATCAGTCAACGCCGTCCGACTGAGGGAGACCTGTCAACAGGTTAGGTTCCTTTCTCTTGCCGCCAGACTAGAACACAGCAGAGCCGCGTATGAACGCAGGATATTGAGGCCGAACGCGGGTCAGCCCGTCAAGGTCTCGGGCATGGACATGTTCGCGTTACGTCTCCAAGCATATGGTCGTCCATGGGTTGCCTTAGTCACCCTAAATCATGAAGTAATCATTGATAGATGATGTAGCATTCGAGTACAAGAACAAATCCTAAGGAGTGAAATCTAATCAGTACGCTTCTGTTGTGAAAGGACCGTGACCATGAACCAGAACCCGAACCCTGCCAGCCAACGCCAATTCAATACCCAATCCAGCCCCTCTCTCCAAAGACACATGGAAAAAAAAATCCCCATTCCTGAAAGAGTAAAAAAATCGAAGCTGTGCTCACGCCCCAGCTAGTCCGTCCCAATGAACAAGCGAACCGAGCTTAAAAGTAAGCGATCCTCGCGCCCGAGACCTGGGCGTTCCACGAAACATAATCGTTGTCGTAAACGCCCACAAGCTCGAAGCCTTCAACCGTCCCAGGCGCCTTGCAGTCCGTCGGCGCAGTCAAGTAGGCCCCGTACGTCGCATCCCACGTCGCCCACCCGTCCGTAACGACCGACCACCGCCCGAGGTTCGCGTTCCGCTGGTTGCCTGGCCCGCCCGCGCCCCAACCGGGTGAACCGCCGGCGGGTGCCGGGGTCGTGGAGGTGAAGACGTCGAGCTTGCGGCTTCCCGAGACGCTCGAGGTGGGCCCGTCGATGTAGAACCACAGCTGGCACTTCTTGCCGGCAACGGCTGGCGGGTAGGTGAAGGTCAGGAGGGCGGTGAGATCGTTGCCGGCGTTGGAGGTGGACTTGGAGACGACGCCGCCATAGGAGGGGCTTATGGCGCCGTTGCGGGTGTTGTAGGTGAAGATTGCAGAGGGGGCAAAGGAGGTTGGTGGCGGGGTGGATTGGCGGGTTGAGAGGGGGGTTGCTAGGGCGGCGGTCGCGGTGAGGATGAGGGCAAGGAGAGTCTTGGCGAACATTTTGATGGGAATCTGAGGGGTGAGGTGTTGATTGTTTAGCTGAAGGGTTTGGTATTGGAGCTGTAGTTGTAGTTGATGAGCTGGAGTTGATGAGAGACTGTAAATAACAGGGACTTTCTACGGATATTTATATTCATCTTGAATGTGTAGGTTCAGACTAATCTCTCTAGTATCGTGAGCCCACTCATCGGCTATCAAGGTGCCATGACCTGACTGTCGAGGTTTCCCAGCTCAGGCGTCCTTGAGGCACCTCGAAAGCTCATTACCTAGGACTTCTCAAAATAGCAACACCCAAACTGCACCCTCCTCACCAAGCTCGCACCCCGTAAACTGACACAGCCGGATTAGGCCTCCCGCTTCCAGCCGTTGGGTCAGATTCGATCAGCTCTGTGGGCGTCTCTTCTCTCTTCCCCGCCATTGGGCCTGCCAATTGTGACGGCGGAAGCTAGCTCACACAAGTCTAGACCGGCAAACGGTGTACCTTAGCCAGCGAATGATGACAATGGAATAGGAAAGCCTACCCATCACACCAAGATGTGACATATGTCTCCGAGGTGTTGTCACCTGGTGTGGGTTGGGATGACGAGCTCATGTGGCGAAGGCTCAGCCCTTTGAGCTGCCCCGAGAGCTGAACGCCTTGGACCAATGAGCACGGGCGGGGTGATGGGATGCACCCTATCGGAGTATCGTGAGCTGCGCCGTGTGGCTTGATGGGTTTTGGTGGACGGTGGCGGCATAGCTTGGTTGACGTGCATTGGTACGACCTAGCGGGAAGTCATGAGTGTTCGGGAATGGTGCGCACATCGTATATGCGAGTCTGCTTGAGACATAGACACGGGTGCTGATCGTGGAGGGTCATCAGGTTGAGTATAGGGCAATAGGAGTGGCATCTTGGACTTGGATTAATCTATTTCGAGGTGTAAGCCGCGGGGTAATTCAAAGTGTAGCTTTTTGAAGTCGACGATGCTAGGCTCATTTGGTACCGAGGGCTGTGTAAGCCGAGCTGAGATGCCTTGACGGCGCGGTTCTCAGCCTCACCCGTCGACTTTTTTTCTACCCCGAATGCTGATTTCAGCGTTTTAAGGTGGGGGACAGCAAGACTCCCGTCATGGCCTTAAGCCGTTAGGGAGCAGGCAACGTGAACCCTTGATGACCAGTCGCATCCCCTTTCTGCTAGTAGCTGCGTCTACATCTGTTCCTATCACTATTGCCCGTATTGTTGATGTCAGTGTCAAGCCCGGGCGCCAGAGACTCCGCTACGCGTATGTTTCTCAGAGGGCTCAAATGCCGAACCAGACACAGGAGCTAAGATACGGTACAACTACTCTGGGAAGTAGCTTCAGCACGGGGGAGATGGGCGAATTTAGTGTAAGGTGTTTCTACTGCATGGAAGAAACACAATTCTAAGGTGAACCCTTCGCGAGATGACAGGTTTCCTAATGTCTCCATGGTTGCATGCTTGAATCGGTACCGGGTGGTTCTCATTCAAGTCTTACACATTTTTACGTGGAAAGCAGTTTTTCTATTCTAGTAAAGTAAACACTTGCAGATGATGAATATCAACGATCAAGCTTTTCTAGTTGCTGTGATCTCCGCCTCTTAATCTCTGGAGATAAAATTCTGATCGGTCATTCTCTAACGCCATGGTCTTTAGTCTTGATCTTCTTCTCCTGCTCCTTGCACTGCGACTCAATATCATTACCGTCCTTCTGGAGGATGTCATAATCATCATCCATACCGTCTAAAGTTGTGAACGTGTCAAGTCAGTCACCGGATCATCAATGGGGGAGGGCTGTAACAACTTACCGCGAACGTCAATCCTGAACTGTGCAATCCTCACCGTGATCTCCACATCATCCAGAGTCATGATCCTCGTAGACGACTCGGGCTTCAAGTCATCCCCATCGGCCAAGAGAAGTACTCCGCGGTCCTGCCAGACATCTGATTTGTTAGGCGACTCGACAAGGACGAGCCGCTTGCTCTCACTCGGCGGAAATTCTACGTTGCGGAAACCACGGTCGTCGTCTTTGAAGTCCCGGTAGCCACGGGGGTTGTCCTCGAAATCGAAAGTCAAGCACAGCGAACTGTCATGTTTGAGAGGACTGAGCGAGGGTTTGTCGCTGATGGTGCTTTTAGAAGACTGAGGCCTCAGGACTTCGCGAATTCTCCATACAAACTGCTCTGAAGTGGTGATACAGGGAACGAAGAGGCCTGCGGATGTGCGGAGGACTGATAGAAACCACGGGGCTTGGGGGCCGCGCCCTGAACGAATGGTCACCGTTGAGCCATCCACCAATTTTGATTGCCGAAGCATACCGTACTGTCACGTATCAAGCCAGTGTTAACTTCATTGACATTATTACACCTCGCCAAGCCAACTGGGCACCTACCCTGGTATCGAAGGTTGGAGTAATTGTCCAGATGCCATCTTGATCTTTCCACGTTGAGTCGTAAGGTGCGGCGCGCGGACCCTGGAATCTGTGATAGACAGTGAGAACCATCCCTACTGACGGCTGGGAGGTCAAGAGCAGGTCATCTTACCTGGGAGGCAAAACCTCCCTTTCACTTATTGTCTGGACAATAATAGGCTTATGAATGTTGTGATGAAGGTAGTGCGTCTTGTTGTCGTTTGTGATTTTTGTTTTGAAGCGGAATTGCGCAACGATCTTGGACGATTTGGGGATGCTGATGCCCTTCGTAACGGGACCTTGGGTTGCACCCGAAAACACATCGGCAGCGTCTGTGAATCGATGATCCCCACAATCAACCAGAGAGTCGATTATCAATCTAGACTCAGCTCGCTATAGAGTAAAAAAGAATCAGAAGTTTGCAAACTTGCTTCGAAATAGACGGAAGTACCCCTACCTCAATAACCCTCCAGTTGACGTGATTGCCAACAGTAGGACACCACTGGCTTGGACTGTCATGAGGTCAGGCTCTGTCACTAACATCGTGAACTTCAGGATCTCTTACTTCGAAGCTAAGATAGTGTTGCCGCCAACGGCTTCGAAAACCACACACTCGCTACTGTCTTTGTAGTTACGGTTCATGTCTTGATCGCTGCTCCTAGTGACTTGTTTCTTCGAATCTGCCCCAATCTCCACAGGCTGTAATGCACAGCATCAACACCAGGGCAATTCAGAACGTACGTAGCCAAATAACTCACTGAAGAGACTGTCAGCCCGATTGCACGTTTGAAAGTATCTCGATTCTTGTCTTGCTCGACCACTTCGTCATCATTCAAGGTCTTTGTCGATACCAACATGCCTCCAAGCGTAACTTCGTGGCAAAAGAATTGTCCTACGAGCAGTCAGACACCAATCGAGTCAAACAAATATGGCATAATGGTAGAAAACAAAATTACCAAACTTTCTGTGAAACTTCCTAATCTCTGCAAGATCCTTGTTGATCCTGATTCGTTCAACGTTCTCTGCAAACTCTCGAGTCGGAACTAGGTCGTCTGCATTGAGGAAAAGGGTTACTCGCGGTAACTAAGATTTCATGAGCATCCTGAAAGGACAGCAGATTTCAGTGGGATAATTACCATGTATTTACCAAACATTCTCTTTGTAGACTTGTTTCGCTCGGATGACTGGCTGTTCTGTGCTTCTGAGTTTGTCCCAGCACTCATAGCGATGCCCAGTCCAGAGTAGCCCATCGCAATCTTGCTATCCATTGACGACTTCTCAAAGTTGTTGCGGACGAGAGAGTTACGCATGTCGCTCTCGACAACTTCAACATCAATCTTAGACCCGTCCGTGACGCCATAGTTGGGGATAGCGTCGGCAATAGGGGCCCCGTTGTCTCCTCGACTGGGCGCGTAATCCAGGTTTAGACCTGATCGTAGAGCAAAGGCTAAAAGATTGTGAGAAGAACAGCACGAAACGAAGAGCCCACAATATACCTGGTTTTGGGGCCATCTTAATCTGATTGGTTGTCGTGTCGGTATACCAGCCATGCATGACTTGACAGTTCTTCATTACAAGGCTCCACTGTAACTCGTCCAGCGATGATGGAGAACTGTTTGAACTGCTTGTCAGTTGACCGTTGAACAAAGTTGTCGTCATTGTTTGCCTATTCAAATGGAGAGGCTGAGGGGGATCGAGTTACCTGGCGTTCTGGGACATATCAATCTTCAACATTTCCTGAGCAATCAGTGATGCTTGGGGCTTATCAGAGTAAGCGCCCAAAGCCGGACTTTTTAAACCTTCTGGCACCTTTGATAACCGTAAACATTTGTTGAAGATGCCCTCATCGAATCACGTACCTCGTCTCTCTGAAGCTGGTGACTGATTCCCAAAGCCGCAAGTGCTGCTTTCGCCTTGTCTCCGCCGGCAAAGGGTGAAGCAGTCTCTCTGAACCTGAGACTTATGGCCGGAACATTGCTCTCATAAGGAAATGTCTCATCCTACGGTAGAGAGTCAGCAGCATGGTTCTAAGGGATAGATATGCATACAATATGAACTTACTAGAAGATCTACGTAGTCCTTGAACAACGTTGTGTCTGGAACAGGCGTCTCATCAGGCAAACAAAATTGATGTTTTGATATGAGTTGCGACCTTGAACATAGAATAAGACGGAAATCGAAGCATTGTTGCGTGGAGTGAACTGTGAAACTTACATGGTGGTGATGCTTTGTCGGAACCCGCCGAGAGTTTTAGATCGAATTCTTTCCAGATCAAGACTATCGCTGTTTGCCCCATCAGGAAGCGTCTTCATGACCCGGATAGACCCAACTCCCTGATGCTTTCCGCTCTTTATCTGAACTAGCTTGATAATAAAGTTACCAGACTCGTATATATCTTGAACTGTCTGCTGGTCATGGTCCTTTCTCAGCCCGTAGTATACCTGCATGGAAAGTTCCGGTGCTCCTGAAAGGCGAGAAACCTGGTCCAAATATTCAAGGAAGGAAAGTTCATAATCAAGAAGTTTAGAACTAGGAGAGCTCCAAATGTCAAACTCTTTGGCAAGACCAATATTGCACATACCCTCCTTGATCTGCGCCATGGAGACATCTTTCATTCCAGTGTCGCTACTGATTCCACACTTCTGCATTAGAACAGAAAGGCCAATGGTGCCCACTTTGTTGCCGTATTCTGTGCTTGTCTTTGTGATACCCTTCGAAGCTGGTACCAGTTTGTCAATTCGTTGAAACGTGACAATCGCGCCATCGTTGGGCATATTTCTTGTGACATCGCTGAACGTCTTATCGCCTCCCGAAGGAGGGGGACTGAGTGGCAAGCTTGACATGACAATTGGGTGTAGGGATTTTGTGGTAGGTTATAGAGAATGCAACAAGACACAGCTAACAGGTGCCGTCAAGTCGCGCGTGGGACAGGCGTGGCATTGGTTATGTACCAAGACCTTCCACAATTGCAGGGCATCTTCTTTCCGTCCCAAAGGTCGCGTGATACTTTTCCAAGATTATAGGTGAGATGAATCGGGGCATACTGAAAACGAACAAGAGAAACTTCAATTAGGGTTGTCTCAACGTTTCTGTTCAGCCGGTGTGAGGGATGGCCCGATGTCTCGGCGTACTCAGTTCAGCTGCACGAAAACAGCGTGTCTCATCCGGAGCTCTTAACTAGTTCCGTGCGACTTGGGACTCAAAGCGGCCGGCAGGAGATAGCACTTATCTATATAACCCTGTCTTGGAGCTCAGAGCTTGAGGCATTCCGAAGGCGTAATAATCATCTGCTTAATTTGTAGCATTCCGATCATGGCTGTAGGGCTCACTGCGAAGAATCCCGTGCAAGCAAGGCTCCAGGCTTTGCAGGCCAAATATCCTCAATACCATATCGTACTTTGGTACTCGGATGCAGGATCATGTTTCAATCTTTTGCCTGGCACCCGATGGATTCGACAACAGAGCGAAGCGATATCCACAGGCAACTTCTTGACGAACTTCAGGAATGGCACTCATCATTACGAGTGTTATATAATAATTGAGGGAGCCTTTGAGTATGATCATAAGAAGATGACCCGGAACAAGTAAGTAGACATCTACGTTGTTCAGACGTAACGATCTGTCATTCGCTAAACATTCGCAGCTACTTGACCTATGTGGCTTCTACGGCCGATTTTGACTTCGAAAAGAAGGAATGTGTTATGCCCCCTAAGTAAGCATCCCTCAAGTATGGCCGATTACAGCATAGGTTGTTCATGTTCTTCTTAGACCTGAGTTCTCTGCCTCCTGTTGGATGAGCCATTTGGACGACAATCTAAGTCTTAAGGACTTGACCCTACCCGGAACTCGTTGTAGTAGTGCTTCAGCGTCTTGGATCAACGATGCAGGAGACATTGATGCTGAGCCTGAAATCGACGACAAAAAACTAAAAACGAAAATACTCGATATGCACAAGTACCACAAAAGTAGTATTCTCACCCAGTTGAATAGCGGTATCCGCCTTCTGGATCTCCGTTGCGACGCTTCGCGCACACTCCGACATGGGCCATTGACTCTTGACAAGCAACTGGACAACGCACTAGATCAAGTCAAAACATTTCTGGAGGCCAACAAGTCAGAAACGGTCATGGTGATACTCAGCTTTTCGTCTGCAACCGCCGAGTACGACGCCACTAAGCCGTGGTCCGAAGGTTACTCGGTCAAAGTCGACAACGTGCCCGGACACTTCAACAAGGAAGTAAAAAGAGATATGCAAAATGACAAGGTTCTATACACTGGGACGGAGTGGCCTTGTCTTGGGGATGTACGCGGTCAGGTTGTCATCTTTCGTGGATGGGGCCTAGACTCAGATGAAGATCGATGGGCTTTGGATTGCCGATTGCCGATGTGGGACTCCGCGGATGGCTCTCCAGCATTCACCAAGGCCACTGACCTTGCCACGCAGAGATGGAGCGAAATTGTGGAAGACTTTAGCAGCCAGAACTCCCTCAAGTCGATCATCTTGGCGGCTTCGTTGAACCACGACCCCACGAGTGATACCACTTGGATTCCACCTTTGCAGACTGCACCCATCCTTCAAAAAAAGGCAGAGGAACATATCAAGCAGTGCTCGAAGCAGTTACAACGCTTGTGGATTTATGGAGACGACATGGAAGAGAGGACAAATATGGCGATTGCAAAGCTGAACTTTTGGGGGTCGGATGATGAGGGAGTTAGTCGACCGTTGCCTGTCAAGTTCGACACGACGTGAACAAAAATGAGCTGAATAAGATTACTAAACCTTAGTGTAGATGGCAATTACTATGGTTCATTGCGAGGGCAATTCACGCATAAAGGCTCCATGTAGAAGGCAATATCGTTTCTGAAGTATTTAACTACTAAATCCAGATGACGAAGAATGGAATTGGCTAACGGTTGCCTATTGTCCACAAAACACCACATCGAAGATCGGCCCGGTCCTAAGGCCAACCATGGTGGTAACTGCCCAGCGACGCCACTTATGCCCAGAGAAACATTCCGGATGGAGCGTGCTCCAACGGTATTCTAAGAGTTGATTCCAAGCTACTTGGAGACGTTTGCGGATATTGCTCTGGTCATAATGTCACTCGGTTGATGAGCTGAAAGTTCGGCTGAAACACCGCTCGATGCTCTTTACGGTTCGTTGCCCAAGCTGAATGTATTTCTGGAGGTCATATTTACGAATAATAGAAATTATAAGTGATTGAATGAGCCCAGCAAAGATGCGATGGCCTCCGTCTTGCAGGCCAATTTCATGATCACCGAGATGGAACTAGACGAACCGTCCAGGACGGGGTTTGTAATCGATCCATTGAAATGAGAAAAAACAGAACTAAGAGACTCCACAATGTTGATTCTTTGTAGTTTCCTCCCATAGTCCTGACGATCAACTGTTCGAGCCCGTCTTGGTACGGCTGCCAAGAGCTTAACTGTGATCATCAACCATGGAATAGTTCATAGCCTAGCTCCATCGAATCACAGGCTTGATGACCTATTCGGTTGAGTCAGCCTGAAAAAGTAACGGTAGTAGCGGAAAGAATGCATTGCGCTTACCTTGCCAGAAGCCATGTCTTGCATGGCTTGGTTCAGCTGGGATGCCGGATAGATCTTTGCTAACCTATCGATGGGAAATTTGCCGTCTTGATGCATAGCAATCAGCCTGGGGATGAATTCCGGAGGATTCGAGTCTCCTTCGATTACGCCGATGTATTTTTTATTGCTCAGCAAGAACGCTTGTGGATCGAGTTTGATCTTGGCACCGGGCGGCGGGACGCCAACTTGAACGGCGGTACCTAATGTGGCAACACAATCAATCATATCTTCGATGACCTTAAGGATGCCAGTGCAGTCCACAGCAAATGTCGGTCCTCCTCCGGTAACATCTTTGATGTCTTGTACCACATTACGACTGTCTCTGGAGTTGATAGTGTGCGTAGCCCCCAGCTCCTTCGCCAGTTCAAGACGTTCTGGGACGATATCAATCGCAACGATTTGGCCTGTTTCGAGGTAGCGGGCTGCCATCAGCGCGGCTAGACCCACACTTCCGAGTCCGAAAATGACGATAGAATCGCTCTTTCCCGGCTGTATGACATTCAAGACGGTTCCGGCTCCGGTTTGGAGCCCGCACCCGAGTGGGGCGTATACATCTATGTGGTCGATAGCTGATGGGGGACACCTGACGACCGACTTTTCGTTGACAACAGACATTTTGCAGAAGGACGATTGCCCAAAGAACTGACTTCGCACAGCACGTCCGTCGGAAGCTAGCCGAGCTGGGGTGCTGCGGTCGCTGGTGCGTACCGAGTTGATGTTGATAATTGATGAGTCTGGACACAACGCACAGTGTCCAGATTTGCAGGTCTTGCACGTTCCGCAGCTGTTCATTGATAGGAGAACGGCATCACCGATCTGAAGGTCCTTGATTTTGACATCTCTGCCAATGTCACGAACAATGCCTGCTCCCTCGTGACCGAAAATGGCAGGGAACTCGACGAACGGGAGGCCACCTTGCTGCGTGACGATGTCCGTGTGGCCTATAGGTGAAATGTGAGTTATCCGAGAGACAGTTACGGCAGGGAAGCTGCTGGGTTTTACCTACAGACTCCGCTGTACTTCATCTCAATCAGTAATTCATCCGGTCGAACCTCGTCAAGGATAATTGGAACCAGCTTGAAATCGGCTTTGACGTGTTCCACCACATATGCTTCAGTTTCAACATTCTTCACGTCACCAAAGCTCGTGGACTCCTGACCCGCTGCAGCATTGTGTTCGATGTGCACAGCATGTTCCACATGTTCGGTCGCTGACTTGAGACTTTGTGGAAGTGATGCTTTGGTACTAGATGTGATATCCAAAACAGTAGCTGGAAGAGTTGCCATTTTACTTGTTTGACTAGCGGTAGTCGACCAGTTGCTGACAAGGGATTCTATTGAGATCTTTAAGTACCAAGACGGTGACGAACCGACGTTTGGGGAGAAGGAACTCGGAATTATGTGCGGAAACATCTTCCCCGCACCAGGGGGTTGATTCAATGTCGTCTGCAACAACCCCAGGTACCTGATACTCCTCTGGTGCTCGGCATAGTTTCGCTAGCCGGTACCCCGCAGTCCGGCAGTCCTGGCCGGATACTCTGGCGTATTGAGTGTCGTCCTCAACGTTTGCAGATCGGCTATTAATGATTGGAGTTGTGTAGCTTAGATGTAAATGCGGGGTGTACAAGGGTTAGGATAGCGTTGTAGGTGACGGTAACCAAAAAGTGACGGTGTTGGACAATGGACATGAAACTAATAGCAGATCATGGGACGAGATCCACGCTTCTCGAGGACAACGTGAGTCAGTGTAGGCATTACGTTATGGGAGTAAATACCAAGAGACGAAAATAGATGCCTTGTCCCGTATTCCGCTCGGAATCTAAACATCGGAATCAAAAACAGCGTGTATACTGCAATGAGTCAACAAGTATGACACAACCTTCTCGGCTGATCCCGACTCTTCTTACAGTTAGTCAGAAGTTTATGTCCCGTTTCTTGAACACCAGACGCTGATGTAAAGATCTTGAGCTCCAATTGAATTCATATGCAAGATGCAGCAACACCTGTCAATGACCTTCTATTTTGGTGCTTTGGGATATGCCCCTTGGAATGCAAGCCATAGGTCGGAGCTAACTTCCCAAAGCCTGAGAGACACCGTGCATTGAACTTGCTACAGTTGGTCTCTACATGTCAAGTACAGGGCTTATATGAGTTATTGACACAACGCTTGGTCTACATGATTGCTGACAGGCTTTGAAACAACCTCCAAGGCGAATTCTAGTCTCTGTCATTGGGTCCGCCAAAACATAACTAGGTGCTGGAAATCGTCACGGACTTTTGAAGTTTGAGAACATAAATGAAGCATTTAACCTTGCTTGCTGTGGACTTAATGTAGCCACCTGACTTCTAAATTATTTCAGGTACTATCTGATGATAAAATATGGAGCGATCTCTCAACATATGAAGCTGCCAAGCTGACACGCTTCAACCAAGCCAAAGTATTGGGAAATCGACTAGCACTATATTAAAAGCTTTATTAGAATGTCTAAACTTTGATGAGGGGTCGCCGAACCCATAGGCGTGCAGCTGCACTGTCTCACGACACCAGACGGAAGTCATTGCCCGGCTTGCAAACCCCCGCACTCCCCCGCCTCCTTATGATGCAATGTGCTTTGTCGAAGTCGAAGCACCATGGCTGTACTACGCACGACCTGTGTGGTTATTTAAATGAGGGATTAGCAAGCTAGCTTGGTTTGACAATACTGTTGAGTTGGCAGTTAATACGAAGTCTCAGCTACATACCTCCAACCCATATCAATCTAGATATTATCCATGCCATCAAGATCAAGTAACATGGGCGACACAATGACAGGATCAAGACTCACCGGTAAGGTTGTCATCATCACTGGTCAGTACCCCACTATTCGAGTTGATGGGTTGTTAGCTGACAAGCAACAGGCGGCGGCCATGGCTTTGGCGAAGGTATTGCTCGGAAATTCGCTCAAGAGGGTGCCAAGGTCTTAATTACAGACATCAACGAGAACGACGGACAAAGGGTTGCCCAAGATGTGCCTGAATCCATCTCATTCTTCAGGGCAGACGCAGCGAGTGCAGACGACTGGGAGAAATTGATGGACGCGGCGCAGTCCCGGTATGGGCGGATAGACTGCCTGATCAACAACGCCGGCACAACTTATAGAAACAAGGTTCGAACCGCAGATCCATTTACACAGGGCCAGAAACAAATGACATTGACCAAATTGATAGCCCACACTAGAGGTAACGAAGGCTGAGTTTGACAGGGTCTTCAACGTCAATGTCAAGGGAATCTTCCTGGGGACTGCGGCGTTCATGCCTAGAGTCATCAAGCAGGGGGAGGGTGGTGTCATGTTGAATATTGCTTCGATTGGAGCAGTGCGTCCCAGACCAGGCCTCGTATGGTACAACGCCTCCAAAGGGGCAGTGTGCACGGTGCGTTTTCGTCGAGTGAATAACAGTAATTGCATTTGGCTGAATATGTCACAGGCAACGAAAGGGCTCGCAGCCGAGTACGGTACTCACCAAATCCGCGTGAACTCCGTGTGCCCTCTCCTAAGCGGCACCGGGCTGTAAGTTACCATTTCAACCAAACCGACTTTTATCGTCTGACAAAAGCACAGGTTCGAATCCTTTGCTGGCCAGGCCGACACACCGGAGAACCGCTTGAAGTTCATTGACAACGTTCCCCTCAAGCGACTATGCGAGGTATCCGATGTAGCAGATACCTGCCTATTCTTAGCCTCTGATGAAAGCAAGTTCATCACCGGCATTAATCTGGAAGTTGATGGTGGTAGAGCTATTTGACCACCTCCCGATGTTTCATACCTCACGCAAACTTCTCACCAGAAATCAGAAAGCCTTCCGCAAAATGTCCTTGACACCTAGTCTGATCACTCGGATGAGTTGAATGTTATCATTGTAGCGCTGGGGGGGTTCCAATGCTCTGAATCAGCTTCTGTCGTTAGTAATGTACATTTAGGTTTTGGTCTTCATCTCCATGAACTCACTCATGGTCATAAGAATGCCAAAAATATGTACAAGATGCCACCTGAATTATATCGTTGACGGTTATAACGCCTGCACTGTACACATGCTGTCCTGACTATGGTTGATATAGCCGACGATATAACCGGCTATGTGCCCCGCGTTCAGGTTTCGGCTATGTCTACCCCAAGGGAGCCAACCAAGCCACACTAGCTCCTAGGTGCCTTGATGACGTACCTAACCGTGTTTTCATCGGTTGCATCTCTAAGAAGTTAACTTACCACAATTGGATAACCATCATTCCTACCAAGTATCACCTCCTATTACACTTCTGGCCTATTATTGGTGTCCATCTACCATCATAAGTCAATATGGTGTTTCGGAGCATTTTCAAAAAGTTTTGGAAGGCTAACAATCAGGCGAGTACCAGTATTCCGACCACTTCGATATCGTCGCTGACCAATCTTTAGTTGACATCCCGTCGGCAGATAAGACGACTTACGTTGCACAAGTACCAGTCCCATGGTATTCTGAAAGAGGTGATTTGCAGAGCCTACATTCGATATGGCACAGTTAAATACCTAACAGTGTGCTCTTAGTTTGGGATCCCGGTGCCTCTAAGAAAGCTTGCTAATACACCGGCTGAAGCTGAAGCAATCGTCATTGAATTCAGTTGGTACTTCAAACCCAAAGAAAGAGGCACCACTGACAGCAACAGACAGAGCTTGCATATTAGAACTGCCGACTTTGAGAAGCAGCCAAGGAACGGTCACGACCAATGAGGGGTTTGAACGCAATATCAAACATGCCACAGATGCTAAAGCTGCGAGAAAGATTGCCGAAAGCCTACTCGGTGGCCATGTTAAGACAACCAAAAACTCAGGAGGCGAAGTCCCTATCACTCAGCTCCATGTCACTGAGATGATTGAGCATAGAGCCGAATGGTATCTGGCCATCACATTTGATCGCGAGAACTACTGCCCAACAATCGTCGCATCCAAAAGAGGCGGAGTTGACATCGAAACAACGGTCCAGCAATATCCAGAAGAGCTACACATCTTCAACATTGGGTTCACTGAAGGAGTCACACCAGAAGTGGTTGAAAAAGTCTCAAAATGCTTGGATGCCTCTGCAAGGGAGACGGAAAATTTACAGAGTATACTGAGTGGTCTGTACAAAATCTTCACGACCAAAGACGCCACTCTTCTTGAAATCAGTTCACTAGCAAGGTCATCCGACGGCACATTGACATGTTTGGACGCCAAACTCACATTCGATGATGCTGCGAGAAAGCGACAGCAAAATGTTTTTTCATTACGAGATACAATGCACCAGATTCCTGAAGAGAGCGAAGCAGAGAAGTACGGATTGGTGTATGTCAAGATGGACGGCAACATTGGTAACGTAGTGAACGGTGCCGGGCTTGCTATGGCTACTAATGATGCCATTGCGCTTCATGGAGGCGCCAGTGCCAACTTCCTTGATGCGGGTGGTCAAGCAACAAAAGAGACCATGGTGAAGGCCTTTGAGATTATTCTAAGGGACGAGAGGGTCAAGACGATCCTTGTCAACATTTATGGCGGTGAGTCAAACAAGACGTGTATAAAGAGGTGTCTCTAGTCACTAACGTTGTACCCAACAGGAATTACTAGAGGCGACATGATTGCGGAGTCCATCCTCGGAGCAGCGAAGGAACTGGGCCCCCTGGAGGTGCCTATGGTGGTCCGACTCCAGGGCACCAACTCCGAGTTAGGCCTGGAAATCGTAGGTTGATATGTTTGATTGTCAGTCATATACTTGCTAACAAGGTCGTGCAGCTGAAAGAGGCTAATTTAGGACTGCATACGGAGGCTGATTTTGGGAAGGCGGCGGAGAAGGCGGTGGAGCTGGCCAGAAGCAGCATCAGAAGTACCTAGGACTTGAAACACCACCCAGGGTCGACAGCAAGAGCTAGAGCTTCAAAATGTCAATATCGGGACTAATTTAATTGCAGTTTCATCATACTGGGTAGAAGTCGAATGATGATGACACAGAATTTGATGCCCCTGGGCACGTTAGCAAATGATCTCCCCCCTTTCAGCTGGCTGTTGATAGACGAGCCACTTCCAGGATTGATAAAGGCGGGTAAGCCGGAAATTCTTAGTCAAGACAAGATAACATGTTCGTGCCCCAAAGTAGAAATGTGTTACCAAACTTGAATTTTGGGATACTCAGCACAACCTTGAGCGAGCGGTCGGCTTCGGTCTCCAGTCCCGCGGTGCATACTCTAGCTCAGGTTCCATGCCGGGCCCTACTTAAAGGGTCACTGATAGACAGGTGGCGTGGAAAATTCTGTCGGAGCTAATGCTCCCTCTCTCCCGTTCGAGCCGGACGTCAGAATTAGGTTGCCCAGTGCCCGGACGACGAGCCCTTTTTGGAAGGCTTGCGATGGTGTACCACACGCGATTCAACGGGGACAAGGGCTCAACGGGTGGTGCCGTGCAGCGGGGAAGGCTACCCACGCGTTCCCATGGTGTTTAGTTCGGAGTCTGAGTTCTCAAGAGGGGCTGGCCGAGGGTCAGATCTTGGAAAAGCGTGCGAAACGGCGGATGACAGCATCGACCTAGAGTAACTAGGCATGCAAAGCTTCGGGCGATGGAGAAGAGCGATGGCTTTAATTGGCTCGGAACACCACATAGGCACATGGAAAACGGGGAATATGCGTGACCAAAGTAGATAAAGAGGAAAAAGAAAAGAAGGGTCCACGGCAGGCCGAGAAGTGCGACCCCTGTCAGTGTCTCCCTGTGCTTGTAGCTATTGAGGAATCGCTACATTGGGTTGTCGGCCCATGCCAATAATGCCTTGAGTGAGTCGTATCGTCTATTAATGGGATTCATGAACCTAAGAAGCGCGATCAGTATTCGTGCTCCGGTATAGATCTCGAGTCCCCGTAACACAGCAGCTTCTTCAGGCAAGCCAAGTTGGACATCCTTGTGGCCATCCTAATTCGTCCCATTGATCAGGTTTATTCTTATTTTTCGATGACGTTGCAAACTGGACCAAGCAAGAAGTGTTATCATCTCGCATCGTGTGCAATCTCTGCCAATCTTTCCCCAAGCGACAAGTGCTGCCACACCGTTGAGCTGCTGGCATCCCGCTTTTCCCTTTGACTAAAGCACTGCGTAGCCCAGCCATCACACATCCGATCTTCCTAGTCTGAGACTGGGCATCCATTTCTTGAGTGTTTGTGCGGCGCGAACACCCATACCAGTCCATTTCTGGAAGCTTTGCTAGGCCGGAAGACCCCTGCTCTCCCTGCACTGCGTCTGCAAAGCTGGGCTCGACATGCGGTCCAAGGTGCATGGAAAAAGCAAACAAAACCGCTGACTTGGGCTATTGAGTGACCTGAGGTGGTGTTCCATAGGAAAAAGAAATTATTCTCATTCGACCGGGTTCATGAAAACCCTCGCGAGATTCAAAATGGAGCGCCCTTGCTCCATCTTCCATGTGAGGGTTTGGACATTTTGAAGCTTGTCCCTACACCTCCCGCGAAATCCACCTTGTGGACGACCAGGACTGTCACCCTTCCATCGCAGATAGCGGGACAGTAACATGGCGACACAACCTCCTACGATGTCCACTACCGGGGACAGGGTTGTGATCTTCCCCCTAGAGAGGCAGATTCAGGTCTCGGTGGTGGCGGTCTCCATCGCCTTCATAATCATCCCGACTGTCATGGTTACCATGCGCCTTATTGCAAGGCGCATAGCACACAGAGCCATTGATGGGAGCGACTGGTGCATTGTTACAGCATGCGTGAGTTTCCGTGGTTCTCGCTAGCTAGGATGACACTCGGTTCGCTTGCAACCAGGCACGAAATACTGACCCTACTCCTTCCGTTCAGGTCTTTTCCAACGCTCTCCAAGCCGTCTCAATTGTCAGTGTGATGCAATGCGGTGTTGGCTTTCACAACGCAGAGATTGTCCCCAAGTATGGCTTTGGACCAATCATCAAATTTCTGAAGGTTCGTGATCTTTTTCAGAATTATTCAACCACCAATGTTCCCAAGCATCGCAACTGACCCGTCTCATCATCCAGGTCCTCGTCGTCCAACAGATCCTTTGGGCGATTAGTCTCAGCCTCTGCAAGATTGCTATCCTCCTCCTTTACTCAAAGATATTCACAACACGCATGATGGTTCTGGCAGCAAGAATTCTGGCCGGCTTCACTATGATGTGGACCGTGGTCACCGTTCTGATAGCATTTTTCATCTGCCGCCCTCTATCAGACAATTGGTTGCTTGACCTAAAGAACCGCCACTGCGGAAACCAGCCCGCGGCGGACGGGACGATGGGGGTTCTGAACATGATTACCGACATCGTCGTGCTTGTCATGCCTATTCCCCACCTGTGGAAATTGCGCCTTGAGGTGTATAAGAAAATCGCTCTCATGGTGACGTTTTCGTTAGGAGTCTTGTACGTCGTCCTTGGCGAAACCATCCCTGGTGACTAAAGCTGACCATGACACCTTGATTACAGTACCTGCATCGTCTCAGCTTTACGACTGTATTACCTCGCAAACCTCGAATACTATGACGTGACGTTTAACATTCCCAACGCCCTCATTTTCAGCGCCCTCGAGCCCGGCGTCGGTATCACGCTTGCCTGCATTCCGTTTCTCCGACCTATGCTGGGCCGTTCTAGTTATTCACTGAAGGGCACCGCCAATTACTACAGCTCAAATGGAAAATCCGCAAGACTAGTACGGAGTGGCCGAGAAAGCCACGGGTTTGTTCTCGTTGAGAACTCGTCTCAGTACCAGCTCCAACAATACGACCAAAAAGGCTCAATGCCAAAGATTCCCGGAAAGGTCCTGTATAGCAGGGATGGCAGTGCTCGGGATAGATATTAGAATAGATACACGACGTTACGAGGTTATGTTTCATCCACAACCTATATCTTTCCTAGAGCTGTAATAGGCCAACTATGTAAAACGAATCGACGCGTGGGTGAGTATAGCATAACTCGCGAAGGGTCTTCCTGGGATGCAGAAACCCTTCTGGAGTTGTGAGCAGCTCTTGTTGCGTGAGTCAAACTATGGAACCAAAGAGTGTTGAACCGTTCACTCAATGAGTGTGGGCGGTTCCGTCACGTCCTCTGGCAGTTTACTCCATCGACTAGTGTAGACTCTTCCATCCTTGATCACCGCCAGGACATTCTTTTCCGGTTCGTCCAAGATCGACACGTTTTCCAGCGGGTTTTTGTTCAAGATAATCAAGTCAGCGGCAAACCCTTCTTTCACTTGGCCAAGAAAACCATCCTGTCGAAGCATTCTGGCAGCGTTCACCGTCGCGGATTGCAGCACATGCTTGTTGCTGAGCGCCTGTTGACGAATCCCAAACTCTCTGCTCTGCTCGGCTTGCAGAGGCCCGAGCAAGTCTGAACCATGACAGATTGTGATTCCAGCTTCGGCGGCGATTCGAAGTGACTGAAGCCCTCTTTCCAACACTTCCTGGTTCTTTCGCTGGTTTTCAGGAGGCAAGAACCCGGCGTACTTGTCAGACCCCATCGCGTCGTACGTAACCAGAGTCGGAGTCAACCAAACACCTTTCTCGGCCATGAACTCCGCCGTCTCTTTGTCGATGAAATTGCCATGCTCGATGCCAGTAACACCGTTCTCGACGGCATGACGAATTGCCCGAGGCGTATAGGCGTGGGCAGTGACCCAGGTACCATAGCTTCGTGCGACCTCGCTGATGGCCTTGATTTCATCCGCAGTGAACTGCGTATTCTCGATTCTGTCAGTTGGGGATGCGACACCTCCACCAACCATAATCTTGATGAAGTCCGCCCCCGTCCTGAGTTGCTCTCTGGCAGCCCTGATGCACTCCGGTACACCGTCCACTACGTTGGAAAGCCCAGAATTGCCTCCGCAGCACAATCCTGAATGGTCGTGTGCGCCTCTCCGATCGCCGTGGCCACCTGTCTGTGACAAAGCCTGGTTGGCGATGAATAAGCGCGGCCCCGGAAAAACACCATCTTGTATCGCTTCCTTCAAGGCGAGAGTAGCGCCGCCTGTATCGCGCACCGTAGTGAAACCTTTGCTCAGGATCCGGCCGCATACGAACGACTGTCTCAAGTGGGAAACAGTAGCATCCATGTTAAAGCCGCCGTTGAGACCGGCTTCGCCGGGAACAGAGCTGACGTGGACATGGCAATCGATGAGACCTGGTGAGATGTGTCTGCCATGTAAATCGACGACAATGGCACTGCCTGAAGTGTCTACAGGCTCCTCTCCTACACTCTCAATCAATCCATTCGAGATCTTGACGGACGTCTTCTCAATGATGACGCCCTCGGCGGTGTCCACAACGTTGGCGTTGACAAAGAGATAGGTGTTCTGCTTGGGCAGCTTCCATGGCTTGATAAGCTTCTCCGGGATCGCATCCGCGGGCTCGGCCCATCGCCGCGGAGAACCGCGCTGTGGGAGGTTGGTAACGGTGCCTTCGGGGGCCGGAGCTCTGCGAACTGTCATGGCCTCTAATCAATTGAGTAGCGACTTGAAAGAAATAGAGGAGCTGATGTACAAGTGAATAGGAAGGAAAGTCGTTCGTAGATGTGTGCTTGTTGGGGTTTGTGGGGAGTTGATTTCAATGAGGCCGATAAGCCTGGCTGTTGGGTGTTTGCCGGTGCGGAGTCGGCGACTGATGATGAAATACCCTTGACCTCAGGGATCAGTGCGCGAGTCTACCTTCCTGAAATGGTCGGAGGATCATTCGTCCTCTGTGAGGGCCCATGGAAGGATGTGTTTGCGAATCCGAATCCTTATTGATTCAATCAACGCTTTATCGACTCAACAGTGAGGTTGTCAATCAAATTGCAGCGAGTCTCAAGCTATTGAGCAATTCAAACTGCGATGCGCTACTGTAGCAAGAACCCGACAACGGGACCAACGAAAGGGAAAAGTCCAACTCGCCACGTGTAGTCTGGAAGGCAAATTAAATCGTGGTTAAGGTACTTATAACACTTATCACTATTAAAGGTATCAAAAAGTGCTCGACCGATGAACAAGAACGAAAAAATAATCTCCTCGACGGGGAATTGAACCCCGGTCCCCTGCGAATCGTTCGAATGACAAGCAGATATCCTCACCACTAGACTATCGGGGATAAGTGGGTGTGAACGCCCATTGATAGCTGGTTGGTTGAATGTAGGCACAAGTTTAATGAATATGTACTAATATCCTATGCTAGCACAAGCTTCCTCTTTGCTAAGAGTATCCATCTTAGGTAATAGTGCTTTTTAGTCGAATCCTTTCGGAATGACCAACATACCAAAGCAGATGGGCAAAAGGTAGCAACACACGTGCTAAAGGATTCGGACCTTGCGATGTCCATCTTGTGAAACAGTTGACCAGGGCGAATCAAAAGAACGAGAAACCACGGGACTTGATTTGGTTCCATCTATGAAAGGTCCATTGAACTTTACGACACGATGGCATATCTAGGGCCCAGCAAGCAAACAGCGATAAGACCATGGCACTGTAGCGCTTTCTTCAAGCGACCCGAGACCTGGTTGCAGTCCGCCGCCCACTGAATGGCGCCTTTGTACTGCGGCAGATCAGCGACGTAGAGCAGAATCTGACATCATTTAGCATTCTCAGCATAGCCGCACTTGGAATTTGGCTGCCTAAACCACGCTGTACAATCACAAGCTTTTCAGAACTTGGCTCATCATATATACGACAACTGCAGCAAGCGGCAACTTCTTTCCGGTTAGTCGCTTCACATATCCAATAGCAACGAGAACCTCTCACTCGATGGACGGATCTCATAGCACCAGTCTCGGGCCAGAATGCCAAAAGCTGCAACCGAGCTTGGCACCGGCCGGTGCAGCGGTACGAAGTTTCATTTCCGCCCATCCCGATACCCAAGTCCAGTTATCTCCGTTACTGGAGGAGTTGCTTCGCCTGCCTGACCTCGTGGTCACACTTTTGCGCGATGCGACGAGTTCTGAAGGAGAAGAACAGCTTTTGCTAGAGACTCGACAGGTGCCAAGCTTTTGTGCCGACATTGTCCGGCAGATTGAGGGCGCATTCCCCGAGAGGAGCGGATGGCTTGGACGAGGGGATGATGCGTGGAGGAATGCGGCTGATCGAGCAGCCACGTTGGGCTCATGCCTCGCTACGGGCAGAAGAACAATGAGCCTGGCTGTAGATGCTCTAGATCTGTGAGTTGGCTTCGGCGTCTGCTTTGACATCGTAGACAGGCGAACGAAGACTAATTCGCCATTAGAGCCAAACACCTACGGAGAGCAGAGGAAGCCGGGGAATCCCCTCCATATGCCACCAGCGCCATATTGCAGGAGATCAATGCCATCAAAGAGATCGTCAATCGACAGTATCCACCTGAGCAGGCTGCATCGCTACGCAAAGTGGGGATGTTTCTCGACTTTCTGAAGACCTACATCGACAATCAGTCAACCACGGTCCCGGTGTCGGACATGGCGAGACTGAGCGTCACTGCCAGCAACGCTGCCGCATCAACATATTCCATGTCCGGCTCACCGAGTGTAAATGGCGACATTCACGCGGCTCCGACCCTTCTCGCGGCGGCACCGTCACCCGTCACTTTCCTGCACATCGGAAAGGTCGTCATGAACCTAGAAAAAGAGCCCGTCAACATCAGATTCACCTCGGCCAATGATCCGACTTCTTTCGCTGTGTCCAATTTCTTCAAGGATATCAGTCTCTTTGACGCCTCGACGGGCCAACGGAGAAGGTCGATCAAAGTCAAGGGTGCTCACATGGTATTTTCGCCAATGCAGAACTTAGTAGCTGTTACAACGGAACATTTCGATGACGGAATACACCGCAACCCAAAGCAGATCCTTACGTCGCATGATATGGTGCACTTTGAAAGGCCAGCCTTGTATGTCGTCGATTGGGTAAACGACAACGGTCCAAGCCCGAGGCGGTTCACGTTGCAATGGCACGGCATCCGTCCGTACTCTTTCAGCCCTGACGGCCAGCTCCTGGCGATCAAGGGCGTGCGGAATCGGGTCGAAATTGTCACCAGCGCCAAGGGCCAGGGATACAGCGTCCTTCGCAGCCACACCGACGAGGTGACACATGCGGAGTTCACGGCAGACGCTACCAGACTTGTGACCATGTCAAGAGATGGAACTCTGCGAGTATCAAGTATTGAGTCTGGGCGTAACATTGCCAAAATCGAGATCGAGCACTGGAGGAACCCGCTCCAGCTAGCAGTGGCCCCGACGGGCGTGATTGCCTCCATTTGGGGTAGAACAGTTACGATTTGGGATTACGAGACTGGCGCCATGGATAGCTACAATCTCGAAACCGCCCGAGGTAGTGAGGGCATTCCGCTGGCTATCTCACCCGACTTACGGTGGGTGGCGTATCGATCGGATGATGGAGCGGATGTCACTGAACTGGCAACGGGCAAGGTAGTCTACTCGGCAAGACTAGAGTCTGGTTTCGCGGTTTCAGCAGCGTTCTCGGGTAATGGTAAATACCTTGTTGTCGGCAGGTGTATGAATGGCCATCACGCCCGAGCCGACTCTGGAATCCTCAATGTATGGGAAATTCGCACTTAGATAGAAAGGATTTTGCTTCCTGAACTTGGTTCCAAAGGTACCATCAACATTCTCAGTGGCCTGAAAGTTCGGCTCGTCTAAAGAACCTCTAGCAGAGTTGAACTTGGCTATGTCTCGTTATTGCAACGCTACCGCGCAGCTATTGCCTTGTCTCTTTTCTGCAGACAACAAGAACGGGCCCCTTTTCATCATCCAGAGCAAACAGCCAGATCTGGACCGCTCTCTCAATGCACCTACTTGCAACTCGGGGAACTGATACGGCCTGGGTTGATATTTTGACAAGCAATCGACTCTTTCGCATTCGAAACCCATGACTAATCGAAATGATTCACTTGAAAAGGGGAAATAAATGCGTTGTTAAGCTACTTCCCGGTACACTCACGTCCGTAACGTCTATAAGCGCAGAGGGCAAGTAGGAGGGCTTCATTGGTGAAGGTGTAGTAGATTGAAGTAGAAATCAAAGGTGCACCATGTGATTATGCAGGCAAACTAATTTAATATGCACAGCGGTCATCCTCGTGACGTTTCTCTTTTGATTCGATGTCATCATGAACGTCTCTCGTGAATACGAGTTAGCGGAGTTCCGCTATCCTGTCATATATCAACGGCTCACTCAGCATTGCTCGCTCATCAGATCCTGATGTATGGGACTTACTGAGACAAAAGTTTTCGAGCGGTAGATGCAACTTCCCGCAGAGTAGACGACGCTTTCGTACTCCTACAGAGACGGTCAGGTTTTGCGTGATGGGCTCTATCGAATGTCGGTAGGTGATGTTCGAAAAAGGCGAAGGCTACATCTTGCACATCTATCTGTGTCATTTTGGAATTGAGTGGAGTCTGCGAACCGGTCATAGACACAAATTAATCCCACTGTTAAGCAAGCAGTGCTTGAGTTGAAGAAATTCAAGCTGGTAATTACTGTATTTTCTGGGTTGTCAGGAATACTCTCAGTTAGTTAAGTTTCATCCCTCGAAAGTAGTGTTATAGAGACGCGTACTGTATTACAATAACGGCAACGACTTTTGTTCCATTGAAACACTTAATGAGTTCTTTGATGTACGCCCGCTCAGCCAAGTGTAGTGAATATGGTTCAACTTTTAAATGCAACTACATGATGGAATTTCGAGCATTCATTAACTGATTTATGCGTTGAAAGTCTTCGTAATCGTCTCTAGCAACGGCACGAACAACCAGACTGTCACAAAGCATGCTTCTGGCAATACACCGGGGCAGTTCTTACAGTTGCAGTACGTTTAATCTAAAAGCTTTAGGTAAAGCAAGATGTCGAACTCCTTTCAAAGTCAAGGCCTTACAAGTTCTAGGTCTTTTGATTTGTGAACTGGGAACAGGCTCAAGGCAAAGCCGTGAACGAGAAAACTGGGAAACAATGTTATAGGAAATATACTATGTATTCTCCTACGCCCATTCTCCCATAACACAGTTTGTCAAGGCTTTACACTGTGAATGCTGCAATACATGGCGAAAACTGGCGGTGTGTGGTTGTTCAAAAAAGGGCCCGAAAGGCAATTAATTCCCACTTGGCCATAGGATTATCCCTGCGATATCATGATGTCCAGGGATCTGTTCATCAGCTTAACAAGGCTCCTCCTCTTTTCAACCGCCACCCTTCTCTGACAAGCCAGAAGAAAGCCATAGCCGGAGTTGTCAGTAGGGACAACAGCCCCCAAAGACTGCTTTGAAAGCTTGGGGCGCCCATTCACGTGGGAAGTACCAGTCCCAATCACCGCCCCCTCTTCGCTGCCCAACAGTGGTCAAAATGCCGATTGACGCAGGCCAAAGGACGAGGAAAGAAACCACAAAAATTAAACCGATTCGAATGGCATTGTCGGTAAAAGGCACAGTCTGACTCCTTGAGTGCGTTGTATGTTTTCGATCCAGCAACATCAGCCATCGTAAAAGCGGGCGCGAGGGTTCTCTGACAAAGCCTATTGGCCGAACAGCGCCGTTCTTCATGTCGTGCTCGACCAGTATAAGCTCGACGAACCATGTCACTGCTGTTTGGATGAGCATGGTAACTACCGCATCCCCAGCTAATGTGTTGGGCAGCTGGAACAAACGTATAGGGTGCAGTCCCACGTTTTGGGTTGAGTACATGCCTATTTGGCTCGTGTCAGCGGGTTCAAGCTTTTGATTACGTTCGCTAAGGGCCGGGCATTAGAAAACTTACCGTATGCAAGGGCAAAATTGATTCCACCGGAAAGGATTGCAGCACCGATTCCATCAAGTCCAAAGATGTAAAAGATCTGACGGCCAGTAATTCTATCCGTTGGTTGCTTCTCGCGGCTTCCGTTTGGCATTCCAGATTCGCCATTTTCCAGGTCGCCTCCGTTGTCGCCACTAGGATGTACCGGAGGCGTTGTTCTCTCTTCAAAAGACTTTTCCTCTACTTGCTCAGGTTTCCAGAATAGCATCATGTTTGAGTTTGGACATGGGCCCAAGCCTATTTCAAGGAGGGAAGGTGTTATGGTTCTCGAACCAGAACACGTATTCTGGTAAACTATGCTTTCTGTATTTGTTTTGGAGGCAATCTTATTGTCAGAAAGGATGTGAGGAGAGCAGTCGATCAGGAGCCGACAGGTTTTTCCCTTTAAAAAGGGGTTCTCAATGAGGCGGCTTTTGGGTGCCACTCATTTCCCGGAATGACCGGGGGAGTCGTTGAATATTTGTCGCTTAGACGCTTTGGTCAGTGGGTTGTGAGTTGATCAGGTTCAAGCGAACTGCTTAACTCGCCAAACGCTGTCGCACGGAGGAAACAAGGTCTATGATCGTCGCCACCCGTCCCGTAGCGAGCATAGTCAGCGCACAGACTGGATCGGAAGAGCCGGGGTCAACAAGGACTGGCAGATTCCATCTGGTTTCCCCATTGGGATTTCATGCAAGGCGGCAGTTGGACGTATCAATTTGGGTCACTGGTCCTGCAAGCATTTTCATGCATGATCATTATGTCGAGGCGCTTTCTTTCTTCGGCAACATACAGAGGTCATGGGCAGACGGAATCCAAGCTTGAGTTGAGGTTAAATGTGGCTGTGCAACTTGGACAACATGCATAGCTGTTTCCATTGTCAATTATTCATGCAAACCAGAGGAGGGGAGCAGGGGGAGGTCTATGGCTGCGATAGTCCTCGTTCCAAAGACGTCAAAGAGGTATGTGAGAGCCAATGGTCCGTGATCGACCAGCTAGCGGGACCGGCCTCATGGATAGGTTGCCCATGGAAGTTGGGACGGCCCCGCATAGGTGCGACTGATCGACTCCGGCGCGGATAGGGCCATCCTAGATGCAACAGCTTAGATGGACCTCTTTCATGTCCATCGCCGACTGCCAACAACATCCCATTGACATGGATCTCCCCCGATCACGATTCCGTCAAGTTTTGCCTGTCAGTGGCTCACACAGTGCATGGCAGTGGAACACCGCCCACGGTCCAGAAGCCATGAGGAGCAGCGCTCTTGTGCATCTCATGCTCGAGGGGAAACACTGGGTTTTACCCCTCCCTCAAGAGAAGGAAAGGCCCCCATTGAACATGCTGTTCCATGCATTGAGATCGAATGAAAAGCCAAACAAGACCCAGAACATGATATCAATGACTCGTCATCCCTTGAAACATCGCCTTACCGCGCATACATATAGGTGGCTGGCCATACCCGCTCGCGCCCCTTTCCCCCGCCCCCCAGCTTTCGTTCCACCATTGAAAGGGGACATTCAATAGAGTGCCAGGTGCACAGAAAAAGAGTTCTCCAACAACGCTCTCTTGCACTGCAGGTCGCGGATCAAAATATCCAGCACTTTCGTTCATTCTCGAAACTTCTACACCATGCTAGATGGCTACGAATGCAACCAAGACGAAAAAATGAGAGGCCCGTCTATGGACATTGACGAGAAGAGCACTGCCTTCTCCCAAGCACAGATATCAACGCCTGTGAGCACCAAGCTTCCGCCAAGATCTGCACGCTCAGACTGACCATTTTCGCCGTCTAGATGAGGGCAGCTAGGAGGCATACAATCAACACCACCATGATGACCACCATCATTCCAGAACCCACGCCGCCAGCCGTTGACCCTCAACGCCGATTTTCCTGGCTGCCTCGTTCCGCTACTCCCTCCCTTCGCAGCCCCACATTCCGCCGGCGAGCGGCAAGTCCGTTTGATGACGACGATTATTCATACTCTGAGAGTAATCCGTTCGGAGAGGATTTCAGGGAGCAGAATGAACACGCTGAGAGGGACTGGGACCACGAGCACGATCACGACCATGGAGAAAATCCTTTTGAGGACTGCGAGTACGAGTTGCCGCCAGCGGCAGCGAAGAGAGAGGGAACCTGGACGAAATTCAAAAAGGCGATGAGTCCAAAACGCGCGATCAGCAAGTGGAAATATCGAAAGGTTAAGCACAACGGGTTCCAACCAGACGATCCAGACCACGGAGAGCGTGGTGACCCTCATGGGCAAGTTTCTTGATTCGAATCACATGAAGCCTACGGCACTGTTTTGCTGGTAGCCTCTGCCGTAAAGTCGAGATGAGAGTGAGCTTGGTTACTTGACTCTCCAGTAAAGAACGCGCGATACCAACATTTTTCTCGCAACCAGGAGGTTGTCGAGTTGTTTTGTTTTTGGATTGATTCCCCAGGAAAAGGCGTTTCAATATCTTTTTCGTTTTGAATTGCTAGGCTTGCATGGAAATTGGAAGACCAGGTGTCCGCTATATGCAACCCTCAAATTCATGGAATGTTTTCGATCCGAATAAGTCAGGTCTCGGAATTTAGTACTCTCTTTCATGCACTGGTTGCTTCTTAGCACTAAGGATAAACATTGAGATCCGTGGTTCCGTCGAAATCGGACATTAGCTGTTCTAGTACTGGTCACTGAATAGATGCATCACATTGGAATAGCCGGTGGCTCCAGGATGCTGCCTACGTTTCACACGCCGTCTGAAAGTCTGATCTATCCACCAAGCGGGGATGGATTGAAGCGAACCAGATGGGAATAACTAAAATCAGAATTGGCCCAAACTTTGCAACCCGAGAAACTATGCTGAATTACTGCAAACACCGTATGGATAAGAATAACAAGAGGATGACTTGAAGGACTTGCGGCCTTGGAGCTGTAGAAGGTTAGCCAAATTTCACAGCGTAGGCCTATGATTCAAACTCAACCAACGGAAGCGCGGAGTCTGTTTGCAGTTCAAATTCGCAGAAATAAATTTATCTATTTTCTTGAGCGGGTCTTGACATATCTGTATACCTAGTCGTTGTTTCGGCTCGGGTTGGCAGCTAAAGTGTTTGGATCCGAGCTTTTCCTGTCAGAGTCGATATCCTCAACATCGTCTGATGTATTGACGAACCCAGCCTTGTGCTAACATGGGTACACAAACAGATCAACAGGGGCATTGGCAAAATGGTTCTTTGCAAGCAGGCATGTCGCGTCTCGTTGCATCACTGAATACCCTTGGTATGCGCTCAGCTGATGTGCAGCTCCATGCCCAACGATGCTTGGAATGGCCCCAAAAACGATTATGCAGTACTTAGCACCCATAAGTGACCAGGGAATTCTACTGGTTTTTCTCGGAACACTGCTATTCGTGGCTGCTACAGGGGGTAATGTGACATAAGTCTCGTTGATAAACAAGAATATCCAGTAGTATGCAAGTATGTGTGAGGCACGGGACGTGGCATCATCACACCTCCCAAGTGGTTCTGGGACCGCCAGCCAACCATTGATGTGGAGAGAACTATTCCAAGCCTAACCGGCCGACGAATGCACTGCAGAAAGTTTGGAACCGTATCCATAGTTGCGGTCAGCGCAAGCGCAGTCAAGAAGCGAGGCCAAAGGATCTCAGCGATAAGAGCGATGAGTAAACTTGGATAGGATGCAACCCCCAATAGGCTGGGCCAATGACGAGTTGAAAGCAGGATAGTGGGGGGTTTCTCCCCAAAATAGCACCTTTCTTTGGGGCTGTTTTCTTTTAGGGTAGTTTTCGTTTCCCCCCTTTACCCCATCAATCCAGTCGGACCCGAATACCTACTCGCTGAGCAAAGGCCATCCAGTCCATCCGAACCAGGATCGACAGATCATCCCAAGGGCGGGACGACGCAAGAAAATGCCAGGTACTGTCCAGGACTCGTCCGCCTCAAGAAGTGCTTGAGACCTGCAGCTTGCTGCAGCCCCAGAACCTGGCGATAATCAAGTATGGATCAACAACGATCGCCCGGCGGGCTGCCGCGAGGAACCCTCGGTTGTGGAGCTTGATCCAGCCAAGTGGCCGCAATAATCACGTCCTGGCCCCCCATCAAAACTATCTTCCCAGAGCAGGTTTCATGTCGCACGATAGGTAGTCAATGACGGTACGAGAGGTCGATATTGCCGCAACCATGCTCCATTGGGAAGAATGGAGCACGCTGAGCTCCGTCCCTTGCCTCATCGCCAAGTGACGGGTTTGCAGCTGTCGCGGGCTTCTGAGCAATCCCTTGGCACCCGAAACCCCGGCAGAGGTGACGAGAGAAAGCAAAGGTTCTCTGCGGTGTCTCTGTCGTCCTTACTTCAACTCCTTACGGTACGATCCGTTAGTCGTGGAGACATCTGGCCTGTCAACATGAGAAACATCTCACATCGATTGGCAGTCGACCACCTAACTGCCTACCTAGTCGAATGGTACCGGGCCCAGCACCGGCCCCAGCACCGGCCACTTTCACCCAGAGACAAAGGACTTTAGGGTTTACCGACCGATGTCACGTCACTCGGCCTCCACCTGGCGGAAGCCTCAAGCGCCGCACTGCATGGGCATGGCGAGAAGCCTTTCCGAAAGAGGCCGAGCCTCTCGCTCTTCAGCTGCCCTCTCTACCTCCCTTCCCCGTCATTCTCACTGGCTCTTCCCATCTTGTTCCCTGATCTTGGGTTTCTATCTTTGCTTTTCTCGTCACCCTCGCGCGCTGGCGAGACACGATCCACACTGGGGCCATCAGCTCGAGTCCAAGCGTCGGAGGCACGGCATCGAATCCAGTACGCCTTGCGGCCCCGGGGCTCAAGATCTGGTTCGGTTGGGCTGCTCGGCCGCACTCGATCAGCAATGTGATGTTGAGGATTTCCAAGCATCGCATCTGGCATTTTCGCATTTCTGATCGCGCCAAGGAATGACCCGCGCACCGCCGGAGAGATATGCCACGGCGATATTTGTATTTCCAGCCACAACTTCGAGAAGGGATCTAGCGGGGTCTTCCTCGCGGCGACAAATCGTGGTTCCCGGGGCCAGGGCGGGAAATCAGCACGCAGCTTGGCATTCCTCGACTCGAAGTTGACCAACCAAGCACAGGGCAAAGTCAAGTTTAGCTCCCGCGGTGACATCTTTTTGAGCGAGACATTCGTCCATCTTTTTGACAGGCTGACTCTCGGCCATTGAGCCTCTTTCGACCGCCCATTGCGTATGCGATTCCCGCCCACAAGATAGCGGGAATGTCTCCGGGGCCACAATTGCGATGAAGCTGTCTTACGACTTTAGTTGGCATTCCGTCCGTGTTTTCGTCTCAGCTCGCTCGTCCGTTCTGCTTGTCCAAGACACATAGCTCTTTGCAGTCCTTTTGAGGCTGGCTAGGCGCGAAGCGACGTTTCTGTCTCACGGAGACATAGAGGCAGAGGCCAACAAACCGGTTTGCTCATGCTCTTAGCATCCCATTTCGCTTTCCCATTCTGCTATTGTGGCATTTCCTAGTCGACGCCATCATATCTCAATATCCTTCCGAACATGCCCAGTCTCACCGAGTAAGCCGCCCATTGACATCTGCGCTAGCTCCAAAGCCTGCTTCTTCCAACAGTTAAGCCTCTCAACTCGTAAGCTACGGCTGCATCCACGATGCAGCTTGTTACTAAGATATCCTCCTTGCGCGCCACGTTCTACGGCCAGGGCTGTTGCTGAGGAAGAAAGTCTGGTATACTAGATCTGCCGACCAATCCCGCGCGGGCTTATCTGAACCCGCTCATCAGCACCGCTATTTTGAGACGCGGCCACCGGCTTGGCCGCCTCCACTACGACAGCAACCACAGCCTTCGACGCAACCACGCGGCGTCGATTTCTCCCCTGTCTCGAAGACTGCCCCTACGCCACGTGACTGTATCGGAGACTACCATGATTGTACATGTCACCGTCGATGGTCTTGGTCGGTTTCTTGGAAGGATTAGGTCCAACGTCGGTAGGTTCTATTTTCGCAGCACTGTGGTCGCTACCGCCAGCCATGGCGCACGTGGCCTTCGAGATGCCAGACATGCGAAGGGTGGATGAAGACATTCCCTGAGGATCATGAAGGGAGTATATATCGTACCATCAAGGCCCCCTCAACTCATGATGGTATCTTCTTTAGTCACACAAGGAACTAAAGCACACTGTCTACTGGTCTCCTGTCATCTTTCCTGGCCTCTTTGCTTTTTCGATTTTCTTCATTTTCCTTTTTTCATTTGTCCCCCATCTTCTCGATTAGATTTCCTTTTGCAGGTCTCCCATCGCCTCGTTTTCCTATATCATCGTCGTCCGTATACCTTGGACCGGGTCGCCGCCCTCTTCTGTCCGCTCTCCCTCCATCTCTCTTGTAAGTCGATCTGAGGATGTGGGACGTTATTAAATGGTGACACTGACCCTTGGTCTTAGTTGCTTTTATATGTCACTTATCAAAATGTCTTTTACAACATCGTCCTCTGTTACTCTTCCCGTAGGTGAAGATGTCGAACTGGAACAGACAAGTATGACGAGCAACGAGTGCAGCTCCGAATCCAGCCTGACACCTCCTACGAGAGCCTTACTCTTGAGCCGCAATTCGTCTTCTCGCACTCTTGTGGTACCCGACGAATCTGCCGACCCGAGCCACCAGACCTGCTCGACCACCGCCAGCTCTACCGACGGTGACGACGACGACGAAGATGACGAAGATGCAATCACAGTCCCATCAAAGAAGGGCACCCGAGCTTACCGCTATCTCCGTTGGAACTTTGGCTCCGTCTACAGACGCATCTTCACAGTCGCCTTCCTCGGCAACATCGCGGCCCTCATCTTTGTCGTCATCCGGTCCCTCATCGGGGGCCCTTCCTCCCGCCTCACCCCCGAAACCTGTGCCACCGCCGTCTCGGCCAATATTCTCGCCGCACTCTTCATCCGCAACGAGCACACTGTCAACGCAATGTTCAAGGTCTTCGTTCTCCTTCCGGCCAAGACTCCCCTCGCCGTCCGCCGTGCCTTCGCAAAGATTTACTCGTACGGCGGCATTCATAGCGGCTGCGGCGTCGCCTCCTTCTTCTGGTTCGTGGCCTTCCTCGTGGTCCTCACCGGTGACTTTGAGAACCCCAACGCCATTCGCGCCTACATCCTCCTTGACAGCTATCTCATCTGCACCCTTCTCGCTGCCATCATCGGCTTCGCCCACCCGAGGGCCCGCGTCCTCCTGCACAACTGGTTCGAGGGCACCCACCGCTTCCTGGGCTGGTCCGTTATCCTCCTCTTCTGGGCTCTCGTCATGATGCTTGCCGAGGACAGCAGCAGCACCGCAGGAATCCCTTACGCCGCTTCACTCGTCATGACCCCATCCTTCTGGATGCTTATCGTCATCACCCTCCTGGTCGCCTACCCCTGGACGCGCCTGCGTCTCCGCGATGTCGAAGCCGAAGCCATGTCCAGCCACGTAGTCAAGCTTAACTTCAACTACGCCGATGTCCACTACGGCCAAGCCGTCCGCCTCACCGACGCACCCCTCCGTGAAACCCACGCCTTTGCCGTGATCCCCAACCCCGCGGCCCCCTCGACCGCCGACGACGCCGAGAAGGCCCAGCAAGGACTCTCAAACGCCGGCGAGAAGGGCTTTTCTGTGCTGGTCTCCAACGCCGGCGACTGGACCGACAAGATCATCAAGAACCCGCCCAAGAAGATTTGGACCCGTGGCGTCCCGCAGTATGGCGTGCTGCGCGTGGCCGGCCTCTTCGAACCCTGCATTGTCATCGCCACCGGTTCCGGCATCGGCCCTTGCCTGAGTCTCTTCGTGCAGAGGCCGGACCACCCGGTGCGCATCATCTGGTCGACGCAGCGGCCCGTCGAGACGTACGGCCAGGCCGTCATCGACACCCTCTACAAGGCCGACCCCAACGCCGTGATCATCGACACCAAGAAGACGGGCCGGCCTGACCTGGTCGCCATCACCTACCGCATCTGGGAGACCAGCCGCCGCCAGGCCCTGGGGCTCGCGCAGAATGAGGGCGTCGCCACGACGAAAAGGATGGGTCCTTGCGAGGCGGTCGTCATCATTTCCAACCAAAAAGTGACAAGGAAGGTCGTCTACGGCCTCGAGAGCAGGGGCATTCCTGCCTACGGTGCCATCTTCGACTCGTAGGCCACCTCCCCCTAGCACGGGCCGATGTGTTTTCTTTTTGTTGTCTTGTGGATTTTTGCTTTTTTTGCACCCGACCACCATGTGGTTTCTTTGGTGCATACATTGCACAATTGCATAGCGAGCATTGGCGGCATAGCAGGTGTTTTTAGCGGGTTATAGACTTGGCTTGGCTTCTTTCTTCTTTGCTTCACGTTGCTGCTCTCGCCCGGCGAAAACCACAATAGACTTATCTTCAATCATCTTAGCAGATGTTTTAAGTGATGCTTCAGGTTGTTTCTCTGGCCCTGACGCCGAAACAGTATTGTTGTCATAAGTTGCTATGGTAACATTGCTGCAGGGCTGCCAGATCGACTAACAGGATATAATCTATGTTTTGAGAGCTTCAGTCATCAGCCAATCAAGGCAATCCGATGGGTCGGTTAGCTCAGTTGGTTAGAGCGTGGTACTAATATTTCACCAGAAATGTTGAGTAATGCCAAGGCCGGGAGTTCAAGCCTCCCACTGATCACTTCTTTTGCAATTCGAGGCAGTTGTCAACCTCGTTGCATGAAACACCTTTTTGATTTTGGTGCTTTTTATTTTATTTTGATAGAGTATCTTTCAATCTTCACCGTGGAAAAGAGTTTGGGGAGTGAGCGAGGCATGCACGCCTTTTGGGTACACCATTCCGTGCACAGTCTACAAGTTCTGGAGGATGCTCTCCACCTGTTAATAAACCGTCATTTTGCAAGGCACACACACACACACAGCGCAAGCATAGCGCTTAAGAGGGCCTGTCGCTGTCGCATCACACACTGAAATTACCTACACAATGTTTTCTTGTTCTTTCTCTGTCCCATGTCCAGTCACCACTGCCTCACTCCACTCCATCCATAACAAACACCACGCCAAACTAAAATGTCGATATATCTTCAGGTTGCCACAACATTAGTCATCTAGACTCGGCGTCTTTTTACGATTACCCATTCCCGACTAAGCAACGTCGAGAAGGCCTCCGTTGCATCCATCTCACTCCAACTCGAATGTCGAGATTGCCTCCCTCGCGGTCCCAGCGAGAACAACCGCCGCTTTGGCAAAAGGGTGACTGGCCCTCGTCGAGACGCCGGATCTGGACTCGGAGCTCTGTCCCGCTTCCTCGTTGCGGCTCGCCAGCACCCGAATCTCATATATTACCATGCCCACCGCCAGTCGAGTTGGGCGCATGTGTGACCTCTCTCTCGCAACAAGCCGCCATGTCAATTGCTTGGCTTCACCAATCAACACCGTTGCCGACTTCTCGTCGCCCTTGGCTTCGGGCGACGCAATACCGTACCGTCGCATCGCGGCGAGCCGAAATGAGCCATGCCATGGCGGGGCAGCCTCTCTCAAATTAACCGGCCTTCGCCTTCTTTTGCCCCTCCCTCTTCCGATTGCCATTGACGCCTACACAAGTCGATGGATGCACGAATCCGTGCAATCATGCCTTGGCTGGCATAAGTGGTCAACAAAACAGCGAGGTCTCGCTGCCCTTTCTCACTCTCAAGTTCGAATGGACTAGTCTCGACTCGTCGCACACGACAGGCAAGACACTGCAAGCCGCCTCCCCAGACACCTGCGTTGTTACAAGATGACAGATAGTGTTTGCTTCTGCGGCATCCCCGCACTATATGAGAAGCTCTGTGGCGTTGTCTCGGCACAGAGGATCGAGAAACACGCAACGCACGCCAGCATAGAGGCAGCACGCGCCAACATGGAGGCAATTTGAGGCACATGGTTGATGTGCCTCAAAGGTCGCATTCTGACGAGCTACTCCTGACAAGAGGCCAAGAGGTGCTAGTTGGCGAACCTCGACGACCCCCCGGCCAGAACCCCCCCGTTCAACTGGGAAACGCGGGTCGAAATGCCGCACCGTAACGTGGGGAAGCGCCGTGCTGCCTCCGCATTCCCGTTCCTGGCAGTGCGCTGCGCGCCTGTTTCGACCTCACTCGACTGTTCAAGAGTTGCGAGACATTCCATCTCCCACGTGTATCCAGAGTCGTGAAGACTACGATGTTAGAGACACCAAAATGTCCAACAACGTCGTCCTTCGGCCTGAAAGTTTCTTCTTCTCGCCTCGTCTTGTTTCTTATTCCTGTGCCTGGTTCGTCTCATGAGCAAACATCCGTGCCTCCCCGCCCACCTCACCATGCTGTCATTCGCCCCTTCATCTAGCTGCTGCTTTCTCCCACTGCGTCTGGTAGATTGATGTGCTTGGATCAACCCCGGTCATGAGGCTTGACCAACAAAGGCAATCAGCACTGTTACATTCCGTAGCAAAGTCGTCCGGCCCCACCACTTCTACCAGACTCGTCCATAAACTGTCATAATGTGAAGGGCTTGGGCAAACATTTCCTCCTATCGGCGCACTTGCAAACCGTGCATCCATCCACAATCACAGGATTCGTGACTGGTCTAGATGGGCGACGAGAATCTGTAGTCATGTGTCAGCTGTGACGACCCGAAGGATCGCTGTCTCAAAGGGGAAAGTAGTAGATGCCTGGATGGCGGGCGAGGGACAACATCCAAGGACGTCTTGGACCGTTCCTGTTGCCCCTTTAAATGCTCGCCGGTCCCTTCCAGTTGAGGGAGGCTCCGAGCTCTGGTTCTGGTTGTTAGACCTGTTGACGTTGAAGTCCGGCATCATGATGTTCTTCAGTCGCACCGGTGCTCTGGCGGCAGCCCTTCTGGCAGCCACGCCACGTAAGTTCTCCCTTTGCCATTGGGGACTCATCTACTAACATTAATGCGCAAGTTTTTGATGGAGTTGCTGCCCAGTCAAGCACCCCGACTATCTACACCGATCCGGGAACCGGTATCGTCTTCAACACCTGGTCCGCCAGCACTGCTCAGACGGCAGGGGGCATGACCTACGGTTTTGCCTTGCCCCAGGATGCCTTGACTACAGATGCCAACGAATACGTTGGCTACCTGGTATGTACGCTATTCTTCCTTACATTACCCTCAGTTAACACTCGCCTTCCAGCAATGCGCCTCCAAGAACGGCCAGGGCACCGGCTGGTGTGGTCTCTCCCTCGGGGTTCTATGACGAACCAGCTCCTACTCCTGGCCTGGCCCAACGCCGGAGAGATCCTCACCTCCTTCCGTTGGGCAGCGTCATACGACATGCCCCCGGTTTATGCGGGCGACGCCAAGCTCACCCAGATCTCGTCGACGATCAACGCGACGCATTACACCCTTCTCTACCGCTGCCAGAACTGCTTCAAGTGGAACCACAACGGCGTCACCAACAGCGTGTCAACAAGCGGCGGATTTTTCATCCTCGGCTGGGCGCAAGCATTCAGCAACCCGACCAGCCCGTCTTGCCCCGCCGACGTCCATCTGGTCCAGCATGAGAACCAGGGCATCCACGGCGCCGGCCTGGACGCCAGCATCGCGAATCCGTCGTACTCAGCTTGGGCTGCCCTGGCAACAAAGACCGTCACCGGCAACTGCGGAGGCGGCTCCACGACCACCTCCGCGCCACCCTCGTCCACAACAACCCGAGCGCCCACGGGGCCCACGGGCGTCCCCGTTCCCTCGGGCACATACGACTACATCGTGGTCGGCGCTGGAGCCGGCGGTATTCCTTTGGCTGACAAGCTGAGCGAGGCAGGCAAGAGCGTTCTTTTGATTGAGAAGGGTCCGCCGTCCTCCGGCCGATGGGGAGGCACCATGAAGCCCACTTGGCTCGAGGGCACCAATTTGACCAGGTTTGACGTCCCGGGCCTGTGCAATCAGATCTGGCGCGACTCGGCTGGCATCGCCTGCCAGGATACCGACCAGATGGCTGGGTGTGTTCTTGGTGGAGGCACCGCCATCAATGCTGCCCTTTGGTGGAAGGTAAGTCCACCTGACGTCCATCGAGAGCCCGCATACTAACCCCCCATAGCCATATGCCCAAGACTGGGACTACAACTTCCCTACCGGCTGGAAGTCAGGCGACGTCGCCGCCGCAACAAGCCGCGTCTTCTCCCGCATCCCTGGCACCACCACTCCCTCCCAGGATGGCAAGGTCTACCTCACGAACGGCTTCAACGCCATCGCCGGCGGCCTACGCACCGCAGGCTGGAAGGAGCTTGACCTCAACGCGAACCCCAACTCCAAGAATCGCACGTTCGGAAAGACACCCTACATGTACTCCGGCGGCGAGCGTGGTGGCCCCATGGGGACGTACCTCGTCTCGGCCAGCAAGCGCGGCAACTTCAAGCTGTGGACCAAGACGGCCGTCAAGCGAGTGGTTCGCACCGGCGGTCACATCACCGGCATCGAGGTCGAGCCGTACCTGGACGGCGGGTTCGCTGGGACAGTGAACGTGACTTCCGTCTCGGGCCGCGTGATTCTGTCCGCGGGCACGTTCGGGAGCGCCAAGGTCCTGCTGCGCAGTGGTATCGGGCCGGCAGATCAGCTCGAGGTCGTCAAGGGCTCCGCCGACGGGCCGACAATGATCGCCAACTCGTCTTGGATTAACCTGCCTGTCGGGTACAACCTCGAGGATCACACCAACGTAGGTCCAACTACTACTACCTTGCTTCAAGCTCGAGGCACATGCTGACTGAAGTAGACGGATTCCGTCGTCACGCACCCGGACGTGCAGTTCTATGACTTCTACGAGGCGTACACGGACCCTAATGTCACCGACAAGAACGCCTATCTCCAGAAGCGTAGCGGTATCCTAGCGCAGTCCGCACCAAACATCGGGCCCCTGTGAGTTGAAGTCATTAACCCTCGACTATAATGTCGTTGCTAACCACAGGTAAGGTTCTTTGAGGAGATCAAGGGTGCCGACGGCATCACTCGTCAGTTGCAGTACACAGTCCGCATGGAAGGCAGCCTTGACGTTCCCGACGGCAGTAAGCACTCGTACCTTATACTTGTTTCCGCGTACACCCCTCCTCCGCGCTTCCGGAAACTGACTTCTTTGCAGAGGCCATCACCATCAGCCAGTACCTCGGTCGCGGCGCCACCTCCCGCGGCAGGATGACCATCGGCGCCAACCTCGGCACCGTCGTCTCGACGGTCCCCTACCTACGCGACAAGAACGACGTCGAGGCCGTCATCAAGGGCCTCGAGAACCTGCAGACGTCGCTCAAGAGCGTGCCCAACCTCATCTGGAACTTCCCCCCGCCGGGCACCACGGTCCGCGACTACGTCAACAACATGCTCGTGTCGTACTCGAACCGCCGCGCGAACCACTGGATCGGTGAGTCCCACGCGCCGTTCTCCTCTCTGTCTCGGCAGCCCCGCTGACACGCACAGGAACTAACAAGATTGGCATCAACGACGGCCGCGGCTCCGGCGGCGACGCCGTCGTCGACCTCAACACAAAGGTCTACGGCACCGATAACCTCTTCGTCGTCGATGCTAGCATCTTCCCCGGCATGGTTACGACCAACCCTTCCTCTTACATTGTCGTCGTCGCCGAGCACGCCGCTGCCAAAATCCTCGCCCTCGCGACTGCAACTGCCCAGCCCCTCTATGCGCAGTGCGGCGGCTCGACGTGGAACGGTAGCTTCCAGTGCGCCTCCGGGTTGAAATGTACCGTCAAGGACTCGTACTACTCTCAAGTACGTTCTTTCCCCCATTTCCAGTCCTCTCTCTCGAAGCTCTCCTGTAAGCGGACGAACACGAGTATGACGATACTGACGTGGTTCACAGTGTCTCTGAGATGGGATCCAGGGCAGGGCATCAAATCTAGAAGAGCGCACGTGGCGCGGTCTCCACCCCATTTCTTCACACGTACATAGTTCCATTTTCAAACCTCAGCCTCCAAGTATATATTCCTTGGTCCTCGTAAATACTACCACATGGACCCGCGGCCGCCTTCTTGAACCACGCTCCTCGGCCCCGTTACTAACCATGCGCGCCAATGAACGCTGCACTCCGCACCATGCTTACCCCACACGCCTAACTGACGTAGCATCCGAGGGGAGGGCAGGATGCCAATCTCCCGGCACCCGGGCCATCCCCGCCTTCAATTAGCGTTGTCCAGCGTTCCCTGCCGAGTGCCCCAGAGAAGCTTTCGGCGGTTCGTGCCTGACGCACTGGCATGTGCCGAGAGGGAGGGGCAGACAACGTGGGACGAGCGGGCCACCGGCTATGTTGTTGCAATTTCCCTGATTCGAGCGTCTGCGTCGAGTCGTTCTAGCTTCCTTTTAGAGTCGTAGACATATTACCTCTTTTGTTCCGTGCTTGTTCTCGTGATCAGAGTTTCCCGTAAAGTGTCTGGCCGCCCCCCCTCCTAAACATCCGGTGCAATTTTCCGCATCGCATGCCATCCGCGCCCCCGGCTCCGCTGTCCCCGTCATGTGCGTCCCTCGTTGCCCGAGCTGCCCCTACAGCCAGGCAATAGACACAGATCTTCCAGGGCGGCAGAGAAACTAGCGCTTAGGCAACACTGTGGGTGTGAGGATGGCCGACCAGTTTAACCTTAGAGCCGGGGGTAGCGGAGCCAGGCGCGTCTCCCTCGTTGGCGTGCTTCCATCTCGGGGTTTCGCTGAGAAGCTCCGCCGCTGCAAATGTCATGATATCCGCCCCCGTCATGACTCTTGCCGAAACGGAACGAGGGCGCCCCCTCCATCTATGACGATGTCCAAGGACCGGCGCTGCGTTTCCCCAGACTGCAGGGGCTGGCAGCTTCAGTGGATGTGATAAAGACTGCATTCCCCCAGTCTCGAATGCCCTTTTGTCCTTTCTTCCCCAGTGTCTTCACGATACCATCCAGACACCGCGCACTGCCCAGCATGGTCTCCCTCAAAACCCTCCTCGGCGCCGGCCTGGCCGCGACCTCGGCCCTCGCCAACCCCATCCAGTCCATCGACTTCACCGGCTCCTCTCTCGCGCCGCGCGCCGACCCGAACCTGACGGGCTACCTCGGCGCCTTCTTCCTCGGCGCTGATCCGTACGTCTACCTGTACCTCTCCAACGGCAACAACCCGACCTCGTTCCGCGCGCTCAACGGCGGCTCGCCGGTGATCCGTCCGACAAAGGGCACCGGCGGCGTGCGCGACCCGGCCATCGTCGAGGGCGGCGGCGCGCAGAAGGGGAAGAAGTGGTACATTGTAGGCACGGACCTGGATATCGGAAAGGTACGTTCCTGTCGGCCGTGAGGCGTTCCTGTCATGAGAGTCATGAACCCGGCGTCCGCAAATGAGGACCCGTGCTGATCGTAGTTTTGTTAGACGACCTGGGATGCGGCCCAGAGACAGGGGTCCAAGGGCATCTTCGTCTGGGAGAGCACCGATTTAGTAAACTGGAGCAGCGAGAGGCTCGTCGTCGTTGAAAACGCCAACGCTGGCATGGTCTGGGCCCCCGAAGCCATCTGGGATCCGACCAAGGGGCAGTACCTCGTCCACTGGGCGTCCAAGTTTGTGAGTATTCCCTGCGGTTCTGCCTCTCTCGATGTAGACACCCGGAATTGACCGCCGCCGCAGTATCCCGCCTCGGACCCTAACCACACCGGCGCCCCGGCCCCATTGTGATTCGCTACGCCTACACCTCCGACTTTCGCACCTTCTCGGCGCCGCAGACTTACATCGACAAGTCGCCCACCAACATTATTGACCTCAACATTCTGCCGACGTCGTCCGACGGCCGCTCCTTTGTGCGCTTCCTCAAGGACGAGAGCCTCAAGACCGTCTTCGTCGAGGTCACCACCACCGGCCTGTTCGGCACGTGGACGCGTCCCGGCGGGAGCTCCGCCATCATAGCCAGCGGCGTTGAGGGCCCCGCCGCCTACTGGGACAACCAGGTCGCCGGAAAGGCGCACGTTCTGCTCGACTTTTATGGCGATGATGGGTACCGTCCGTACGAGACGACCAACGTGGCCAGCAACTCGGGGTGGACCGCCAGCTCGCGGACCGGATTCCCTAGTGGGCTGAGACACGGCGGCGTGCTGCCGATCAACCAGACGGTGTACGACGCCTTGGGAAGACGCTGGGGTTGAATTGATTAAAGTAATAGTATTCATGTAAATAATCCCCGCGCGGGCCAGCTGTATATGCAAACATGTTCCCCGAAACGCTAGGCGACAAAAACTTGGTTGCCTGAGTATATTTGATGTCTTCCGTCCGTCGTGGTGGTGTCCGTGGTCCTTGTCGCCATGCTCTGGTGACCTTGGAAGCTGGTACCATCACCTTGGCTTTCGCCCAATTCAGGCGACATCCAGATTCCCAACAACAATAGCCAATCTGGCTCGACTCCTGGCTTGAACTCCGGCGCGGCATGATGTTTGATAGAGAGGACACCTATATCACCCGCAGCATCGCAGTCCCGATTTTGATCCTCACGAGATGCGGCTAGTGAGTAATCATTCATCGTCCTATTCAGATCCATGCCTTATTATCAATCATATCTCTCTGATGAGAGTTCCGTGGCGTTGTCGCTGGTCCCCGCCGAGCTAATGGCTTGTACGTCGGACAAGCGCCGGCTGTCGTCGGGTGCTGAGCTGTGCGACACGGCCACGAGCTGGTTAGGGGCTTCGGAGGCTGTCGGGGTGTAAATTGTCACCGTGGGAGCCGAGCGATAATGGCTCTCAGGACCAGGAGAACCCACGGCCGACTGGCGGTAGTAACCCTTGTAGGAGTTCAAGTGATACGCGGACTGCAACGGAGGTGATCGAGGTTCTGGTGGGGTGCCAATAGGGGCCATGGGGGAATAGGCATATGGCTGGTTCATGACGCTTGGAGAAGCCCCGCTCTTTGCCCGGCGGTTGCGTAGCCAGATCCATACAATACTGAGCACGGTAAGACCAACGACCGCCAGACCGCCGACGATACCGCCGACAACGGCGCCGACAGACGTGGCAGGCGAAGAGGCCGGAGAAGGATCTGTTGTCGTCGTCTCTGTGGCAATGGTTTCGACAGTGGAGGCCGGCGCCGTTGTGATCGACGAGTTTGATGCCGAGCCCGATGGTGATGTGGTAGTTCCCGCTGTCGTCGACTGGCCCGTGGTCTCGAGAACAAGCTTGTTGCCTTTGGCGCGGTTATTGCCGCAGAGGAAGCCAGTGATTGTGGCAACTGAGTTGGAGGTTAGCGGCTTGATCGCTGTGACGCAGAGGGGAAAGTCGGTGTTGAAGTTGCTATCGTTATGACACGTTAGCATACGAACAAAGACATTGTAAGGCGAATCTGTCAACACAGAGTAAGGACTATGAGTTGAGACGAACCAGCAGAGCGTGCCAACACCCTGGCTGCTTTGGCTGCATGATGAGTTGAAGCCATCGAGGCAAGCCGTGAACGGTTGCGATCCTGCTGTACAGCCGAAATTGCTGCCTTTTCTGACACAGGCCTGTTTGGGGTAGCAATCGAATGCCTCGCTGTCTGTTGACGGATGTCAGTGTGTCGAGCTCAAAGCTGGCTAAAAAAGCAACATACTATACACGTAGTATCCGTACGTGGGACCACCATCCTGTCTCTTCAGAGCCATTGCCGCGAGCCGCGGGTTGGGAGGCGACGTGGGCGCAATAGACCAATCACCGACTTCATCACGGGCTTGAAGTGTTTGGGAAGGTACTGTTAGGTTGTGACGGCCAATTTCAACCGATTCGGCTGAGAGAACTAGGCCTATAAGAAGCACAGCTTCTACTACCGCGAACATGACGATGGCAGCGCGAGAAGTCACGATAACTAAAGTCAAGCCAATGGAAGAGATGGCACAACGGGAAAGGGGCCTAGGTCGTCTACGCCTTGTCTGATGCAGCCGCGAGTTCGCAAGATTATGAAAATCGAGTGGGAGGAGTGTTGGGACACTAGAAGGAACAAGTTCCCGAGAGGGATCTAGAAGCGGCAAGGCGGGTCAAAGGTCTCGTGCGCGGACAGTGAAAGGGGCTGAGCCAGATGAAGTATGAAAGCAGGTTGGAAAACAAGAGTTCCCGAAGCGGTTGCTGTGTAGCTCGCTACGGATGACAATACGCAAGAACAGAAACCTTGCAGGGCGTAAAACAATTGAACGGCTGTTGGACTTGCAGGAAGGAGATGCAACGTTTGCGGGATCAACATATGTCTTATTCAATCTCGCCAGCTGCGCCTCTGAGCGGCTTCTCGCTTCAAAGCTCTCGAGTGCATGCAGGGGATGGGCAAGAAAGGCGCGAATCTTGGAGGAATGGGCCCATCTCAGCCTCAAAGGCAGTGGTCGAAATGGTAGGGCCAAGTTCCAGGTCCAGTAGTGGACGATGGAGGCAGAGTCCAGCAGATGTATGATGGCAAGAGAGACACGATTTCGCTGGTCATGGGGACACTTATGCCGTGACAGTGGCGAGCAGACATGGCTGCGACTGGCGAAGTATTGACTATCCCTGCACTAACAACCGGGGGCAGAGGGGTTTCAAAGACACCATCACCAACCCACACGAACACCGTAGTCCAAGCCGTCGGGTCGAGGTGGTGTAGGCGGCCATGTTGCTCCCAGGCCATTGGCAGTGGATTCATTTCAATTGAATGGCACTCGTCAAAGACATCTGGTGGTTTCGGGATTTCTACTTTAAGAGCATCGTCCTTGCATCGTACCGATTGATATCTTTGATGATTCGAGGGAGTCGACAATATAAAGACGATTAGCAAGCAGAGGAGAGTAGATGGAACAGATAAGTAAGAGGATAAGGCTGCGGGCAGCTCCAACATGAAGGCGTGTAATGACGACTGGCAATTTTGTGGCCCAGGCTTCGGTCCAATGCTTCCCTACTTCTATTCTTACAGTTATCACAATATGTGTGCTTGGTCCTTCCGCCCACTTCATCTGGTCTTGTCACACGTGAGCACAATGGACATCATCGGTTGCTTTCATATACAAACTTCCGTTCCATAGATCCGCTGTCTTCTATTTACAGGGAGTCATGAATGCGTTATGAATTTCCATTTTGCTGTCGAGTACCTCACCTCTTGCTCCCTTGTCCTAATCCCAGAGCACCCCAAATGCTCACACTTTGGCTGAACAAAAAGTCTGGCAACGACCGCTCTTCTTCAGCATCTGAGCATATCTGGGCCAAAGATAACTGATCTCGAAGTCTCGTCAGATCAAGAGAGTCACGAGACACAACCAATGATTCTTTGCCAATATCGTACGACCACTTCGCGTGGATGATAGACAGGAGACCGAGTATGAAGCTGGCGACGGCGAGGAGTAGTGCAGCCGTTGCAATCCATAAGTTGGCTGATTCTAAGACGTTCAGTCTGTCTTTTCTGGGAAGAAAATGCTAGATTCCGCGGGTCGCTGAAATGGGGAGTTCATGTGTCTAGTAAAGATCACGTCCTTGTTCCAAGACTTGTGGAATAGTCAATAAGATGAGACACTACCAACAGGCAAGGCAAAACTGTAAATATAGTCTCTGGATCCGAACCACCTTTTTTCTTTCTTGTCTTTTGATTCGTTTTTCCAAGTGACATGAGCAAAGGACTTCTGAAGGCTTTAGCCAGACGTGTGGAGCAAAGAGTAAACAGGGAAGCCGGCGACCATAAGTAAGATAAGAATGAAGAGTGGCATGTTAAGCATGGTGAGTGTGGGTGAGCCGACCCTGATCAGCCCCAAACTTATCCTGAACAAAAAATCGATGTGACACATAAGCAAAAAAGGTCACAATATCAGATTAGGTTCAAAAGCAGCAAAAGAACTCCCTGACTGGGAATTGAACCCAGGTCCCCTGCGATTGCTGTCGAATGACTTCGATGACAAGCAGATATCCTGACCACTAGACTATCAAGGATTAATGTTTGGATGCTGCGATGCACTTAGCTTTGTGTTTATGCAGTACGGTCGTATGGACTAGAACAGAATTTTCTCGGTGGGTTTGATGTGGGTGGGTTGGAAGATTGTGGTGGTCAACTTTCTACAAGATGCTCCACTATGGGGGCATGATCTAGAACTCTCAACACAGTGGCCAGCCGGAAAGTAAGTAGTTAAAGCGGGTATTAGAGGAAATAATCTAGCACTTGGCAAAATAGCGTGTCCCTGTGAGAAGTAGAACATTCCTAAATACACGACGACACACACTGAAGGATAAGCCGAGAAAACTTTGGAGCTTTTCGCTGAATCGGGAGCTAGCTACTGAGTTCTTCCGTACAAATGTGGGTACAGATCAAGATATTACTATGTAGATGAGACGCGATCTGATTGCTTGTATAAGTAGCATTTCTCTTCAAGGCTTCTGTTGAAAGCAGATTCATATATGCTATCTTAATCAAACACAGTACGCTCTGTATCTTATGATTGGAAGATGTGTATCACGATATGCCTGCTTGTCATACACTTTCCACGTATCTTGATAAACCCAGAATTACATATGTATTATCATGGACACATCCAGTCCCTTTTAGGCACTTTCAGTTTGTTTGTTCTATGAAATAGGCTCAAGGTTTGCCTTCGATGGACCCTCAACACACACGCCCTCTGTCGAGAACCGACTTCCATGAACCGGGCAATCCCAAGACTTCTCTACCGAGTTCCAACAGACCACACCCTTCAAATGCGGGCAGATGGCGCTGACCTTCGTCACTTTGCCATTCTCATCTTTGTAGACAGCGATCGGCTTCGACAGCTTCGGGTTCAGGACACCGCCGCACCCGCGACCCAAGTCTTCGATGTCAGTGATGTCGGTTTGCAAGAGCCGCTTGAACTGGCTGTTGATCTGGAGATCATGCGCGATCATAGACGGAGCCGAGCCGAGAATAGACGCCACCCGCTTCGGTGAGTAAAGCTTCGCCCAGGGGTTGGGCTGGTCGTCGATCTCGTCTGCGATGAGCTTTCCTGCAATCACTCCGTGTGTGAGACCGTTACCGGAGTCACCAGTGACGATGAAGGTGCGTTTCTGGCCCTGGTTGAGTCCGATGAACGCCACGTAATCAACGGGCTCGAAGACTTGCCCACTCCATTTGTAATCGATGGCGCCCGCCTGAGGGAACCTCTCTCTGGCCCAAGACTCGAGCTCTTCGAACCGACCAGTTGTCTTTTCTTGTCCAACCTTGTGGTCCATGCCTCCTACAATCATGAAGTCGTCCTTCTCATCGCAATCTGTCAATTTCACGTACTTGTACTCCTCTGCAGTGTCATAGATGAGACAGTCCTCCACAGAGCCCTTGGGTATGCGGATGGCAATACAGTATGTGCGGTAGAACTCCATCTCAACGACAACGCTAAGCTTCTGGAGCGGGACGTTGGTGGCCTGAACGGCGTGGCCGCACGTGACGGTGTTGCCATTCAATGTCTTGACTTCGACGTGCTTGTTTCCCATTCCGAGGATCTCGATTCCGGGTTCCTCGACGGATATGACTCTCGTCTGTGCATGACACTTGAAGTTGGGCTGCTGGAGAAGGAATTTCAAGACGCCATTAACGTACTTTGTCGGATGGAAGGTTGCCTGGCCGTGCCAAATGGCTCCGTCGCGTTGGTCGGGACTGCCTGGTTCAGAGGACCAGCCCTTGATCGTCAAGCCCTCTTTAAATTCGGCTTCAATTCCAAGCTCTTTGGCGTACTCGACCTCATCACGAATGCTTTGGATGTCTTTGGGGTGTTTGGGGTCGCCACGGGGGAATTGCGAGACCATGTATCCGGGCAGGTTTCGGTATTCGCAGTCGATGCCCAATTTCTTTGCAATCTCGCCAACGTAGTTCAAAGCCCATGTGTGACTCTCAGCGGCCGCTTTAGCACCATCTTGGCCGTGCTTCTTCTTGATCTCGAGGTACCCGTCGTCGAGAGCGTTGGACAAGTGGCCACTTGTTCGACCCGTCTCACCAGAGAGAAGCTCGCGAGCCTCAAGGAGAATGACCTGCTTGCCGCGGGTGACCAGCTCATATGCGACCGAAATCCCTGCAATTCCCGATCCTACGATGCAAACGTCGGCTTCGGTGTCCTGGGTCAAAGGTTTCACCTCAGGTCCGGCACGATTGGCATACCTGTCGTTGTGCACCCAGACGGCATCGGTGGCGCCAGAGGTGGCCTCGAACTGCTGCTCCAAAGCAGTGGCGGCAGACATTTTTCTGATCTGTGTCTGAAATTGGGACGCGTTTGTGTAAGAAGAACTAAAGGATCTTGGTGCTCTGTATGCAATGGAAGAGAAGGATGCTCGGTGCGTGAAAGATGGCAAAAGACGACGCTGAAGCTTAATTGACTGCTGGCGGAGGGAATTCATATTCACAAACTTTGGTAAAGAGCGGCTTGGTAGATTAGTCGATTAAGGAAGAGCTATCAAGCGCAAGTTCCTCCTCAGACGACGTGTGGTATTTGTTTTGTCCTCTCGCTGATTGGCGTTTGTTGTTGCGAGGTGACACGAGGGTGAAGTCATCAGGCGGTCATCACGTCTCGTTTCGTCATGATACTTCTCTGGCCAACGCCTCGAACAGTCACGGCCCTGTCGTTCACCGACGCCGAATGACACTTTACCCTGGTTTCATTCCCATTCAAGTCGTCTGTTGCCCCAAGACCCAATACTCTCGTCTGGAAATCCAGCCACGCCCATGTCTTGGCCATGGAGAGAGAGCTCCGGATCTGACGATCGGCACCCCACAAAGCCAATTCGCCGGCATGCAACCCACCTTCACCCGGTTAGCCTCCTTTTCCCATATGATAACCTAGAGTCCAAAGCCAATCAATGCGCTTCCAATTCTTTGGTCGTGCATTGAAACCCATGTTCGTTGGCCAATCTAGCAGCATTGTATCACTCCATCATCGTTTTGCTAGGCGAAGCGGCATAGAGTGATGACACTAACATGTAAAGCAAGGGGAAATGGCCTGCATGGGGATGCCTTAGCCTGGACAACAAATTTTGCGCAGCCAGAGGTACTTCAACAATCCTTGGCTCTTCAACAGAGCTGGTTATCTGTCATAAGAGACTTCTCTGTTGCCGGGCTATCGCAATTTATATATCAACGGACCGAACACCTTCAGAATGGTGACACCAAAGGTGGGAGCATTTAGCAATTGCACCAAAGGCAGTAAAGTGGATGATGGCCTCTTGACTCCGTACCCCTAAAAGCTTATTGAGTTGAATATACAGTATGAACTTTTGCTTCTTCTTTCCTACCCTAAAATGACTTCTGACCTCATTCCCTTTAACAACAGCTCAGGCTGTTGAGATACTTTTCAAGTTAAATCTTGACCTATCTATCGTTGGATGAAAACGTGACGCGCGTCCAACGAGATGAAGGTGCGCAAGCATATCCTAAAGTTACTGGATAGAAAGATATGTGACATAGAAATGATATTGCTAAATATATCGATCAAATGGCTCAGGTCCACCAGTTGAGTCATCCCGAAAACGCTGTAATGCAGTAACTGGACTAGCTAGCTCCAATCAGATTTAATGGGAATCGAATAACCAATTCCTACGCATCAACTTTGTGAGGCTTCTGTCCCCAAACTGCTCTTTGGCGGTAGTAGCCATGAAGATTGCCGGACCGAATCTCACGTCGGAGCTGTGCCGCATAGATCTGAATCTCCTCCCGAGTCCAAGTAGACATGACGTTTGCCATGAAGAGAACGTAGCCCTCGATATCGGAGAGAAGAGTCAACTGCGCCCACTCGCCAATCTCCTTCTTCACCGGATCCTTGGGCCAATTGCCAATAGGAGCCTACACCATTCTTCGTTAGCACCGTCAAAGATAACCCGAGCTCAAGGCTGCTGTGACACATACCTTGTTATTCCACTCGGTGATGTGCTCGAAGCCAGCCTGCTCCATTGACGTCCGCTGCAGGTTCTCGTCGAGGACTCGAAAGGTCCGGCCCATCTTACGGCCGCCCTCTTCGAAGAACTTGCCCCACTGGCCCAGGGCACTGGTATCCGGCACGGTGCCGTCGTCACTCAGGATAGCGGGTGAAACCTCGAAGCTCTCAAGGTAACCGCCCGGCTTGAGAGCCCTGTGGGCTTCCTTGAACAGCGCTGGCCAGTCTGCAATGCTTCCGACGAGGAACCGAATGTGCACGTAGTCAAATGACTCGGGCTCAAATGTCCACTCACGGGTGCAGTCATCAATCTCACTGTAGAATATCAGCATCGAGATGGTAGCGCCGCGCAAGTGTGTTGATTACTGACAACTTCAAGTTGGGGGGAACCCAACTAGGTTGAATGGGCGAGATGTCGGTTCCGATAACTTCGCATTCGGGGTTCTCATCTGCGAAATCACTAGGTGTGGTTTAGTCTTTGCGAGCGGCTTCAGCAGTTCTCACACTCACATGGCCCAGATACCTGCATTGGAGATCTCCAATCAACCACTGAAGTAATCGGTGAAGTTGTGTCAAGTCTCACCTGTTCCCGTTCCGATGTCAAGAGCCTTGGTCAGCTGAAAACGGGTTAGCCGAGCGAGATCAGATAACTGGTATGAGTCGCCTGTTGGTTCCATCTTACCTTGCTTTTGTCGAGCGGTGCCAAGTGAAGCTTGTCGCCCATCGATAAGGTGAGGAGGTGGTGGCTGCCCAACATCAGTTTCGCAGCTCATTGCATCGGCTCCGTCACGTTCCGCATCTTACTTGATATCCCAGGCCTCATTCTGTTGCTCGTCGTTGCTCCCCTTAGCGACACGTTAGCCCCGCGCCAGACTGTGAGGACGCAAACGTGAGCTCCTACCAGTACTGGGCGTCGCCGACTTCGCCGTGAAAGGTCCTTCCGTGGATTTTTCGGTACTGCAGGATAGTCGAGCTGATGGACGCCGTAGAGCTGGCGGCGTCATCACCTAGAGCAGAGTCGGTATCGCCATCGTCGGCAGCGTCCTAGCGGCGCGTCAATAATCGCGGCTTGCACCAGCGTTGGGGGCAGCCCAGAAATGGCGTCTACTGACTCGTGCCGCCTGCACCCAATGCTCAGCGGGGAGGATTCCAGTCGTGTCCGTAGCAGTTGTGGTTTCCTCCTGTCCAGCGGGTGCAGCCGGCGGCGATGCTGCGGGGGCGGCGGCTGCTGCCGCAGGTGGTTCCGCAGGCTGTTCGGATGCCATGATATCGGATCTCGCGCGTCGTGATGTCCCGTGTCGTCTCGCTCGCTCGGGCTATCCCTATCGTGGCTCCAATCTCGAGGATCTATGGAGTGAGAAAGGATAGGTTGGATCGATGAAACAGATTGGAAGAGGTGGAAACTTTGCCACGAGTCAACGACAATACTTCCTGGTCCCTGTTCTCTTATAATATAATATAAGGCCCCGGCACAATCTCCACAGCGGGTAACGCGCGTGGTTGTGGACGTGCGTCCTCCGTTGACCATGGGCTCTCCAATTGAACAGTGTTTCCTTCACCGCATGCCACCATCCCGGGCGCGGGGTCTTTTCTTCGGTTCTCCATCAGTGTTGCGACGAGGTATCGGAGGAGGGTCCAACTGCCGTGGTCAGCTTCGTGTCAGCAATCGATCTCTACAAGGCGTCTAGGTACGTGTCATGGAGCGCCAAGTCCGCTGGCCAAGGGCTTCCAATGCTACCATCTTCGGCCTCCATCGCCAGAAATGAACATCGGAGGGGGACGGGGATCATCAGCGGATTGAGCCAACCACATAAGCAATACGGCATTTGTCAGTGGGACCTGCCATGCAAGACGAATCCGCAATATATGTTCTTCAAGGCTTCGGCTACCACAAGCTGTAACATTGACAGAAATAGCCGACGAGATCTGAGGTTTTTTTTTTGGAGAAACAGCAAGTACTTGAGAGTACCAGATGAAAACATAACAATCCTCCTCTGCGTCTCCCCAGCGTCTTAATATGTCGCATTCAGGCGCATCTCAATGTACTCGCGGCTATTGATCGGACCGTACTTCTTCGGCCTGCCAGGGCCAAAGCAGCCCGGGATGCAGTCCACCGTCTTCTCTTGATCCGCGCCGATGAAGTAAGGGATCGAGTACCGAGCCCGGGTGATGCGGCTACCGCTCTCGTTAGTATCCAACGGCGGCGCTCGCACGCGATGCATGGTCGACCGCAGCGTATCGTTGCTCCACCGCTGCATGAAGTCGCCAATGTTTACCACAATTGTCCCCGGGATATGCGACACTGGCACGAATTTCCCTTCCTCGTTAGGGTCTTCCACCTCGAGGCCGCCGACATCGTCCTGGAAGAGGAGCGTCATGGAACCAAAATCCGTGTGGGCGCTTAACCTTTCGACTTTGCCAACGCGCAGCGGCTTCTCCTCTACCGGCGGGTAGTGAAGGAGGCGGATTTGATTATCTCTCCTCACGTGGTACCTCTGGAAGAAGTCTTCATTTAGGCCCATGCCGAGCGCCATAGCGCGGAGCAGGTGGAGCTCAAGCTGGTAGCAGACCTCGTAGAAGTTATTGAAGAATGATCGGAAACCAGGTAATGACTCTTCAGGAATCCAGATATTCGGTAGGTGATCGTCATCTTCACGGCCGATCTCGTATGATTCTTTGAAGTCGGGGACCTTTCGTAGCTCGCTGATTTGTTCGGCATCGAAGATCATTTGCGACACCTTTTCCCGGCCGATGCCGGAATACCCGCGGTGCCACCACCCTTCGGGAGGATGCGGTGCCTTTGTCTTTCTCCACCTGTGGTAGTGAGAAGAACCTCTCGCTCTACGCGAGGTGTGAGTATTGGTTCTGCCGATTTTACAGGAGACGGAAATCTGGGGAAAGACTCACCCACTGAAACGCTGCGTTCAGAGTTTCCTCCGGTATTCCATGGTTCTTGATATAAGCAAAACCTGCCGTTCTGAAAGCGTTGACAAGGTCTTTTCCAGTCTGCAAAGCGTCTTGCGCTTCAGCGCCATCTTCCAAACCTCCTAGGTCGATGAGAGGGATGGTTGGTTTATCGCTGTGCGGGCCGGGATCCGCGTCATCCGAAGCCCGTGGCTGCATGAGATCCATAGCTTCCACATCCGCAGTTTTTGATGAGTATCAATGGTGCTGTCGTGTGCTGGAAAAAGGAAGGCTCAAAACACTCACAAGTAGTTTGGTTTAGGTTTTGATCGTTTTAGTTCCCCACCGACCGCAAGATGACGGTATGACGTCGATGGACGCACGAGGGAGGTTATTCACATGCGAAACCTGGACGCCACACACATGGATTAGCAATCAAGAGCGATCTGCAGGAACATCGCTGCCGCTTCTTCTACACGGGCGAGAGTACTTCCTGTAGTCACCCTTCTGACCCTAATATGCGTTAATCTCTTCCGGCACGAATTGACATCAACTATCATTGTGTAGAAAATCTTTCTTACAATGTTGTTCCATCCAGCAAATCAACCGCAGGTGCTCTGTTAACACGCAATCTTACAGACGTTTCAATTTCGTTCAGCACCAGATAATGCATTGCCTTGCTCCAGAGAGTGTCAGTAATCAGCTAGTCTTCTATTTTTCAGCTTATACGTACTATCTACATCATCTCGAAGTGGCGTTTCTAGGTAAGATTGGTTACTTAAACAAGTGCAACTGGCTGGAAATTTTCAGTGACCCCCTTGCTCAGCAACTCTCCGTACATGACGCCGTGAAGATAGGCCTCACCCACAAGAACGTACGCTTCCCCTTTGATCCTTTCCGCATTTCCAACAGCTACCGTAATGTCTTGAGTTTTCCTCAGCAGCAACGGCATCCGACTTCCCTTGATGAGCCAAACCTCATCCCCAGTCCTAGCAGCTGCAGGTCCGAGTCCCAGATAGCCTTTCTTTGTCTCCAAAACTTGCTTTCCAGGAGTTATGGATTGCACTATATTTGAAATGGGATCCTCCGTCAGTTGTGACAGGAAACTTTCTTTAGAAGACACCCCGAGAGCATCGTCGAGTGTCATAAATGTCTCACCGTTGACTGCAGTCTTAGGACGGGTATTCCTTTCCCTCGACCAATTGAGGGCACCAAGGTCTGCAGATTCACCCCTATGAATGACCATGGCATTATAGGCGATGCATCTCTGCACCCATTGTTTGGGACTATTGTGGTAACCGTGCATTGGCTTAAGATCGGCACTCAATGTTGCCACAGCCACATCAGGGAAATGCTCTCCAGTCAGCCCATACGTGCCTTGTCGGTCACAGAAATCGAGTAACCATGTGACGTTGGTGATGATGTTATGGCTGGACTGTTCGAGACTTCGTACTTCCCTAACTTTATCAATGAAAACACCTTCAAGTGCGAGAGTAGTAAACCCTTCACATTGAACCTTATGCCGACTTGATTGGAGATCAGTGCGAGAGGCATCGAAGGCGTGAAAATAACGACACCCCTTAGCAAGTTGCCTCAGCCGCTGGATCGAGGTGTAATGAACGGGTCCGTGGAAGGAAAAGTCTGGAACCCAGGAAGGCAGGTTCTTTCGGCGACCTTCTGCGATGCCTGCCAGTCCCAAGACGTCAAGATTAGGCAAATGAGGCAGCAGCCATATCGCCACCTGAGTATAAGCCCACTCAACAGGGACGTTGTAGCTGGGTTCAATACCAAGCTCGTACTTGGGACCCAGTATGCGATGTATCAACCCAAGTGCGCCGTAAATGTGATCCAGCGGATTTTCAAACTCGTAGATCCTTAATCGGTGGAAGGTATGCAGTACTTCGGCATGCCGAATTTCTTCATCGGTCACCGCCCCCCAACGTTGGCTTTGCCAGTCAGCCATTCGCCGGCTGACCTTATCGCCACTGAACGCTGGCAAGGAATTCTGTACCGGATTCCATAAGCGATCAATTGTGCCTGGCCGTTTCTTCCAGTCAGGCAGTCGTTCACTTAGGCGATTGTTTAGCTCCTCATCCCAGCGAACCATCAAAATGAAGGCCGAAAACTGGTTGATGAGGGACCAGGAGAACTGCTCATTGCCGCATTGCAATACAATGTCTTCCGGCTCAGGCAACGCAGCTTCTTGGACGACCCATCCACGCGTAAGCCACCGCTTTTTGAGGAAGAAAGCAAAATAGTCTGTATACGAGCTGCGCCATCGATCGCACAAGTCATTCCCCAGTATCTTGATGATTTGTGAACTGTTCAACTCTGGCCCAGTCTCTTGCAGAAGCCTGGCGGTTCCCTTCGATCGAACCGCGTTCAGAACTGTCGGGATGAAATGCCTCAAAATCCAGCAGACGTTATCATTGGGCTCGGTCTTCCCAAGCCAGACAATAACGTTGCGGGCAGCCTCGTAGACCCGACCCATCATTTGGACCTGGTGAGACCTTTCTTGGTTGCTGCCCTGGTCGATGCACATGGCATCAATCCATAGATTCAAACTTTTCCCAGGGACGAGTAAAGGGTAAGAAGGGTTGGCTGCATGAGAATGAGCATGATCCTTTAGCGCTTCCATAGAGCTGGACACTTGATTGAGGTAGTCAAAAAGGGTTCCGCCAGCTTCGAACACTCGGCCGTTACATTCGACATTAAAATACCGCATCTCGTACTCTGCACGATTGTCAGAGCCTTCGACGAAATCCGAAGGCCCCCATGTGTAGGATAGCGCCCAAAATGGGGGTGCATTCTCTAACGAGAAGGTGTTCATTCGCATAGAGAAACCTTGTGTATCTGAGTCATCCAGAATTATCTGGAGAAGTCGAATTGAGTTTTCCGTTGGTAGTACAGAGTAGGAATAAGGTGCCAACTCATGCCGAGCAGCGCCGACATTTACTTCTGGTGTAATCATCGCTTCTGAGTATTTGCTGGTGTGCGTGGTAATTATGCTGTAGGTAGGCCGAGGGGAAACCCATCTCAGCATATGCCAAAGGCGGGGAAACGAATGATTGTGGGCTTCTGGTTCGCAAACGCCTGCAGAAATCGATTCACTGTGTACATACTCTTGCTAGCCAATTGCATCCCAGTGTGTTTTGGGTTGATTGGTCCAATCAGATCTGGCTTGATTATTTGCGTTTGGTGTTTGGCTAACAATCTCATGTTTAGCGCTAGTGCGGACCTCAAATCCTTCGGAAGCCATAAAAAGAAGAAGAAAACAGAAATACCATGAAGAATCATTAAGAGTGATGTTATGAAACAGGCTCACCCAGCAGGACTTGACCTGATACTCTGTCTGAAATGGTAGTCTGGAGAGAGGATGAGTGGTTTGAACGATGTTGGTAAGACAAGTCAGCGAAAAGAATAGCGCTCATAACCTCAATCGTGATTTCGTACAAAGACTTTTCGCTGGGCTTGATCATAATAATATTTCACTGCTAGGTATGTTCGCTAAACGACATAAACAAAGCCGTCAGACATATCCTTAACCCAGCACGATCATGCTTAAGACATACACCAGAAAGAAGCCTAGTAAAGACTTGCCCCAGAATAGCATAGCTCGGGGATTTCCCCCCGAGTCACTGCTTGTGGGCGGTCAGATGGGGCGTATTTTGGTATAGTGGCTCTGTCACTTCATCCGCAGGACGTAAACTCAACACAGCTTTGTCTGAAGCCTAAGCTGGTGCTGGCTCCTAGCATACATAGTCTCTAACTTTGGTCTTTCATCATGATTAGCCATTACGGTTTCTAAAGTCTATCTTGTTTTGCCTCGTTGTACACATTTTGTTTCCTCACGTTGCCTCCCTCTGCACAGCCTAGTTCTTTCGGCCCATTCTCAACTCCTCCAAGTCGAGCTCCTCCCTACTCTCTGTGTCAATGCCCGTTTCCCGTGTTATATGCGAACCTTTGTCGTATGCAGTCGAGCTGCTGCCAAAATGTCTAGCCAGATCTGGCTTTAAAGGTGTGTTTCTTGGGGACGACTGCGCACTGGCGTCGTACGATGCATGGGATTTAGCAGTCGCAGTCCCTGTCACTGGGTGCCCGTGTGACCGTCCGTTGGATCGGCCTCTTCTTGCCGTTGTCTTCACTATTGTAACAACAACTGGAATCTTCTTGAAAAGTGGTCGCAATGATGGAAGACTGCCACAGATGATCGCAAGATCTAGAACCATGTAAGTACGGATGCTAACACCAACAGATTGAGTAGACCCTACTGAGCTCCACAGCAGACCAAACAACCGCTGAGACGTGCTCCCAAGTTGAGTCGAACGAGTCAGCGAAGGACACCAGATATTGAAGGCGGACCATGCTTGCGACGCATGCACTGCATGTTGCTGTTAGCTTCCGTATCTGCCCAGATGTAAAGGTAACCACTTACAAAGAACCCAGAGCAAACATAAACACCAACGCATACTTCTTCTTGTTCCCTAGTTGCAGTTTCAAGAGTTCTGGTATGGGCATAATGATGAGGACGATATCTTCCAAGATACTACAAGCAGCTCCTCCGTAGGTGATGGCTGCGACGTTGAGACAACGGCCATCAATCGTTCGGTCCCAGATTGACTTGATAGGCAAACATTGGAAGACAAGCAACATGAGAAACATAAATCCGTGGGTGAACAGAAACGCCATAAAGCATTTTATCGCCAGTTGGAATCGTTTGGTCATGAATACACGGTAATAAAAGCAGGCAATTGATGCTTTGGCGAAGATTCTGACGTGTGGTTAGTACACAAGGCGTTCAATTAGAAAACATGATTGCGACATACTGCACGAATATGTAGAGCATCTGTTGAGCGTAGAAAATCTGCAAGTCAACAGATCTTAGCAAAAAGATCAGATGGATGATATTGGGAATGGCTTCGCACCTTCAAAATTGCCATCCCGTTTTTCGGTTCAATATTCCAGTAGTGGAAACCAAAGCCCAAACCAGAGTCTAAAAGGCCCAAGTTAGTGATGATTCGTGGTCATTTGGCATATTGGAAAGCCTACTAGCCAAACCGAGACCAGACATGACGATTAGGAATCCCTTTGACAGTCAGTTTACTGTAATCAAGCCTAAGTGCATCGACCATCACAGCAATCTTACCAACGCTACCAGCGCGGTCCAATCATCCCACCACAGCTGAGTCGTGGCCTTTAGCCTGGCCACGCACCGTAGTGCTACTGTTATGGTTGTAAGGATTGGTAAACCGATGGTGAAAATCTTGGAAAATCGTCGGCGTTCTTCTTTTGGGTAACTGCGGCAGAGTTGTTGTGATACGCGAGCCGTGGCTAAAGGAGAACCGAGTTAGCGACTGCAATGGGACGGCCAAGATACATACGGCTTTGTCGTCACCTACCAACTTGATATTCGAACTCACAGGCTTTCTGTACACACTCTGAGACTCGTGCTTGGAGGGGAACGTTGGTGCACACGCAATCCGTCAACCCTGCCATGGTACAGTTTCCGTAGTGAAATCCATCAAGGAAGCACGCCATCTGTGATGTTGTTATTCAGCGTCAGTCGATGAAGTGCAGCAAACTTGGCGCACTCAAGAGGACCGTGCCACAGGCCATCACTCACTGCGCAAGCCGGTGCTGTTGACAGTAGCATGGTCGGCGATGTCGAGTTCGAGTCCGAGCTGGCCGCCGCTCGGGCCGTCGCGGCAATCAGCAACAGGATGCCGGCCTGCATCGTTGTCCTTGTTTTGACAGAAATGGGATGAACAGCAGACGATGCCAGCCGCACGTTTCACCGACACAACAAGAACGCAGGGAGGCTTTCAGTAGGGTATTAGCCGTGGGTGCAGCAGTGTCTTTACATATTAACTCGATCTCTAGCGCAAGTAGGCATTCATTCCGTATTGCCACTCAGCGCCATTGACAGATGACGGCTGTTCCGTAGACGAAAGCGGCGAAAGCGAGCTTGAGACCCTCCCAGTTTCCCACGCTACCGTATCTACTCGGTCAACTGGGCCCCCATATTAATCCGAGCTAACCTAAAGCAGCTAGCAGCCATCCGGCCCACTAGGCCTGAAATCGAAGGCGGTCAATCGGCCTACAACCATCATCCCTACCTCAAGCAACCTCCACTATTCACCTCTACTATACCACTATTTTCGTCAACCCACCACCACTTTCTCCACGATGCCCAACCGCCAGCCGCTGGGCGATATCGACCGCAATACCCTGCCAGTTACGCCGCCGCAAAAGAAGCCTCGCGGCAAGACGGCTACTCTAATAACCAAGCGAAGTTACGCTGCAGTAAAGCCAGCCCAGAGATCGCAGCGATCCTATCGCCAACGCAAGCAAGTTGCTATACTGATATACCTTAAGCACCACTGGTACCCTATTAAGGCCTGGCCAGTTACATCTCAACGGAAGGACGATATCCCTCTTGACCCTGCTAATGGCCTTTGCCGCCCAACTTTTCGCGAGGCTGCCAAGCACTTTAAGGTGCCCTCTTCAACAGTATCTAACTAGTACTAACGCAAGGATACTATCGTCAACCCAGCTACCAGCAGCAATAGCAGTCAGCCCAGCTAGCCTGATCTAGAGGCTGACCTCTATACCCAATTTCGCTAGCAACATGACGAATCTAGGGTTGTTACTACTGGTTAGTTTAGATGTATAGCAAGAGCCCTTTTTGCCAGCAGATACCCTGGCCTATCTACCTTCCGCTTCTCTGTTGGTTGGTTTAGCCGCTTCTATAGCTGCTGGAATATTTCTCATCGTCGGCTTACAAAGCAGGCCTCAAAGTTGCCTGCTGACTATCTTGTTATTATTACCCAGTTCCTTCACTTCAACCAACGAGTTAGTCAGCCAGCACTGGCCCAGCTGCCCCTTGACCTATCTGGCCTTCGATTTCTAACCTATTGCATCATTAACTTTGACGAGACCCCTATACCCTTCAAGTATCTCAATGGGTCAACGTGGGCTGATAAGGGCGCCTGTACCGTTGCTGGCAAGACCGATCACAGCGGCTGGAGCAAGCGCCAAGCCACCCTTATCCTTTATATCTTTGCCGATGGTATCCAACGTATCCTGCCTAAGCTTATCTTTCACAGCAAGCCCAGCAGTCAAGGCGGTCAGATTGAGGGCAACGAAGGCAATAAGTACAGCAGCTAGATTACTGTTGAATTCAACGATACTGCCTATAATAACGAGTATCTACTCAATAGGTGGATAACTGAAGAGTTTTTCCTTTTGATAGCTGGGCAAGAGTATCTGTTAGTTATGGACGTTGTTACCTTCCATAAGACCCCATCTATCCTATCTCGACTTCGCACCAACCACATCACGCCTAGCCTTATACCGCCCGGCACAACCTCCCTTCTTCAACCTCTCGATACTGCTATCAATAAGCCCTTTAAGCAGTGGCTTTCTGAAGCAACAGACGACTACGTCTATAACGCAGAGCAGCTGGCCCGGGCAGCTGGCCAGCCACTTGTCTGGACGACGTCAATGAAGCGTATTATGGTTACCCATACAGTGGCAGCAGCAGCTAGCCGGCTGGCTGCTGATAAGGCTGCCCAGATGGTCCGTCAGTCATTTATCCAATGCGGGATATCTGGTCACCCAGATGGCAGCGATATCACAAGGATCAGGATCAAGGATACCCCAATAGAGACTGTTTCGTGGGATGGGTGGGATACCTTTAACTACGATAAGTACGTCAAAGAAGAGATGCTTTCTGACCCAGAGATTCTTGAAGATGCCGATGGGGACAATACAGAGTACATATCTACAGCAGAAGACGTCCAACAGCCCATTGGAAATAATCCAATGGTTCCTATTGACCTCACAAGGCCCGCGCGGCCGTGGGATCTCTAGGTACTGCTGCAATGCTGAAAACAAGGTTTATTTGTCATCCCTTGCCCCTCATCCGCCCCCTGACGTACTTGACTAACCCCTGATTCTGCCAGCACACTATCCCCTTTTCAGCAGCCGCTTGGCCCCTTTCCGTTACCTGGAATTAATATGGGGGCCCAGTTGACCGAGTAGATACGGTACCTGTTTGGACGACCGGACCATCATTACCACTCTCTTCCTCTAGAAGAGCGCCTTGGCCGAATGTCTCACTGCCATGCGCCGACCGACGGTCTTTCACCGATGTTGGCTGGTAAAAACAGTCAGAAAGCAAACATCGACGGACAAAGTCCCTTTGCCTGGTGAACTAGCAAATGAATTGCAGTTTTCCTCCCTTCAAGCCCGAAGTGTTGTTTAATAGACTGCCCACAAGAACCTGGCTGGTATTCCGTTGTAGAGTTCAAAGTATAGAGACCCATCATAATTACCCATGCACACGTAGCAAGTGCGTCGCTCCAATGGTTATCCAACAGGCGAGTCTTTATTCAGCACCATCTTTGCCATCGTGGAACGAACCTGTAGCCGCAAAGGGAATGGGGCGAGGTCAATGTTCTTTAACAGACAAGACAAAGCTAACCAGATCTAGTATCACTGCTCTTGGCGGGAACGGAGAATGCGGGATGGGAGGCTTGATGGTTAGCTGAAAATAACAACAGAATGGGTGAAGGGTTATGGTTCATGTTCCTCTTGTTTTGCAGCAGGTACAAGGCCAGAGGCGCAACTGGACTTGTTCGTCCGTTTGTGTCCACTCGAGCTTCAGAAGAACACATGGGTTTCCAATTTCCTCCATATTGAGAAGGTAATATGGAGCTTTGGTAGCAGCGCAAACGATGCCGGCAGTACCAATGAGTCCTTGGCCCTACGCAGTGGGCGACCAGCAGCCGTCGAATAGTTTACTCTGTAAAGTGGTTGAGTGGCCTCCTTCAACTTGAATCGATGTCTCCAAGGCTAAGCTATCCCCCGCAGACCAGGATTCTAATGCTCAGTGCGCTGAGATGCATCGGCCAAGTTTCCCAATTCAAGACATTTTACATCGTAATTTCAGTCAACGTCGACCCTTGACTGCCACAATTAATGCAATAGATGCCAAGTTCGCACCCGCCGCGTCTGCACCGCTCCCCTGGCGCCCCTTGCTTTCTCTTGGATCGGCTTCCCGCTCGTGTTCCCACAACATGACCATCGTCTTCCCAGTACGAGGCCCAGGGCAGCTTCCCCAATTGTTCACTGGGCCGACGGTGGTAGGCTGAGATTCTTGAAAAGGCGGCCTTGGGTTACCCTTCTTAACACCACCCAAATTAGTCGGCAACGATGCAAATAAGCAGGTCGTATCGAATATGGGGAAAATGACACAGGGAACGGGGTGTCTAATTAAATGCAAGGGGCAATGTGACAACTTCGTGTTCAGGCGCACCCTGAGGAGAGGGATCTTTTCCTGAGGTTCATAAGGGAGATACGCGCCGGCCGGCACATGTTTTTGGCGAAGGCCTTCTTTTGAGTTGCTCAGTGCTGTGACCTTTTAAGACCGGTTCGAAAGCCTCCCTCCAAGATGCGTTGGTGTCGCCATGTCGCGAACGTGCTGCTCGGCTGCATTGCGGCCACGGCATCTGCTGTGTGAGTTCTGACCGACCCCTCAACGTTGCAAGCAAATGCACTTCGTGTAAACTGGTCATCTGACACAGATGTCATAGTCCGAGCCAAAAGTTACCCACACGGCAGTCTACGGACATCCTCGCAAGCTACGACTATGTCATTGTTGGGTCGGGGCCGGGCGGGGGTCCGCTTGCGGCCCGGCTCGCCATCGCCGGCAAGAAGGTCCTGCTGATCGAGGCGGGCGACGATCAGGGCGACTCCGTGCCCTACCAAGTGCCTGCTCTCAACTTGCAATCGACCGAGTACGACCCCATGAAGTGGGATTACTTTGTCCAGCACCTGAGCGATCCCGAGGAACAAAAGAAAGACTCCAAGATGACGTATCGCCTGCCGTCCGGTGAGCTGTATGTCGGTCTTAACCCGCCGACTGGTGCTGAGGCGCTCGGAATACTGTATCCTCGGGCTGGAACGCTCGGCGGCTGTGGAAGCCACAACGCGCTTATCACGGTCTACCCCCACAAATCGGACTGGGACGGCATTGCAAGCCTGACCGGCGACAGCTCCTGGAGCGCTTCCAACATGCGCAAGTACTTCCAGCGCCTCGAGAACGCCGAGTACCTCCCCAATGGTGTAATCGGGCACGGTTTCAGCGGGTGGCTTACGACGAGCGTGACGGACCTGGGACTCGTGATCCAGGATGTTAAGCTTCTCACTGTCATCTTGTCGGCTGCCTCAGCCATGGGCAAGAGCCTTATCGGCCTGATCTTTTCCACGATCCAAGGCCTCGGCGAAGTCCTCCTTCGCGATCTCAATGTCGACTTGCCCGGCCGAGACGCCGCCGAGGGGCTCTACCAGGTCCCCATTGCCGTCGATAACGGGATCCGCGTGGGCCCCCGAGACTTTGTCCTCGAAACCGCCAACGCCAAGAACGCGGATGGCTCCAGGAAGTATCACCTCGACCTCAAGCTCAATACGCTTGTGACCAAGGTCCGGTTTGACCAGAGCGGCCCGGAACCCCGTGCCGTGGGCGTGGACTTTATCGCGGGGCAGAGCCTTTACCGCGCAGACCCCCGATCCGGCAACGCGGCAGAGGGAACCCCTGGATCCGTCAACGCTACCGCCGAAGTCATTGTCTCGGCAGGCTCGTTTAATACCCCCCAGCTTCTCAAGCTTAGCGGCGTAGGTCCCAAAGACGAGCTTGCCTCTTTTGATATTCCTGTCGTCGTCGATCTGCCTGGCGTCGGCACCAACCTCCAAGACCGTAAGCGGATCGCGCTTCTTGCCTTGAGAACTGTGTGCTGACCAATAATCTAGGCTATGAAACTAGCGTCATAGGTGAGACGCCAACAGATTTTCAGATCACCCAAGACTGCACCTTCATTCGTCCCGGAACGGACGATCCCTGCCTGACAAAGTGGCGGGATGGTACTGCAAGTGGGAAGCGCGGCATCTATGGCTCCAACGGTATCAGTCTCGGCATCGTCAAGAAGTCATCGGTTGCCGAGGGTGATCCGGACCTGTTTATCGCCGGAGCCCCCGTCAATTTCCCTGGCTATCAACCCGGATATGCCGCCGCTGGCACAGCCGATGCTCGTCATTGGAGTTGGATCACCTTGAAAGCTCACACCCGCAACCGCGCCGGAACGATCAAGTTGCGCTCGGCCGACCCTCGGGACGTGCCGCAGATCGACTTCAACTCGTTCCAGGACGAAGCTACGGGGGCCAAGGACATCCAGGCCGTGGCGGAAGGGATGAAGCTCTCCCGCAAGATGTTCGAGAGCGTCGTCCCGTTGACCGGAGGCTTCACCGAAGTATGGCCGGGAAAGAACGTAACGGACGAGATGCTGCCCGAGTTCATAAAGAACGAAGCCTGGGGACACCATGCGAGCTGCACTTGCCCCATTGGTAAAGACAGTGATGCCATGGCTGTGTTGGACTCAAAGTTCAAGGTGCGCGGAACGGAGGGCTTACGCGTGGTTGATGCCAGCGTCTTCCCAAAGATCCCGGGCTACTACATTGCCGTTCCCGTGTACATGGTGAGCGAGAAGGCGGCCGACGTCATTCTCGGGGTGTAGTTGTCTCAAGTTCGTAATTCTTAACCAATACCAAGCGTCATGATAGTGAATTGTGTCAACTCAACGAGCCCAAATTGCGTCCCTCAAGTACTCCTGGTAGTAATACTTGATTTTTAGCGGAGGGGAAAAGATGAGGATGTGGCTGTCGTTGTCCGAGTTTATGTCACTGTCCAGTCCTTGTATGCACGGTCAGGCGAAGAGGCACGGTAAAAGGGTCAACAACGGCAAAGACGGCGAGGGTGCAGCAGGGATCAAGGTCCGGATTGACTGATTGAAAGGGGGTGGGGTGATGGCAGGGAGGATACAGCAGTGAGAACAGTAGAGGATGGTAAATGATGGGGGTGTGTATGCCCTTCGCCCTGTTTCGGCTTTTGACCAGCCGCGTGATAGTGTGTATACACTTACTTGGAGAATCTTCAGAACGAAGCCAACCATGTTGCTGACTGTGAAAGGCAAATAGCAAGCTTGGGTAGGCTATCACGAGATTTTGGGACCAGAGACCTCATAGCTACGCAGACTGGATGCCTTGTAATCCATCTCAGTTGGTCCTTGTGGGAGGTCGATGCAAAGAGGAAACGAGACATTGAGGTGTCTCCCAAGGAAGCCCATCTGCTTCCAACTAGTCTGTGGATCCTTCGGGATCAATCACATCCTTAGCGAGCAGCTTCTTTTCGGCGCAATGCATCCAGGGGCGCAAGTTGAGAGGCACCGCGCGCTGGGGACAAAGACATCGTGGTTTCTATCTCTCGAAGTTGGCAGTGAGGGGCGCGGGGTAAGGATCCTAAGGCATGTTCCGCGGAATCCAGGTTCTTCAGCGCCCATCTCTCCCGAGCCATGGACTCCTGGGAGACGGGGATAAGCCCTGAAGAGGCGCAGCACGTACTAAACACCGCACCACCCGTGTCCTAGCACACAAATCAGTCGTGGCACAGTAATCAGTCGAGCATTCCACAAATAATAACAGAGAGGTAGATGATGCACCACGCGACCAAGCAGTAAATGAAGAAAAGCCATCAGCCAGCCCGCATCAGTGATGGCAGCGAGATTGCATCGTTGGGTAGCATGCAGAAACCTGGAACGGGGACCCGCGCGAGCAAATGAGACGATGCATTGGTGTGCCTCAGGGCGCGCATACGGATGCCCTTACCGGCATAGCTAGAGGGATGCATGGCCGGCGATGGTTGGTGAAAACACGCTAGAAAAGGTCTTCAACTGGTTTGCGGGAAGTAGTTCCACGACGATAGGTAACAGACATATGCAAGTTGGATATGGGATAAGCCTAGGCGTCTTCGCGTAGTAGCTGCAAGACCGTGTTTCTTTGCTGGGTGGGTGGCAGGTCTGGCATGGCAAGCCGACGTGTGGGCTCGGCACGGCCGAAGTCTAACATCGACGATATTATTTAGGCAAAGTGACAGTCGACGATGGACCAGTCAAGAACCGACGGAGATAAAGGGCAAAGGGACAAGGAGGAGACTTCTAGCCTGTTCTCCTTTGGCGTTGGCGTTGGCGTTGGCGTTGGCGTTGGCGTCGGCGTCGGCGTCGGCGTCGGATCCGCTGGGGTGGTACCCCGACTCATCGGCAACACTACCAGGCGGTCGGGGAGTCCTCCTTGGACGCGAACGAGGCTTTTGGTGGCTTTACGTCTACGTCTGCTCGCCTGACTTTGAGTTGGCTCCGTTCGAGTAGCACCAGCCACCATATTCACATGCCCTTCAATCCTTCTCCGCCACCTTCTCTAATCTCGAGGCTCGATACCTCGAGCCGAGTCCCTCATCTCCTCGAGTTTTTCTCATGTGGAAATGCAAATGCAATATTGGTATTGAGTGGAGCCTTTGGGGAGTGCAATAGTTCCCGTTCGCACTAACTCACTAACTACCAGCTCCTTCGACTTCAACGGACTGGCTAGCCGCGCGCATTCTAGGTCAACCCCTTCACCTTAGCATCTGCCTTAACCCATAAGTCAAAATGAAACCTCCCAGTGGACGAGACCCGGCCAAGATGCGCAATCGAGAACAGTCTACGTCTCGTGCCCCCCTCCTCTAGCACAGCAGACAATGGCACTGCAGGATAAGATGAGAAATCTTGACGACACGAGGTCTGTGCCAAAAACGCAAGATATCTTGGGCCCTCGTCCTGATCCTTGGCGGCCGACTAGACTCCTTGATGTCTACCCTTCTCCCGCTGCAATGTAGCGCAACTCACGGCCGTAGGCCCACCACAACGAAGGCAACCGCCTGGAAGGTTGTCCCGGAGAGGCAAAGACGGCCGACCAGCCAGTGTGGACCGTAGACTTCCGTCTTGTCGATCAATACGCACGGTTAACAACTGCCCCTGACAGTTCATCCAGCTCGGCCCTCGTGCCCCATTGGAACGGGGCACGTCAAACTTATTCCCCGCGGCACGGGGTCCACGACACGACGGCTAGTCGCTGGTTTTTCCTGTTGAACGTACCCATCGGCTTTTTTTTTTTGGTCCTGTCAGAATGTTGTCTCCCCTGGACTAAAGCCAGAGGCGACCCAGATCCGCCCCCCCTACCATGAGCAACCCAAGCTGTGCAGGGTGTTGAAGAGTAGCACCGTATTATCATGAGCACACATGGGTGACACGAGTAATTCGACGGTTTCTAGCTTCCTGTCTCGGCGCCAGACCCTCCATCGCGGCGTTTGGTCCCGCAGCTCGTGAATCGCTGCCCAAAGAATTCAACTGCTGTTAGTCCGGACTGGTGCAGCGGCATCTCTGATTGGGGACGTACAGATGGCATGTACCAATAAAGAATGGGTCTCTCCGTTGCCAATGCTCCGCACACAGAGGGCACTCTGAGCCGAATAGCAGAGAGACCCGTCAGCGTTGCATTGACAGCTCAACAAAGAACAATACGTACGGGAAGTAGCCGATGCGCATATCTGCCGAAGGCACGGTTACTGCCGGCCGAATTTGATGACCTGCAATAACGTAACGTCCAGTCCAGGCCGGCCTACAATGTCGAAGGCCCTTCGCTTGCGCCATCAACAGCACAAAGACAATGACGATGGGGACTCGATTCGCAACCACCGACAGGCCATGGCCCGCTTCCACCTGCTTTCCCCAAATAGGTCTGCAAACTTGGATCTGGATCGGTCATAAATCACAACTCGGAACGGCACTTGGGAACCCAAGGACAGAGAGGAAGGAGGGAAGGAAAAAAAAGGAACGCCTCTGCTTGGCAAGTTTGCCCATCGGTGAGGGGTTCATTTGGTACAAGGTGAACTAGAGGGGGGGTGGGATACACAGTGACAAGGAGAACATTCCATGTGAGGCACCGGTATCCCAGGGCCCCAGCCAACGCTGTTCCTCATGTGGTGGGGCCCATTCTCAGCTCCCCAAGCCACCGGCGCTAAGACAGACGTGGATATAACGAACAGTAGCATGTCGTCGGAACACAGCCGCGCGGGTGGACTGCTGACCGACATTTTCAAGCTTGCTTATTTCATCGGGTTTTCCCACCTTGTTCTTATCCTGTCTTCATGCCAAGGCATAGAACGGCCCTGTCTTTTTTCTCCTGAAGAGTCTGAGGCTTGCGCTAAGACCCAACGCCGGACCCGTTGCTGAATGCGGCTTGGATAGGTGACAGATGTCAGTCCCCTTGTCGTGAATGGGGCCGCACTGGCTCATCTGTCTGAGCTCCGGTCCCCTGGTGTCAAAGCGGACAGGTTAGCGCAACCGGCCTCTGGGGTTAACTGGTCTAGCGTGGACTGGATTCTTGAAACCTCCCTTGTACCTGGCACTACGGCTTTCTCGTCCTCCCATGTACATGCATTCACGATTAATGTCTGTATGGAAATGCAATCACGATTCAAGTGCCTATCTGGGACAATGCCTGCTCTTACCAAGGAGACCCAGTCAGCGTGGGCGGTGGCTTGCCGTCAGATTCTTGTCTCTATCAACGAACGCCGACTGGGCCTCGGCCTGGCCTATAGCCATGTCTTCGGGGGCGGAAGGAACCTTGGCCAGCCGTTAAATCCAGCTCTAATTCTGTGGCAGCACGAAGCAGATAAACAAGAGCTCCCCCCCGTTGCTCCTTGAGCTGATAGAACCCTCTTCACTAGTCTTTTCTGCACTTGCTCAAGTTGTTATCCCGCCGCTAGGCGTTGTGCGTATAACATACACTACCATCCTCGACCCAAGCTTAAGAGTCTGATACATCTCTCCGCTACGCCAGTCTACCACTCTCGTCTGCCCACAACCCTTCATGTCTGTCCAGCCGTTTCCGACACCGAGAAGGGGCGCCATGCCTCCCGCCACGTATGGCAAGCCGAAGGCCAAGGAGTCCATCCTGGACCTTTGCACGAGGGCCACTCTCCTCGGCAACAACATCTCGGTGCGTATGCTTGAGTTCCTCACCAACGTCAAGCACCAACCGCACGGTTTCCGAGATCTCGCCAACGACTTCCTCGACATTTGCCGCATACTATGGTCTATCGAGGCTGGCCTCTCCGAGGCGTCTCGTATAGAACAAGAGTTTCCTGCCGATATGATCAGGGAGCTCGATATCAAGTTCCGCCAGACCAATTCCGATTTCCAGGTTCTTGATCACATGATGTTCGAGTTCCTCGAGTACGAGAGAAAGGGTGCGGTAGGCAAGTTTCAGCGCGGCTGGCGGATGATGTTTGCCGACAAGGAGATCCTTAAGGTCAGAGAGTCGATCCGCAAGGCCAGAGACGCACTGAGGATGAGTGCCCTTGTTTTCCAGTGGTCTCTGGGCGCCTCCAAGACCGAAGATGCCGCTGGCAATGGCTACGCCGGTCTTGCGGCCGCGCTGAACCGCATCGGCAATCAGCACTCGACGGTGCGGATATCCAAGTCTAAGTCGTTTGAAGTTCCGCCTGTATCGCCAGCTGATCGTTCAGACGAAACCTCTGCTCCCCTTCCCCCTCTCCCGCAAGTCAGCTCGCAAGCTCCCCATATTCCTCCTCCTTCCTTGGTAGAGAAGATGGCAGCAGACTTTGTTTTCCAAGACGTGAGGTTGTCCCCGGACCCACGCCGCCGCACATCCATCTCCAACAAGAGCCATCACAGCTCCTCAGAGAATGGGCACTCTTCCAGAATCCCCGATCGTAGGATAGTCCGCGACGACATCCCCATCTCAGAGCACGGTCAATTCGACCTTCACTCCGCAGCCACAAGAACCTACTCCGATAGGAGGCCAGTACGCGATGACATTACCATTTCCGACCTGGAAACATACGACGCGCCTAGTCGTCTCTCAGACCGAAAGAACCTCCGCGATTCGGACCATACTATTGCAGCCTCATCGTCAGGCACAGAAACACTGCTCGGCGAACTGCAAAGTATCGCCGACAGCATTCCGACAAAGGTCGTTCGCTTGAAGGCCGACCCCATGACGATGCCACGCTGGACCCCACGCCAAAATGCCAATGGCAACCCGTCTCTCAAGGCATCTCTCATTGCCGCTGTACAGAGCAAGAACCACAAGCTCGTAGAGCAGCTGCTCGACCGAGGCGTCTCGCCCGACACTGGTTCGGACCAGCACGTCCTAGTGCACTCGGCCCTGTGCCAGGACCATGAGACCGTCCGCCTGCTTCTGCTGTTCGGTGCCGACCCTAACTCTGCGGACAAGGACGGCATCACCCCTCTCTTCGCTGCAGTGGAAATGAACGCTTTCGAGATTACCAAGCTGCTTCTCAAGTATGGCGCCGATCCCAATCTGTCTGCTGGCCCCTCACAAGAGTCCCCTCTTGCCATATCTGTCATCGATGTCAAGATCGAGTTCGTCCACATATTACTTACATATGGTGGCGATCCGAACCATATCATGGCGAACGGCAATACGGTCCTGATCGCCTCGATGAACAAGACGACCCCTAAGAAGTTGGTCGACCTTATGCTCGACTACGGCTCTGACCCCAACGTCAAGAACAGGGAAGGCAAGACTGCTTTGTTCGAGGCAATCATGTCTGCGAGAGTAGACCTCCTCACTGCTCTCCTAGACCACGGCGCCAACCCTAACCTGCCCGGTCCGAAACACATGCTCTGGCCCGCCACCTACCAGTCCGCCTGCCTGAAGGTCCTCCTTGCCCGTGGAGCTGACAGCAAAAAGGCTCCCGGCAACATGGAGCTTGCTGTCAGTATCAACAACATCGAGTCGGTCCGCGTGCTGCTCTCTGCCGGTGTTTCCCCCAATGTCAAAAAGGATGGCATCTACACGCCACTGTGCACAGCCATCCGCGACAACCGTGCAGATATCTTCGAGCTTCTCTTGGCAAACGGCGCCGATCCCAACTTGAACTCTGCCGAATACCCTGCCTTCAAGTGCGTGACGCATTTCCGCACGCACTTCCTCCCCCGCCTTGTTGCCGCTGGCAACGACCTCCACAACCCCAAGGGTATTATCGAGATGGCCGTTCGGGTCAACAACATGGAGGCCCTAATGTGGCTTCTCGATCAGGGCGTCAGTCCCAACGACAGGGGCGACGATGGCAACACCCCTTTGACGACGGCCATTAAGGAGGGCCGTATGGAGATGATCGACGAGCTTGTCGCTCACGGCGCAGACCCCAATGTCCGCGGCACCGACTGGCCCATCGTTATGTCTGTCCAGCACCCAGAGGTGCTCAAGAGACTACTCCCCGCTGTTGCCGACCCTCGGTCGTTCAAGGGTTTGATGGAGCGCGCCGTCGTGGCAAACCAGCTCGAGAGCGTCAAGCTCCTTCTCAATGCCGGCGTATCGGTCGAGGACAAGAACGGCGGCGTCTTCTCGCCACTGACCTCAGCCATTCGCGAGGACAACAAGGAGATCACAAAGTTTCTCATCAATGAAGGCGGCGCTGACATCAACGCCCCCGGTGAGCACTTGCCCATCGTCAAGGCCGTGCGTCGGTGCCGTGGCGACGACACCGAGATACTCGAAATGCTCCTTCGTAAGGGCGCCGATGTCAACAAGATCTACCGCGGATGGAATGCCATCATGCAGGCCGTCGAAAACGGCGACGCCAAGGTGCTCAAGCTTCTTGTCGAGGCCGGCGGTGTCGACCTCGAAGCTAAAGACGACGCCGGCCGCACTGTCATGGAGATCGCTGCCAGCCGTGGTTGGGAAGAGTCAGTTGGCATCATCCTGTGGGATGGCAAGAATAAGAAATGATTTCCCTCCAAACACCTTCGTTTTTCTACTACTGTATCACATTTTGTTGATTCGAGATGCTCCAGACGACAAATCTTTATTTTCTATGTAATGCATATGTACGGAACGCTTAGTATCTGTTGGACGATTAAAATTCTCATGTCGATATTGCAAGAGGTTTATGATATCATATTCTTTTACATCTTTCATTTTGTTAACAAGTCGGAACTATCTTGGCGTTTGCTTCTATACCTCCTCAGTGAGACTTCTGAATATAATCTCCTAAAGTCAATTCGCCCATTGGGTTCATTGAGCATGACATGGCCTCTAATGCCACTCCTTCCTTTTCGTGATCGCCGTAAATTCAAATCAGTTTCGTTGTCAGCATGTTTCCCATCAGTATTAATTAACAAGATCACAAGCAATAGTTTCCACTAGCCGACTGTAATGCCGTACGCGTAAGACAACTCCGTCGTACAAAAGGAAGCATATAAAAGGTGGTTAAAATCCAGACAGAGGGGTGGGTCAGCCCAGGAATCAACCCAAAAAAGAAGAAGAAAACAGAAATAATAAGTTTGCCTCATGCCTGAGTCGAACAGGCGATCTTCTCATTACTAGTGAGACGCTTTACCCCTGAGCCAATGAGGCCGAATGTTAGGTACATATCTGTTCTCGCTGGTCGGCGGCGTCACGGAGGAACTGATTTCGCAAGATTGTCGAGCTGTGTGCGGGAAGTCCCAGGGCGTGCGTGTCCCACCAGCCCACTAGATTCATAACGGGGGTAGCTTTGGGAACAGGGCTTTTACAGCGTGGCGGGGCCACCGTACTCAAGTTAATTTTGCAATCAAGTGGACTTAGACCATGGCACAAGAGGAACAAACATCCCTGACTATGCTATCTCGTAGGGGCTTCAAACTATATGTACCGTTTATGTTGCGATTTTGGTACATTCATCAACCAGGAAGACTCCTTGCTGGCATGGTCTGTCAATTCCCCTTTGTCAGTAGGAGGATGTTCGACTACAGGGCGCAACAAGCATGTTGCAATACGTATTTGGAGGAATTTTCTTACGAGTCTTCCACATACATATATCGAGCTACTCATAGTCGATATGAAGTCATAACCTAGTCAAACTAGTTCGTTGGAATTGCTTTTATTGGTCTAGTCTTGTAAAGCATCAACTTGAATGAGCGACTGTTACTTTAATTTGCAGCACTGTCGTGTACATGTGCCATTCAGGGACGAATGAGTGTGAAGTCTCGAATAAGTTGATGTGAAGGTTCGGAAAACCTCAAACCACTTCAACAGGATGAGAAGCGCCCAGGGCCGCAAAGGAAGGTTCGTTATGTTGGCGGTAGTTGGAAAGCCCTTCAGAGACTGGGCCTAACTCATCCTCCCGTTACAAAGTAACCCAAATTTGTTTCGTCCCGTTGATAGAGGCTGGTAATGCATTAGTACTGAATACGTAAAAAAGAAAATCATGGCGATGGCATACCTCCCTTTGATATCGGACCTAATGTGTTGCAAACGAGCCTAAGAAGACGATGTAGCCGAAACTGCTGCCTTTGGGAAAGAGCACTTTGAGCAAGTCGAGGTCGAAGAAGACGGTGTTGAGGTCGCTGGACATTGGCAGATTTTCGTGGGATCAGCCAATGCAGTAATGACTGTAGCGGGGATGATAGGGGCAGGCATCTTGAAGTGGTAAGAGCTGGCCGAGTAAACTGAGAGGCTTTGGTAATGAGTGGTCGAAGAATCGAACTGAGATGTATTTCGAGATACCCGTTGCTTTGTTCTTAGGCAGCTCAGCACATCTTATATACACCTGCCCAGCCGTGGTCGAAAGTCCTACTCCGCGTATCAATGTCAAAATGCCGCAAGACTGTCAGCCCGACTATTTTGACCGTCATTGGGTTCCTCCTTACAGAGTTGTTCTATTAATGAACCTAGACTTTCGCTTTTTGGCAAATACTAAGAGACCAAGGGCAATCGTCCCCACAACCCATAGACCCAGGTGTATACCTTTGGGTAGTTGCTGAGCCCCAGTAATCTTAAGCAAGACATGAAACCCAGGAAAAAGTAACAATTCGTTGGAATCGACGATAAGGTGGTGCAGATGACTTGCCTTCTAGTAACATGAGAGGTGGGCGGAGAAAACCCCGTTGGTATGGGTAAGATATTGTAGAACTGACTAGCAAGGGGTTATGATTCCAGTCAGCTCGCTAAGTATTAAACTCACTGTCCGGGCGTACCTCGCCGTACACATGTTTGCCAATTAGCCGCGTGTGTCTGGCAGGCTCATTACTAAAAATCATTTAGGATTTGTTTGCAACGAATCAGAGGCCACTCCATCAGACTGGCGCAGTGGCAAATCAGAATGCTCCCTACGGCCTAAATGTTGGCTCGGCTCATGGCTCTTTTGCTAGAAACAGATAGAAAGCCAACCATATGGCTTCAAACATCTAGACCATCAAAGTGGAAACATGACAAGGTTCAAAATGTGTATGAAGACTGCCCTTTTTGGAAATTGCACGTTGAAACGTAGGCCTCGGCCGAGGGATTACGACCAATTGCCTAAATGGGAAATTGTACGTCTACGAAGCTGCCAAGACGTGATTGAGCAACGTGATTTGCCATTAGGCACCAACACAGCTGTGGAGGCTAAAATAAGCGTCTTACTCATTCCCAAATCTCCAAGCGTTGGGGGCGAAATAACCGGTCCGACGGTTTACGACCAGGCACGAACTCGGATTGAGAGGCTTAGCCAAGAAGCGTAGGGCTGAATCGGCACTACCACCGGGCAGAATACAAGACGAACCGCCCCATTGGACACGTAGACCTTCCCAAAACGACTAATGGATGGTAGCGAGCAGGTCGGACTCGGGCGTTACGAAAACCCTCCGTTCGGCGTCCCTGTGATCAGGCATCCACCTTGGCCTCGTACCCAGTCTGACGATGACAATCCTTTAGACATAAGTTATCATCAATGTGCCTGATCCTTCTGGAAAGTTCGACCGCCGAGCCTCCCGCTCTAGCACAGGGCGATTTCCTCGACTTGTAGCGTCTTGATCCTCTATTATTTAGTGTCGCGTGCATGCATCGGTCGTAGAAGCGGTGCTCTCTCCTCTTCAACTCAGTTCATAAATAACGCCCAAAATCCAGTTTCCTCTAGTCGCTGAAGTAACCTCCCTTATTAGGAGACCTCGCTCCTGAACTTGATCTCACCACGAAGGCTAATCAAATTCAAAGTACGAGCTCTTCTTCTTCTTCCTCCTGAAACTCTATCTACAATTATCAAACACTATGCCTTAGTAGAATCGCCCAGAAAAATCAAACGTTCGTTTTCCCATCGGGCTCATCGCCGTATGCAAAAAGACGTGGATCGAATTCGGAAACCATGCTGAAGCGCTCGTTGAGTTAACCAGCGTCATGGCATCTACGGTGCGCAGACCGCTAACGGCAGTTTCAAAGCTACACAGCCTGTAGATGAGTAATTAGGTAAGGTAGAATCTATGACAATGTTGCGGCATTGAACACACGACTTATATGTTTTATGCTACTGCCTGCTTTCACCTGGAGAGTTGCCTGAGCTTTTGGCCAGATGCCTCTGCTGCATTTGATGTGAGCAGGTTTTGGCAACGTTCTCAAGATAGTTCAATGTCTGTTTGACCTATAGGCAGAGAATGTGATTTTATTTCTACCTTCTTTGTTGTTTAAATCTATAGGTGTTCAACTTTATGCTTCCGCTTCAGTGGTCCAGAGGATAGACGTAGGTATTGTGGTACATAGCGTGTGCGGGACTGAATAACACATCAAGCTGGGCTCAAGGCAGACTGGATCAGTCATAGGCCATAACACATACAAATTAACAGCAACTAATGAAATCGGAGCCATCGGAGGTTATCCAGAATTTGCTTCTTGAGTTTGTTGTGTTGTTGGTTGGTCACCAAGGAATCCCCGATAGTCTAGTGGTGAGGATATCTGCTTGTCATTTAAACGATTCGCAGGGGACCGGGGTTCAATTCCCCGTCGAGGAGTTTCTTTTGCCTCTGTTGCTTATGGTTTTTTGGTCGAATCAAGCCGTTTGGAATGCTCATTCGGAGCGATTGATATCTTCTGTGTTGCATTGCTTTTCGAAGTGTAGTCAATGTACAGCCTGGTTTGGTACTAGGCAATCTAGTGGATCCATGATGGCTTCCCGAGAGGTCTAATAGGGTTTGAAAACAAGGATTTTCTACAATCCCCTTGCTCTTGAGACCTTTATAGTCAAGTTTCGGATCTCATAGCCATTGGTTTTACGCCTTCTTGTGGTCAATTTAGAGGGGGGTTTGACCCCAAACATAACTCCTGAACAGGCCCAGGGCAATGTCACGGCTAAGTGCTTCTGAACGTTTCAATGAACTTTGCACCAGCAATCCAAGGCCGAGAAATGCGCCACTCCACGAAGTGCATTGGAGGAGTCCAGATGGAGGCCTAGACCAGTCATCCTCATCCACACATTACTGCTGGTTCTCCGAAACATAGCCTCGCAAAGTCGTAAAGCTGTACCATGCACCATGTCAGCTATCGTGAACTTCAAAAGCCTATCAGCTAGCGCGCACCACAAGTCGATTGGCCCGCTTAGCCGCCGTTGGCTGAATCCATGGATACGGGAGCTTGAGCTAGCTGGTGACGCAAAAATGGCGATAGCAATGGCCTAAGTACGAGCCCCTTGCACCGCTAGTTGAGCTCGAGGTCAGCCCGGCACCCAGCCGGACAGCGGCGGATCCGGCCCCCGATCGGCCCCTGAGTATTGTGCTAATACCCGTCAGTCGGAGTAGCCCTTGTGCCTTACTGGCTTACAAGTACCATGTTTGCTGTACACGGCAACGTTAGAGGGTGTCTTTGAAGCTGGAAAATGGCAATAAAGTGGTTTTCATACCCGTGGCTGTTTTGAACCGAAAGTATGGAGGCGCTAAAGCATCACACAAATGGTATGGTTGCAGACAAAGTCGAGTATCTCTGTCGTTTCAAAGATCCAGAGAACTGAAAGCATGGTCTCCATCCAACGTTAGTACGTCGGTTGATGCATCGGGATTCCAGTTGATAACCCCGCCTTCGCCAAACGCAAAGTCGTTTTCGATCTGCGTAAATAAAAACTGGTTCGCTTCTTCGGTAGACCACGACCATGGCGTTTCCGAAGCCAACAATGTGTCAAATCCATCTGGTTCGTTCGCGAGCGATCCCACCACAGGAACACTGCCAACTGTTTCTCGATTCATTGACGTGCGATATCCTCCGTGGTCTTTTCCCACGCCTGATATGATGCCAACATCATCCTGCATCCGAAGCCGCGCTGCTGTAGATCGATCTAGATACTGGAAGAAAAGCTGAAGCACCCACATCCTGACTTCCCAAGTTTTCTGCAGCTCTTGCAGGCCTAACAGACAAAGCTTAGCTCTGTGCTCTAATATGGATCGTTCAGCCCCTTTTGATGCACGGAGATTGACAGTATGTATGCATAGGGTGTTGAAGAGATTGGTAATGACGTGAATCTGACCATGGCGCAAGGTTCCTTCCAAGAGCATGTCTTCAATGATCCTTGAGTTCCTAGCCGCTGCTTGAAGAGCAATTTGTCCGTCGATTTCCCTGCTTTCCTCGATAGTACCTATACAACCGGATCTGTATAGAAGAATAAGGAGGTTGTTGTAAGCCAAGTGTAGCATGTTGGCGTAGAGGCTGGGGTGATTGTTAAATTCATCGCCTCCCACTTGCATCGCCGGCGGCAGGCTTTGGCGCCATCGTGCTAAATCGTCCTTCATCTGAGAGCGATCACTTCCAGAGAGCGATTTGCTTGGTAGATAGCCGCCATGAACGATTCGGCCTAGTGCCCTGGAGAGTTGAGATATTCCAATGAAGTACGAGATGTACTCCTGAGTCTGATTTGCCGTCAAATCTGGGCTGAAGGCGTGTTCGAAGTCGTCTTTTTCCAACAGTTCGATGTCGCAATCTTCGTCTCGAATTCTGTTGGGTAAGCCTAAAGCCGCCGCGCATTGTCTCTCTCGTATGTAGATCGACCACCACAAACGTCTGCGAAGCCTTTCTAGCCTTTTGTCTGTAGTCGCCGCACGCGATGAACGGTGTAGTGCTTTTGTCTGAGCCAAGCTGATGGAGGCACCCAGCCAATGTCTAGCGTCCTTTTCCAAAAGTAGACCTGCCCTCCAGAAGCTCATGAGAAACAGAGACTGAATGACTGTGAACTTTTTGGGCTCGAACTCGACGTCGTATATGTCTTTTGCGCGGTTGTAGAAAACCCATTTAGCCATATGGCGACTGCCAAAGCCAAGTGCTGGTAGCGCATCCTCATTGCAGTGTATAACCGCTATGAAAAGGATTGCCTGTAGCAAAAGAGGAGAGAGATTCCCACCTCTGTACTTATTCCACGTGTCAACTTCATCTACCACAGGGAAGCACGGGTGAAACCACTGGAAGTATGCACTAAGCAATGTCTCGACAGCTGGTTTGGGTGGAAATGAGAAGACGCCTTCTGCCTTCAGCAATCTGATCCTTGTTCGACGTCGCCCGACCTCCCACTCAGGTACAAGATTCTCGGCTCTCACGGCATGAGGAACGGAATGGAGGAATCTCAAGTTCTCCGGGGGTGAAACACCTGCGTCCGGCGCTCTCGGATTGCCATTTGTGACATATCTTATTGACGAGGACTCGCCTAAGAACACCGAGCTCTCATCTTCTTGTCGAGAATCCGCTGCCAGGGTAGGTGACCGAGGCCTTGCAATGACAGTATCGGCTTCGTATGACGGCTCATGTTCCCGTCTTCTCGCCAAGTCAGCTAGCGCCTGAGAAGCGACAACATGGTTATCTGTCTGCTGATCTATCGACTCATCTAATAGACTGGTTTCGAAGAAAGCGGGGGATGAAGTATTTTCCTGTACTGCAGGGGTCCTCGTCAACTCATGTTTTCGTGATGGGCGAGGGTGTTTGCCGCGTCGGGATTCGCGCACTTCACAGAGTACGTCTGCTGTTGCGCAGTTTCGGCATGGTTGCTGCTCGGTTACATTGCATCTCACACGCCGTGCATTGCAGGCCTGGCAGGCCTGGCGCGCTCGTCGGCGAAGTTTTGTCATGTCCAAGGGCCGACTTTCCGCGCATTCTTCACACCTGACTGTTTATATGATATCTGATCAGCAAAAGTCGCCAATAGACACCTTCGAAGCCTAGATGATTGTTATTCCGATACTCAAGGTCGGTTTCTTTTGGATAGGCACCTAACTCGGGTCTTGGGTTGTTAACTAAAAGTTTTGTCTCTGTTTCGACCGGTGCGATGTAGCCGAAGTGGTGAGGTTTGGGTCATTTCTCTATTGCCGATGTGGGGTTAGTCCATCTACGCCAATGACATCACCTCTCGGTTACATACATCGCATATAACCGAAGGTCATGCAGCGGCCTGCCAACCTGACCAGGACTTGAGTAAGAAGGGTAAAAGGAACACTCCTCGAACTCTTGTAAATCATGCTCCGAATTTTATGCATCTTGATAGCCCGGTCACGAAATTTCAGCTAACATGGCAACACGTTGTTTGCCCAGGCTTGTCTATGTACCTCGGCAATCCAACACAGCTAAGCTTGTGAAGAGAAATTTCTCGTTCATGCCCAGAAGGTGCTCATCATATGAAGATACAATTGCAAATCTGAGGATAGACAAAAACACAAGGGTGATATATCAAGGTATTCAATCTCGAAACTCTGTGGAATTGAGCTGCTAATGACACTGTCAAGGATTTACTGGTAAAACAGTATGTTGAAAGGCGACTTCGCCTTGTTTGTAATACTACCATGTGACTAACTTTGAGTAGGCTACCAAAAATGCCAAAGACACGATTGAGTACGGAACGAACATCGTGGGCGGAGTTTCACCTGGGAAAGGAGGCCAGAATCACCTTGGTCTTCCGGTGTTCGACACAGTAGGAGAGGTATGGCACGTTCAACTTGCAAAGGTCTGAAGATTCGACTGACGATGGTTGATCTTGCTTGAAGGCTATGAACACTGTCAAACCACATGCAAGTGCTGTATTTGTACCTGCACAATTTGCAGCTGGTGCTATAATTGAGGCTATCGAGGCCGAGGTCCCACTGGTTGTGTCAGTTGCTGAGCATGTCCCACTTCACGACATGGCGAGGGTTCAAGAAATCTTGAGAACGCAGTGCAAAACCCGTCTTGTCGGGCCCAACTGCCCCGGCATTATTGCACCTGATCAATGCCGTATCGGAATCATGCCATACAAGCAATATTCCCGGGGTGTAGTGGGCATTGTCTCGAAGAGTGGAACGCTTAGTTACGAAGCTGTTGGCGCGACAACTAAAGCAGGACTCGGGCAGAGTGTCGTTGTGGGGATGGGGGGTGATATGATGCCTGGTAAATGTTGACGACCCAATTCTCTGCGTAAGACTGTCTAACCATGTCGAAAACAGGCACTACCTTGCTCGATGGCCTCAAACTGTTTTTTGAGAATGACGAGACCAAAGGCATCATTGTAATTGGAGAAATTGGTGGGGAAGCTGAGCTCAGAGCTGCCGAGGCCATCGAATCTTACCGAAAGTCGACTTCAAACCCGAAGCCAATCATCGCAATGGTTGCTGGAAGAACAGCGCCGCCTGGAAAGACGATGGGTCATGCCGGTGCCATCCTTTCACCAAGAGATGTATCCGCAGACACCAAGGCAAAAGCGCTTAGGGAAGCGGGTGCAGTTGTTGTTCCCCACCCAGGAGTGATGGGTACTGAGATGAAGAGACTGCTAAGCCTACAGAGAAACTAGATATTCTCACCGGGTATCATTTGACAATTCTGAACGACTGGTGGATATGTTCCCTAGATCAAACGCCTCGATTTCTGAATTTCATGTGAATAATAATTAGCGATAAATCAAACATTCATATGTTGATGCAAAGTGTGCCATAGTCAAATCAAGCTTCTTGATCGTCCGACACTGGGCACAAAGGGCTTGCTATGACATTTTTAGCTGGTGCTCTGGACATCATAACGCCTCAAAGTGTTTCCCTAGAAGCAACTGTAACTAATGGTGGTCAAAACAGTTTGGTGCATCAAAACGGTAACCGCCAGAGCTGCCAAGACCAAATGGTGCAAACTAAATCGGCCCCGATACGCCTCGGCCCTGGTGGAGCGTTGCAGAGTAATCGAAGCTCTGGCCTCCATCACACAACTCACTCACTTAGCCGAAAATCCAACTTCTGACCTCTTAGATCCGAATAGAAACCAACAAATCTCTAAGGTTTTTGGTTCAGCTAGCTCAATCGGTAGACGTGGGTTTCTTGATTTCAAGGCCATGGTTTCATCTGTAAAAGTCTCATGCAGTCACCTAGTTCTCATCGATCAACAACTAGTCTTGCCAGCCGCACCGGCCTCAATTCCCATCAGCAATTGGCTTCTTTTCCTTCTCGTATTTCTCTTTTGTTATGACTTCGTGTTATCTTTTCTTGCTCGGTCATCTCGCGCTACTCTGCACCTCTTGGTGCTTCTGCTCAAGCAGGCTATTCGATAATATTCTCTACTCGTTGGAGAATGATTTTCGGTTTGGACTATGACCCTGTAGTCAAGTTATGCTTATCTATATACTACCGGTCATGCTCTGTCCTGATATATCCGATTCAGATGGTGTATTCTGATTATGCCGTAGGTATCCATCGTACGATTTCCGTGTTACTACAAGACCTTGCCACGTTGAAAAGCCCGCCTCTCACATCAAGAAAGCTAGGGGAAAAGAACTCCTTGTTCACAAACCCAATCAGGCACGTCACAACGCAAGACACCGAGAACCGTTTCCAAATCATATGATACATTGATACGTAAACTGGGTCCCAAAACCCCTAACGCCCGCTCGTTCACCATGAAGACTACCTATTGGTCGATGGGCCGACGAAATACACAGGCCACATTCTCCAACGCCCGCTGAAATGTACCCTTCGGCCTACTATCAGGACAAGGTATGGTTATGGACGAGATGGAGGAGGTATAAAGAGCATGGTATCGCAACATCTGAGAAGTTTGAAGTAACAATAGCCTTCATCTCAGAAATATAAATGGAGCTAGGCCATGAGAGCCCCGAGAACAACAGCAGCTCTACGGATCATGACGAAGCTGCGTCGCTATTAGAAGTTTGCGACAATACGTCACAGTTATTTTTAAGACATAAGTCGTTCTTCACAGTAAGCAAACTATGAGAAAGCCGCGTGCCTTTGCTTGGCAGATGGTGACGCGAAAACTAGAAGACTGACACAGATCAAAGAAGGTTTAGGCAAACAGTCAGATTTGAATTCTTTCGAGGAAGGATTCCTTCTTCTGCCATGAAGTCTATAGAGAAATCTAGGACCATCATCTACCCGCTTAAGTCCCAGCAAGTTCAAAGATACTGAGGAGTGATCCCCTCCGGCTCCCCGCCTGCAGTATCCAATAAGTCCAGTTTACTGCCGACTTCGGAGCTTACACAGCATCTGGAATCTGAAAAAGCCTCAGAAATGGTCAATCAAACTGCCCAATTTGGCAGAGCTCTGCAGGAAGCCATGCCCTTCGGTGACATCTCCCAGCCATCAGGTTCAAAACCCCTCACGCACGCACCGACATCAGACCGCCAGACGTGGGGGCTTCGTGACAACCGTTGGACCTCTGCCGAACTAGCAAGATAGCGATGGCTTTAAACCTACTAAGGCAAAGTCCAGCGGATCTTGCATGGTAGTTACAACAGACTTTCGGCGTCTCTTGTTTACCTATCAGTTGCGGGCAGGCTTATCAGTGGCCCGGCTCGGAAAGTGGGAAGTGGGGCTTGGTTCTCGGAGCTCTAACGTTACCGGGTCTCCACGGCAGTTCTGAACTGTTGCCGTGTTCAGGTTCGTATAACTCTACCTATTTTGATTGAATTGAGTCTAACCTTATCAACAGGTGGATTAATGAACCTCTTTGCTAGCGACTTCCCAGCTGCAAGCACAGGGTGTTTCGACTCGTTTGCCAACTTGCTGCGCTCAAGATAACGTCAAAAGATAAGCAGACGGCATCGGTGGACCTGGTTCTTGCAGCGCGCTCACGACATTCGGCGCAGTCTTGCCGGGATAGATGAGCCGGATGTCCGGCAGCACCGGAAACTGTGTTCGAACTCCACCACGTGCGAATACCTAGAAGCAAAGATTGTTCCTTGGAAGCCATCAACATAGCCTCTCAAACGTGCTGGCCAATCTGTTTGGACCCCACACAAAGCTCACGGACATCGGACAGACCCCACAGACCCCAGCCCTCCGCATCTTCAAAAACCATCGGGCCTTCCCTGGGCCTGATGGGACCAGGTCCTGCCCGGCTGGCGACTCCGCCTTAATTGTACTTCAAGATAAGACGTCCCCGGTCAACTGCCGACTTGAAAGCGGATTGAGTATGTGATTCGCCTTTCATCTGTTGGCCTATCAGTACAATCGGGGACACAGCTAGCCGGTTAATGTCGCTCCTTATCAAAATACTGGATCCCTGGCTATCAAACCAGCTGCTCCGGACTGTTGGGAATCGATCCGTTAGTCAACTGACTGGAGTGTTATTGCAGGTTATTTTACACTTATTTCCAATAGTAATTGGAGTCACAAGGATTATCCGCAGGCCGCAACCCGCGATGTCGATGATCTCTGGCGCCATGAGATGAGTGTCATATCTCTGCAACAAGCTGTAGCTGTAAGCTACCGCCACTCCTTTTTTTCGATTCAGTACTACGAGAAAGGCTGTTGGTGGCAATCCAACTAGCACTGTTATCCTGCTTTGTAAATTCTGGAAATCGAATGACCCCTCAGCTCGCTTGCCAACACCCCAGGATGTAGATGAGGCTCTCGCTCCTGGTTTCCCTTCCAATTCCTAGTGGCGCGTCCACCTACTGAGATAGGCTAGCCTCTATCTTAAGGATTGAATATCATTGGTAGTTGGTAATGTCATGGAAATGCTCAAGACTGCCCATGTCGATGCGACCCTGTCACCGGTGTCGGGGCGAATTGGCTTAAAGATGTACAAGCCCATCCCCCTGATCCTGGCTCTAGAAGAGGTATATAAGTTCAACGCTCTCGGTGTTGTTCGTTGATACACGATAGTTTCTGGGGAGCTACCCCGACCGTTCTAATCCTAAAGTCGTTGGCAAAGCATTTGATCTTGCCTGAAAAGAAGACGATGGGCTTTTCTTCGATAACCCGAGCTTTAGGCTTGGGAGCCCTGCTAATTCTCGGCTCTGATATTATACCACAAGTCAACGGGCTTCCGAAAACTCCATGGGCCCAACAGCGTGCCAAGGGTCATGGCAGGAAGGCACTCAGTCAGACCATCAATAAGCGCCAGTTCGCTAACACTTCCGAGCCCGCCGACTGCGTTTCTCACAGTCCTCTCGACATTGAGGCGCCCAAGGAGAACATCTGGAGTGGCCTCACCGGCCTCGAAGCCGCGGGTGTTACCGAGTGGCTTTTCGCCCAGAAGGAACTAAATCTTACCTTGAGCGAGAACGCCACGTCGTGGGACAACACGATGCAAGTGACCACAAGATGTCGAGTAGACTTTTGACGATTTTCTGACTGATGCAATAGTGTTCTGGTTGAGCTCATGCAACCGAATAAGTCAGATGCTCTGGCTTACATTGACGGAAGCGGCCCAGCACCAGCTCGCTATGCTCACGTAGTGCTTGACTTCCGCGCCACTGAAGATCCAGAGTACCAAGACATTCTCGTCGGTCCTCTTCCAGTCACCAATGGCACCACTAAGTGGGAGCGTCTCGAGTACCCCTACACCCGCAAGACTGGCGGAAGAGTTCGCAACCTCGATGCCGATGATGAAGCCGTGCAAGAGTGGCGTTACAAAGTCGGCAGGAGCATCGCTGACATCACCATGGACCTCTGGAATGGCACTGCCCTAGGACTTGACAACGACACCCTGGACATCTGGGGTATCGACCCGTACTACCAGGATGACGGCCGTATCCAACATTGGGACACATTCTGGAGCATCCCCAACTCTATCTTTGATGTTGAGTCCATGATGGCTTTGGGACTATTCTTCATGTCCGATGTAACAGGCCGTGACCCCTCCAAATGGACCATCGAGGGGTGGTATTACAATGGGATTTTTTACGAGACCACGGAGGAATTCCGTAACGCATACTGGAGTGGCAAAGTTGAGAAGCTCGGCGGCAACTTTGCGGGCGACTGGTCAGCAACCGATCAGCAGGGCGAGATCCTTCCGAAGGACACCATGGCCCCACCGACTTCAGTTGCCCCCCAGGGTGCTAGATACTCTGTCGATGCTGAAAGAAAGTATGTCGAGTGGATGGGCTGGAGCTTCTATGTCGGCTTCAATCGTGACACGGGCATGGCTCTTTACGATATCAGTTACAAGGGCCAGAGAATTCTTTACGAACTTGGTCTTCAAGAGGCCTTGGCTCACTATGCTGGTAAGCCTTTCTTCCCATATCGCGCCTGAGGTGGATATCTGACAAGTCCGTAGGAAGCGATCCCACACAGTCTCACACGGCCTACCTTGACACTTATTACGGCTTCGGTCCATTTGCATTCGAATTGCTGAAGGGTTATGACTGCCCGTCGTACGCGACCTACTTGAACAGCTCTTTCTATGTGGATGAGAGCACACACACACACCTGAACAGCATCTGCATGTTCGAGTTCGATGCTGACTACCCAATGGCCCGGCACAGTTCATCCCAGTACGTGACAGCGACGAAAAATGTTTACTTCACCATTCGCTCAGTCTCAACCGTCGGTAACTACGATTACATGTTCAGTTACAGCTTCTTCCTCGACGGCAGCGTTGCCGTTGAGGTTCGTGCCTCCGGGTACATTCAAGCCGCGTTCTACGCCAAGAACGAAGATTATGGCTTCAAGATCCATGACCAGCTTTCCGGAAGCATGCACGACCACGTGATCAACTTCAAGGCTGATTTCGACATTTTTGGCACCGAGAACACTGTGCAGCGTATGCACCAGGTATCCACGACCCAGGTCTACCCCTGGTCCAAGGGGAAGGCATTCAACACCATGAAGGTAGAGAGGGAGTTTGTCGAGAACGAAGAACAAGGCCGCTTTGACTGGAGCTACAACAACCAGGACCAGATCTTTGTCCTGAATCAGGACGTGAAGAACAAACATGGCGAGTACCGCGCCTACCGCATACTCCCTTACACTGGCGCCGCACACTTGACGGTCAAGAACTCAAATATCCTGAAGAACTCGGCCAACTGGGCGGGCTACGACATAATGGTCTCAAAGCGCAAAGACACGGAGCCTCGCAGCAGTCATCCGTACAATAACCAGGATACCGAAAACCCTCCGGTCAACTTCGATGCGTTCTTCGATGGCGAGAGTCTAAACCAGACTGATCTTGTCCTGTGGCTGAACCTTGGCATGCACCATGTTCCTCATACGGTAAGTTCCCATTTATTCAAGAAACAATGATGCAACTAAGTCTTTGGCTTCGCACCGTATCCATTAACCCACAATTACGTTGGAATTCGCATCGAGGCAATACTGACTCTGCCGATAGGGTGATTTGCCCACCACGGTCTTCACAACGGCACACTCTGGAATTCAGTTCATGCCTGCCAACTACTTTGAGGTCGGTCCCAACGTCGAGACGGTCAACATGGTCCGCATCAACTACTCCAACGGAAACACCACGGAGGTGGCTACCTTTGGCGCTGAGACGGACACATGTTCGCTGGACTACGAGCCTACGCAGGTTGATTTGTGGGACTACAAGGGAGATGTCGTTGTTCGCAAGTTCCCTTACTTGCCGGATGATCCATACTACGAGACGGACAGCATCGTCTAAGCATAGCATAATTATAATTGATTTATTTCGGAACACATCTAGGCAGTTTTCGGCGTAGACGTGGCGGTCAAATGACCAATTCCTCTCTAGAACTCTTCGATTCTTCCCGCTTCATGACAATGTGGTTGATGACACGATAATGTTTGGCCCTGACGCAAAGGTGATAGACCCAGTTCTACAGGATGACAGTTAAGTCATCGACTGCTGTAGTACCGTGCCAACAAACTCCTTAAAAAAGCTACAATATCAGTATGAAACTTTACAACTAGTTGCACAGGAGTGTTTGTAACTTCCGTGAAAAATGTAGACGCAATGAGCAGCAGGCGTAAATCGCGGTGTCTAGTACGCATGCGGGAAGTGCCTCTGTTGTACTCCAGTAAACGACTGGTTGGCTTTCTACCAGAAACGACATTAAATTGGAATTTGCTCTTCAAAGGCAGGATCTCCTCTGGATCAGGTACGTCACATCGTCTACCAACGTCGTTATTAACATCTTGACCAAGTCCGTGGTTGGCTGCATAAGTTAGATGTAGATATTATGCGGTGGGATCACGATGGATTGGGTTTCATGCGTGATTAATGGGATCGCTGGCGCCACCAAGCATGTTGATGGGTCGACTTGTATCTTTGTGCTGTTCACCTGCTCCTGCAATAGGTCCGCAACAACCCGTTCGATCGGCCTTGGTTCTGCGTTTTGCTATTGTGGAGTCTGATAAACCTAACGAGTTCCAACTTTGTTCTCATATCAAGCACAATGTGTGTAGTTACTACCAACGTGAAACCAGCGGTGAACGCCAACAACTGGGGATGGAGGTTCAAAATCGGATGTTTCTGCATTGCCATTTATCTGCCATTTGTTCTGGGCATCCAGTTCCGTCCCGACACTACTGGGCAATATGCATTCAACTCCTTGCTCACCCTCTTCCACCAAAGCTTGCTCCAGTTAGGAAAAAGGAAAGTCTGCACTAATACGCCAGGGAAATAGATGTTCCGCCACTCAGTTGAACGAGCTCTTTGAGAGACAAGCTCTCCGAGAAGAAGACCAGGCCGTGGCTACTGCACAAGAAACAGACTGCTACATAGGCCCAGCAAAAGCCAATACGATAAAGACCTGGCGGCCTCACTGCGTACGTTAGTACTGGGAAGCACTCGGCCGAATGCTACGCAGAGATCACCGCGATCATGTGATTCCGGCAATATGTGTTTCAGTACCCCGATTCGATCTATTTAGCCTAATAGTGTATAAAGACGCTTAATGAAATCGATGTTCTGCACTGTTATTCTTCGCCCCCCATCTGTGGGTTCCAGAAAACCTCTAAAAACCTTTGAGTTTGAGTTTATCAGCTAGCCACCCAAAGCAGCGTGGTGCTTTGAGATTACCGTGGTACGCGTGGTATCGGCCAAGGTGCCTTGGTCGAATCATTCTACTGGTCTGATATTCTACCAGAATTCGCGTTCAGGAACGATGTCTCGCCATTTAAACTCGCTGGATGAGCGGGGTACGTGGGTAAACGACTTTCTCTTCCGTCGCATCCGCTGCCCCTGTGTCCGCCCTTCAATTCTCGTGAAACGCAACCCCGCGACCTGAAGCCGCCAGTCTGCTCTCGATTAGTTGGACCGACAAGCATCGTTCCGTGTTTGCCGTGGTCTGTGGGAGTAGTCTATCAGGGCTAACGACTTTGAGCCGAGGGAGGCGCCCGGCATACTCATCCCTCCACAGGGTAATGGAATGTTTCTCGTTTTGCCCGAACAACGGGCGACGAGGCCGAGGATCATCGTGACCGGTGCGGGCCAGGGGCAGATGCGGAGGCCAAGCTTTTGTGCCAAGTAAACGGGCAGAGTGGTCAAGGTGGCTGCCCCACACCTGTCCCGACGCGGTCGTTCGTCCAGGGCCTCGGAGCAGAGACTGAAGTTGCCGCTGACTCGCCCGTACGGCTGTGCCGAGGCTCCGGCATCCTTGCTCCGCTCCCGTCGCAGATATATCGGTTCAGTTGGCAGTCGCCCTTCCGTTTGGCTCACACTCTTCGCCCGAGTCATATTTCTGGGTCCGTGGACTTTACGGCCGAGAATTGGAACGGTCAATCATAGGTTTAGTCTGAGTAATGACTTTCGCATTCCTCCGAGCGATGCGAATCAGCACACATGAATATTATACAAAATGCCTGTCAGATATTATATTCCAACTAGGACAGAACCCACACGCTGAACAGATCGTAGCCTAAACTAGCTACACCCAAAACGAAACATTACCAAAATATGAAAATCCATCTCAGCCGCACAGCGCCCACGCTCAACCTCGCATGACGCCTCGCGGCCCAGAAATGACGGTCTTGCCATACTTGTCCATCGACACCGACTCACTCACATGCGCAAACACAGGGCCGCCCAACTGCTCCTTGGTCTCCATGCCGTTGGGCCACTCCCTCTCCATCTCCTCCCTCTTTTTCCCCTTGGGCTTCTTGTCCCTGATGCGCAGCTTCTCAAAGAAGACGTAGGCGGCGTAGAAGACGCTGCTCGTGTTCCCGGCACCCGCGCCTTTCTTGTTCAAAAAGTTAGTTAGCAGGTTCGGCGCAACCTTGTGCGTCGAGTCGGCGCCATAGGCAGCTTTCACGGTGGCGCGCAGGAAGGCGGCCTTGGTGACGCCATCCTTTTTAAGTAAGGCACGGATCTTGGTGCGCACGGTGTCGCAGGTGTCATAGACGGGAACATTCATGTGTTCGTCGCCATCGAGGTGGATTTCAGAGAGGTCCGGGAGGGGGTCGTCCTTCTTCTTGGTGGCCTGCTTCTTGGGAGCCGGTTCCGCGGTGTCAGCGGCAGCGTCAGCAGCGTCTGACTTGCGCTTGCGGGACTTGGGAGCTGGTTTCTCGGCGGGCTGGAGGTGTCACGATGTCAGAGCTGATGTCACCACGGTTGTCGACACGCGTCTCAGGCATGACAATTATAGCCACGCCATATGCCACTGTTGCTAGAAACACGATGTATCGAACGCGGAACGTCGTAGACGCGCTTACGTACCTCTGTGATGGTGTTGTTTGAGGCACTGACGCGGTTCGCGTCAGCATCGCCAAGCGGCGCGGGGTCCGCGGCGGCGGCGGCGGCAGCTTTTTTGGGCGGCATTTTACGACGTGATTAAGTCTGGAACGGATGCCAGTCATTACGGACACGGGTCCGGTGATGTGGGTCCAAAGTGGTGTTCCGAGTCGGATAATGTCCGTCGGAAACGTAGTGTAGGGCGTTCTAGCAATCTCCGTGTGTGTCAAGAGGAAGGGATTCCATCACAAGCAGCTTAGGTGCACGATGCAAAGGGACGGTATGAGACCGAGTGTGGGCCTCGTTGATTGGAGGCCGAGCTCGTTGATGACGCGGTAGGTGGGAGGAGCTTCATCGAGACATGTCGTCATCGCAGCAACAGACACGGGCCAGGGGATGCAGAAGGACACTGGGCACAGGGAGGGACCCCCTTTTCCTCGCGACGGCAATCGATAATTGAATCAATATTGTGCCAGGGCATCGGAAAACACCAGGCGAACGGAGAATGGGCAAGTCGCACAGGGCGCTGAACGAATCGAAGAGGTGGCCAAGCGAGGGAATCGGGAACAAAGGTGGGCAGAAAGGGTGGGGAAAAGGGGCATGGCATGGCAGCCATGTCGATTCCGTGCAGACGACGCTGGAACACTTCATCTAAATAAATTGCGCTGGGGAGCAAATTCGAGAACGCAAGGGTATTTCTGGCCGCGGCTGCCAAGAATTGATGATTGATGGATCCCCGATGAGAGCCTCGCAAAGTGTCAGCTCAGGTACGAGTTAACCATGTGCACTAGGTACAGTAGTTGGTGTGGTGGAGGCAGGCAGGCAGGGAGCAAGGGGAGAAGGCTGAGGGTACGTACTCGTCCGTTGGCCGCGAGGACGTGGAGAAGCAGGAAGCAGGAGGCAGGAGGGTGGAAGGTGGGAAGGTGGGTGGGTAGGTGGGAAGGTGGAGGTGTCAGTTTCAGGCGGCGCAAATTTGGGCCAAGGGGCCGTTTACCTGCACGCATCAACTGTTGCTGGCAGACGCCGCCCACTCCCAGCTTCCTTAGAAGGTTCTTTCAGGGAAGGAAGCGGGTGTGGCGAGCTCTGGTTGGGTCATCCGAACCATCCTCCCCCCCTGCTGTCCACCTGGGCAAATGGCCCCCTGAAGGTGGCCACGGACTCATTAGCCTAAATGGGAACATCTCTTGACATTTCATTGGCCGATAAGTCCATCGGCGTCGGCGAAACAGCGATTCCTCGATGACTCAGCCGAGCCCCGAAACAAAGAAGTAGTGGTCCAGGCACAGAGTTGCGGCTGCACCCACGACGATCCCCAATAATCAAATTCTCTTCCACAGTATCCGTACCATACCGGCCGGTAGCCAAGCTGCTAAGCTGGGCCCCCTGGCAGGTAGACCATTATCCATCAACCAGCAATGCCCCTTGGCGACACCACCGCATGGCACTCGACACAGCCCGGTGAAAGACACAGATTTTTACCCACCCTGGACCTCGTCGAGCACAGATCGAGACCTTTGCACAAGGTTTTGGATTGATTGCTTATTCAGACCCCTAACGGCATGCTGATGCAGCCGGCTCACGACTGACCAAACTGGCTAGCATACTGTCCCATCCAGCTCTCGATTCTTCCGTTGCCCACGTCTGCTTGCCTGCCTCGGGTGCGTATCCACCCTTTCATCAACTTACCAAGACCAAGACCAGCATCGTACCTGCATTGAGTCGATCCGTCTCCTCCCAACAGTTAGGTAGTCCATCTCGATTCGAGGATCCCTCGGATCCGTACCCCATGTCCGTTGTCTAGGTAAGTCTTGCTCGGGCAAGCCTCCACCGGTATTTGCCCAGTCAATCGCTCGCCGCGGTCAACGGCATGTCATTCCAAACGAAGCCATGCGAGTCCGGTTCAAGCGTCAATGATACCCAAATCGAGCCTTGCCCAATATACCGTATATAGCCCAACGACCGGGATCCGTTGCTTCGAGAATACGTATTGGACGGGCCACGAACCTCGAGGATTCCAACTCGCATGCCCCAACTTCGAGATGGCTTTCAAGCCTTGCCAAGCCTGCCATACTGAATTCGTTTCTGCTGACAGCCAACTCGGCCAACCGACAGACTACGCGTCAAGCCCTGACTGAGACTTGCTGGCTGCATCCCTCCTTGGTTCATCACAGACATGCCAACCCGCCTCCTCCACCGTTATCCACCCAGTTTGCTTCTTTACCCGCCTCGACTCGTCATCCCTCCCGGACTTCAATCTCCAGGTCTCCAGTCAATCGGGTATTGGCTGCCGTTTGAGCCTGTCCAGACCTTGCCCGTCGGCTAGTGCATGTGGCGGCTGCTGCTGCCGCCAACCGAGCATCGACCTGTCATCTGCACTTGAACAGAAGCAAATCTGAGCGCGCATGGCCTGCTCACTACGCTCAGACGAATGCCTCCCGTCATTTCCTTCGTCACTTCTGATTGCAGAAGGCTTGATCATATTGCTTCCCCCATACTCCGAGTTGCCCAGTTCGCTTGATACGAGTGCGTATCGCCTCTCCCCGTACTAGTCAGCGTGTCTCCCACCGGTCTCGAGCCCGGCAAATCCCTAAGGCCAGCCTTGGGATGATCTTCGATAGATCTTCGCAGCAAATGCTACCATGATTTTCCGCGTTCCTCATATGCATCAAGACCAGCACGTCCTACCGCCCAAGCGGGCTGCTAGCTGCCCACCGTCTTTGCGCCTCTGCCGCGGCGCTACCATGCACGGCTGCCTTGCCCCAACCCTGCACCGCGGGATGCGACCAGCCACCACATTCATTTATGCTGAAACGGCTTGTTCTCGCCATGAGTGCTCGGCAGGGCCACGATCCCCGCTTGTTTCCCTTCATTCCACCTATGGGCACGTTTCCAGTCGCGATGGTCTCGCTTCCGCCGCTGCTTTGGAGTTCTCGATCCCGGGTCAACGACGGGGCGCACGGCGGCCCCACGGCCCCCTTCTTGCTTGATGCAGGGTGGGCGCCTCCTGCTTCAACGTCGAACCCCACCCAAGACGTCCCTCCACAATCTCAACCCGTCCACAACTCGCCCACAACTCGTTCACAACTCCTCCTCGGCTTTGCCAACCAACCCTGTGCCTGCCGACCTGGCAAGCCTAGACAGCGTCTGGCCAATGATTTGCACATGGCCCCTTGCTTTCTCATCAGTGATGGACGGAGATGGGGCCGCAGTGGTTCTACACTAGCATCTGCATGGGATCATGGCCGTTGGTGCTATCTCCTGATGGGCGTGATCGAAATTGCCCTGCACCCAGTCTACGCTTGCGCAGGTACGCCACGACCCACGAGGGCGACCACCACTCACTCCAGTCCATCTCGAGATATAAGACTCCCTCCTCTTCACTCTCACTGCCGACTCTTTTTCCCTTCTCTCTCCACCCAACAGGCTCTATCCGCAGCTTTCCATTCCCACATTCTTTTCCGCTTTTCAGCACATTTCTTTCATTCGAACCATTCACTCACTTCATTGATTGAAGTTGACACTCTTTACGACTTGAAGTCATACCCTCTTTCCACGAACCAAAACCAACTCCAATTACTCAACCAAACCAAGTTTTGGAAAGTCCATCTGCCAAAATGCCTTCCTTCAAGAACTCCGTTGTCCTTTCCGCCCTTGCTGGCGCCGCCTCCGTCATGGCCCACGGCCACGTCAACTTCTTCAAGGACGGTTCCGAGGAGTTCGCCGGTTACGATGTCACCAAGCTCCCGTACATGAACCCTGCCCCCGATGTCTACGGATGGTCCAACACTGCCACCGACAACGGTTTCGTTGCCCCCACCGCCTACACCGACGGAGACATCATCTGCCACCGCGGCGCCAAGAACGCTGCCTTGACCGCCAAGGTTGCCGCCGGTGACAAGCTCCAGGTCTTCTGGGACACCTGGCCCGAGTCCCACAAGGGTCCCGTCCTCGACTACCTCGCCTCTTGCGGTGACGACTGCTCCACCGTCGACAAGGCCACTCTCGAGTTCTTCAAGATCCAGGAGGCCGGTCTTACTAGCGGCAAGTGGGCTTCTGACGAGCTCATCGCCGCCAACAACTCTTGGACTGTCACCATCCCCACCTCCCTGAAGCCCGGCAAGTACGTCTGGCGTCACGAGATCATTGCCCTCCACTCCGCCGGCCAGGAGGACGGTGCCCAGAACTACCCCCAGTGCCTCAACATTGAGGTCACCGGCTCCGGCTCCGAGCTGCCCGCCGGCACCAAGGGTACCGCCCTCTACACCCCCACTGACGCTGGTATCCTCGTCTCCATCTACAACAACCTGGTGTCTTACAGCATCCCCGGCCCTGCGATCCCTGCTGCCTTCGGCGGTTCCGGTTCTGACTCCGGCTCCGGCTCCTCTGCTGCCCCCGCTGCCACCTCCACGGCTGCTCCCGCTGCCACCTCTGCCGCTGCTTCTGCTCCTGCCGCCACCACCACCGCTGCCGCTGAGGCCGTCACTACCTCTCCTGCCCAGCCCACCGCTACTAGCGGTGCCACCAAGCCCAGCTGCGAGGAGAAGCGTCGCCGCCGTCTGGCTCGCCGCATGGCCCGCCAGCACGCTCGCGATGTTGTCCGTCAGATTTAAATTGCCTCAATAGAGAGGGCGGTAACCCACTCAGGGTGAACCCGGCGCCGGCTTCTAGGCAATGGGGTAGCTCAAACCTAGCGCAAGGCACATGAAGACATGATTGCTTTCCTTGGACTTTTTCAACTGTATATATAACGACATGTTGGTTTTTGTACAATACCGACGTGGACTTTGGACAAAGACTTCTCATTCACTACCTAGCTACGTACGGCCGTGCCGGAAGTATACTAGACAAATGGAAAGGGCGGACCAAAAAGGTCCTGCTGATCACTTCAAATATTCTTGACCCAATTGAATCCTTATGAATGTGATTTGACTTTTCCCTGAGATAAACTCTGAGTTAAGTTTCGAAGAGTACTTACTGATTCAATGCGAGCACTGACGGTCTCCCGACCGCCGGTGGCCGGATCGGCATGGCTCTGCACGTCTCGAAACAACGACCAGTCCCTGTCCCCGTAGCCCCTATATCTAAACGGTCCTAAAAAGGCCGAGAAAAAGGGGTAAGTCGAGTCGGCTGGTCTTGAAGGCGTGCGCCTTTGCATGAGCGGGCACGGCGCCCGATCCGATCCGTGCGCGGGCGCCGGAAACCTTGGCCGGCCGTCGAGTGGTTTTCTTCGTCCGAACTTTGCTTTTTCCCCCGACAGCTGCCTATTATCCCCTGAGAGTTAGATCGTCCGGTATCGCCGATCGCCCCAGAGTGTTTCCGCGGGGGCTTCGTGAGAGCATCGACTTCTCAAGGGTGTGGTTCACCTAGATGATGATGTATTATAAGGGGTTTGGCGGTATGAAGGTTTGTAGGTGGGGATCTTGGCGGATGGAATAATTATTCTTGTGATTCTGTACGACGAGGTTTCCTTTTTCGATGATGGGCTGGCTGGAAGGAAAAGGGATCACCGGAGAACATATGGTTTAAGTAGTCTGGTATTCTCGACCCATATCCTGTACTGTCCACTTAGACATACTCTTTATATATCGTGTCTCGCTGTACATCATGTTGGACGCTCACCTCCTTCATTATCGGGTTGGTCGTTCGATATGACTTGGGAACCACGCTGAACTCTAGGTTTGAACAATCTTGTAGGTTTTCTGAAAGGCTGTCGATCCGACTCAAATATGACAATAGACTCAGGCGTTTTCGTATCGGCGTGCCATCAAGGGCTGTTCCGCGCGGGCAAGTAGTGATGCGGTGCACATCTCATTACTACCATCCTCCTCTCACCAAAACCAGTAAAACAGAAACTGTCAGGAGAGTAACTTGTTGTGGAATGATATTGCCTAGACCACGATCGTCTTTTGACACAACCATGACGTCCAGTAGACTCTATGCGACGGTGAGACCTGAGAAGGCCTACACTTTTGCCTATCAGTTGGTAGGTATTCTAGTTTCTTACCTGAAAGTAGTTGTCATCACCAAGTCTCGATCAGTTGTACCGCAAAGTAGGTTTGTTGAAGCCTGACAACAGATCGTTAAAGGGGATGTGAATTTGACGATTATCCCTGATTATTCTGTGTGAAATGGAAAACAAGCCCAACATGGCTCCATGCGTCACGGTGCCCCATCTCAATGCTTACTCTATTATTGAACTATGAATTTCAAATGTACCTTGATCAGGATTAACAAGGCCTACATCCACACTTAACTTTTGCTGATGGCAAGAGTCAAATGCATGTATCCCATCTAGTGCCAGCTAACGCCATTTTGGCCAAGGGCGGAATAGGCCAATGATACTTGTATCTATAAATCTCAATCCAAAGGGAATTTCAAGAAACAAAGTTAGGCAATAGCATGGAAACTCCCAAATGGCGTTGGTTGACGTTCGATGGGATAGTGTAGTCCATCTGTAACTCAACTCGGGCATTGGCGCCACATGCCTGCAACAGAACCACAGAAAACCCCAGGTCAAGCCAGTGTGCATACACAGCCACTCACAAACTCGCTCTCGCAGCGCCACCCCCATCTTGCGATTTTGAGGCTGGCGTGGCGGGCGTCCCAGTGATGCTGGGTGACGGTCCTGCAGCCGCGATTGGCTCGCTCGCGACGATTTCGCTTATCGCCCAGCATAAGGCACGGAAAGGGTTGCATGCCTTTTAATCATCGGAATGATCAAGCTTAAGGACGGCAAGCCAATTGCAGGGCAGTGGCTGATCAATCCTGTGAATCGCTCTGAGAGTATGCAAGATCTATTCTTCTGGTTTGACTTGTCATATCCAATGTGCTCGTAGAGGTCCGAGGGGCGTGCTTGCGTACGTGTAGTAGAAGAGGCAAGTATGGTTACACAATATGAGTCCTCAATGAGTAAATCGCAGACCACAATCCCGTACAACAGCCGCTCGCCCATTCTGGATTTACAAAGAGTCGCACTCGCTTACACTGGACATGCTCAAGGGCCGGGCTAAGACTCCAAGGACAGAAAACGGACGCCCAGTGCTCGAGCCACGAGGGCGAGATCTGCCAGGTGTGAAACCCTTCCGCCCGCGCCAAGATAAGCCCTAAGGCGCCTCGAAATGAGATGTGTAAATTCGACGATTAATCGTGCAGGCGTGTCATGAGCCGACTTCAAGATTAGTGTGTGTGAAGTGTATCGCTGAGAGAAAAGGCGACGATAGTATTGAAGCCATTTCCAAGGTCGTTGGTGATTAGTGACTTTGGAGTTTAACTACTTTGAAATGGGGCCGGCTTTTGAAGATTCCCCGCAAAAACCAGCTGCACGGCGTGCGACAGACTTTCTGCATCGAGTTAAAGAGAGACAATACCAGCATTTTGGGATCGGTATCTTATCAGTGAACGGCACAGTAGCTGAGAACAGGCGTCATCTCCAACGGTAATGCCGGGTTGGAGTGAGGCCTAAGAGCGAACGAAGTTGGGACGAGGAGGGAGAGATAAGAACTTGATGGGCTGCCGTTGCATCTTCCTTATCTCTTGGCGGGTCCCCCGGCACACTCCCGTCCCTTACTCCTCTCTCCCCTTTCCCCTCCCCCGGCCTTATCTTTGATGGTCTGGGGCCACTTACCACGCATAGCAGAACCGAGGATGGCCAGTGAGGCGAGAAAACGAGATTATTCAATGGCATTGCCTAACAGCGCTTGGGGGTAAGAGCAGGGGTTTTTCGTGGTCAATGATGCCACTGGCTGCATGTCTCTTGCCATCGAAAAGCTTGTCTAGCAGACTCTTGTCCTATCTGGTCAAGGTTTCGGTTACTAGTTTGGTGGTGGGATGCGCATAGAGGTCAGGATGTGCGGTGCTTCAAGGGGCGAAGGGTAGTCCTTGTATTGCAGATGGTTATCGATAACTTTTGACAGATAGCAAAAAAGATGGGAAGAAAGATTGATATATGGTAGCCTCCTCGCCCATCAGCATTGACCGGACGTGCGTTTTCCTGCCGTGGTGAATATACTGGGTTTTTGTGATACCCTTATACTTTTGTTCCGTATGTTCTATTAGCTCTCAGTTTCACTCACCAAATCATCCAACAATATTGCGGAGGAGCGTTCGATTACGATGGCCGAACTAACTACCGAAAAGGAGAAAATCGTCTCTCCAGCGACACCCGAGGAGGACAGTATTGGAAAGACAACACAGGAAGTCAACCTTACGAAAGATGGCTTCAGCGTCCACCCTCAGCCCGTCTCCGGCGACGCCATGGATCCCCTCAATTGGTCGCCCTTTCAGAAGCACACGATCCTAGCCATTGTCATGGCACTGTACGTCGGTCTCGACAACAGGTGATTAATCAAGGAACAATGCTGACCACTGTCAATGAAACAGATACTTCATGTTCACCTACATCACGACGACGACAGTGCCCTCGTTCCCAGAGCTTCAGGAGCAATACGTACTAACACTCGAAATGGTGAACTGGACCGTCGCCATCCCAGCCCTCGGGCTCGCCATTGGTCCACTTCTCTGGTCCTCCCTGGCCGACATCATCGGTCGCCGCACGATCTTCATTGCCGGCACCATCGTCGCCTTCGCCGCTACCATCGGCGCCGCGAAGGCCCCTCGTACGGCGGATACATGGCCGCCCGCCTGTTCCAGGGCTTGGGAGTGAGCCCCGCCGCCACGGTCGGACTGGCCATCATCAACGACATGTTCTTCGAGCACGAGCGCGGGCAAAAGGTTGGGTTGTGGGTTTTGGCTATTGACTTGGGTCTGCTTGCGGGGCCGCTGATCGGAGGGTTTGTGGACTTGATCGACCACTACTGGATCCAATGGTTGACGGCCATCTTTTTCGCCGTGATCCTGGCGGCCGAGCTGGCGTTCCTGCCCGAGACGCTGTATCCGCGTGATTACATGCTGTCCAAGACGAATGGAGTTATCCCTGCCACGGGAGCTGTGGATGAGAAAACCATCGCGACGGGTACGACGTTGCCGGAGGCTGTGACGGTTTCGAGGACGAAGAACTTGCCGTTCCTTAACGTGAAGCCGGTGCCGGCGATGAAGCACCCTAAAGCGTGGGCTTCGATCGTACGGTTTGGAAAATTGTTCAAGTACCCCGTCGTTCCCATTGCGACAAGTGTCTATTGTTTTGGATGGTACTGGTGGGTTTTGTCGGTCATTACGATGATCCCTGTGGCGTACATCGACTACTCGCCGCAGATTCAAGGGTAGGTTGACCACCACTGCTCTCAAGAACTGTGAGGAATGGAGAACTAACGAGTTGGCAGTCTCTTCTTCATCGGTCTGATTGTGGGAACACTTGTGTCCGAAATCTTCTTTTCTGGAAAGTTGAGCGACTGGCTTGTTGTCAAGCTCGCGAAGCGTAACGATGGTGTGAAGACTGCCGAGATGCGCTTGTGGCTAGCGTATCCCGCGGCTCTCTTGACATCCATTGGCCTCATCATCTGGGGTGTCAGCATTGACAAGGCGTATCACTGGATGGTCGGTCAGGTTGCCTTTGCATTGTGTAAGTTGCTTCAAAGCTATTTCATTATTCTTGTCTTCAGCTTTACTGACTTTGTTCGACAGTCGGTGCCGGTATCCAAATGGGCAATACAGCAATTTGCTCTTACATCGTCGATGCCTACCCTCTTCAGAGCATGGCCGTTATTACCTTCTACGCTGTGCTGCTCAACCTCAGCGCTTTCATCGACCCCTTTTTCATCGCGCCTTGGGTTACGAGCGTGGGATACACGTGGACATTTGCAGGACATGGAATCATTACATTCTTCTTCTGCATTCCTGCATTGGGGCTGCTGCATCGCTATGGCGGTGCGATGAGACAAAAGGCCGGAGAGCCTGATTGGGTGAACCCTGAGTACGATCACGACATTGTGAGAGAGTCATGAAGATGGACATAGTTAATATACTACCTGGCGTCATTGTGATAGAGTATGATGACCAAAATTTGATGTGTTGGCTTTGTGCGTGCGAATTGACGGGATGATGAAGTACTTTCCGTCTCCAACGGACGATATGAGATCGATACATTATTCTTTTAGTCATATGTTGCGGCTTGAATGGATCGACATTGACGGGCGCGTATGTCCACCTAGGGCCATGTGAAAAAACCAAGGTTCTTCTTAAAAGAAAATGACTGGTTTGTTTGGCCAAGCTTTCCCCACCACTAGCTAGACTTATCCGCAAGCAATGACAGAGTACCCAGACAAATATCTCCATGATATTTCAGGTCCAAGTGATCATTGGCTGAAATCTATTCTGCCGTCCTTGCCCCTGGAAATTTTTCACGCACGCAGTTTGGTGTACAGAGGCTCAAGCAAAGGCAAATGTGAGCGTGATCCGAGTGGCTCAGTCCAATTAAATTTGACTAACATCGAGACAAGACAACCGCAACTCCAACAGCCCAAATAGGCATTCAATTTTGCGCCGAAGGCCCTGTTTCATGGCTGCCAATGCCTTCAGCATGCAGTCAGGCTCCACATATGCACGCTCTTCGCCCGAATTCTTTGTCGCCCCGCCGCCCATCATGCATGCCGTCGACCGTCCGCACAATGCTTGGAAATCGGGGTTTGAGCAGCTCTTACACACACATTTGACACAGTATTCTTTATGATAGCATACCCCAATTCCAACTTGCGCTTCAACTGTTCTGGCAACTGGAATGAGCCGCGGGATGATATACCTTCACACAGCGTTCCCTAAATTCATCAACCACCCAATCGATCACTGCTCATAACATCGCCATGAGATGGACTGAGCACAGTCAACAATTGAAATTTCAGATAGTTTCTTGAGCTTGGTTGTTTGCCCCTCAAAATTGTAAGTGCAGGTCGAAAGAAACTACATTAGCGAAGTCTGACGATGAGGTTGAGTGTAATGATGCATCGATTCTTGTAGTTGAGAGACGAAAAAGAGACGTTGGCAATGACCATCTTTCAGTGTTTTCGAATGGGTTTCCGGACCAACGCCAGGAGCATGATAAACTGAGCCGTGATAGCTCCCATGGGATAATGTTTTCGATCCTCCAGAACTGAGTTCGCTTCCAGACTGCTCAGAATGGACCAAATTGTCGGGTTCGTGTTTGACTAGTTGGTTTATCTCCAGACTCGTGTGTAAATACGAGTGTACTGGGCTCCGTAGTTCATCTGCCATGGACATGTCGATGGTTTGAACAGGTTCGTGCTTCAGCTGGCCTGGAATTGCTCGATTTATCGCGACGGGCTGTAGATCAAGACTGGAAACAGCTTCCAGATCGGCCGTGTCGTTTTTCAGACAATTGTTGAGGTAGGGACTTGTTTCGTCAAACTCGTTTGAGTCGGAAACGGGCAGCCAACCACGTTCTTGATTTGAAGCGAAGCCAGAGCAAGAGTCTGAATCCCACGTCCAATCATCGGCTTGTTCATCAAAACACCCAATCAGCTTGCCTGCCATTATATTGCTGGTCGAAGGGGTGGGTGTTCGGTCTTTAAAGGACATAGGTGCGGCGATATCCATCGGACAGACAGTGTTGCCAAAAGCTGAGTTGTGTGGACTGGTAGTAAACAACATTTCATCCTGTCTCCGTTGGTCTGACAGAACCTCCCAACTGGAACCCGAATTTGTGTTTTGTATTTTTGGAGGTCTTCCAGCCTTTCTAACCTGGCTGTAAACGCATGATTGTCTGCGTCGTACACAGCGGTCGCATGCTGGTTTCTTTTGATCGCATTTCAACTTTGATTGAGTACAACAATCACAGGAATTTCTCAGTCTCCTGTTGTCAGTGGCGTGGCGATGAGGAGAGGTTATGGCTGAATCCATGACTGCGATGCGTAGATAACGCAGTGCCAAGTTCAAATGAGGTCCTGTCAGACTTTAAATAAAGAATTAACGTTGAACTGCCGAACCATCTGAGAGCTATAGGTTTGGTTACCCGTTGAGTATTATGCTGACTCAAGTCAATAGCTATCATCCCCTGTCTACAACGTCCGCGAACTCAAAAGCCTCTCAGACAAACTCAAAGTTAGTGACCACGACTAAAACTTTGAGTGGCGCTTGAAAATGGTAAAATATTCCGGCCGCCTGGCACGGAGTCAACTTTGCTGATTTTCAGTTCGTGGGTATAGCTGCGTAAATCAAGAAAATTCTTGTGAAGTTCGGCTTAAGCCAATGATTGATCGTTGGGTCCTCGAGTACCTGGACGACTTGGCCAGCGACGGTTAGTACCGTCGGTGAAAGGAAGGCCCTCTAAACCAATCAGTAGAGCCAGTATAACTAATCGGGCATGGTGAGACGGGCGACAAAGGCGCCGGGTCGACGGGCGTTTGTTGCGCAATACTGTGCTTTTCCCACCGTCCCACATGTACCCAGCGACTCCAGCCCACAGCTCGTGCTTCCAACACAACATCTCAGGCCTGATAAATCGTCATCGGCGAATGCCATTGAAGTGTAGGATCTCCGATAGCACGGCACAAAGTGTCAGCTTACCGAGGTTTGTAACAACCAACAACGTAAAGTTTTCGCTCATTATTCCGACAAGGTTTGTGGGGGTTTCTCCATCGGCAGGCTAGTTCCTAATAACCGGGGCGAACTGATCTACGACCTCACATGTAACTTTGCCCTCAGACTCTAGCACCGAGTGTAGAGACATGGACTTACTCGTTCGAAAGCTTCTGCCCAAAGGTCCTTGTACATGTTTCGGAGTATAGACTTGGGTGTCTAACCAAATGGAACATGTCGCCTCGTTATGAGGTGGACAGTGCAAGAACATGCACGTGGCAGATGCGAAATCTCGGTATCGCTTCACTTGAAGGTCTAATTCGAAACATCCCGTTACCACGTAATCGGGTCGCAAATACCGTGCCAAAAAAGAAGAAGAAAAAAATCCCTTTGACCCATCCGCCTTAGGCTCTGCGCAGCAAATTTAACGGCTGATTCCAAGCTTCAGTGATGTCTCTATGTAGGACCCAGGTCTGTAACGATAGGCATGAGACCTAGACCTTTTAAGTGGTGTGAGAAACTCCAAACCTTGCTCTTTCTGGCTCGTTCAGATCATGTTTTCTAGCCTCGTATTCAAAACCTATAGCCACCAGTTATATTGATTGACATACAAGAATCTTGCTTATCGGTTCGGATTTGATCTAACTTCGGCATACTCAACGGTTGCTCATCTTATCAAACTCGATTGCTGTCGAAACAACGCACAGTAATTATACTTTGCCATACCAACGTTCCAGATGCCACTAACCTCGTGCGTGCTTGCCCGTTCACCAATATTTTCCCGCATTCATAACACTGGACGAGAAGATCTCTACGAGGGCATGGACGTAGAGCTGGGCTCATCCCAATCATAACACCAATACTTGAGGACGACTTGATGGTCAGAAGGATGACAAACATTTTTAAAGTAATATTTAACTATCTTCACAGAACTTGTAAGCAAGTTAAACGTGGCTGCGAAGTTGGTTTCTTAGGGTCTCAAAGGTAAATTTAAAGACTCTGCTGGGCGGCTTACACACAAATCCATATGCATGCCCCTATGTTTGACTTATGCGAAGTACTTGATAGAAAGATGTACTGAGAACGCTGGATTGTGCCAACAGTACCTGTCAGCCTTCAAATACTTCGACCTCTAATCATAGTACAGAATATTCAATCTTTGAGGATGAACTGTGGCGATCTAGATTTAAATGGAAGCAACCAGGCCCTTCAATGTGTGCAATCTCGCCGAGTTTTAGAGGAGTTATGATTCATTATGGATGTGTACGCACGTACATGTAGAGATCCTTAGACATGTTTTACATTTGAGCTCAAAACATGGGTTCATCGAATCAAGATCCATGATACTTTCCGCGGGTGGAGGTGTCTACGCATGATCAGGAAAGGTAGATCTTCCTGTAATTAATCCGAGGCTGGATGACACGTCACTTGGAGAAGAGTCCGTACATATCCTTAGCTTGATCAAGGTGGGAGGGGTGTGTTGAGTGTCTCAATGCTCCTTGAACCTTGGGAACGAGTCAGCAGTCACTACAAGCAAAATCAAGCTCAAGATGACCAGTCACTTCTGAATATTGGATGGCATGCTATGGGACAAGTCCATGTTATTGACGCGAGTAAGCAGTTGTTGCGGAATGTGTATCCTACTCATGTACGTCTCCTATAGAGCCGAACCTACGGATTCATGTGTGGAGATCATGTTAATTTACACTTGTCGCGCCGTGAGACCATTATGTCGCCCATCATACTTACTCCATTCCGTTGGGTGTATAAGGATATGGTGATACGAAACTACTTCCGCTAAATGATCTCGATGCATGTGATTGTCAGTTCGATCTGTGCTATACACTGCGATTGATTAGGAGAAACAGCTTGCAGCGAGGCGTGGCTATAGCGTGATTGGCTTCTCTTCCGCCAAGGAAATCCTTTTGTTTCGTAATAGATACGCGAGTCGTTAGGACTATGTGTCACATCAGCGGCCAGAGCCGACAAGCCTCTTACTAATGTTCGGTTATCAGCCGTCTTTGTCGGAAGGAATTGTAAGCAAACTTGCCTCGCGGTTATGTGTAGTTGGCAATGATAATAGACTAAAAATCCATGTCAAAGGAGATCGAAGGATGTCGCCGCCTTAAGTTAGTATCAATGGCCTACTCAGATGCATTGGGTCCACTAAGTAAGATAGAAGGAACCAGAGTGTTACATGGGGAGAAGAAAGTTGGCCAAGAAAACATACTTTTCAATTAATGGTTAACCAAGCAATCCTTGAGGAGGCGAGAAGTGCAATATTTGTTTAATCACAAGTATGTTACTCGAGTGATCTATAGACTTCAACTGGATCAAGTATCACCTAAAAAGCATCATCAGGACCGTGAGTTTTGCCATTACCATTAGTAGCCTTGACCGGCGTCTGATTTCATATACAGCTGAGCTCAACATATGGCTTACGGTAGCTAAGAAGACCCGGAATCTCATCATAATCAAGGGCAAGTAGGCACATGACTTCTGAACAATCATCCAATGAAGCCTGGCAACTAAGCGTCTCGCAGCATGTTCCGATCAACTTGCGCAGGCGACAGAAATAGAAATTTTCCAGAGGGCCCCATCGCCTTATTTATCATCTGCATCTTTGAGGAAGACAATTGGCCACAACTCCGAGTGCTAGAGCACACAATTGCCCAGTATGATAACTGTGAAGCTCTGTGGATCACATTCCGAGCATCCATGCCCCTTCTTCTGCTGTTATCAGATCAGTGACTGGAACAGTTCTCGGAAGTTTATTGTACCTTTCTTTGTTACTACAGTCTTGCCCCTCTATCTATGCGTTGTCTTGGTGGCGGTGCATGTAAATGCTTGCCTAAGCTCAGAACATGGCCCGTCGTTTTCAGACATTCAAGAGACTCGATCCATAATACGCATCTTGCAAAAGCAAATCTTATCCAATGATACAAAGTACGAAATCGGACTGTCACGACAGATTTCATCCTTGCTTTTCTATACGGGCGAGTCAGAAACCCACGAAACCGTTCGGACACCCGGATCAAGCCCCGAATCCAATCAGCGAGGGTTCATGCAACCATGATTTCAACTTGCGCTAGCCTGTTCATTAGTCGCCGGAAACCCTATTCACGTTTCAATTAGGGATAATAGTAGTCTATAGCTAGGCTTAAAGACTCTTTGCTCGCGCTAGGACCTCCTGTTTCTAGGCCTAAAGACGTCCCGTCAAACATGACTTCGTTCAGTTCTCACATACAAACGAGAACTCCCACGTGTCCATAATTCTTAACTTAGAACAGAGGAGTGCGGGCCAGACAATTAAACAGTATTCTTCACGATATTAGAACCTTCACAATTGAAGATCTTGATCGTTGCCGCGCATGTCAACGACTGTATCCCCCCCCCCCCCCCCCCCCCCATTGTTTTTGTTTCAGTCGTAACTGTAACCAATCATTCAAACTACTAATGATAAAAAGTTTGAATGACTTGTTCTAACCTTATTTAAATACCATCATAGAGACTGAGGAGATTATTAATCGTAAGCGTGTGCAAAACTATGTGAGTTTGGTTCCAGGCGGAATCTCATTCTTGGAACGAAAGGCAGAACTTCCAAGTCATTACTCTACATGAATTACAAGAGCTGCTTCCAGCCCACTCAACAGTTTACACTTCTCAAATCAAACATTCATTTTGATGGGTCCTTTCTTTGTCATCTGGGTGCGTTATCTATTTGCGTATTGGCCCTGCATCTGTTGGCATGTGTGGGTTCGCACCAATAGCACTAGCCGAATAGAAAGGACTGTCATTTCCGCAAATCTCCCCGCATTCTCCACGTCGGTTCCGCGAACTGGTATCCCGCCACTAGCGGGTTTGCTTGGTCGGGACTGGCGTACCTTGCCCGCTCGCCGGCTCCACGCTGGCGGAATTCGGGATTGAGCTGGTTTACATAACACTGCTTCGAGGACTTTTCTCTTCCTCGTTTGGATGACTTTAACAAAAGATTTGCACACTGCATTGATTTCGGGCATCTTGACTTTGAAAAGCATCAGACGGCAGTCTGTGACAACCTCGTCGTTGCTTGACCAGCCATTTCGAGCTTTGCACTTTCTTATCTCGAGTACAACGTAATGTACACCCTCCTCCCATCAAACTTTGCTTTTACAACATGACAGGAGCTTTATCACAACAAGAACTTTCCCCGGCCATCATTAGCTAGGGCACTTAAGGTATCGCCGAGCTCTGCGTGATGAGCAAGCTCAATAAATGCCCCCCCTGAACGGATTCATCGTCATCATGCAACCAACTCAATTTCTTTGGGGACAATCAACCTCATTAATTGAGAGACCGGCCATCTTTCAGCCACTACCGATGAAGCAGCACGGCGCGATAGTACATTGGAGGCTGTGGCGATGGCATTGTAAAGGAGCATGGAATTGAGAAAGAGTTGATCATGCTTTAGCCAAGAAGTGATCACTGGGTTCCCGGGGATATCCGGATGTCGAACAACACTAGACCGCCAAAATATGAAGGAAGAGGGCAGCGCCGACGGCATAATGCGGACAAGATGCTAGTCTTCCGATAAGACGTGGGCTCACAAATTGGACCGTGTCGATAACCGTACCATGAAGGGTCTCGCTGGAAATATCAGCAGGATAAGAGGCTTTAACGATCGACCATTGACACCAACACACTCAGGCTCAAGTTCTCAAGCTCTTACACGAAGCCAGGTTATACTTGCATCATCGAGAGATATGCTCGTTTAAGGGTATGCTGTTGAATTAGCAATGATCCAAAGAAACACTCAGAGGTTAGTCTGTCAACTTTGCGTTCCAACATGACTCTTGAAGGAATGGGAGAATTGACGTGGCTGACTTATTCTTGAAGCTCCAGAATACCTACCAGCATGCCGATCAAATGTCTTTAAGAGCGCTGTAGGGTGGGACGAAAACAGAAACTCCATGCTAAAGAGAATCAGCATACTTTTTCTGAATTTAGAGAGGAGGCGAGCTTAGTGAAATTCCGCTGCGGATACTCGCCAACGTTCCTGCTACGACTCCACGGGAAAGCTCGCCGAAGACAACAGGATGGCGTGAAGCGGTTGCATGATAACCAAAAGGGCATGCTTATAAGGTCTAGACATTCGCATTGCCCGACCTTAATCTGTTTGCCAAGAACAAACTCGCATCTAAAGCCGTCTTGGACCTGGCTGTCGAGCGCCGTAAGTACAAGAGTGGAAGCAGGACCGTCAATTCAGCTGGGTGCTCCATGCAAAGACCTCGTTATTGGCACTAACCAAAGGTTGCATTGGTGAAACTTAGAAATTGGCTTTTTCTGGATTGCCCCGCGTGGCGAACCAAGACCGGAATGCTGCGGGAGCTCCCGTCTGGGGTAGAGGAACTCGGCCCTACGGAGACGACGGAGGCAGGACATCCAGTGTTTCGTACAAAGAGACCAATCCTCCAAGCAGCCCACTTGATTTGGATGGAAATTCGGTCACAATCTAGCTCGACCAAACAAGGTATGCACCTAACATACGATAGAGTGTTGGGAGACAGGAACGATCGACGGACATTTCGGACGGACATTTCGGACGGACAAGGGTGTTTAAGTCGCGCGGCGCAACCCTCCAATACCGAAATGAGATCGAAGTTGAGAAGGGAACCCCTCAGTCAGACTATCGCCTGAGCGGACTGAGATCACCAGCGGGCTTGATTGGACGAGAGACAAAACCATTCGAGACGCGTTGCACTCACTAATACAGTTTCCATCAACATGGACCAACAACAACAGGCCCTCAACCCGGAGAGTCATGCGGTTGCCGGTATTGGATATATGAGAGCGTCGTATCGAACCGGAGAACTCCTCCTCCCTGTTCAGAAGGAGGAAAACAAGAATTAGGACGAAAGCGAGGAGGAGCAAGCCGGAGCCGAGAAGGTCGACAGCGGCCAGAACAGTAAATCATCGGCTCGTCGCTCCGCAAACCCACGGACGACCCACTAGGAAATTAGCTGAGTATGGCTAGTGCAAAAACCGAGACGGCCCAGACATGCGGAGAAGACCCATATATGCGGGGCATCTAATCTAGCCGAGCCACTGAGAACCCTGGACGTCCTTCTGGGAAAGCGGGGAAGAAGCATGGTCCCGACCACCTGCTGCAGCTGTGACTTGAGGCAGGCATGGAGGGGACGGGGGGCACTTGGAGAGCGAAGCAGGTGGCAGGTGACTTGCTTTTTTTTTGTTTGATTTGATCACCTCATTCCGAACATCGACGTCTCTTTGCGCGCGCATTACATTCTTGTGAGACCGGCCCAGGCGAGGATACTTGAGAGAGTCTCGACTAGACGTCAAATACCGACTTTGGTCCAGGCAGTTTGCAGCCTCCCGAGTTCATACAACATCAGAACCCAACGATGAGGTATTCAACAGCCTGCTCGGCGTGTCGGTAAGTCAACAAACCGAACCTTCCCCTGGGATCCAAGATTCCCGGCCTTTGCCTACTTGCATTATGAACCTACCACTCACTAGCGACATCACAGCGCGCGACGGCGGAAGTGTGAGGTGCCTATCGGCGGCGGCCAGTGCACGTACTGTGCGACGCAAAACATCGCCTGCTCGCGAGCCGGTTCCATCATCCAGCCCAAGGCTGCGCCCATCAGTCCAATCTCTGTGACAACACCAAAAACGCCTACTGTCACCGAGATCATGATCGCCAGCCCGCCCGGAATTACGCCCTCAGCTGCCGTCGCAGATAAGGCGCTTTGCTTCGAGCTTGTGGAACTGTATTTCAAGTACATCCATGATCAGCTTCACTCTCTCCTCCACAGGCCCAGCTTCATGCTGGACCTCCACGAAGGAACCGCTCCGTTGGTGCTCGTTTACGGCATGATGGCACTATCAGCAAGGTCAGTGACTGCGGTTGAACGCCTTGAGGTTCGACTAACACGTTCAAGGTTTTCTTCCAACCCCATATTCAACGGAATCTCTCCCATCTCAAGAGGAGAGCTCTTCGCCAACGAGGGTAATTTGTTGCTCAACCTGCGCGACGTGTCTCTCACCAGTATTCAAGCATGCGTGCTGCTCGGCGCATATTCCATTGTAGAAGGCGAAGCAGGCGCAGAGACCGTCTTTTACTCGGCGGCGTGCAGGACAGCCAACTATCTTGACTTGCCCAACTTGCCTACCCCTGACCCGCTTCAACGGGAGATTCACATTAGAGGTAGATCGGTTCTCCGTAGTTAACTTCGGACAGCAACTGACGCTCGCAGTATATTGGTCGCTCTGCATGATCGATGTCTGGTCGTCCACTGGTGTCAACCTTCCACGTCTCATGAATCGTCGGATGGATGTTCCATTACCCATGAACGAATCCACATTCCTCAACATGACCCGCGCGAACAACAATCACTTTGATTTCATTCTCTCGCCCAATCGGGAAGACTCACTTATCGCCCAGATGATTAAGCTGAACAGTATCCTGATGAGAGTTAATGATGCCATCAAGAGTCTCACGTCTGATGTTGACGTCACTAATATCGATGAGACCGTATCTCAGCTGTCCCAGGAGCTAGAGGCTTGGGAAGTCGAGCTGCCCCTGAGCCTCCGCGATACTCCCAGCAACCTCCATTCTTTCGCCGCCCAAGGCCTGGGCCGCATCTTCATCGCCGTGCACACTGGCCACTACCACTACAGCCAGCTTCTCTACTACCAATATCTCGATGAGGTCCAACGCTTTCCTGCCTCACCTACCGCGCAGATGTTCGCCCGAAAATGTAAAGAGAATGCCATCTCCATGTCACGCATTATCGACCTCGCCAACACCACACCCGGCTGCGACGCAAAGTTCAACATGCTTGGCCACATCATCGTTATTACCTCGTCTATCTTCATCCACACCCTGCTTTTCGAGACAGACGAAGCTGAAATCGCCAACGCCCGCGCAACCCTCGAGCGTCACTTCAACACACTTGTTGCCTTGCGTGTTTACTGGCCTGCCCTAGAAGTCTGCTTCGCCCGCCTGAAAACCTTTCATGAGTTATGCCGCAAAAGCATGAACACCAGCTACCGTATGGATCGTTGGATGCTCAGATTCCTGACCGAATTCGCAAGGCCGATTGACGAGAAGGAGCGGGACGAAGATGGACACATGGATCTCGACCGGTGGAGCGTGGGTAACATCGGTATCAGTCCTGAAAACTGGGCATGATGATGGAACGACTTCAACCATGCGGGCCTCCCAAGTGACAAAACTGGCCAATCTATTATGGAGACCATACTTGACCGACGCACTTATGACCGTTACGGGAATTCTCATAATCACTGAACCAAACCGATATATTACGGTAGTAAAGCAAGACGCAGTGATAGGCGTTCTGCATCTCACAGGGGATGACCTGGAAATTTCTCAGTGGCAAATCACTACGTTACTCGAGTTCGTTTTCCTCACCCATTTGCTCACCCAAGTACGGCTGCTTTTAAATGGATTGAGTGATGCCTGAGGTGAGCAGGGTGAGCAGGGTGAGCGAGAGGGTGAGCGGGAGGGTGGGAAGGTGGACAAATCGTTAGTTGTTTGCAAGCGCCAATCTCAAATGCCAACTGCTCATTGGATCACCCACCACCCAGTTGAGTTCGAAGTGACCGAAAAACAGAGAACGGAAAACACATATAGAAGGGTAGCAGCACATGTTTTAAAACCTCAAACACCCACCCCCAAACTTCTTTTGCTTCTGTTTCTTTATCTCAGACTTTTAATGTGCGCGAAACTACAATCCCACTCTAACCGTCACACCAACCAAATTTCCGACCGTCCAATATGCGCGGAGAGATAAGCTCATCGCTACTGCGAGAGCTAATGGGTACAAGAGGGGCGCACACAAAGAGCAAGACAGTAAGACGAATTTGGAGAAATATGTGCCAAATACGCAAGCAATGCACACACCGGTATTAGATCGCTGCGTTCTGTAAGTTCTCATTCTTAGAAACCTTGAATATAGCTGGCTGACGTATGTAGCTGGTACTGGGACAGACTTCGTGAGGAGGCGGAGGAGTCAAAGAGGAAACCGCCTACCTTGAAGACCACTTATAAACTTGCATTACAGCACAATACGCCTGCTCCAATTATGACCGAAAAAAAAGACTCCATACGCTTCCAAATTGTCACTAGCCAAGGGAGAATCACTAAGAACGGAAGACCGTCAGCAGAAAGTATGGTTAGCAGAGCAGAGGATTTCTTCCGCGCATTTACTTTTCACACGGGTACGAAGACTGATGGAGAACAAAACAGCGAAATCTACCGTGTAGGTTTTTATTCTCCTTTTTCTTTGGAGTTGTTTTATAACTTTTGACTAGTGGATAAGGCGTGTCCTTACAAGAGAAGGCCTTGATGAGGACATCAAGAAGCCCAAGCACAACTTCGGCCCGGTTGTTCTTGACCGCGTAATCCATGATATTTGTAATGATATCAACGTTCCCCACGAAAGGGCGAGAATACAATATCACATTCTCCTTATGCTTTATGCAATCACGGGGGCAAGAGTCGGTGCGCTTTTTGCAGGCAATGTTACGTACAAGGTAAGGGTCATTCCAATTTAAGCATTCCTTTAATGTTAATACCAACAGGACCTTGAAATTGTTCAGCAACGACAGGAGGGTGGTGGATACAAATTCTTCTGGCGTTTTGACCAGAGGTACATTAAGAACAACCGCAACCCAGAGAACAACAAGTAAGTCAATTTCGATTTTCAGTAATAACAAAATATTCACTAAGATCTAATAGATTCGGGGCCACGATGTTCTGCTTTATAACACCATTTTCTTACTGCTCGCATTGGCTTTTGCAGACAACGCTTTGTATGGCCTTGGCAGATTTGAAGATCTTTGGGACTTGGATGTTGTCGATGGTGACACAGAAAACATCCTTCGCTGGAACGATGACGTTCTCGATCTACCAGTTATACGTGCCATCTCCCGAGATGGAAGAGTATCTGATGAGAAACTGGAAAAAGGGACTTTCAGCCGGGCTTTCAAGAACGCACTAGACTTGGCCAATTATGTTGGCGTTGCCCCATCAGTGCATCAAATTCGCCGGTTTCTCGGACAACAAGTAGATGGTGTGTTAGACTTCAAATCGCTTTTATGCCCCTTTTGTTAATTAAGTAACAGAGCGCTATACCGAGGTTCAAAGATCCCAGCACATCACACAGCCTGATCCACGTATCTTTGGCGCGAGTTATGTTGCGAATTGCTCTTCTATAAATGGTCTAAGCGCTTTATTGGGGGAGACCGCTGACCATACTGCTCGCTCATTCTTCCAGGGCCTCGAAATGTTTCATGAACGAGGCGCCCCAACTGTTCTGCCTAAAGCCCTTGAGAGGAGCCTATGGCAAAACAAAGAGGTGATGGCCCTTGAGGAGCAAGTCAAATAACCCTCTTTCGAAACGCTGCGGATCCCTCGAGTTACGGCGCGCGCATGTTCGTCCAGCATATTGCCCTTGGTGCCTGGCTGCAGAGCATAAAGATCCTGCTGATCGATTACGTTCTTGGACCCGAGATGCCGATGTAGTTCGACACATCAAAGAAGAGGAGTTGAATCATTCATACCCAGCCTTTTTCCCTCTCTGCTCCGAGGAACTATGCGATGAAGAGGCTGCAGCATGCCATTTGACGGATGCACACCAACTTCGTATTGAAAAGCGTGGGAAGATAAACAGAGCTCGTACCTCTCACATATCTCTCACAACTTCGTCTGCGTGGATGGAAGAAGGCCCAATGCCCCTAGATAGCGGAATAGTCCTTCATGCGAATGCAGGATGTGGGTTGAAAGAGGAAGGGCTGATGTCTGATTGCATGCTTTCTGGGGGGGGACGTCATTTCGTACAGCCCGGCGACACACAACCGAAGTGGGCACTTCACGCCAGAAACAACTCCCACAGACGCCTATCTTGCAGGTCGCTTTGGAGAATTCATGGATGCTTGCATCGATTTTTCTTCCTCGCCTGAGCCGCCGTCAGACTGGGCATACTGCCATTTAGAGGAAGATAGTGCAATGTCCGAGTTGGCAACGCCAGGTTTACCTTCGGGGTTTACCCAGTCAATGAAGGAGGCAATAGAGGAAGAAGAGAGGCCAAGAAAGGTTCGAATCATTTCGCGGACGAACCAGGTCGACAGCAACAGAGTGCTCTCTGAACCAACTGGTTGTAGTATGGCTTACCAAATTAGTCCAGATAATGGTAAAGATGAGTACACTTTGGGGACATATCCTAGAGGATTTCGGTCGATCGACAGCTCCCCGGCCTCCGTCTCTCATGAGGACCAGTTCGAGCCCCGCTCTCGCCGGACACCTCTTTACCTCCGAGATCCGAACCGGGGCAAGCCTGGATTCTATCGCCGCCGGCGTCTGCCAGCCCCAAAAGCGTGCCAACAGACCGCACCGACAGCAGCCCGGCACAAGATACCACGTTTACAGTTGACTGCTTACTAGGCAGGTGGGGAAAAAACTTGTTCTTTTTGCGGTGGCTTTGACGGTAGTTATAGTTGGGAGCCGCGCGAAAAATCCTTGATGACGGGCTGGTTGATGGTTTTTAGGAAGAGTATGAGGGCTTCCTAATGCTGACTCGCTAACACAGGCAAACGTTACAGGTGGAAAATCTGAACAGCCCCAAGCAGTTTTACCCGGGATTAACTGAACACCACGGTGGGCGTTGTCGTTTTTGTTCTTTCCTCTCCTTGAGACAGTTCCAGTAGCCAGTTTGGCCATCAACGACGACAAAAATGGCTCAGAAACTCCGCACGAGACAGATGTTTGTCAAGTAATTGCCTCAGAAGTCGTACGTCGAAGGGAATTTGGTCGTCATTCCGGGCAAGTTGCCAAGTATTGAGAGTGGCCCATTAATGGGGCTAGGAGACTTCGGCATTGCCTTCTTATCGCGACTCGCTGGTGCCTTTATTGGCTTTGCACTTGTGGCGGCCTTTTTTTCCCAAGTCCACTTGCGGTGGATTTATATAGTACCAAACATGAGTAGCAAACCATTTACTGTTGGGGGGGGGGGGCGCACACACTCTCGCCTCTGAAGGCTTATTGGAGGAAATTTATGCAGGGCTGATCTTCAAATTTCATTCAAGAGTTGGGCGTAAGGTGATGGCGGCTGGGCAGTATAATTAGATGCAACAATAACGATGCGTGCAGTTTCCAGCGTCAGTGTTGCGTGTGCTCAGCTTTCATGCGGCGACTACATTACTTCGCTCCAGATAGAATGGAATTGCAAAGAAAGCCACGAGTTATACGTTAATACAAACACGTTGAAAGCAGACGCTTTTAGACTTGGATGCTTAATCGAGATAAATTGCTGCAATAGACAAGGTGCCATGAACACGCCCTTCTGGCCCAGCGACCGAGAAATGGACCACAAAGCTCACGATGCCAACCGAGATGTATTCATACCCACTTAGGCATTTCATTTTGATGATTTTACACACGACCTTAACACCGATCTTTGACCCGCCAATTTCTGTCTCTTCGGCGCAGGCGAGCCTAGTATAGCCCAACAAGGATGTCACCTCGGATCCTCGCCGTGAGGTGAACCTCGGCTTCAGGGTCAAGCTTAATACCGACCATGAGGCCGGCGTCCTTGAGCTTTCCGTTTTAATCAACGGGACCTTTGAGAAGGTTGCCTAGTAGGTTTGCGTCAGCAATGGTCAATAGGTTCTTTTTGGGAGAGCAAGTTGGGCTTACCGATTGGTTCATTGGCTGGGCCGGAAAGGCCTGGCATGGGGAGAGAACTGCCGAAGGCATGGACCACTGGTTTTCGATGGGCTTGGTGGTGTTAGTGGTGTTGATGGATGTGTTGGGATTGCTAGAGAGGTTAGTGGTGGCGGTGGAGCTGATCGGGCGAAGCGGGTTCTTGGATCTGGGGGGCAAGGATCAATGGTTGTGGTTTCGACACGGCGAGCTGGTGAACACTTACGGAGAAGACATTTTTGCTGTGGTTGTAATTGTTCTTGAAGGAGATGGCTGTTGTCGAACTTGTACGGGAGTGATAGCTCTGAGTGATGGTCTCTGGCGGATCTCACTTGATCGTTGTGTAGGATACTGTGCCGGGCGGGTATTTAACAAAATATTGTCTGGTAACCGCTTGGATAAAGGGCTCCGGCGTGAATTCCTTGAGACTGAATTGTTAGGAGGCGGTGGAACTTTTGTGCTGCCGAGGAAGAAAATTGTCATTTCAGGTGGAAATTGGCTTCTTCTTAATCCTTTTCAGATTGCCTCGAGACATGTTGAGTATATGTAGCTGAAGCCGGAGGAATCGATATTTCCAATCCATCTAGACGTAACTAATCACTTTGTTGCTGGGATATCGACAAGGATGCGGATTTGGCGTCCGGTTACTGTGCAATACAGTGGTGGAGATATCTGCAATGGAGAGACAACTCATTGCCCTGCGCGGTTGGTTTTCATGTCCCGACATAAGAAAGCAAGTATAAGCTCGGGCGGTGATGCCTGTTCGCCAGCCCGCTCTTACTCAAGGGCTCGGGAGAAGATTGAGAAATACACCGGGCAAATTCGTTAGGCTTTGGTATAAATCTACACCCTCTGAGCTGCGGCGTCCACTTCTTGCCGAGAGACACTTCAGAGAGAATACACATACATCACAATGGTCGCTTCTTTCGTTGTCGCCTTCCCGGCGGTTTTCGGAATGGCGGAAGCTATCCGACATACACAATCGCAAGCTCGGAGGAAAGAGCATCGTAGCCGCAAGAACAACATTCTTATCGATGCCGGAAGTCAACGCGTTACTCTCCAGAGCTTGAAGGAAAGCATATAGTTCTGTCTGACGACAAGGTATCTATCTATCTCATTCATCTAAACACGTATGAGATCAAGTTCGGAACCCGTCCGTACGCCCAGCCGAACCTAACCGGGCCGTTCGATTGCACCAGGCAGGACAAGCGGCTTACCTTTGCGGGCTGGGAGGGGTTCTTTGCCGTCAAAGCGGGCGAATTTTGGGCGCTGTACTTTGACGTTGAGCAAGATGGGTTGAAATCGAAACTTGGCAAGGGTGTGGCTGCTCTCGAGGTGGATCTGCTGCGGGTAGAGATGCCTGTCAAGCCGGTGAAGCAGGAGGAGAAAGAGGAGCAGCCCGAAAGCAAAGACTCCGGCCGAGAGAGCAAAGAGAACAATACAGAAACGAGAGGGCCTGAGGTGGAGCTAGAGTCTCCCGAGGCTGACTGATGTTTGGAGAAAGCAGGGCAATGAGGGATGGCGATTCATGGATTGCAAGGTATCGTATCTAAATAGCCAATGTGCTCGACGCTGCAGGATGAATAGAGAAACATTTCATTTCTAATCCCAGTTATCCCATCGCCGAGCCCGCGAAGTGTGGTCCACAGTGGTCCATCGGATGATTCCCGCATCCGAGTACAAGGATATCTCTTCTATTGCAAGACTACGGCTTCCGATGGTAGGGGGTCCAGCCGCTCCAACCCCGGATTCCACGCGCCTAGCCGCCTGGCCGACTCGAAGTCCACTCATACTGCAGAGATGTCTTGGAGGATCAGCGCATCCTTCGAAACCCCGTTTTCAGCACAGGTGTACAAGCACAGGGGTTATTGCGGATCTCCCGCCGGCGGCCCAAGTCAGATGGCATAGCCCTGCGGCAAGGCCCCATCCCAGTATCGAGCATGGTTCAGGCATCCAAAGCCCCAAGTTCTATGTGGCGGAAGAATGAGTGCCCCTCATCCCACAGTCTGTCCAACCTCAAGAAATTTTTATTGTCGTCTCCTTTGCCGAGAGATGCCGACCTAGAATAACTGGCTGAGACATTTGCAGCGCAAGCCCTGCCGTGCGACTGCGAAAAACCTGCTGCGAGTCGGCCGGCGGTTTTGGAATAAGCAATGTCGGGCGCTAAACTTCTACAATGGACTCGCAGACTGTGATTTGCTGTGTTGCTCAGTTGGCGAATTTTGAATTGGTTATTGAGGTTCACTAATCACGCCACATGCTTTAGGATCAACATTTTTTACCGTATTTGAATTCATTACAATTTGGCAGCTCACCAGCCATACTATGGGTTCATATTATTCGTTCTATTCTCGTGGCAATCCAGGACAACGCTGTTTTCCTGACTCAGAGACTTGTTGAAGATGGCCTTTCACAATCTGGCACTTCGGGGCCGGATTGATGCGTTGGCAGAGTCCACTTAAATCAGACCACCACATCAGCCTCATCTGTAGTAAACCGGATTGACTGTATGCACCTAGCACGTTCGATCTATACTGGGTTCACTCTTCGTACTTTGTAAGTACACAGGATCAGTTGGGGGAGAGCGGGACGAGACTTCACCCGTGCTCGCCCAATGTTCGAGTCTAAGACCGAACGTGGTCTTGGTAGGAGCATATTAGTGGAGTCCCACCGCGCAGGAAATATTCTCGTTGCTATTGAATATTTTGACACTATCAGAAGGCCTATGGCATGCCCGAAAACGCACTTGTGAGCGTAAATGTCTTCAAGAGGCGGCTAGTCCATACAATACGCATTCTAAGCCCCGAGTAGATACCACATTCCCAACTCCTTTTACAACTCAGAATAAGCAGTAGCTTGAGGCCAACTTCTGCACCTTCCCTTTGTCAGTGGTGGGCCCGGGACAGATGCCGCCAGGCCCCTAGGTCCACTTCTCGGGATTTCGTGCAGGACGGCGAAGTCTACGTACATATGGCAGCAAGTACTGCTAGTGTAAGGTAGAATTTGACCAAAGTGCCATTCATATCCACCACAACGCGCGTAGCTATCTATTTCCCGCCAGCAGTACCCATGGAATCGACAAGGCTCTCGGTGAGTTGGTCTCAATGTCGAGGCGGAATCCGGCGACTCCCACCCTCGGTGTACAAGCCCAGCCTACCCCGCCAGGCCAGGCAACGGCTAGATACATACGTATTAGGCCGACATCTCCCGGTGGTCCGCTCTTTAATCCTGCCGGTTGCCTCAGTCACCCAACTCCCCTGACCTCCGTCGTCATATACCTATGGTCTATCCTAGTTAGTTGAGTCGTCTGATTCTTAAATTCCCTTCGTCTCCGTCAAAATCCACGAAGTGGCAGTTGTGGCAGAATTTGCTGCAAGTGAGGCGTCTTGAAAGCAACAACAGAATTCCCTGGGGCGAAGTCAACAACCCAAGCACATCTGAAGCCAAGGGAAGATGCACTATATTCTTCCTTTGTCAATATATTCCACACTTACACAGTATCTCTACTTAAACAGATTGTGTTCTCGTGATCACTTCTGTCCTCAGCTCTCTCTCTCTCTTTGTTCCCATTTTTTATATCTCGTTTTGACATCATAATTGCAACACAAAACAAGTTTACATTGCCAACACACAGAAAGTCCTTACCGGCACATATGAGATTGCGGAGCTGTTAATGTGATAGATGGCCTGTGTCGAAGTTCACTGATATTCACATGCGCTCTTTTTAGGTTCTGTAGGCCCAGATCTGCCCACAAAGCTAACGTTCATACGATATCCTCGCTCTTCAAGATTAGTTGTCCAAAGGGTCAAATTCTTAGTAGTTTCAAGTTGCAGTTTCTTGTTATCATAAATTATTATATAGGAGTTGTATTTCTTTTAGCTTATCTAGCATATCTTGTAATATAGCATATATTAGACTGTTAATTGTTAAATCTTTAAGTGCCCTTAGGCATGTGTGTGTGCATTACGTCTAGACTTCTGACTAGCCTTGCCCTGCACGCAGTCCTTTTAGCCTAACCTCTTGTGTGCCTTAGATTGCTAACAAGCCTCTATCTATAGTTAATAGGACAAGCCGCCTATTTCATCTATTCCCGCCGCGTACGAGGAAACTCGGGCATGCGAAATTATAGAAGTTGGTGATGGATTTGGAGCCATCCCGATTGCGAAAAACAACTAGATTGAGTTGTTTACCCAGTGGTTCGATACCCTGGTCACCTACTAAGGTGCACGGCAGATTGTAGCACAGGGACACATTGGGGACGTTTAAGTTTTAAACAAGGTGGGGAACGCTGGCAAACTCAATTGGCAATTATAAAAAGTTAAGGTTAACAACCTAAAAAAGAACATATAGTGCAAAGGGCGCTGGGAATGACTGGCAATAACCCAGGCGGGCAAATCGTATATAGTACAAAACCCTTCTTGTGAACATTCCATAGTTATACATTCATCTTAAATCCGAACGTCTACTATATCCAAAAACGCGTAAATCGCAGCTCCACATTGATACAAGACCCAGAAGGATACACCCCATTGGGAAAACCCGCCTTGTTCCGTTTCTATTTTGGAAGTCTGAAAGAGTGGGCCTCGGTGTTGAAGACAAACTCGTCCAAGCTGATCAGCTCGTGAGGCGAAAAAATGAGGTAGAAATATTTAAGCGTCTCGGAAAGCCAGAAGCTCTCCATGGAGTCGGTTTTCTGGGTCTGCTCGGGGGGGACCGTCACGTCCGCAATGGCCGAGTTGGCATTCTCAGTCTCCGTCGCTTTCAAAATCGACTGAAACATGCTCCAGGCGATATCTTGCAAGTCTTGCCGGCCAGTCATCCTGTAGAGCAAGAAGACGCTCTCAATGGCTTCGGGGCGGAGAATGTACTTGGGGTCGCGAGCGTTCTTGAACCCCTTCTTCAATCGCTTGTCACCCTCCTGTTCCCATCTCTCCTCGTTCCATTCGCACTTTTCTTTTGTCGAGCAGGCAATCAGATTGAATATTTCGGGCATAACACTGGCAGGCATAGCGTCATAGGCCCAAGCGCAGCCGCGAGCTACGCGGTCCCCGAGGTTGACATGTTTATCAATGGCGAACAGTTTGCCGCCTAGACCCAGCATTCCACCGACGAAACAAGACAAGTGCTGGGCTTTGGAAACATGGTCAACCTTGTCAGCATGGACATAGGCGTCGCCAGCGAAGAGAATATCCGTATTGTCTTCTGTCATTGGTCTGAACAGAAGATGTCGCTCTATGATTGCCGTTGCGCCAATATACATCTTTTTGTATGACTTATCCTGACCGCCAAGAAGGGCGTACATCTTGGGCAAGTACTCATACAAAGAGTCAGCAAGCGCGCCTAATGAGAAACTGTTGTCAATATCAACTTTCTTGTCCTGGAAGTTGATCATTCTAGGCTATATTCCTGGGAGCCTAGACTGATACTGGGTGCGCTCAAGGAAGCGGCTGATGTGGTTGATAGTATTGAAATACTTTATGTTGCTAGTAAGCTGTGAGAGTTGTGTGAACTTGAGGGATAACGAGTATGGAGAAGCCGATGGGTCGTGTGCACTTGCCAGCTGGGATCCCTTCTTTGCATCTTTAAAGTTGATCCAGAACCCGGGAATGCGATTGGGGGTGTTAAACCCCATATACAGCATATCGCCCAATTCCTTTGCCTTCTCTAAAAGAGTAACCTCACTGCTAAGATCGTAGGCACTAAGAAGGCCACCAAGATGACGAATAGTGGTCTTAAACATGTTTGCACTCTGCTTGGTCGTTTTAGCCCAGTCCAGTTGAGCGGCAACCTCAGCAGCAGTATAGAACTCGTTGCGAAAGCCCATGATCCATAGTGTATTCAGTGAGTCGACCAGCGACGCTGCCCACCCCCCGAACGTATCCTTCCCGCTCAAGCTCACAGGTGTGAGCTCATCTCGGGTCCAAGCATAGCGTTTATAGCTGCCGTAGCTCTTCTTGAAGACGTCTCTGACAGCCTTCTGGCGTTTGGGTGCTTCGGGGTGCGGGTTCTTGGCGCCAAAGTCGTGTTGAACGCTGGGGAGGTTGAGCGGTTTGCCTGTCGGAAGAGGCGTGAGGGGGGTTGAGACGGGATAGAAGAGTTTGGCGGTCGACCAATTGAACGAACTGGGGCGGAACTGAACGTTGTGTTGCAGCAGCGCGGGCGCGGGCGCAGGCGTGGACGGGGACAGCCGGTACGGGTTGTAGAGCAGCAGCAGCGCGGCGCAGGTTAAGGCGACGATGAGGGCGAAGCGCGGCGGGCGGCGGGCGAGAATCATGGTTTCGGATGTCTTGCCCAAGATGAGGTTCTTCGAGATGAGGTATCCATCTTGCTTTTGGGACAGCGGGGAGCGCCGGTTAGAAATGCAGTTGGTCAAGGTTGGCGAGCATGTTAGGGGGCAGGGGTGTGGTGAATCTTAACCACATCATGGGAAAGGGTGCATGGACGAAGGTATTTTTGTAATTGGCCCTTTGACGATCATGAACCGGCTTTTAGTGCAACGGGCGCTTAAACAAGCCAATGACCCGCCCAATGGGCGGGCAGGCGTTTGGAGGCCGGGCGGCTGCTAATAGATTGGCAAAGAGGCTTGCTTGACCTTCTGTTAAGCCTCAGACCGCCGACTAAGGCCTACCTAATTTTGACGCCGCGCCCCTGCAGCCCCCCACTTTGCTCAACCTGCTACCAACACACAGTGCGGGCTGCGCTTCCACGATCCAACAGCATGGCAGCCGTGTAGGATGGATGTTTGGACTTGGCGATGAACATCCCCCCCGAGAATCTTTTTCGTTTAGGCGCTTTGAACGGGGTGGGGGGTTGGTGTCTGCCTTGCCTCCAGCCGGTAATCAAATATGCAATGCAACCCGCAGGTCCCAAGACCGTGTTCTCCGCCTGTTTTCCCTTCGACATCCCCCGAAACTAACCATCTTCACTTTTGACACTTCTCTCTGATATTCGGGAATGATCGCCGGTTTCTATTTGTGAATGACTTCCCATTATGCTACTCTGACCATAATTTGGCTTTTGGTCTGTTCCGGGCCAGTATGGCACTCGCCTCGTGCGACTTTGAGCCTGTGGCCCTGCCGATCCAAGATGTCCAGGTCGACCCAGACATTCCCAACTCCTTTATGAGAGGAATCCCGGCGAAAATCGGAACCCCGGCACAAGATATTGTAATGCTTCCTTGGGCGTAAGTCTCATTTCATTCCCAGCCGTCCCAAGTCGAAGCCCTGCTGATACTTAACTGTCCATCTCAGTGAACTGAACAACACGTGGATTTACAACGAAACCCCCAACTGCGACTCTTCCATCATCTGGAACGATAGAATATGCGAAATAAGAAGAGGCAGCCTGTTTCACACAGACAACTCGACAACCTTTAACAAGTCTTCCGACATTGTTTGTGCTGGCGGTGCTCCAGAGGAGATCACAACTGCCGGCAGCGAAGCTGGGGCCAAGAAACTCATTTCCACAAGTTTGGGCGGAAAGGACCGCCTCGATGTCGGGGGGACAACCCTTTCGAGCACCCCAATCGGCATCCCAACTCTGAGATGGGACAATGGCTATACCATGCTCCATGCCCTCGGGCTAGGAGCCAGCCCTACCTGCATTACCTCCTTGCACAGGCTGGCCGGCTTGGATCTCGAGTCTGGTCCATCTTCTGGGGTCGTATGTGGACCAGTAATGACGTTGATGGTTCCATCGTTTTAGGAGGCTACGACTCTGAGAAAGATCACCGGAAAGAACGTCACCCAGCGTCTGGACTACAGCGAATCGACAGGCTGCTGGACGGGAATGAAGGTAACAGTCACCGATGTCCAAGTCAACTTCCGCGACGGCAATGACAAGAGCATAATGCCACTCAACACTGCCCTACAATGCTGCATTGTGCCTCATAGGCATCTTCTGTGGGAAGCACCGGGCAGTTTCGTAGATACGTTTGAGAACGTGACGAATTCTAGGGACCCTGGTGTCTCGTTTGGCCTACATTGGTCCGCACGAATATTCCAGTCAGAAGCTGCGTGAGTACCGCCGTTTCGACCTCGATATCCCCGTCGGCAACATTAGTTATGATTATTTCCACTCGCACCAGTCGGGCTTGTACGCTAACAAAGACTCGCAGTTTTGATGGTGACATAACCTTCTTCCTGAGTTCCGGACTACAAGTCAGAGTACCAAACAACCAATACATTGTCACCTTTGTCGACATCGAGCGCAACGGATCACGAACAATAAGCACCACGCAAAAGGAACTGTTGTTCAACGGTCTATCAGATCAGCCTGCCACCCTTGAACGGTACTTCCTAACTGCAGCGTATTTGATGGTCGACCACGACGCTGAAACCTTTACTCTCTGGCAAGCGAACCCTACAACCCGCAGCAACCTTGTCAAAGTTGCTAGCGACGGGTCCAGATGCGGCAAGCCTCAAACCTCCCAACCGGCGGCAAAACCCGACCAGTTCCCCGACCGGCAATACTAGTTCAGACAAGCAGCCCGCATCCTCTGAGGCTCAAGTCGGACCCGGTACGGGGGCCATTGCAGGAATTGCGGCAGGCGGTGGAGTAATACTTATTGGTGTCGGGTTGGGCTTGTTCTTCTGTCTGCGCTCGAAGAAGCGCAAGGCTGTACAATCCCTTCCGCCGCCGTACCATCCCGAACCTGCCGCTCCACCCGAGGAAATCTACTCGAAATACCAACAAGGCTATCCGCAGGAAATCCAAGGCTCACAAGGCTTCTACGTGAGCGAGCTTAGGGAGCAAGACCATCATGTATACGAAATGGATGGCGGTCACCACCAGCGGAGATAGGAGCGTCCGAATGAAATAGTAATGTATGATTTACGTAGAAAGTTAGCTTTAAAAGCTGTGAGCAAGATCCCCCATACTCCTGATAACAAGAACATTATTATAATTATAATTATTACATCTATATAAGCCTAGTCTAGCTATATAAGCAGTGCCTCTTTTTCTAACTAGTAAAACCTTATACAGCTTTAGAAGCGTCTAAGCTGTCAAATTACGAGTTATACTTAGAGGGATAACTGTGTGTGTATTGTGTATGTCTGGACCCCTCCAGATCTGTGTGCCAGGTGGTCTTATTGCCAGTAGTAGGCCTTGAAAGTTGGCACGGAAAATCCCTTATCTGTATGGCCAATCTCTACAATGTCTGGAACAAATGCGAGCTGTGGTTGCAGCATGTCCTTCACCTTAAAACCCTGTTTTTTTAGGAATGGAAGCGCGACTCCACATTTCGCGCCTGCAAGGAGACTTGCGCAACATGGGTCCAGTGCCAACGGTTAGTGCATCTTCTACCCAGATAGTTCCTCTTCTTGACACAATGAGCGAAGATTTTGCCCGTAACCAATAAGCATTGTTTTGTTAACCAAAATTATCGCAGATTTTTAGTCGAGATACAAAATTGGCGTGAGCTTGAAGACCTCACCATCGTCAATAAGATCGCTCTGAGCACATTGCAAGAGGAAGACACCAACTTCTATATGCGTGCAACAACGGAAATTCACGTTGCTCAGATGTGGGCTTGGCGTGGACGGTACCACAAAGCTCTGGAAAGCATGCTGAGTGCGCAGGTTTTAATGTTATCCGCGCCTGAAAAGGACCTCCAAAACATATGCGGGATTGAAGATAACGCGGCCCAGATTTTTGCATGCATGAACAAGTTGGATGATGCTCTGAATTGGAACAGACGCAGCCGTGAAACTTGGGCCGAATGGAACAAGTTTGCCAACATCGAATTCACATGTCCCCCACTCCTAAAGTTGACTTGGGGAAAGGATCTTAACTTACGCAAACAACTTTGAGGAGGCCAAATTACGTTTAAATGAAGCGATGGAAGGATTGCTTTCATTGAAACCATTTGTCTGGCAAACAGGTGCTTCGTAAGTTTTACGGAAATACGAGGGACATGAATCATGGATTCCATAAATAGAGAGCACAATGAAAGATAGGTTCCCTTTCATTTTGTGACTCTGTCACAATCTATTGCGCTATGAAGACTACCGGAGCGGGCCAACGCTCGGGTTTCGCTCTCAGGAAATGTGACCGGGTAGCGGCATCCCTGGGCAGATCCAGTTCCGACCCGCGGCCGCTGCAGCAATAAATTTCAGAAACTGAATCGAGAGACACAGCACTTAAGCTTATACATGAGCATGCATACCACTCGCCAAATCAATTTAGCTTTCTGCAATCAAGCTTCATCTCCTGATAATTCGGTATGCTAGGTTGTTACGTCGATCTGAGTAAGTTATATTCTCTTCCATATCTTTCCCTGGGCTCACTTACGCCTCGGTTCTTGGATGGTTCCTTTAAGTGAATACCTCCAACCTAAGCCGAGTCCTGTTCCGGAAATGAGGAGTATGCCGACGTGCCATATTTGTTGGCGCAAGGGACTGTGCTTGGGAAGCCTAGGCTAGCCATACCATAAGGGCTAACCGCCTGGGTTGTAGACCACATCGGGAAAATGTTGCATCATATACCCTAACCCCACGTTTTTTCTTATCTGATAGTTGTGGGGGAAAAGAATATGTGAAAAGACTTGCTGCAATCCGATCCGATCCGTAAAGAAAAAGGGAAAAAACAATCACAACATAATCATTCCACACCCAAGAGCGACGAAGTCAGAGTCACGAGGAACGTGTTAACAATGCCAAGAGACTTGACCAATACAACACCGTACTGGCTCGTAAAGGTTGTTCCGCGTGGCCTACTGGAAGAAGCACCGCTGACAGAGATAGTGATGTAAAGTGCTTCAGGCTTACGCCCTCGGAGAGCTCCCTAATTTGCCCTTGCTCAGGCTCCTCGAGGAGGGAATGTTGGATTTTATAGAGCTTACATTCATTTCTCCGTCGGATATTGTCCTTTCGTGGAGGAGGCAGTGATCAGTCTTTCTCTTTCGACAGGTCCTGGTAGTTAAAGCTAACGGGGAGACTGAAGTTCGAAACCTAAACCAGCGAGAAAGTTGCCAAGAGTTAACAATAGGAAAAGCTCAAGCTGACGCCCATGGAATGAGATATTTTGACAATTTACATCTATCGGGATGACGTAGAAACGGCAGAAGGAGTTCTGTAGACGCGGCTGTCCTGTGAGCTTGAGATTCCACGACAGAGAGAAATAGTAACATAATCATCAAGTTACAAGATTTCAGCCAATGTTCCATAGGCTGTTAATGCAATGCTTCCAGACTAAATGCACGTCCATGGCAAGTCCTTAGGTTCCGACAATTATTTTCCGAAAGGGAGCTGGTATCACCACTGACGGACGCGTGGGAGCCGCAGAAGGCTAGAAGCCAGCGCACACATTGATATCATCTTAGCGAATACGTCGCTCAGTCAACTAAGAAAGTTAGAATGCAGTTAAAACTTCTGCTCATGAGGACCTGTTCTTTTTCCGTCGATGTCGCCTCGATCATAGCACTAATCATAATCGGGGAGGGGGCGCTCATAACAAACAATGTCGAGCGACGACCGAACGAGCGATGGCCAAACATCCGACAAGGATATTCTTCCGGCTATGTATTGTAATTGGAAGTTGCATGATAACAACTTCGCAGTAGAGGCAGGGTGAATGGTCTGAATCGATAATCATATTTTTTATTCTGCGCATTTCGACTTTTCTAAGCACCGACCGGATGTCCGGGTCTTGATCCTTGTAACCTGACCAGAACTAGTTCAGCTCGTCGTTGAAGCCAAATTGCGATGGCGTCACGGAGTAAGTAGGGCCGGGTCGGTTTTCTACAAACCAGTTTAACGTGAGGGGTCCGTTAAAATTTAATCAGCGGCATATAGCCCGGAAACGCTATTCGTACATGTCGAATAAATGTCTCCTGATACCTGAACCTAGTTTGGAGGCTTTCCCAGTTCTGTATGCTGCATCCGAATCACTAAATATAGACTTTGGTTCGGCTTATGAAGATAAACATCGTATTCTCAGAGCCGATCTCGAATATTGACCCTTAATTTCGAAGTGGTTTATATATTGGAAACAGTCTAGTGATTCAAGTTCTTCCATACATATATACTTCGTTTCCATCGAATTTCTCTATTCTTCCATGGAAAAAGTGTAGCACTGCGTAAACAGGGTGTTAAAGCTCTACAGAAATGTCTCAAGTGCATCCACCTAAAACTGAGGGTTGTGAATTGGTGATCGGTTTCTGGTTCTGTCGTTGTTTTCCTACTAGTTCTCGACACACAATAGCCCTCGCTTGCACAAGTGGCCCACAAATCGAAAGAGTTCAAAGAATCAAGGAACTACTTCAAATGATTGGATTTCGAAGCCAGTAATTTGACTGTTCACCATGCTGCCGGTGGTCCGGTAGCGTAGATTTAGAGGCCGAGACACCCGCAGCCCCTGGACCTGCATTAGCTCGTTTCTGCAGACCAAGACTTTGGTCCTCTGGGCACGATGTACAAAAAGATCGCAATACTCCTATCAAGAAGCATAGCTTGCGTAAACAGAAGGATCGCAAAAGTAAGTTGCGATGTTACAGCCACTAGCTATTTGGCTATCGTACAGATAAGTAAATTCGTGTCGTGCGTGTACGAAGCAAAGAGGTTCCCAATGTCACCCTCCGTCTAGGCGTTGTTTAAAAGGATTGCAACTCATCCACCATATACCCAAAGGAATATACTATTGCTTTAGTGAACAACAGCAGAGCACTAAGACGTGCGAAAGGCCAAGTTCACCGACGATGATCTCGTCCTTTTCTGTAAACATCAATGTACGCTTTTCAACCACATGAGCTTGGAGTGGTTGCACTCGCATGTTTATGATTGGTGGAAGAAGCTGTGAATAACTGGGCCTTTGGCGCACCTTGCATATGACTGGGCTCTGTGAATGCACCTGCAATGCGGTGAGTGAGTCTGTTAACCACCGAAATTCATAGGCAAAACTCGCATTTAAATCATGACGCTCCGGAATTATAGAAAGAAGATCGAAAAATACCGGGATATGTATTTACCAGGTGATCTCCCTGCACCCTACACAATGAGTCATCCCCCGATTGAGTATGAAGTTAATACCTTTAAGGTCGTGGACATTGCCACTGGCCTTGCAAAGGTCAAACATAGTGTGCGTAAGACATAAGGCTGGAAGCATGACGGCGAAGGGGAAACGTTTTAGTGAAGCCGCCTCGAAACTAATTTTCTGTCCCGACGCAGTGAGCTTGTCAGACCCGGTCGCTCCGGGGCCGGCTGCTATACGCTATACAGGTACCGACAAGCAGAATAGAAGATTGGATTCCCTGGACGAAATTTCTTGGACTCGTAACTGGAGTGCCAAGTTTTCTTGATCTAGAGTTTTTAAACTACCATGGGAGACCAGATGTTTCGTTGACCTCGGTTCAGACGACCCACAGACCCCCTTTCCCCTTGCTAGATATGAGAATGCTACGGTGTTTTAGGCTGCCTCTCCTGTCTGACTCGTAGATTCCCTCGCCTCAACAGGATGTACTTTTCTAGAAACAATGCCAAGGATAATTCCTTCTGCATTACTAGACATTACCGACTGACTGCTGCGTCACACTCCGCGCAATTTTCCTCCGCTCCACCACTCGCTTTGCGATGAACTATACACCGCACCTAGCCTCCGCAATGTGCTGAATGAGGGTTCCGGCGAATTTAATCCGCCAACAGGATGTGGCCGGTCTAGAAAGCTCGATTCCAGGATTGTCAACCTCCGACATACGTGGATTGCCACATTGGGCAGCATCCCAGCTAGCACTATATCCATATTAAAGTTCGAGGGCTCGGGATTGGTTGTTCAATCGGGTTTAATCTACGAAGTGCCTCCTGTCTGCCGACGTCCGTCTCCACCAATCATGTCCGGACTGCATGAGGGGTCTGGGGTCATCAGAACACGCGGAGAAACAAGTCGGACGAAGAACTCGCAGCTTTCTCGTCCAGCCCCTCGGTGGCTGAAGCCTTTGAGGCCTTTTGTTTGAAGTATATAAAAGAGACCTAAATCGCCCCGTGGCACTAACCCGGATGATCTTCTCTTGGATTAACTTTGGGACGAACCAATGACACCTTCTTTTCTCTAACAATACCGCAAAAAATAAAATAAAAAAAATGAAGTCTTTCCTCGCTACTCTTACCTTTGTCACGGCGGCGCTGGCAGCCAGCCGCACTTCTGCGCCATCAGGTTGCTTGACTGTCAAGAAGTCACCTGGCAACGGCCAGTACGGTACTATTCAGAAGGCCGTTGATGCCCTTTCTACTTCTGCCTCTGGCACGCAATGTATTTTTATCGACCAGGGCACCTATAGCGAGCAGGTTCTTGTCCCCGCGCGGACCGCTCAGCTGACCATTTACGGCTACACGGCGGACACGAGCAGCTACTCCGGCAACAAGGTAACCATCACCGCCAAAAAGAGCCAGGCCGACGGCTCCAACAACGACGAAAGCGCTACCCTTCGCGTAAAAGCCAAGAACTTCAAGCTCTATAACGTAAACGTCGCCAACGCTTACGGCAAGGGCAGCCAGGCTGTGGCCCTAAGCGCGTACGCAGACAGCGGATACTACGGCTGCCAGTTTACTGGTTTCCAGGACACCGTTCTTAGCCAGCAGGGCAACCAGTTGTACTCCAAGTGCCTCATCCAGGGTGCCACCGATTTCATTTTCGGCCAAAAAGCCATGAGCTGGTTCGAGAAGTGTGACCTTCGTGTTGTTGCCAGCTCCGTTGGCTACATTACTGGTAAGAGCACATTTACCAAACCATTCACCCTTTGCTTGAACTAAACTAACAATGGGAACCAGCCAATGGTCGCCAAAGCGCATCTGACAAGTCGTATTACGTCTTCAACAGCTGCACAGTCGCAGCCGCTTCCGGAAACACTGTTGCCGATGGAGCCTACTATCTCGGCCGCCCCTGGAGGGAATTCGCCCAGGTCGTGTTCCAGAAGACAAGCATGACGGGCGTCATCAACTCCGCTGGCTGGAAGAACTGGAACACTGGTGACGATCGCACCAGCAACGTTCTCTTTGGCGAGTACCAGAACACCGGTATTGGATCACAGGGCACCCGCGCCAGCTTCTCCAAGAAGCTTAGCTCAGCCATCTCCATCTCGAGCATTCTGGGCAGTAGTTACAGCAGCGCTGGATACTACGATGCTGCTTACATGTAAGAGCATCGAACGTGGGGGGGGGGGGGTTTCTGTCCAAGCCAACAAATTCTTGACGGGCGCGGTCTCAAGTTTTTCTTCGTACATACTTTTTTTTCTCAAATTGAATATACTACGCAAGTCCCTGCGTAATTTCGTATACACAATTGCGTGTCTCTGGCGTAATTTTTGCTTTTACAGACGCAGCTTATGTCAAGCTCTAATCATGCGTATATTACGCGTAGCTATTGATCCTTACTAGATCGAACCCACGATCTTGGCAGTACGTTCTGGCCGAGGAGATCTGCTCAACCTAAAGCGGAAAAAGAAAGTTAGGCGACTATTGTCTGTTTCCCATCCCCAGTTGAAGTATGTTCGGTTTGTTTACTGTTCCTGGGCTACCCCTGTCCGCTTTGGCCTGTGGTGAGACAGTGGATACTGAGGCTTGGTTTCATGTACACAGCACAGAGCAGCCAAGGATCCAGACCCCAAGTTAATGAGCTTGAAAGATAGTCAACATGGGGTGCAAAGCTAGGCCCCATAGGTGCTACGTGACGTGGGAGCGCACCTACTTAGCCACGTGTTAGCTTACGCACTACTTCGGTGGTTGGAGTCGCACCAATGCCAAAGCTTGCTGATATTTGGAGAAAGCATCGCGAGGTTGTAGGTCGAGTTGGACTTGCAGCACTAATGACATAATTACGTGCTATGTTCTCCATTTGCTGAGAAGTCTACACCACACGGAAGTTCAGGGAGCAGTATGAAACGACATGTTTTCGGGTTTATGTAAACTGTAACTGGATAAAATCCACGAGCTAGTAGCAACTTACCGTCAATAATCTATTCCCTAAGAGAAAGGTTGAAGTCTTAGCTTCGTTGCAAACTTATTTTGCTATTCAGCCCAAAGCGAAGCTTTAACAGCTTTGGTATTGAAATGTATTTCCGATGATTAGACCAGTTCAGTGACTGACAATGCCGAGGCATGGAGCCGTCTATATGATTGAGAATTTCTATACACGTCCACAAACGTATCTGTTGAGCCTTCTTGGCCCCAGCTTGCTGCAAAGAGTCAAAAGTTGACAAAACTCTTAGCAATACATATTTTGTAGAGCATAAGTCAAGTCACCCCCTTCTGGGCACCCCACCCTTGTGGGCACCCCTTTTACACCAAAACTGCTCTTTTTCACTATAGCTTTATCTTAGTCAGCTTACTAATTAAAAATCCAAGAAAATTATAACTTATACAGAATTGCTAGGGTTTAGCTATAAATAGGCTTTTAGATACCTAAATAGCCTTAGTGCTTAGTAATAGCATTAAAATAAGTATATTACTAACACACCAGTAATTTACTAATGCTTTTAAAACCACTAATACTTTATGAAAAAAGGTTTTATAAAACTAAAGTTCTATATATAAATATACTATATATACTAAAGTTAAAATTTGTATTTACTTTTAAGATAAGTATTTTAAATATATATTTATAATAAATAATATAACTATTCTCTTTAAAAAGAAGTTTCTTATCAAATACATTATTATAAATTTATATAATATAACGCTATAATATAAGTTAAATAAAGTACTTATATACTATTTTAGACTTAGTTACATATACTTATAGTATAGTTTTATCTAAAGTTTCTTTTTGTTAATAGATATTGGTATAATACGTGTAAACCTTAACAGATCTGAGCTTTTAGGCTTAAGCTTTAGTTTTAGACTAACATAGGGTAATAACTAGATATAGCGACTATATATATTAAAATAAGTTATTTTGTATAAGCTATAATCTTCTTAGATTTTTAATTAATAAGCTGACTAAGATAAAGCTATGGTGAAAAAGAGCAGTTTTGGTGTAAAAGGGGTGCCCACAAGGGTGGGGTGCCCAGAAGGGGGTGACTTGACTTATCCCAAATCTTCTTGGCTGATTCGTGAGGGTGGGGGACATGTTGCTTTTGAGGAAAGCTGGCAGCCGATGTGTTTGCAGGGGATCACAAACCGCCATCTCAAGAATCATCGACTCGTCTAAGATGTTTCTGCTTATTACTTCGCAAACCCTAAGCAGGATGCGTTATCTCCCTAGGTTCCCGAATTAGGCCATCATTGAAATCAAGACAATTGCATTGTTGCATCTCTTTCTTCACCGTGTTCGAATGAAATGTTTTGTCAACTGGCGCTGAGGCTCTCTGTAGATTACTTACAATGTCATGTCAAAAGTCCGAAAACCCATTTTAGTGCGCCACCTTGGCCCTTAACGCCACTATATTATCCACTGTAGCCCACTATAATCTCAGCTGAAGAGCACCTACGACTTATTAGGACTGCCCATTAGCGGGGGAAAAAAAGCAGCAAAGCTGAATGAATATAGCGTTTACTATATTGTTTCGCGTAAGGCACTTATCTGATTTTTTTTAGAATATTTCTACTAAATGCGTATGTTGAGATACTGATTGTTGAAATATAGCTGTTATAGCGTTTTCAGACAATTGACATGGCACTGTTTGTGTCAGCGCTTGGAAGAAAAGGCGGTATTCGGCGTAATTCTACGAAAAAGGACAATACTTGAGTGGGTATTTGTAGCGGGTCAAATCAGCAGCTTTGAAGGTTGTTTTAATGGTTAGAAACCAATTGGAACAACACCCTGGCGCCGCCCTCATCCCAGAATAATCAGCCTTCTTATCTAAGCATCTAGCTCAAAGATATATCGGTTGCATCAAGGTTGGCGAGATCTGTCACCTATTTCTTTCGAATGTAGTTTCACAAGCCGAGCATTTGAGTCACATCAACCTTCTTGTCTGTTAGTTGCTAAACTGATACACTGTTCTTATGACCTGCTGGCAATTACCCTTGGAAGACTCAATGAAGCGGGCGTCGATGAAGCCTGACAATTAGAACGGGCCATTTCTATAGTGCTAGAGATAGCGGCGGTTCTGTGTTTGCGGTGGAACTCGGGAAGAATCCCTGGGATTAGATATAAGAGTTCAGTGAGTTCCTGCTTAATCCACTAATGGTATTACACGCTGACAAGCCACCCCGAGCCGTAAAGCGACAGGTTTGCCAGCCGGTAGCTCACATATTTGCGGCTGATGGGACCGAGGTTCTGGGCATGAGGCGCATGCCAAGCCTAGAGCTTTGAGACCCAACAGAGCCTCTGCCCTCCCCATACTTCCATACAAAACCACTCTTCCTAGGGCTGAGATCCAAGAGCCTGGGCCATGTCCTTGGCACCTTAGCTCGGGAACCACGTCCATGTGGGCTTCCACACCTGTCACTAAATCCAACAGTGTGTGGTGGCAACGCTTAACAGAGAACAATGTTTTTTCCGGAGATGTGATAGCACACAGCTAGTAATGCAGTGTTCTGGAATCTAGATCATATGCGATTGGTGGCTTGGGCTGGAGCTGATGCTAGAGCGGCTAGGCCGCATACGTTACATGTTTGACTCGTACGCTTGCAACCAGCGATTTTCGCGCCTGTGGGCATGGGCCTCTGGGGAATGGGAAGACGCACCTGTCAGATTTAACTCGTTGAAAGCTTGTTTCGCCTGCCTTTACAAACGCGGAAATGTCTCGCTTATCCAGCAGAACCTTCAACAAAGAATAGAGAATGACAGTTCTGTGATCACCCTATCTTGGTATGTCACTAGACATTGTCGGAGGATTTCTTCCTTACCTGATCACACTTGGCTTGGCCCCTACGTTCCACTTTGCAATTATTTCTCGCCCTCAGTCCCCATCAAAACCAGGGCCTTTTTATTCTCTCTCTTTTTTCTTACTCTTTTTTCTTTCTATTTTTTTCTTTCTTTTCTGGTTTTGGCTGGTTATCACACCCGATACTGAAAACGATTCAAGGAGCTTCTAGGTCTATTCTTGATAGACTTGGGTGCGATCTTCACCATTCGCCAGCATCATCTCATCCAACTTCTAGGTGGACACTTCTTGATTGTGGCAGCCAGCGTACGCGGCTTTGTCCTTTGGAGCTACCAAACTAGCCATTGAAGAATCTCAGCATGAACCCGAAAGGTTTCCTAGTACGTCATCCACACGCATGCATACGCCAGTGGCTATTAACATTGCATCTAGATTGCTGAATGGGTTCTTGTCGCTCTCTCCTTCGTCGTTGTCATCGCTCGACTAGCAGTACGCACATGGCACAGGATATGGTCTTTTTGGCTATCCGAGATCTTTCTTGTTGTCTCGCTTGTGTTCTTCGTTACACTAGTCGTTGGAGATACCTATACAATAGCATTAGGTTACAATGCCTTTGCCGATGAGTATTTTGATGAAGGCTTTGCCAGAGTATGTATCCCCCTATTAATCTACAAAATTTGGATCCACTTTAATTCAATGTGTAGTGGAAGTTTGCCAGTTCAGTTATTTTCGATGTTGGCTTCTACCTTCCAAGATTCAGTCTACTAGCTTTTTATTACGAGCTGTTCCCGGAAACTGAGAAGAGTTTACGACTGCGCCTCCACCTTGTCACAGCCTACACCACTTGTGCATTGGTTACGACTCTTTTCGTGGATATATTCTGGTGTGGCCTTAACGTATCAAAAAACTGGTAGGTCTGGTTCTGGGCTTTTCCGTGCTATTTCGATGGCACTGATTATCTCGAACTTGTTTCTGATTACTTTCCAGGGCGGATAGCAACACCAGTTGTACATTGGCTAACTGTCCGGAGCCGATGTACATTAATTGGTCAATTGGCATTACCTCGGAACTACTTGGTAGGTAAAAAGATTCCAGTCAAAATATGAAATGCTAACAAGAGGCTGTTTTCAAGTTTTTGCGCTACCGTTCGGAATCCTCAGGCTAAAAGCCTTGCAGATGAAAGATAGGAGAGCATTACTATGCATATTTCTCCTGGGCACAGCCACAGTTATTATCAGCGTCGTGCGGTTCTATCTAACTGTACAATCTATCTGGGACTTTTCGACTTGTAAATACTTCACTATTTCACGATTACAGTTGCTTGAAATAAGCTAATCCGTAATAGATCTCGTTGGCTCAGCAGAAATCGCCACGCAGATAATTGTCATCGCGCTACCAGCTCTTCGCCCACTGCTCGGTGGTCTATCGCGTGGCTGGACCAGATACTCCGATTCCAGAATACAATCTCGCAGCAAGCGGGTGTTCCATGACACGAAACAAACTCAGCAAGTTTCTGGCTTGGCTGGTAGCGTCCAAGGCAACGAAAGAGTTGTATCGTGTTCTGATACCGGGGGCATCACCAAAGACATGACGTCTGCTGAACCGTGACAGGTTATGAAGTTTGGTATTCTTTGGAAGAGGAGAGAGCAAAACTGTCACATAGACATGTTGACACTTGATACTAGGTGTATATGCAGCAACCTACTATTTACCAATGCACATAAAGATAATGAATACACCTAACGATACATCCTAAGTCGGCCTGAGAATCTCCTTCACAAGATCCCTGCCTTCATTTTTCATGCTAGAACTGAAATAAGGCTTCACCCATGACTTTGTGGGACCAGAACACGTTGCTGCGAGGAATCTCGCGGTCTTTGCGGCAGCAGTTGACTGTGGTGTGGGTCACGGAAACCATAATCCCGGAAGCCCCGGCGGTACCGTGGCATACGTGGGCACATGGTGTTTCTTGTGGGGGAAAGGAAAGAAGTGGGGGTTCAGATAGTCCAGTGGCCCGGTTTCAATATGCAGTTGCGGGTCAGCCATCGCCAAGAACGTCAATACTTTACAGTCAACGATCCCGGAGATTAACGCTGATTAGTAAGTCCGAGAATCCCAACTGTCCGCCCGTGATTGCGGTTGCATTCTACGTGATTCATAATAGGCAATAGGCGTAGTTGCTTCATCCCAAACGTTCATCCTTTCTTGCTCATTCATTACAGAATTATCACTCTCGAAGTAGGCGATCCAGAGTTGGTTGATGATGTTCGGTCCATAAACTGTAAATATTGGGCTGTACCATTATCCGAGATATTCAAGCAACACAACTTTGCTGGCCCCTAGCTTATTGACAGCAAGGTCGGAAATCAATGCTCAAAGTGAAGAACCCACAATAAGGAAACGTCAGTGAGGCCGCGAGTGTTGCTGTTCGGGCTGGGTCGCGCTGTCCCAATCTCTCGCTGATGTGATTGGCTGAACTCACCGACCTTGCGCCAGTCAGAAGCGCCTGACTGTAATAGGGCGTGGCGGAGGGCTCAGCCATAGTCAACCTACTGCTGCACTTGACGACCGTCACAATCGACTTGCTGTTGTAATCTGAAGATCTCCATGATAAAGATTTCTTGATTAATAATCTCTCCATTTGATTGTCGTGGTGTCCAAAAAGAGCGGTTCTGCTATACCAAGAGGCACAGCGCAAATAGTCAACTGACGCAGTCCAGCGTACAAAGCTCGTCCGGAATAGTTGACAGCTAAACTCGGCTAATTTGCCCTAAAACAGCGCAAATGGTCAATACGTCACAGTAACAGATGAACTTGTATAACTAACTTTCGCGGCAGTATGTCTAGCCCCAAGATACGGCCGTGACAGATGGTGCAGGTCTTCCGCACTGAATATCCGTCGGAGCGGAGGCTCCATGCCCGTTCCCTGTAAGTTGATAACGGCGGTAATTAAGAGCACTATATCAGAAATGCAGTTCTTTGCCAAGGAACCAGCGCAGAAGCTCGGAATTGGCTCCACCGAAAGTAACTTTACTATTCATAGCAAGTAAGTTTTAAATACCGAGTATCGCCTGAGGGGGTTGCCAATTCTTCAACGACACTCTCATTTTCATACACCCAGTTATCTTTTAGAGCCTGATCGATGACTGCGTTATAAGTGCGGTAACGGCCGTACCGTAGTAAAAAATACCTCAGGTTGAAATTAAGTAGAGTTTCCTGTATTATTAAGGCTTAAATTAGGTAATATATTGCCATTATCCCTGTGGAGGTTATTATCCTCACCGCTTTCCCCTTTCTCTAAGCTAAATAAGCTTTATTTCCCCTCACTTCCATCTATATCATCATTTCTCATTAGATTACTACAAATAATTACTACAATTACCTATACCTCTATAATGAGTAACTAGCAAAACAAAGAAGGGCTTTCTATTAATACAGAGGGCTCTATTGTTGTTCAACCAATTACCCCAGCCTCTACTGCCAACAAACAAAAGGACCCACCACGTCGGTCAGGAAGAAAGCCAGTAAAGAAGCAATGGCTTAACGAAGAGGTTACTCAAGACGTTACTGAAGTCTACAATAAAGATGACAACAAAGAACATAACGAAGTTGACAACAAATCCTCAAGCAGTATATCGCCTTTTCCTGAAGATTCATCTAGTCAACAAATACCAACACGCTCTCATACTGTTTAGACTTCAGAGCTTACCCATCGCTTTATGGAGAAGCTTCTCAATCTATACCACAACAAAAACCTCAACACCAACAAAGCTACTACAAAAAAGCCAGTCTTTAAAGATCTTACAGCACAAATCAATATTGAGGGCTGGTTTACTAGTCCTATAACTAGTAAGCAGATAAAAAACAAGTATGATGGTAAGAAAAAGAGGTTTTCTATCTAGACGTCTATTACCTATAAGTCAAGTAATACGTTTGATGAAGACAGTGGAAAGGTCTCTTGTAGTAATAAGGCAAGAGAGAACTTCTTAATTACCTACCCAAAGCACAAGTGGGTTTTTGAAAAAGGGTTAGGACCGCCAGATCTATATGAAGAGATATAGGGTACAAACACTAAGAAGGGCGGCGCTATATCATCAGTTAATAAGGTTATATATGGCCAGGAGACTGACTCTGAGGCAGATGAGAATGAGAAAGACGACAGAAACGATGACAATAACTTGGGAGATATACAGGAAAATCAGTCTCTTCATACACCATCACAGTCGTCTACATCATTTCTCAGTACTCCTACATTTTCACAAAACCAGCAATCCAACAGACAATTCCGGCAACAGTATATCCCTATTAGTAACAACAAGTCACCAAAAAAGAGACTTACTACTGCTAAGGCTAACGCCTATATTGGTAAATCAATACAAGAACTTAGGAACAAATACTCTAGTAGTAAAAAGAAGGTACTAGAGTTAAAGCTACAGGAGAAAGAAAAAGAAAAAAGGCAACCATCACAAGAAGAAGCTGAGGTTAATAAGGCAATAGAAGACCTTGCAAGGTTTAAAAAAGATCTTAATCATGACGTTTATTTAGTTGTTTCAAACCGATTAATAACAAAAGAGAAGAAACTAGTAGTTTCAAGAGCAAGGTATTAGAATTTACTACCAAGCAATAAGTTAAAGAAGACGTATTATATAGAGGTTTATAAGCAGGAAGTTAGGCACTAGTAGTAGGATCTTTCTATTTGTAGTAATCCTTTATAATAATCCCTAGTACTAGCCTACTTATAGAAATGTCTCTTAAGTAGCATTCTCATTTCCTCCTGTAGTATCTCCCTCAACTATCGGACTGCGGTTCTCTTCCTGAAGCCTTGTCGGACTGCGGTTCTCTTCCTGAAGCCTTTCGCGGCGCTGCTTAAGTGCAAGCTTTTGTGCAGCAGTTAGGCCAGTTTTTCCTTTTCCTTTACCTAAACCAGAACTAGAACCAGATGGCTCTTGTCTAAGAGACCAAAAGGACTTTGGAGAAGGTTGATAATAGTACCAGTCTTTGCCCATTAGCTCTGCAGCAAGAAGAATAGACTTAACACAGTCTATATCCTTCTTCATAATAGTAACTCTCTTAGCATAGATAGCAGCTAACTAGATAGCTAGAAAGATATAGGTTAATTATTATAGTAATCAATTATAGTAATTACATACCTTCAAACATAGCTATAAGATGAGTCTCAGCAGCCTCCTGGAGTATAAGAATAGCTGCCTTCTGAAAGCAAAGGTCATCTTGTTAAGAAACATCGTATATAATCTCTTTGCAAAAACGTTAAAAGGGTACCTTTGCCATCAGAAGGTCAGTTAACTTCTAATACTTACGGATTTCGCAAAGAACAACAGCTAGAAGTAAATTAGCATTATAGCAATCACTTATAGTAATCAAACAAGTACTTACTACCAGCCTTCCAGTGTCTTTTCTTTAGAGGAGTAGCTACAACCTTCTTAGGCGTTTTTTTGGTAGCCTTCTTAGCCAGGGGTTTCTTCACTAGGGCTTTAGCAACAAGGGACTTTTTAGCGCTATTCTTCTTCACAAGAGGCTTTTTAGCACCCTTTTTTGAAGGGCACTTGCAGAAAGCTTGGGCTACTAGCATTACAATAGGTCTAAATAATTAGTAATTTTTAAGAAAAATAGAATAAAAAAAGAAATAACTTACAGAAGTTATTATTATTATTATTATTATTATTAAAGAAAAAAAAGTAAAGTTAAAAAAAAAGAAAAAGAGAAAATAGGTAAAAGAATATAAGTAAGGCAAGTGTAATTGACAGTTAAAAAAGGTACAAAAAATAAAGTAATTCACAATTATCCCACTTATTATTTTCAACCTATTTTCACCTTTTCTTTTTTTTCAACTTTACTTTTTCTTCTTTAACAATAACAACAACAACTCTAAAAAAAAATCAATTTAAAAATAAAAAACTAATTATTTTATTTATTCTAAAAGTATTCTAACTTTTATTTAGTTTCTTACCCACCATTGAGGATGTCTTCCTCTCAGCCTTCACAAGGTCTGTTTATATCTATCTATTTGTAGTAATCAATTGTAGTAACCTAACTAATATTTCTCTAGGCCGCCCACTAGGCTCTAGTACTAGCATAAAGCGGAAGGCCAATGACAGCTACTCTGAGAATACGCACACCAAAAAAGCTCGCGAGCACATTAAGGAAATAACAGAGGAAATAAAAGAGCTTAAGAAGGCTAAAAAGTCCTTCACTGCCCAGAAAAATCGCAAGCTAACTACTCTCAAGAAGTCCCAGCCATATATCAATAGTACAGCTTCAGTCAAGGCCAATATAGAGGCCAAGGTAATTAATAACATTACCACTATAGCATAAGTAACCTTCCTTTTATCTATTTTATACTTATTTTTAACCTTAAAAATAGGCAAACAAAGGGCAACTATCCAGGAATTATTGCTGCACAACTTGGTCTTCATTAGGCCCCTTCTGGGAGCCAAGCCCCTGTCTAGGTTAATAATAATAATCAAGTTATCCAGAATGACGACGACAACAATAACTAGGAGGAGATTCCTTTTCTTGGCCTGGAAGAGCAAATGGAAGAAAAGCTAGCTGATCTTGAAGATTACCATAACTTTAAGGTTAGTTCTTCTTCTATCAAAAGCATCAACATCCAGCAAAAGATACAAGCACTTATTACTAAACGTGAGGAGGTAAGTAATTACTACAAAAAATTACTACAAATCGCTAATAAAACTAGGATCTTATCCGCCAAGAGTACCACTATATAACCAACTACTAGCATACAGCTCTTGACCAGCTTTTTGCTAAGGTCTATTACCTGAAGGTTCAACCTTCTATCTACCTTAAAGTTACTTCTAAAGCAAGCTTTCTTCAGCCTAGTCAAAGTCTGCCAGCTGCTACAGATATCTTCACAAAAGAGGAATCTCTTCTCTGGTTAGTCCTGACTAAGCATTGGAAGGTCTCTACCTCTAGAGACCATAAACTCTTGAAAATTATCTCCTATTTCCACCAAAAAAAGAAGTAAATAAAATTAAAATTTAATAACTAATAGACTTTACTAATTAATTATTTTTTAGGCAATTTGCTCTCCAACACCGCCCTGCTATAGGTCAGCAGAGTAGAGGTTTCCTCTATACTGTTCAACGTCGCCGCTCAACTTGGGACTTTAAGCCAACTATTAAGCAGTTAATTAAAGAGGTAAGCTGATTACTACAACTAATTACTACAAATTACTAATATAAATATAGGTTCAAGGCTCTCTTACTCTATCCTCTCAAGAGAAGATTCTTCCTAGTCCTACAAAGATGTAGAATAGAGTTACTCTTAACTCAGAGGCAACTATAGGATTTAGTTGCTTAATGATAAAGGCTTTTAAGCCTCTATAGGAGGTTTTACCGCTTTATCTCCAGCTTCAGCTACCTATTAAGGTATACCCAACCTCTTAGAAGAAGGTTTCTGGTATAGCTCATAAGGCTATACAAGCTTACAACTTTGATTTCGTTAGAGAGATAGCAGAGGATATCTGAAGGGAAGAAGTATGAATTATAGTAATCAGTTATAGTAATTCCTACTTCTCTTGCGCCTACCACTATTCCCACATTGCTTTAGCTATCTTCTCACGAATTTGTCCCATACTTTAACCTAAACACCACCTATCAGCCCTTTCACCAACTTTATTTACATTAAGCCAGTTTTCTATATCACTATTATACCCCTTATCCTCAGTATAGTAAAGTAAAAAGTTATATAGGCCTATTACTACATAAATAATTTGCACTTATATATTCAAGCTATACTCTAGGGCTGAAGAGGCAATTATCTTCCACTTCCGTTTTAGGCAACCAAATACCTACTCAACAATCATTCAAAGACGACTATGCCAAAGATTATATAACTCTTAAGCTATTTCTAGTGGTTTGTTTATATCCCTAAAATCTTGTAAATGGTAACGGGTTTTTAAATAGGGAATAATAATACCATTCCAGACACCAAACCCTACATCCCCTAAGAAATACCAGCCTTCAAGGACTTTAAACCCTTTAATATTTACAAAATTAATCAAACTAGCATCATGGATTAACCCTTCAGCTCCAACAAATACAAATGAAAAGCCACCATCAAAACGAACAGCAACAAAGACATTTTAAGAAACTATTCCCTTCCAACTACACCACTTCCCCTAAGTAGTAGTAGGAATATGTGCACTAACAAGCGTACCATCAACTACTCCAATACAACCAGTAAAGTATTTACCTAGTTTTTTATTACCCTCAATTTCTCCTAAGACTTCAGCTTCTCCACAAGGAATAACATATGCCTTATGAAGCTTTACAAGGTGTAGTAAAACTTCATTCCAGACTAGAGATACAGTTAATTGACTAATACGAAAAAAGTAAACAACAGCCCATTAGCCAAGATTACTACCACAGGATAAAATAAATAAACAAATAAGTACTTTTTGCTCAATAAGGAGGTTTCGAGATAGCTGTAGAAGTGTATTGTTTATAAGCCATCTTAATAATACTCAAAATTGCCGTTTACCAAGGCAAAAGAGGTATAGAAAACGGTGGTTTGAACCAGAGAGAAGCTTCCAACATATTCAGTGTACAGTTATAGTACTACTATTATTAATAACCTCTCTCTCATCCTTATTTTTACTAGCTTAATATCCTACTACAATAGCACTAGATATAGCTACTGTAATAAGATAGTTGAATTTCATAATAAATTATTTGTAGTAATCAATTGTAGTAATAGGTAATAAGGAGGCAGTTTTCAAAGTGCAGTAACAACTGCGGTAACGTTAACGTAAGTTTTGAATGCGGTAAGAATTTGTATAAGAAAATGGGGAATGACTGATAATTTATACCACACAAAGTCTCTTTTTGCTGAGGTACGTGGCAAATGTGTAATAACGTAAGGTTCTACAATCTAGAACTGTAATCATGATGTACCCTCCTGTTTTAGGCCTAGTGCGACACAATTTGAGTTCAGAGGGTACTTGTGGCTAGTGTTATTGCACATTTGAAATTCTTATTGCACATTTCAGTTCTTACCGCAGTCATCGATCACGCCCTTAGTTGTTTTTTTCGTTTTTAGAGTCACTCCTTAAAGTCATGAAAGTTTTTCTGGCAATTGTTCTCGCGCCGCTGGCCGCTCTTGCCACGCCATTGGGCATCGCGCCCTCAAGTTATCATCAATCGCGTTCAAATGGCCTTGTGGAACGTCAGTCACCCATCAGCATCGACGAGCTCTTCAAGAAAAGGGGTAAACTCTATTTCGGGGTCTCCGCCGACAATGGAATCATGCAACAAGGGAAGACAGAAGCCATCATCAAAGCAAACTTTGGACAGGTTACGCCGGAGTACTCAATGAAATGGGATGCGACTGAGCCTAGCCGAGGCAATTTCTCTTGGGGAAATTCTGACTTTCTTGTCAACTGGGCGCAAACGAATAACAAGTCTATCCACGGACACACGCTGCTGTGGCACACGGCGTTGCCAACGTGGGTGTCGAACATCAGGGACGAGAAAGTCCTTTCTAATGTTCTCCAGACTCATATTCGAACAGTTGTTGGACGATACAGGGGCAAAATCAGGGCTTGGGTGAGTCTCCACTCTTAGTGAATCTTACAAGAACTTTACTAACAAGATGGTGCCGCAAAAGGATGTAGTCAATGAGATTTTCAACGATAACGGCACACTCCGGAACAACACTTTCTTGAATGTTATGGGCGAGGCGTACGTCGGCGTTGCCTTCCGCGCGGCTCGGGCTGCCGATCCAGCTGCTAAGCTGTACATAAACGACTACAACTTGGACAACAAAGGATGGGGAAAGGTTTCTGCATTGGTCAACAAGGTCAACCAATGGGTCGGGCAGGGCATTCCAATCGACGGCATAGGTATGTGATGTGTTGTGTAAAAGAAACCGATCTGTTTGCTAAAATTCCAAAGGTTCTCAGAGCCATCTTGCTCCAAATATGTCGAGCAACATCGAAGGTGCGCTTCAGTCGCTCGCGACTGCTCATGTTTCCGAAATTGCCATTACCGAGCTGGACATTGACAACGCCCCGCCTGCCGATTATGCAGCTGTTGTGGGCGCATGCCTCAATGTGCCTAAATGTGTTGGTATCACTACCTGGGGAGTAAGCGATAAGGTATGGAAAAAAGACCAACCTTTATAATGTATGGTGTTCGCTGACATTCGGTAGCAATCTTGGAAGAGTGCTGCGAGACCTCTTCTGTTTGATGACAGTTACAACCCAAAGCCAGCGTACAATGCCATAGTGAGAATGCTTCAGCGCCAGTAGAAATCCGTGCGGTTACTTTTGTCAGTTAGATAACCTCCTACAAGCAATTTTCTCCTATAACTCCTAGATGCGGCAAACTTGCGTGCAAAGCGCTGCAATCGCCCCAGTCAATAACTGATAATTGCTCGAGGGGAAGATCCCATTCCGTCTTAAATCCGGCAATATCGAGCTGTTTCTGGCTCATTTGAACCGGTCCCTTTTCGATCTTGTTGGCGCCGAATGCCTGAGATTGGAGGCAAGGCCTCCATACCCATATCATCCATTTACTAGGGTCGTGTTGATACCAATCAAAAGCGTTGTGATAATTAGAAGGGAACTCGTGGTGGAAGTTATGGTAGCCCTTGCCAAGAGTAATGAGTGCTGTGACAACATGGGCGGCGAGGCAATCTGCGATCGTCGAAAGACTGGTCATCAAGCCAATGCGCAACTGAATTAATGCAAAAGGTTCCCTGTTGAACAAAAGAGCATCGAAAGACGCCACTGCGAATGAAGCCGCCCATAAATTCTCCCCAGCCGATACCACAGACCATGATTGGGAAAAGAATGGCCATGACGACGAGGCACTTCAGGTAGTGGATATGGTGCCTCATGAGAACCGGGTCCTCGTTCAGGTCGCTGATATCGGTACGGCCAGTGCACTTCGGGCCTTGCTTCATGATCATCCAAACAAGATGGCTGTAGAGAAAGCTTTTTTGGAAAGAGTGAGTATCCTTGACTGTGCCGGTGCAACGGTGATGGGCCCGATATTTACGAGACCAACGGTATATGGAGCCCTCTACAGCACCAGTAACCACAGCAGCCAGATAGACTCTGAGATGAAAGCCGGCCTTATAAGAACAGTGAGGCTAGAGAAGATGATAGCATGTATTTTAGAATTAGCTAGCTGTCTTTGAGAAATGATATGGTAAGATTGTATTCATGTTTCAGAGCCTCATTTGGGATTCATCCCCACACTCACTGTGATGCTGGGCACAAAGTAGTAGATAATAGCGAACGCGGCTGTACAGCATCGAAGAGAAACCCAATAGGGACATATATGTCAGATCACCGAGGGGGATGATCAGAACCAAAAGGGCGTTGAGCCATTTAGTATGCTGATACCAGTTTTCCCGACTGATGGGCTGGGTGCTGATGTATGATTTGTTGTTGAAAACAAACATCTTTTTTTGAAACGCGTAAGGACATATTCGGTAACCAAGACGTTTGGCTTCTCTATGAGTGAGACATAAATGCTAAATGTCACCTCTTTGGGCGAAGTCTTGCTTTGAAGTAGTTGTGGAACAGGTGACCACGTTGAAGGGAAATGCTCTTCCAGCTAGGAATCCAAGTATAAAGATCACTCAAGGGTATTACCTTCATAATCGGAAGAATATATGCGAGCACTTGATACTAGCAGCTAAGTGGAGCAAAACTGTGTGATATAACTTAGCTCTTTGACTGGGTCAAGCGCTGTTAAGTCGACTTAGCTGCCATAGCGAAGTTGTGGCTTTCCTTCTACGGCACCTTAGAAAATGGGATACACAAGGCCTCTTCACTCTGCGTTTCATTCGCTGACTTACTGTTGATGGCTTTGTCGAATATACCTAGATATCAGGTGCAGATCATCTTTTCAAGCATTCATAAGTCAAGAGAGGTCCAAGATGAACGAACGGAGTTCTTTAATTACATGATGCGCCTCCGGAAAGTTGCCATTCTCACTCTGTCCTAACCAGCGCTGATACAAGGATGCTGAGATTTTTTGCTGAGGCGAAGAAGACGTTTGGCATGGGGAGGTTGTGACCACGAACCGATTGCACGCGGTAATCTGTTGGCGTTGTGATTAATAATTGTGGTTACCTGTCAAGTCTTGGGCGCTGTTTGCAGACCCAGTAACGAGAGTCATCTCTCCCAAATGTTTAACTCTTCCAGCCGTTAACTCTTTCCGGGTATAGGTTTAGGTTAATTTAGGAAGCAGATTAATTGATATATAAAGATGTTGCGATTGACGCAACACTGTTGAGACTCCTATGGACACCGACATCACGATATTAATAGTCCCGCTTCTCACCTGTCTGCCGGATGATCCTCGGACGTGCGGACCATAGTCCGGCCACTGGAGCTTACGCAATCCCTTTTTTCTGGTTCGGAGCGGGATTTGCGGAGATAGCGTGAGATGTTGGTTGGATGCTCGCGATCTTGGCATAGTCGGGCGATCAAGCTGGAAAACAAGTACAGGTGAGGCGCAGAAAGAAGGAGATGGTTTTGTCCGTCGTCGCCGTGTGGCTTAGCGTGCTTACCGATTCATGCATGGGTCGGGGTCTAGTGCAATCAATTTGGGAATCCTGCTGCATTCCAAGCGCCAGACCTTCACGGAGTAGACCAGTTAGACGGGACCGAATGGGCACTTCGCTACCCGAGCCCAACTGCAGACGCACGCGTCATCATAGCAACCCTATACTGATCAGCGAGACTCGCATATTCCAGTATTGTATTTTGCGGTGTGCTACCCTCGAAGGGCACGCCTTAGCTATCGTCTTGGGCATCTAAGCGTTCTCTTATCGCGTGCATCCCGAACTTCTTGCACAAATGATTCTCAAGCTCGCGCGACTGGGCAAGCCCGCCTGATTAGAAATACGCTTGTGCGTTAAGAATACCACGAGACCTGTAAGGGTGACAGCTGTCTGTGCACTACTGGCTGATTTTGAATGTGTGGTTTAGGTAATTAGCCCGAAGCTGGTACAAGTTGGGATGACACCCCCAGCTTTGTTGATCTTCAAGATGCGAACCACACCGAAAGCGGTAACGGTGGGGAGACATTGGATTTTTGGTACAGGCACAGAGGGGTTCGGCTGATGAATGGAGGAACGGACCGGACGAACATGCCGGAGAGACGGCGGACAAAGGAAAGTCGTCCGCCAGCACGGCGAACATAAGCGCCGATTTGCCGTGTGGTACTGGGTTCGTATTACATTAGATGCTAGGGGACCTTCCTACGCCCCGGCGCATCGGAAGACTTTTCGACCACACCAAACCCAGCCAACCCACTTGCATCGCGGATTCTTCCATGTTAAGGGGCCACGAGGCGCATTCGGCCCTCGCAATTCGGACTTACCCCCGACATGGGCTCTAAAATGTGAGAAGAATCTCGGAGGTAATCGTGCCTGGAAGAGTCGCACTGTTGGACGATGACGAGTAATGCACCCGAAGGATACCCGAGCCTGGTGGAAATCTCGTTCCTAACCGCCGGTTTCCGCGTTCTTGAACCAATGGATCCTCCTTTATCTAGGTCCCGCTCAATGCAAAAGAGCAACGTGGGACCTTCAATTTAAATGATCATCGTTCAAGTCACCCCATCAGTTCGCCCTCCTTCGCATATTATTAGCTTCCCCCCCTTTTAGTCCAAGTCTGAAGGAAAGTAATCATCCTTCAGACTTCCGTCGTAGAGTCCCAGCTCAACAACCTCAACCGCTTTTCAACGCTTGCAAATCGATACCTTTCCAACAGCACAAATAACGATGCCGGGCTCGGGCTCCCCAGCACGTACGCCCCTTTCAAAATGGGACGGTGGCCAGCGCAAAGCCCTTTTCATACCACTCGTCGTTGCTTCGATAATGATCCTCGTCTTGGTTCTGGCTAACATGTCATATCTCTTCGGTGCAACCTTTGAACAAGGAAAGCGCACTCATGCCCTCAAGATTCTCGCCGTAGACCTTGATGGAGGTGCTATTGGTTCGGCAATCGCAGGTGCATCTAAGAGTCTGCAAGCAGCAAACTTCCCTACGATTGAGTTCGGTTCGGCTTCAGAATATTCAACACCAGCGGCGGTGAAGAACGCTGTCTGTAAGGGAGACTACTGGGGAGCGATCTACGTCCACGAAGGCGCATCGCAGAAGCTCACCAGCGCCATTAGCGGAACCTCGAACATTGCCTACGATGCCGCCGACTCCGTCACCTACACATACAACCAGGCTCGATACCCTGCGATCGCCGACTCCGTGCTCGCAAGCAATATGCAAAAGGTCGTGGCCGCATCGAGAGGTTTCTACTATCAATCACCTAATGGCACGTCCGCCCTCCAGTCCTTGAACACAACCAACCCGGCCGCCGTCACCGCATATCTAAACCCAATTTCGTCCACCCCCGATCTCATTGGCGTCCAGACGCAAGCCAGCCGCGTCTTTTTCAACACAGTCAACGTCATCGTTCCAACTTTGGCCCAGTTCTTCTACATCCTGGCGCTGAACGGCACTGGCATGAGCTCCGGTCTCCTGGCCAAGGCGAGAGTCCGTGACGTCTGGCTGCTTCGTTTTGGCATCGGCAAAATCTACGGGTTTCTCACTGCTGTTACAGTGACTGGTTATCTCTGGGCATTCAGGGAAAACTGGCCTGTTGGCGGCTTGCAGTTCGGCAAGACGTTGCTAGTGTATTGGCTCTACATGGACGTGCAGTGGCAGGTGTTGGAATCCCTGATCGGATCATTCTTGCCCATGGCAGCTGTTCCATTCTTCTTTTTAACCTGGATGCTCACCAATGTGGCAAGCTGCGTCTTCCCTTTCGAAATTATGGCCGGTTTCTACAGGATCGGCTATGCTCTACCGGCGCGCGAGATCTACTCCCTTTTGGTGCAGGCATGGACTGGCTGCGCTGACGAGACGCGTATCGCATTGCCTGTGCTCTTCTCCTGGTGGCTTGTGGGTCATGTAGGAGCAGTCTTCTCTATCCGAAAACGATGTGCCGATGCTGAGAAGATGGTTGCCGCTGTCGCCAAGGCTCCGGCGGTACCAAACGACACAGTCTCCATGCCTTCCTCTTCGAGCAGTACAGAAATGACTCTGCGTTCAGACGAAGAGGAGGCTAGAAACGAGAAATGAGGACATGAATCACTGGTTTTCTGAGTGGGAGGGCGATGTAAAGGATAGCATTGAGCGACGGACGTTTGACCCTACAATTTGTTGATACCCTGTATAATTGGGATTTTATGACTTACTCTACGTCTTCTCGCGAGGACGCGTAGAGAGATAACCGAGCTCTCGAAATTGTTTTGGCTGGCTTGTTACGCCACATTAATGAAGTTGGGATAGACAAACTCAACTTAGACAGGCAAGATGTTTTAACGAAGCAACATTTGCTACTCAGTACAACAACACTGATTCAACTCTTCTTACCCGCAGCCCATCAATTCAACTCGGTAGTGAAACTTGCAAGTGATCGAAACGTCTTTTTCAGTTTGTGGATTCGCTAACCTACTTTGTCCACGAGAGGAGTGGGCTGGCAAGCGTGACCTTAAACTATGTGATGTGTAAATTTTAAGGGCAGTGATCATAAGACGTAACTCGCCAATATCAAGTGTCTCAATGTCTCACTCTTAGCCCCCAGATAGCTTTACATCCCGTGTCATATCCATGCTACATCCGTGCGAAGCTGAGTCTTGATTTATCTACCGATTTACGAGCACATGCCACAACTACCCCTGTTCCAACAGCTACGTTTGTCATTTAGTTTTCATGAGAAATAACAGTTAAAGAGAAAAATGTTGACTTTGCATGACAAATATGAAAAATCTATCTATTTGCAGAATATTAAAGTCTGCGTCATCATGATTCTTCACTGAAGTCCTAAAGGAACTTCCATCGCTCGTAAGGCCGCGAAGAGGTCATTGTCATGGTACTTTCGCGCCACTATCTGGATGCCTATTGGGGCACCCTCGAAATCGCCTTCGGCCCACAACTTCCTGACCAGCTTGTCTCGATCACTCAGTGGCACCGCATCAGCAGTAGCGTAGCTCTCAGTCCCTCTTCTCAGAGCCTTGATCGGTGTGGGGACGACGATGCCTGGGTAGTCGACATAGTTCCACAAAGCAGTGTAATTCCAGAAAAAGCCGGTCTCATGCACGCATGCAGGACCAACATAAGCAGGACAAATGACTACGTCAACGTCTAGCTTGTTCCAGTGAGCTGCGAAATCGCATCTGAAGTTGTCTCGAGCGACTCGTTGGCGCAGAACGCCCGCTGCATCCAGATCTTGCCCAATTGTTTCGGCGTCTTTGATGATGGATTTGGTGAGTGGGAGCATGGGTTCCCCAGTCGTTGCCAAAGCTTCCTTGGCTTGTTTGCCTCCGTCGGGGAAGAATGCCAATTGAATGTTACGAAGCGCCTCTTCGGCGCGGTACGGCGCAACATTTTTGACTTCAAAGGTTGAGAAGTTGCTCAATCTATCGCGGGCCCAGTTGAGAGCCCTAGTCACCGGCGGCTGAGGTACAATGACCCCATCGTTCATCATGAAGCCGACTTTTAGTGGTGCTTTCGTTCGTTGTATGTTCAGACCTCTCCAAGGGATCGGAATAAGGCGCGGGTCCTCCAGATGCGGTTCAGCTGCCTTCAAAACGGACACAAAAAAGTCCATGTCTCTCAAAGAAACACCAAGAGGTCCAGTCGATCCGAGAATGTTGAGCTCGGCGGAAAACCCGCCAGGTCCGGCAAAATTCTTCATCGGGAGTGTATACGATGTAGGTTTGAAGCCGTAGAGGCCGCAAAAGCTTGCCGGTGCCCTGATACTACCGCCAATGTCTGTGCCGATGCTGAGAACAGAGCCACGCAGGGCCAGGAGCGCAGCTGCACCTCCGGTTGACCCGCCAGCTGTTAGGTTGAGGTTGAACGGGTTGAGTACACGGCCATAGAGGGAGACGGTCTCCAAGTGCATGACACCTTGAGGCTGAGCCGTCTTGCAGTAGAATACTGCACCAGCTTTGCGCAAAATAGCTATCATTTGGCTGTCTGTGTCATCTCTGTGGCGAGTGACCAGAAAGCCCAAAGACGAATAATGGCCAGCTATAGGGATCATCTCCTTGACGCTGATCGGTACGCCGTGCAAGGGGCCGACCGTCTGCCCTGTCTTCGCAAAATGTTCGTCAAGGACCTTGGCCTGGTCAATGGCTTCGTCCATGAACCATTCCGTCAGACAACATGTGAGTTGGTGGGCAATGATGGCTCTCTTAGCGAATGCTGTAGCAACCGCAACAGCAGTGAATCTCTTCTCTGCAATAGCGGCAGCTAAACCGAAGGCGTCGAACTTTTCCGTGATGTCGATTTCATCTTCAGATAGGATGCCTGATTCTCGCGGGACATGGATGACATTCTGAGGCGGCGGGTCAATAATTGATGAAATGTGGTATTCTTGCGGCACCTTGGCTGAAAACTCCTCGATGAGCGTTCGGCGTGTGGCCTCGAACTCCGGAGTACCTAAGGGAGATGGTACCAGCTTAATAACAGGCAAGGATTCTGATGACATTTTGAGAAAGTTGGGGAAGATAAAGAAAGGAAGCGATAATCTAATACCACTGGATTGAAGGAAGAGGGCCCTTGGGGACTAAATAGAAAATCTCTTGGAAGTCTGAACGCTCTTCTTACAGCCATCACTTCTACCAAGATACAAATCGCATGATCCACACTTCCAAAACTACTGACTACGGGGATTGCTTCCGCCAGTCCACTTTGCGTAGATGATTTCTCATTCAGACGAATTTTGTTTATCGCTCGCTTTGCAATGCAGTCGAAGAATTGAGTGACGGGTTAACTCCGTGGAACTGTAATAAAAAACCCCGTCTGATTTCATCTGTCATGGCCAGGGCAAGTGGAGCTGAACACTGGAATCATCCTGTTGGACAGATATTCATCAACGCCACGGCAGAAAGTGTGGTGCACATCGAAAGACTGATTGATTTCGGTCATGCTCAAAATTTCATTTGACAAAAAATTGGGGCCAATGAACCCAAACGGACATCCGATTATTACGCATGCTTAGGAATCACGAGCTACAGTCAACTCCGCGGCCCCGAATCCTGTGCCCAATCACACCTCGCTTATCAAAAATGAACGGCATTGTCAATTCAGAAACCAAAACATTGACTCTCTTAGTCGCCAATCGGCGCGGCACGACAGGAAGCGACAATGTCTCACGTCATTCGCTCCTCAATCACCTACCCCTCTCTCCCTCCCGAAAAGGTGCATCATCACACCTACGCAACCAAACCTCCAGGCTAGAGACCAAATGCCACGGGGCTCGCCCATCTACTTGTGGTTGAAAGGCTATCAGGAACCTCTCAACCTTAGCTGCTTTTGCCCTCTGGTGGTCTTTCTCCGCGAAGATGGATCCTGCAAAGCTGACCGGCCAGGCACTCCTTAGCCACACTATCCAAACAACGCGCATCATCGATAACCATGCTCATCCTTTACTGGATCTCGACGCCATTGGGCGTTATCCACTTCTTTCTATCACCACTGAGGCCCACGGAGATGCGATACACGCCTCATTGACCAGCTTAGCTCATTTGCGAGCTGTAAAGCAGCTGGCCAAGGTGCTCGGGTGTGAGCCTAGTTGGGAGGCCGTTGTCAACGCCATTGAGGCGAAGCGGATTGAAGACTACGACTCTTGGGTCGCTGAATGTCTGAATGGCATTGAATCTGTTCTTGTCGATGATGGGCTGGATGGAGAGGATGCGGTCTATCCCTACTCATACTTCAGCGACGTCACACGAAGCCCGGCTAAGAGAATTGTCCGCATCGAAAAGATCGCCGCTGAAATCATTAACGATCACCTGCCGAAGGATGAGTCAGCGGCAAGAAACGCTAAAGATGCTGGTACTGCATTCGAAAAGGCACTGAAGGTGTTTGATCACAGGATCGCGGAAGCCATCGCCGACCCGGAGGTCGTTGGCTTCAAGTCTGTCATCTGCTACAGAACTGGACTTGCAATTCCCAGGCGTCCGGATGCCGGCGCTGCTAGAAAAGCCTTCGAAGCGATTCACACGAATCACACACAAGGAACCGATAAGGCATTCACACGTGTCAACCACCAAGGGTTGAACGAGTATTTAGTTCACAGACTTGCATGCCTTATCAGGAACGCCACGGGTACCGGCAAGAAACCAATTCAATTCCATACTGGTCTGGGTGACAACGACATTACTCTCACCTCTGCATCCCCATCTCATCTTCAGGAGTTCATCCGTCAATATCCTACAGTACCTATCGTCCTGCTTCACGCCAGCTATCCCTTTGTGAGAGAGGCCGGTTACCTGGCCTGCGTTTATTCTAACGTTTACGCCGACATCGGAGAAATTTTTCCTTTCCTGAGTCGAGACGGTCAGGAAACTGCTCTGAGGCAGATTCTTGAGTTGTGTCCCTGGTCAAAGATTCTTTGGAGCACTGACGGGCATTGGTTCCCAGAAACTTACCTCCTCGCCATACTCCAAGTCAGAGAAGTTTTGGAAAAGGTATGTACCATTCCCTCTGCATCATGCATTTGTCCACTGGCTGATTTGCCCCAGGTTCTGTGCGAGTATGCTCGTAAAGGACATATGACTTGGCGAGAAGGCACTCAACTTGTGAAAGATATTCTCTTCAATAACTCGAATCATGTTTACCACTTGGGGTTTGAGTTTAGCTTTGATGAGTCAATCATCAATCCAAGAAGGCTGTCCGGACGAAGTGACCTCGACATCCTCGAGGCTTTCTTAGACGGAAAGCAGCCGCCACAGTACCTTCGTGTCTATTGGAACGATATGACGGCCACATCACGAGCTCGTGCTGTACCGATGCGGAAGGTTCTCTCCGTCTTGAACGAAGATGGAGACTTCTCGCTCGGCATTACCAAGGCCAGTCTTGGTCTCCTGCAGAATGATCGTGTTGTCCCAGGAGCATCTGGCACAGGAGAATACCGACTTCATCCAGACTTCACCTCACTGCAAGAAGGACCGAGAGACGGTCATATCAGCGTCTTCGGTGATTTCAGAGAGCAAGATGGATCTTCGGTGTCATTTTGTCCGCGATCTTTGCTTCAGCGAGTAGTTGAAGTTGCTGCTCGACATGGGTTGACCTTCCACATCGGATTCGAAATCGAACTGGTTCTTCTCGAGCGCGTGGGCAACTCCTTTGAGAAGTATAGAACTCTCAGCAACGACGGGCATGCTTGGTCAACTTCCCGCATGATGGATCACCCAGTTTTCATCAAGGTCATTGAGAGGGCCGTTGCTGAATTGGATGCGAAAGGCATCTACATCGAACAGGTACATCCCGAGAGCGCAGCTGGCCAATTCGAGGTCATTCTCCCGCACGCCCCGCCGCTGGAAGCAATAGACACCCTTTTGTACGTCCGCGAGGTTATCTCTAGCATCGCCACTGCCGAGGGATACAGAATGACTCTCCATCCCAAACCGTTCCCGACATCTTGCGGCACGGCAGCTCATGTACACATGTCAATCACCTCGGCCGGCGGCTCGAAGCCTGAGACGTACGGTCCATTCTATGCCGGTATATTGAAGCATCTTCGAGCCATCAACGCCCTCACTTACAGTAACCCGGCCAGTTATGAGAGGGTTCAAGACGGGGCCTGGGCTGGCGGTCGGTGGGTTACTTGGGGCACACAGAACCGGGAGACACCCCTACGCAAGATCGAAGACAGCCATTGGGAGATCAAGTGCATGGATGGCCTTGCCAATCCTTACCTAGCGATAGCTGCTCTTCTCGGCGCGGGCACCCACGGATTTGGACAAAGGGAGAAGCTGTCCTGGGGCGACTGCGAAGTTGACCCTGCATCGTTGACGCCTAACGACAGAAAGGAATTGGGTGTAGAGCAGATGCTCCCATCAGGACTGCCCGAAGCCCTCAAAGCTTTGCGGACGGACGACGTCATGAATGAGGTGCTAGGGGAAGACTTGGTCGAGAGATACATCACGGTCAAGGAAGAAGAGATGAAAAATCTAGAGGCCATCAGCAGTGACGATCGACGACAATGGATAATGGAAAGATACTAAAGACTAAGAGTCTTAGCTCCTTGTCTTACACTGGAGGGTATCTACATATGGAAATGTATGTCTCAGGCTCCAGGCGATGCAAAAGATTGGACTGTGCCATACAGTACGTGGTCTATATAATGCTAGTCCATGAAAATTTGAGACACTCATCGATCTTTGCCACGTCATCGAGAGGCACATTCTTGAAGTCGTTGAATCAAATAGTATCGTATAGCACAACACCCAATTAGGCAGGATATCCGCATGGATGATACACCACGTCTTAATATCCTCACACTTTTGCCTTCGACGACTTTCTTGGCCTTTGACTCCGCAATAACAACCTCGAAGCGTTTTACCGTCAGCCCGTATCTCAGGTCTGCTAGCTCCCTATGATAGTGGCTAAACAGTGTGTCAACGGGCTTTGCGGGCTGTTTCAGTGCGTTTGGCTGTTGGCAAGCGCTGAACTATTCGATGCAATGTTACGATACAGGACGTTGTCTCTCTGACGCAGAGATTAGTGCCATTTGTGACCCGGTGATTCTAATTGTATTTCCAGAAACCTCTAAATTACAACTCCAAGTGCTATGCATTACTATTCGGTGCTAATAGTACCAGACCACACCTCTGATTTTTTTCGCCTACAAGCCCATATGGCTAGAGCTGTTTTAAGCAAAGCACTGTTATGCCCTCAATGAGCGAGATAGGTAGCGTGAGTACTATATGTGGCTATCTCTCAGGTTTCTTCATAACAACTTTGTCTGTTGCCGATCCTTTGGATAAGCAAACAGTATGCTCAACGAACGGCATGGACCAAAGATGTATTGTCCGTGGTTATCTTCCTAACTACAAGACTTGGCTTTCGTACATGAGATGTTATTTGATCTCGTACGTCCTTGAGTCAGCTCGGCATGAGCATACTTTGATCCCCTCGTTAGGATAACCGAAGGCCGATTTTACAGTTTGTGCCCTCTTCCATCATGCGTGTCCTTGAGTCGTGCATATCGTACGGTCGGGTGATGTCGTTATTCCAGCACCCAGCGTCATTTAACGCGCGATGGGATACTTGCTTCCAATGTTCCTGCTACCACCGGGTACTACTTCAGATGCAATAGTTCAAGACATTTGGAGTTGAAATAAAACCTCACCTAAGTGCTCAAGAGCGTATTGGCGTTTTGTTCTCATCAGAAGGGTTTCAGAGACGAAGGGGAGGCAGGAAAACACCGATGGGGGAAGTTAGGAAGATCCGGTGTTCGCACTAGCAATACGACCAAGTTGGCCCCAGCGCATAGCAAATTGGGAAGGAAGGTCGAAGAGAGTGCGGGTCCACTTTTAACCATTCAAGGACCTCGACGGAGCTGGCTCAACTGGGATGGGAGGTCGTGTCGAAGACTAGGCGGCGACAAGTCAGCTCTGTATGTACTAGCGACTTCTATTACGAGCACTGGGATGTGAGGGGTTCCACAAAGGCTCACACACTCAGGTACAAATGAGGCACAGCACCAATACCGATTTGTTGTTCCCAACTGCCTGGCTAATCATGCTCTTTTGACCCAAAAAGCGACCTCAAAGGGGGTTGGTTGTTGTCCTAATACATCAATTGCTTGTTGATAACACGCCCCAGCTTTTGCATAATACCCAGAAAGCTAACGTTGTGTAACAGGTCAATACTCAAAGTTTCAACATTTTGATTGAGTACTGGGTTATAATGGCCCCAATTTCTTTTTTCCGGAATGGAAAGTTCTTGGCTGCAGCTGGGACCGGCTTCAATGCTGAACCGAGCTTCGCTAACAGTATGTTGGTAATGGATGGGAAGATTGCCGCCATTGGGCAAGAGAGCAAAGTAAAGCCCAAAGATCTGGATGACTTCGAAGTTCATGATCTGCATCAATGTATCATCCTCCCGGGTTTCGTCGATGGACACATGCACCTCTTGCTCCTAGGCCAATCTCTGCGCAAGTTGGATCTAGTCCATTGCAAAACGCTGGAAGATATACGGTCAGCTATCAGGTCTTATGCAGAGGCAAATCCTGAGTTGCCCACTATTCTCTGCAAAGGCTGGATGCACTCTATGACGCCCGATGGAGTGACAGCAGCTTTGCTGGACGACATTGACCCGCGGCCTATCTTCGTCGACGCCAGTTCCCTGCATTCATGTTGGTGCAACTCGGCAGCTTTGGAAAAGCTTGGGGTTGCCGATATGCCCAACCCAGCAGGCGGTCGTATCTATCGCGACGCCAATGGAAAGCCCTCGGGTGTCTTGGATGAAGGCGCGATGATGTCCATCGTCTGGCCATATCAGGCATGCTCATATCCCAAGGAAGAGCGTATCAAGGCAATACACACGGCTATTGAGGAGTACAACGCTGCAGGCTACACGGGAGTCGTGGAGATGGCCATGGACGAAGAAGCATGGGATGCCCTTGTCACTCTTCGAGAAAGGCGGCCAGATCTTTCATTGCGCGTGGCTGCACATTGGCTGATAAAGCCGAACACGGATTTTGAGGCTAATTCGGCGCAGGTCCGAAGAGCCATTGAGTTGAGCCGGAAGTACAACGCTAGCACAACCCCGGATCTTCGGATCGTCGGGATCAAGGTCATTTGCGATGGCATTATCGACGCCTGCACTGCATTCCTTTCTCATCCATACGCACCCGGAGGCAGTCCACCGCCGATCTGGGAGCCTAGATACTTGGAACCTGTCGTCAAAAAAGCAGACGCTGGTGGGCTTCAAGTTGCACTCCATGCGATTGGGGACGCTGCAATCAAAATGGCCATCGACGCCATTGAAAACAACACCACTCCGGGACGACGGCACCGTATCGAGCACCTGGAGCTCGCAGCACCTGAAGACGCAAAACGACTTGGAAAGTTGGGGCTCACGGCATCTATTCAGCCCTTGCATGCCGACCCGGCCATTCTTACAGAATGGCCTCGGTTGTTGGGAGAAGAGCGTTGCCAGAGAGCCTTTGCCTATCGCGAGTTCGCTGACTCTGGGGCCCTGATGGCGATTGGTAGTGATAGTCCAACTTCACCTTGGGCGCCGTTGCGTAACCTGTACGTTGCGGCTACGAGACGCTCGGCACGCGATCCTGCTTACAAGAGTACCGTCAACGAAGGTTTTCGGCTGGGTCTCTGCGAGTCTGTCACGGCTGCAACTTATGGTGCAGCTTGCAGTGTGTTCGCAGAAGGACGAGTAGGAAGCCTGGATGTAGGGAAGCTCGCAGACTTCATTGTTGTGGACATGCAGTGGGGTGCAGATAATCTCTTGGAGGCAAACGTGAAAGAGACCTGGTTTGATGGCCGGAAAGTCTGGGAAAGCCTAAAGTGAGCAAGAAAATCACAAAGACACTTGCAAAATCTACATAAGTCACTACCAACATATCACGCCAGATACTCGAGCCTGCGCGTGTGAGATAAAATGATATCTTCATGTCGATTTGACTTCTAACTTTCCGAAACATTCATTCAGCCTATAGCTAATCTGACAGCTTGACTTTGAGAACATCTAGCAAGAAACGCTTCGAAACCCAATCCTTTCGACTACTTCTTCGAATCCCAAAGGTCGGCAAAGGGATCCCAGCTGGGATCTTCAACCGGTGTGTACTCCATTCTGTCAGCGATGTTCTTGGCAACATCTTTCCCATAGACGGCTCCGATCCATGCAAACGTCAAGTCAATGCCGGCACTAATACCCGAGGATGTCCAAACGTGCCCATCCTGCACCCACCGCGCCTTGTGAATCCAGTCCACCTCGGGCCGCAGCGCAATCGTCTCCTCCCACGACAGCTTGTTCGTGGTCGCTCGCCTCCCATCTAGAACTCCAGCCCGTGCCGCGACACCGGATCCAGTGCAGACGGTGAGCAGGTACTGTAGCGAGTCGAACCTTTCCCTGATAAAGTTGATGGCGGTACTGATGCCTGGGTACCTCGTGCCTTGTCCGCCAGGGACGATGAGGACGTCGAGAGGCGGGGCTGTTTGGAAGGTATGGGTTGGCACGATGCGCTGGCCGAAGTCGGAGGTAGTGGTCGCGGGCTTGTGTGTGGTGTTTTGCTTGGTTGACACCGGGTCTAGGGTTTCTGCAATAGTGTACAGGTTCATATTGTAGGACCTAGCTAGCAGGTTCAAAGCATCCAGCGGCCCAAAGACGTCAAGTGCTTGGAATGCCGGGAAAACCACCACACCGAAATTGAGAAGCTTTCCTGGAACACTGTCAGAGGATATCCCTGGCCTTGCGATCAATAGTGGTGTGTGCCATCAAAAGCGTGGCTTCCTATCATCATCATCATCATCATCATCATCATGGCACTCACCGCCTGCGACACGCTCATCCTTCTGAGCCATTGATGAGCTTTGGCTGAATCTCCTAACGTAGTAAAATGAAGTTGACAATAACGCAGTGGGTCTTTTATAAGTACTGATATTGTGATGAGGCGGCTTCTGCTGCTGAACATACTTAGTGACGATGGGTGCTTGTCACGATATTGACGATGAGGGGCAATGCTTGCGCCCCGCGACTCGGTTACAGCTGGTCTTATCTCTTATGAGAGGTGCGTGCGGAAAACCGATGAGCGCGCTCGGAGATCGTTGACATTGTTACGTAAGGTCAGCAAGGAGAGAGATTGCGGGGTTTAATTAATAATTGAGCGAAGAGACGGGGAAGTCTCCGGGATCAGGCGTATGGCGCTTGATATCGCGTCATCTTGCCATGTAGATTGGTTTTCTGAAGGTGTGTTTTCATATCGGCGGCCATATCAACGACAATCCAAAAGAAAGAAAGCCACTTTGAAAAGTGATGCTTGATCCCGGGCCTTCCAGCGTTACTCCCCATTGGAGCAACAATCAGCTGCTGGTCGTATTCTCAATCAGCACCCATTGTCACTGACTCTTGCAACAGCCCCATCATAGTCTGTTGCGCACATTTACGTGGACCGCCTTAATCTGGCTATACGCTTCGAGACCTGCCTCACCAAGCTCTCGTCCGATGCCGCTCTGCTTTACGCCACCAAAAGGAACTCTGGGATCGCAGTCCTGGCTACTGTTTACCCACACCATGCCTGACTCGATCTCGGAAGCAACGCGATGTGCCTTCTCCAGGTTCGTTGTGAAGACGGCCGCACCCAAACCATACACGCTGTCGTTGGCGATCCTAATCGCCTCGGCCTCCTCGCCAAACTTCTGGATAACGACAACGGGCCCAAAAATCTCTTCGCACCAGATCCTCATGTCGCTCTCGACGTCAGTGAAGACAGTCGGGGAGACATAGTACCCCTTGCTCAGATGCTCCGGTCTTTCGCCTCCCGTCCTGATCGTTGCACCCTCGTCAAGGCCGATTTGAATGTAGGATAGGATGCGCTCGTATTGCTGCTTCGAGACCTGCGGCCCTTGGTAGGTCTCGGGGTCCCATTGGTTGCCTACCTTGCTTGTCTTATGGACTTCTTCAACAAATTGGCTGACGAACGTCTCATAAATGTCCTGTTGGACAAGAATCCGTGACGTGGCTGTGCAGATTTGGCCCTGATTGGACATGATGCCCACATGCGACCACTTGACAGCCTGTTCGAGGTCCGCGTCGTTGAAAACCAACAGAGGCGACTTTCCACCCGTCTCGAGGGTAATGTTTTTCAATGTCGCCGACGCCATCTCCATGATGTTCGTTGCGGTGCTCGTTGACCCCGTGAAAGCGACCTTGTCCACTAAGGGGTCCTGGACAAGGGCGGCACCGGCATCCTTGCCCAGACCGTTGATGAAATTCACAACACCTGGAGGAAAGCCAGCCTCCCTGAAGAGACGGCCTAAAACGAGGATACTCAATGGGGTCTGCTCAGCCGCCTTGAGGACTACTGTGTTTCCGCAGGCTAGAGCTGGGCCAAGTTTCCACCTGTGGTGGCGCACGTATCAGTTGAACGATACCTCGTGCGAAGCTCGGGCTAGACTTACGTTGCCATGGAGAGAGGGTAGTTCCACGGGATGATCTGACCCACGACGCCAACGGGTTGCCGAATAATGTAGGCAAGCTTGTTTGGCAGTGCGATGGTCTGGCCGAAGATCTTATCGCACCAACCGCTGTAATAGCGGATAACGCCAATTGCCTCAACCAGGTCGTTCGTAAACGCCTCAGTATAAGTCTTGCCTGGGTCGGGATGCGATCAACAATGATGACGTATACAATCGCACCAATCGACTGCCTCCTCATAGATGTCTCGTCTACTCACCATTGTCCCAGGCGTCAATACTTGCAAGTAACTCTCTATTCGATTCCATCAGGTCGGCGAGGCGAGCCATGAGGATGCCCCTGTCTGAAGCCGGGAGGCCTTTCCACGCAGGGTTCTTCAATGCTGCCGCTGCCGCCTTCACTGCCTTGTCGACATCATTTGCGTTGGCTGCGTACACTGATACGATTTCTTCTTCGGTACTGGAGAACATTCTTGTTTAGCATAATGCGTCAATCGGAGGCAAAAGTTGCCAGGATATTGGACCTACGCTGGGTCAATAGTGATAATGGTTTGTCCCGTGGATGAGGGCACAAATTCGTTGTTGATGAAGAGGCCAGTTGGCTGAGTCCACTTCTGCCCATTGGGCGCGGTGAGCTCGACGGTGAGATCTCCCATTCCGGCTTCAGCGTATGAATCCGAATAAGAATCGATGGACTTGCGCTTTGCGACGTTGAAGCTCAGAAGCTCTAGACCTGGACGAGACGGTTGGGGGACGCTGGAATCTGTGACACGTGTTGGACAAGGAGGATATGACTCCCTCTGTGATAAGGAGCTGACGCCTAACGAGAAGCGACTGAAAACGCAAACTCGTGGGAAGAGCCTTATCGTACATTCCCCACGTCTGATAAACCCTTGTGAGTTCGGACTCGAGACGAGGAACCTCATCCCACTTGTGGTGCAATGTCCTTGTGCAGTATGCTTCTGTATCGGCCTAGCCTGCCAGGGTGCTGAAGCTATCCCTCCCCCGCAGTGGGGTGAGAGCTGAGATGGCACAGAGTCTCCGTCAACAAGCTGTCGGCTGGCCTTCCAGGGGGATTGTAACAGATGTAGCCCGTCTTCTTCGAGTTTGGCAAGAAGATGAGGTCCCTCTTGCCTCATTGAGCTTCGCGGTTTTGACGTTTGGCTCGCATTAAGTTGTACCACGGAAGGGTGGGCATTACAATTGGAGTTATCGCGGAGATCGCACCCTTGTTGTAGTAGTCCCTGTACATCTTAGGGGGCTTCTTGCTGCCTGCTTCCATCAAATCTCGGATAGTATGGACTTTGGGATCCCATGTCGCGCCGCGATTAGCCATGGCTGTATTTCTCTTGTAGATTTGTCGTTGCTTGTGATATGATATGGGCTCCCAAGACTGGATACGGGCTGATAGGATGGGGTGTAGGACTGGGAGAGAATTGGAAGCTTCTGAGAAGACGAAGTCATGAAACGATTCTGCAAGGGAAGGCATTGAGGCTCGCCATAAATGCATTAAAATTGAGGCCGAAAGCTTAAACCACGCTGCCACTGACTTTCCTCCCTTGATCAATTACTCCGCATCCTGGAGTCGGATCACGACGCTATTTCATCAGAAGATGCCACGACACACGTCTGCCCTGAGCTATTGAACTATTGATGCCATTGAGTCACGCATCACATATGACGGTATCTGAAGCTTCTGTTTTGGCAAGTAGCTCCTAAAATACTAATCTAGGCTACGCTGCTATCAAACCCTTTGGGATTGGCTGAGGGCACCTCGCGGGAAGTTGTTAACTTGCGGATCCACTGACTCCATATCTCCAATCCCGCCATCTTGGTTTGGATCACCTTACACGTGTACAAGACTATTTTGAGCAATTGGCTTAGAATATGCCCTATTTTAGTCTTGCATGCGCAATTAAACAGGTAATCGATGCAAGCCTTCACTATTCAATCAAAGCATCAAAACACTTAACCAATACGCCAACTGAGTAACGTCCTCTTCCATCTTTTCTGTGTTCTCAACCTGCAAAATCACACCAAGATCCCTAGCTCCTTCAACATCCTCTTTTGTTAGTTTCCGGTCTTCAATCTCACCTATCACTTGATTCATTTTGGTCACCCAGTGTGTTTGGGAGAACTCCGCTAGAGAGCAGTCCATCTCGTCAACTTTCCTTTCAACCTCATGGATCAAAGCCTGCAGACGCTCAAGTTCAACCTAGTCCTTTGCCGAATCTCCTGTATAATGTGTAGATTGTACTCGTAAAGTTGAGCTCATATTCACATTGTCAGGCCAGTTCAAGAAGGCTCATATCAGGCCTACGGTCTTCTACCAAATCTTATCTGTGTCAGGGATTTGTCCCTTTTAGATGGGGTTTCTGCCAGAACTAGCAGGGCTGAGACATAGCAGTCTTTCCAGGCAGGGAAAAGGCATCTCTGCATTCAGTATGCGAACCAAATCAAGAATATCGGAACAAGCTACTTCTTGGTATACAACTGACCAGGTTCTCGCCGGCCAGGTGAGAATCTGCTGGGCCGCATGGGTGTAAGGTTTTAATGCCATGTTTCTGGGTTTCTCTTGCGCCCCTTTCTTCTAAGGGGCTGATTTGCTCGGGCTTGAAATCTCCAGAGGACGGATCTTAGTTAGTTAAGAGGTTCGGTCCCCGTGTAGCGTTCAGTTTCGAAACCCTAGACATTACAAGAGATTGGGCTCTGTTTGGGTAAATCTTCCAATATTGACGGTAGGTCCAACCCCAGTTCGGCCTGAGCCAAAAGAAAAAAAAGAAGAAGAAAAAGGACAGCACGGTCTACCAGAAGTAAGCCATGCGTTGCTCCAGAGAAGGCTCTTAAAAGACCTCCCCTCAGCAGAACAGTTCACTCTCATTGTTGCCGTACATCACGTTCTTTGATCAAATTCCAGGTTTGTTGCTCAAAATCGACACACGCGTGTAATTCGCTAGTCAAACGTAATCTTGGTACCAGTATGCTTCGCCGCCGCACCGGTCAACCTCGCAACCATGATATCGTCCTGCGCCTTAAGCTCGCCCGCCGCAGGCTTCGGCTTCTCCGTCCTCGGGGGCCGAGGGGCCCTCGGCTTCCTCTCTTCTGCCGGCGCACCTTCGGTACCCTCGGCACCCTCGCCATTCTGCTGTTGTTGCCTCTTGGGCGCGTCCTTGCCAAACCGCTTCTTGTACCGCGTCTGGTCGTCCTCGGCGAGCTCGATCTTGAGCATGCGGCCGAGAAGCTTGTTGACCCACCATTTCCTCATCTTGAACCGCGGCTCCTCGGCCGTCTTCTTCTCCTTGGCCTCATCTCTCTCCTCTTCCATCTCGTCGTCGTCGTCCTTGTCCTTGGAGGACTCTACAAAGTCGTCCTCGGTCTCAATCTCCTCCTTGATCTTCACGAAGCCCTTAACGGCCCAGCCGGCAGACTCGGGCTCGCGGAACTTGACCCAGCCGTAGCCCTTGCACTTTCCCGTGTCCTCGAAGGTCGCAACCTTGACCCAATCAATCTGCCCGCACTTTTCGAAATGCTGCCACACGTCGTCGTCGGTCGTCTTGAAGCTCAGGTTGCCGATGAAGATTTTGCTGCTCTTGGGCACCTCCTCCTTGGCCGCAGCCGCCGCCGCAGCGGCGGTCTCCTCCTCCTTCTTTGGCCGGCCCTCAAACGACTTGGAGTCCTTGATAAGAAGCTTGCGGTGGCCCAGCTCAGCCTCGGTCAGGGCGATGGCGGCGACCTTGGGCGCAACGTCGTTAAAGTCAACGTACGCAAAGCCCTTGTTCGAGGGCTTGTCGCGGCCTGCCTGCTTGGTGGACGGAAGATGCAGCCTCGTGATGGACTCCTCGGTGATCATCTCGCCCGAGTTGGCAATAAGCCACTTGCGCAGCTCGTCGGCGGTGACGAAGAAGGGCAGGTTGCCGATCCACACGCCGTGCTCGGAGCGGGCCTTGGCGGCCTGTTCCTTCTCCTCCTTCTCCTTCTTTTTGGCCTCCTTCTCGTCGTCGCTGTCGACCTTGGGAGGCAGCTTCTTTCCCTTCTTCAGGAGACGTTTGGCGCGCTTTGAGGGGGGCTCGGGGGCCTCAAGGTCGACCTCGATCTCCTCGACAGCGACCGACTTGCGCTTCTTGGACTCGGGGGATTGTGACGTCGCATCCTCGGTCTTTGGCGCCTTGGACGGCTTCTCCGCTTCGGTAGTGGCCATTGTAAGGAGCGGAATGGGGGTTCTGGGATGTTCCAGAATCGGTCAATCTAGGATCGGAATGTCTGGTGGAAGCGACTGTGAGAATCTCGTTCGCATTGGGGCCCTTTGCCGCTTGCACCCTTCGCCCCGAATTTTTTTTTCCTTGCTTTAGGATTGGAATCAACAATCGATAAGCCGATAAGATAACGGTGGGTCATGGTAGCCCCATTTTGGAAAATTACGGAGACTACGCTCACCGAGGTTTACCTTGTTGGGCCCGGGCCAAGCAGAAAGTACCATTCTATGTAGCGGTACTTTGGCAGCATCTTGGGGCGGCAAAAGCTGACTCTGCGGAGTGTCTGAGGTGGTTGGCATTTCGGCCAAAATGGCGCCCTGCATTTGTTCGCTGCGTTGACAGTGATATATATGACTAAGGTGCAACCGAGTTACCAACATGAAAAAGAAAATGCGGTGACTGAAACCCCTCCTCTCACTCTGTCTCTCCCTTTGAACTTGGCGTGCTTACAGTGAGATTGTCTTGTTTTGATCCGGTTAGAGACAAGCATTACGCCGCGTGGGTAGCTCGATGTAACGCAAGTGATGAATAAAAGTGCCAATTAAGCACTTGTTGTCGAGGACAATGAGGGGCGTCCACCTGTAACCAGGGAGCGCCAGGCTCTCTTCTCAGGGGATATTAGCACTTTAACGAGTTAGAGGGGTTGACGATGTTCATGGATGATGATGCGAAGGGGGGCGACCCGGGACCCGCTTTGAGTTGAAGATTAAGCGGCCCACCAACGCCCGTTCGGCTCTGCCAAGCCAGGTCCCGAGCAAAAGCTGCAGCGTCTCAACCTCCACAAACCTGAGAAGTACGCGTAGCTGAAAAGAAGGCGGCAGCAGAAGCACTGCAAGTCAGCTTTGTGGATTCGAAAGGGAGAAGAAAGTGCCTAGCTCCGATAAGCAGAGTCAAGCCCCTTACCACCACCGCCAACATCGCAGCCACAATAGGCCATAACAGCCAGAGGCGCCAACACCGTCGGCTTAGTGGCCCCCCCATCATCCACTCACGTGCGGATTATTCCTAACGAATGGGGACCCACCAGTCGTCCAGGCGAAACCGCCAATGGCCGCCATCCCGGCCTCCCGCCCCTGGTCACAACAACTTTGCGAGGTTCCTCTATGACTAGGTAGTGGATGTACCTCTACCTGGCTAAGCAATGCGGCCTCCCCAAGCTTGCTGTTTCGGCATAGGGCATCCATCGGGCCCTTGACCGCTTCGGTTTAATATTACAGGCGGCTTGCAGCAGCCCGACCCAGCGGCACTGCACCCCCCTCTCTGAGTTCTTCCTGGTCTGGCTCAGTCCAATGACAGCGGTTGCGCTGCAGTGCTGGGTCTCTGGTCTCTCCCGAAAACCTCCCAGGCGGCCCCAGCCCACTTCTCCCGCTCCTCTTCGCAGTACCTAGGCATTCGCCATCCAAACACTAAAGGGTAGGGTACATAGTACTCTGCAATGAGAGTGGATAGGTGGATAGCAATCTGGCCAACGCACGTTGCTTAGCTGGGTCACAGTGGTCCAGTGATCCAGTTGCAGCAACAAACCCGGCGCCTCAGACCCCAGAGCGAGGTGGGAAAAGGTGCAAGGTCCAGCAGGTCCAAGGCCTGAAGAGCGGCGCTCAAGAGGGAAAAGCTCCTCTTTTTTCTTCTCTCCGCTTCACATTCCCGCTCCCTCGCTCCAGCCCACCGGTCGGTCGCCTCCATCGTCCTTTCTTTCCCTTTGCCCAAATCCTGCTTCTCTTTTCCCCTCACATTCACTCTCTCACCTACACACAACACGCACAATCAATCAAAAACCCCTCCCCGAGCTTCCGTTTCCTTCCCGACGATACCATCCGAAGCCTCAAACCATTCAAAGGATCCCATATTCTGGTCGCTCCTAGACCGTTGTCGTCGTCGTCGTTGCGTCGTCGTCATCCAGAGTCAAAAAGCAGGAAACCTCCCGCTCGGCTCCGACCCCCCGATCCTCTCGGAATCAATCCAAACATGAATGTGTTGCTATCGCCACAACCGCCTCTCTTCCAACATCCTCACGAAGCCAACCGTGTTTCTCCCTCTCGTTCTTGTGAGTATTCCCTCGCCGCTCTCATTTGCCTCCCTTACTTCTGCCCAGTGCAGGCCGATTTCTTGCTCGCCCGAAACCCAACGACTCATGCATCCCGACGCTAACCCTTAAACAGTGAGCCCATTTCACAACATGGCCACCAGCCGCAAGCGCAAGGCCGACGAGGACGGCGACGAAATGTCCTTGTCTCCCCGAAGCTCCCCATCCACATCTTCAAGACAACTCCAGCGACCCTCAAAAAAGGTTCGCTCCAACGAGTTGGTCGGCCGACCGCTCACACTCCCCCGACTGTTGGAAACCCTGGACCCGACGGCTCTGCGAACTGTTCTCGAGCGAATCTGCGAGCGACACCCGGACATCGGCCAGGAAGTGGTCAGCAGCGCCCCTCGCCCGACCGTTGCTGCTGCACACGGCGTCTTGCAGGAGTACCAGGAGAAGATGAAAGCCGCCATTCCCTACGGCGAGACCAGTCCCGACTACACCTACTACCGCGTCAAAGCCCCTATGACCGCCCTCATCGACGCTCTCCTCGATTTCACTCCTCAGTACCTTCCACCAAACGAGACCCAGACCACCGTTTCGCTGCAATATCTGGACGGCGCCACCAAGATCATCCACGCTCTCCCCGACTGGGAGCCCCATCAGTACCGACACCACAAGGAGAATGCATACGACGAGATTTCCAAGGCTTGGGCTCTGGTCATCAACGAGGCGGCCAAGCGCGGGGGCGGTCTGAGTCTGCACACGGGAGGTTGGGACCAGACCCTGGCGAAACACCACGAGATCTCGGGCGGACGCATGGGCACGGCGATGAACGCGATGGCTACGAGCGTCAGCTGGATGGCGCATGGCGGCTCCTCGAACGGACAGCAGCCGGGAAACCCATCCTCGGATCCGAATTCGATTCTCAACCAGCTCATGTCTGGCACCTACGGCGCGCCCGTGCGTGTCGGGCCTTGGTAGAGGCAGGACAAGGGAGGAGCCCATCCGCATGTCAATAACATGGGGTCAAACAAAACTTTGGCACCCACCGCTGCATGAGACATCGGCCGAGGTCGATCGCATCACTAACTGGACATATCACGACAACTATAACGACGGCTTTCATTTCCTCTAATTCTTCCTTCATTACTTCATTCAGCATGGGTCGGCAAAGGGCATAGACTTTTGGGTTCCGCGGACAGATTTTATGTCAGGACCGGGACGGGCTGGGCGGCGTTTTTGTCATTTTCTGATCGATGATATCCCTTTCCTGTCGCTTGTCGCGAGTCATCCCGAGGGCGATGAAGGATGGCTTTCTTTACTGCCTCTTTTGATCCCCTCGGTTGACGAGGAAATCGAGTCACACACACTTTCGCATGTTAGGTAGTCTGATTTTTGGAGGGTCCAAGGAAAGCATCTGGAGGACAGCAAGCAATCCATGATCCCGCCCATTTGGGAGAGTTCACGTCTAAACAAAACGCACATAATCATGGCCCCTAGCAGTAGTCTGGGGCTCGCCTGCGACGAAATCAGAGTGCATTTGGGCATTGCATTGAGCAACGGGACCGTGGTGTGGCATGAGAAATGTGAGAGTCGTAGCAGGGCAGAAAATGGTTTCACAGCAGTCGGCTCTCTTATGTTATGGTAGCATGCACTTTTAAAGTATTCAACACGTTGAACCCATGCAAAAAGCGTACGTGTCCTTGCCTGTTGTCGTTGTGAGCCGCCCATTTGTGCGTCCAAGACGGCAGATCTGTTTCGATTGCCCACTGAGTCGGTGACACCCATGCAAGCCGCTGCGAGTGCGGCGTGTTGAGGCCTTTTCAGGCACCTATACCTATATAGACTTGTAGTTTGTTTGCTGTAGCATTGTCCATGAGGAAGACAATATGGTGAGTGAACCCAGTGCATCGCTTGTATTAGTGGCCTGATGTAACCCCTCATTCTGTGCGTGCCTGATCATCGTCAACCCGTAACCGAAGCCGAGCCAGCTGCAGCACCTCATGATCATCGTCCTGTGTATCCCTTACTCTGCCGAACATAAGGCCAAGCCAGCAAGCATTTGACTAACGTGCTTTCCAGTTCGTGCAGTCGGGTCATGTTACGCTATCACTTCAACCCATGTAGTTCGTGGCCAGGTGCCTGTCTAGCTCCGTTTGGGTGCATCCGGCCTGTACGGGCTGTGTGTTGTGCTGATAAAAAGGTGCTACATAGTATGTCGATGGTGTTAAAAGGCTGAAACTCGAGAAAATGCACGTCTCTCGTTTGTGCTGATGAGTTTGGATCCTGCCGATTACGAGAGATGCGCACTCTTCGGCCGCCCGGCCCATGGTGCCTCCAGGGAAAGCTTCATTTGGCGGGGTAGGTTTGTGGAGGTGCTTCTCCAACCGTTCGCCATTCGGACGACAGCGGCTGTGAACTCTGATGTTCCCTCCAGCTTTCCTACAGGTACCCTAGGTGCTGAGAGTACCTGCTGAAACCTCCAGGCTTCAGGTACGGCACAGGCGGTAGGCGGCTCAACCAAGGGTGGTGGGGGCTTACATCATCCCGTTTTGCTCGAATCACATGACTACCCGTCATTGCTGCTTCCTGCCTCGACGCGTGAGAGGCGAACGCCTACGTGAACGCGCCACACCTGCCTGCCCTTCATCTAGGCAGACGACTCGCACAAGCCGACTCACGACGCCTATACCTTCACTTTCGAGGATTTTACCCTGTTTCTGAGGTTGAGTTCGGGCATTTTATAATCCGACGTAGCGAAACAAGAGACATTCTATCCGACAAGATGCCCGCGTATGTCTGTTGCCATTCACACGCGTCTCGCCCACTGACAATGTTCTCTACAGCCCGGGCGATCAACACGGCACCGTAGCGAACCCGTTCGAGGAGCCCCAGAAGCGAATGAGCGAATACACGGCCCAAGAAATTGCTACTTTGCAAAGCCGCCTCGAGAAGCAGCTCGGCCCCGAGTACATATCCGCACGCGCCGGGCCATCGGGCCAGAAGGTCCACTACATCGCCGCTGAGAAGTGCATTGCCCTCGCGAACGAGGTTTTTGGCTTCAATGGATGGTCCTCGTCCATACAGAACATCCAGGTCGACTTCGTCGACGAGCACCCGCAGACGATGAAGATAAGCTTGGGCTTGTCCGTCATCGTCCGCGTGACGCTACGCGACGGCACGTTCCACGAGGACATTGGGTACGGACACATTGAGAACTGCAAGGGCAAGGCGGCTGCATTTGAAAAAGCCAAAAAGGAGGGCACCACGGACGCGCTGAAGAGAGCGCTGAGAAACTTTGGCAACGTGCTCGGTAACTGCATCTACGACAAAGACTACCTCTCCAAGGTGACCAAGATGAAGGTTGCTCCAACAAAGTTTAACGAGACCGAGCTGCACAGGCACTCTGATTTTGCTATCAAGAAGGAGGAGGAAAAGGCGCCGCTGCCACCGCCAGTCAAGTTAGAGACGGCGGAATCGATCGAGGACCTGCTTGAAGGTATGCCGTCTTGATCGGTGTAGTGGACGAACCTATGACTGACATGCCCAGATTTTGACGAAGCAGACTTTGCCGTTGTTGAGAGCGATCATCCGGATGAAGTGGTGCTTCCCCCAGCAGTGAATGGCGCTGCAAACGATAGAGCCGCGAGCGTTGCGCCAGCACCCGTTCCTCAGCACATGCAAGCTCCGTCTCGACAGATGGGCAGGAGCACATCGACAGGAAACCTTCGAGCACCTCAAACGCCAAACCAAGCACAGTCACGGCAGGGCCCTCCAACAGGCTACGGTAATCGGCCCCAAGCACCGAACCAACCTCGGGCGCCCACGAACCCATCCGCACCATCCGCACCATCGGCCCCCTCAGCCAATGGGAACATAACCACGCCAGGGCAGGCCGGCAACGCCGCCGAACCCGTTGGCTTCTTCTCCGCACGTGCTGTACAGCAAATCCCAGAATCTGCTTTGCAGGGGAGCAACACTGACGCACCTCTTCTGCTGCCAGCCGGGCAACAAGCCTTCAATCCAAAGGCAGAGAGCCCATCCATACGAAAGACCCCCGGCATAGACCACTCGGTCTCGAAGCCCCTCGCCAGATCCGGTCAGCACGTCCCGCCCACCGCGTCACAGCAGCCATCGACATCCGGCTTCACACCGGTCAGGCCGGGTAACGCAGGCCCAGGAGGTGCGGGGGCGCAGCACCTGCAACTCAGCCAAAGTCGACGAATCGGAGCTCCAGCGGGTGCCGGTAGTCCCTTGGCCAACCGGGGTTCCTATCGGCCGCCGACCATGAAGCGCCCGCTGCAGCAAGATAGCGCCGGAAGGCCAGCACTGGCTGATGTGTCAAATAATGGGGCTCCAGGCAATGCCCCCACCGGACAGGGAGTTGATTCCAAACGTCAAAAGATGGCTTGATTGCATCTCTAGTATGCGGGGTGCAGCTGAAAGATTGTGCTTTGGCCTGGAGCTTTGGAGTCTGGTTTGATCGGGTATGGACAAATGTGATGGAGTTTTGGCCGGATTGGTACAGGCACGTCTAGTTGTGGTGCCTAGGACAGATTATGGAATATAACGAATAACGTTCTCCTTTCATTGAAAGGGTTCGCGGGGCTTCAAACGTTGTTCTGCATTGAACTCGTCACAAACTGTAAAACCACCTGCAACTATCTGATGGTATGCCTGAAGCCTTCGTGTGAGTCATGGCCTTGGATGGAAGGCTTTAATGGAGTTTATGGCCCTTGTGGAAGAGCGCAGCGACTGGGCACCTGGAAGAAAGTAAATTTGGGTCGTTGAGAATTATCCTAAAAATGATAGGTTTGTTTCACACTCAATTCTAGAGTCGTGCTCGAAGCTCAGTGCAAGTGAATCCACTGGAGGTGGGGTGTGTCTCTATGGCGCTTTTCACCTAACATTCAATGCCTTCCTAGGAATCTCGAATTGTAAGTTGGCTTGGCCGTTTCTCATTTATTGTGACAGGGAATAGCAACAAACATCGCACTACATCTTACTTTATTCTGGTTATATCCGTACTCCAAAGTAATACTTTGGCCTCTCCGGAATTCCAAGGAGCCCAAATCAAGGTATGCCTGGTAACTCTTAAAGCTTCACATAACATGATCATGTTGTGGAGTTGCAACATTCATGGAAGCTTTCAAGTCAGTAGTTTCTCAAAAGGCCTAGTACACCTTTTTCGGGTGTATCGGACTATTTTATCTACAGGAAGTGTTTTTTCTAGCATTCTGCCAATGACTTATTTTTAGTTTACTCTGTACTCAATGTAGGCGTATTCTACTAGTCAAGAGGATAAAAAGTTAGTGGTCAAAGTAAGCAACGCGATGTAGTATTACATCAATACAGCATAGAGCTTCACTGGGTTGACAATGTGCTCCAGTCATATGCTAGCAACACAGCGAGATTTTTTGTGCTTGCATACATGGGCTCCATGGGTTTGGTGTATTCTAACAAGGCCGTATTGGACGGACTGGATATGACTTCAACCATATTCTCAGAAGACTTGTGCAAACAACATTCTATGGCCCATGTACACAACAATACTCCTTAATTTCAAACTATTCTGCTTTATTCTGTTCTATCAAATTATCAAAGTCAAGGGCAGTCATGGAGTAAATGGTGCTCAAGTATCCGACCTTTCTTACCTGACTACCGACCTCGCACGAACCATCAACGACTTCTTGATCCACAGAGCAATGGACTTCTGCTGTGCTCAGTTCCTGTTCTCATCGCAGAGATCAAAGTCCTATTCAAACAGCAGCGTAGCCAGGATGAGTCTCATTTCGTACATTGCCATGTTCTGCCCAAGTCAGTTGCGAGGCCCGAATCCAAACGGCTGATGAGCGTCGAGGGCGTCTCCGGCGTTTGCTGGATCCGTTCTGAGCCACCTTCCGGTGGCGAAAGTGTCCGCGTTCTTAAAGTTGGCTTCGGACTTGTATGTCGACCAGTGATAGATGGACACGCGGGTCTCGGGCGGCACCCATTTGCCCAGAATCTGTTGCCCGCCCGGGAGGACCACTCTAAGGCTACCGATGAGCACTGGTGGATAGATGCGTAATGCTTCTTTCAGGCAGGCGTTCATGTATTTCAACTCAGCGAGTCGCTTGAAGGCAAGATCTTCGAGCTTGTCGAAGTTTCCATGAAACTCTCCGAGCAACGCCGTTATCTTATCTGGGAAGGCGAGCAAGTTGAAGATGCAGCCGCTCAAGAGTGTAGCTAGAAGAGGGCTTCAGTCAGTTTCAGTGCGTTTGATTCTCAGTATGACAAATTCTACCGCCAAGAGGCAAACGAGACCTGGCAGAAGCCGAACCTCGGCGTAGGAAAGAGTGTCAACTAGCTGATACCGCCTATAAGAGGAACGTGCCAGCAGAAGATCGGCATGAAAACTGTTAGCTACATCGTATCAGTCCTTCAGATGGTGACGGACTGGACCTGCGCCATCGTCCCTTGATTCATCGTAGCAGGATTGCAGACGTCTCGCCGTAAGAAGACATCCGTTATCTGTATTCTTGGTTTCGGGATCTTCGCCAGCATCGCAACCTGCATCCAAATGCCTTATCTGAAGGACTACGACACTGCGAAGTACCCTACTGAGATCGCCTGTAAGTAATCTGGCATTGGCCGTTGAATTTCTCCAGATAATTGTACTAACGCTTCCTCTGTAGACCACCTTGGAGTCATCAGCATCACCTCAAACGTCGAGTGCAGTTTAGGAATCAACGGGTCATCCTTACCTCCCCTCTGCAAGCTATTCAACTTTTACTACGGCTTTTCACATGACAAACAATACAAATTCACGGACGAGGTCAGTCAGCCTCATTATCCCAAAATGTTTTCTGGAAGGTGTACTGACAACCTTTAGTAGAGCACTCACGCACTTGAAAGCGCTGGCCAAGGCATCAAACTTGGCTCGTTCAACAGTCAATGTCCGTACCTTGCGTCTGTTAAGTATACCCCTACTGGCGGCAAAAAAGATGACGCAGAAGACGACTCCTCCAGTCGAAAGGGGATAATACGACATACCGAGACCCACGTCAGCTCATCCTCCTTTCGGGAGTAGCCTTTGCACAAGGTATTCGAAGCCAGACAACGGATGTAAGACATGTGATGACCAGTACGACAAGAAGCAGAAGAAGCTAGAATGGCAAATGTAGATATAGAACAAATAACATCCGAAGCATCAACCAGACGCTCATATACTTTATGGTAATTGTAAATCATTGATGTTTCCGGATATGCTCAATTCTCAACAGAAGAATCCAAAGGGCCATTTTATGAGGGTTGTCGTGCACGCGGATGGTTACTTTCTCTACATGCTATCGAACGTTATACTTTGGCGGATCCAATAAGTTTTCCCATGAGACAAGAGTCTCCAGACGAAGGAAAATGAACACAGCTGTCTCAAAACGTGATGAATGTTTCCAGTGGGTTAGTGACTGGTAGTTGCTACATGAGATGACCGACAAAGGCATCGATGGTTAGCCTGGTTGCCATCATGGGGCGTGGATATGCCGGAATGGAACCTCGCTCGCCGTTTCCCCCCAACCATCACTTCTGTCTTTATACATTGCAAACCACAAGCAAGAGACATAGCCTGGTATAACGAGCCTTGGTCCAAGTCCTTGGTGGTCATGGTTTCAAAACTAACTAGATGCCGCTGCATGTGGTCGAGAACTGCTCCCCTGCTTCATTACATAATCTTCTTTCCAAAGAACCAGGGGTCCAGCAAGCTCCGATCCACCGACCTACCAACCGAACCATCGATTTCGTCACTACTCCGTCTGGGGCGCACGCGAGCGACACCTTCCGACCACTTGTTTCCATCGCTCCAAATCTGAATATTTCCCCCCTCCTGACCTCACCAGTTCGCCGTCTGCCCCTACCCAATTATTCAAATGTTCCCAATCCCCTTCAATTGACTTTTCTAGTAAGAATAGAGCATGAGGCATGCTCCTCCGCCGGCTCCAACCCGCAGCGGCCCGTCCCCTCCGCTCCGGCGCATTCCCAGCTTCGGCCCTCTGCCCAGCGCAGCAGCAGCAGCAGCGCCTCCGAGCTCGCAGTCCCACGGCAGCCGCGCCGTTCACGACCTCGCGCGCACTGCGAGATGACATCGCTTCCGTGAACCACTATGAGACCCTGAAGGTTTCTCACGATGCCTCACCCTCTGACATCAAGAAGTGCGTTCTGTTTTCTCTCCTTCTCTCCCCCTCTTCACTCCAATCACTTTACCATTACTGGCGAGGGAATAATTAACAACGTCGTCCACACTCTGCCCTTGATGCTACCTCACCGAGAGCTCTCCAACCCCTGCCCTCCTGAAAGCTACCGCGTATCGCGAACTCTTCCAAGGAAGCTTACACCCACTCACAAGATCCTTCTACGCCCTCTCCAAAACCCACCACCCAGATCACAACCGCAACGACCCCAACGCCTCCCGGAAGTTCCATGCAATAGCAGAGGCCTACTCCGTCCTGGGCACCCCCGCAAAACGCGCCGCCTACGACCGCTCCCTCCCGTCCTCCGCCTCCTCGCACGGCCACCGCCGCGGCTCCTACCATAGCACCGGCCCCGCGGGAGGCCGCCCCGCCTCAGGCCTCTCGCGGCGTAGGACGACCTTCCGCGGCCCGCCGCCGAGCTTTTACAGGTCCGGCGGATGGGGCAACCAGTCGGCGAAGCGCAAGGAGGCGCACGAGGGCAGCACTGGCGACGGGACGGGGGCGCCGAGGGCGCAGCCTGGCATGGGGCCTGGACAGGATCCGTACGGGCACACAAGGTCTGGCCACGTGCCCCATTTTGATTCGGAGACGCATACAAAGACGCAGTCGAAACAGGATTCGCGACGGGCGCACCGTATTGCGGGTACGGAAGTGCCTATCGGGCCGCAGGAGACATCGGTGGGAGCCTTCATGGTTGTCAGCGGCATACTTTTCTTTTCCTTTTTCATACCATATGTTGCCGTCGGCGGATTGCGCCGCAAGAAGAATGCCAATTCATAAACAAGAGGCATAGACACGAGGGTCAAGGAATAGACATCTATCAGGATAGATATGAATCTCACGATGGAATCAACATGCCGCAAATTGGCACTTCGCACAAGAGCATAGTAGTCCCGGTCGATCAAACTCAATTACTCCCCGAACTAATCTACACTAGACAGGAGCCTCCAAATGAAATGTGAAGAGCATTGGGTCCGCTACCCGGCCGGAGAAAGCTGAATGGATTGTCCTCGTCAAGAATACAGGTGATGAAAAGAGCTTAGCCCTCGAAGGTGAAGCTAGCGCCAAGCTTGTGGGTAGCCTGGTCGAGCTTCTGGGTATCAAAGGAGGCACCAAGACCCAGGGTAACACCCTCGCGGAGGAGTACGTTGTAGCCAAGGGCGGCAACACCGTTGTTGTTAACCTTGAACTGTACGCGCGCATGTTGATCAGTAAACGTTCGTCAGCATGATTTGCAAAGGGAATATCACGCACCTTGGCGAAGGAGACGGGGTCGATGCGGTACTTGCTGGCGACCTCGAGGCCGACGTTGTTGCCGGCCTTGGAGTTCCAGGTAGCCTTGGCACCAGCCTCAACCTGGCTGTTCACCTTGTGGTAGTAAGAAGCAGCGAAGACGCTGAGGTTGTCGCTGGCGGTGATGGCAGCGCTGTAGGTGGGGGCCTGGTAGCCGACGGCGGCGGCGTAGCCAGTGACGGAAGCCTTCTGGACGTCGTAGCCAGCAGAGGCACCAGCGAGGAAACCCTCGTGGCCAACAACGGCGTCGATGTTGGCAGTGGGGCCCTTGAGGAGGTCGAAGAAAGCGCGGCTGTGGAAGTTGCTCTGCTTGAAGGTAAGGTTGAACTTGGCACCCTTCTTGGAGGCGGCCTTCTCGCCGGCGGAGGGCAGGAAGGAGAAGACACCCTCAGCCTTCAGGCCCTTGGCGAGGCTGTCGGCGAGCTCGACCTTGGTGTCAAGGGCGGCAGCGGTGTTCCATGTCTGGGTAAGGGTCAGGCCTGTGCGACGGTAGAATGTTAGCAAATATGCACGTCCAGGCGTCCAACCTGCGGCGAAATGGACCGGAATGCCGTAAAACAATCCGTTTATTTGGCCGAGGCTGAGATGCAAGCGCTCTAAACGATGGGCGGTGGTTGCTGTACCGGTAGCCTTGTCGGAGTATTTGCCCTCGATCTGGATTGAGAAGTACAGGTCAGCTGAGGCTCATGTTTGTTTACGCGACACCGGCTACGCCCGATGCGCCTTTGGCGTGGGGAATGGCTAGACTTACAGCTCCAGCGGTGGTCTTCTCGTGGGAGGTCTTGCCGGTGACCTTGAAGGCAACGTTGTTGGGGGTGTTGCTCTTGAGCTCGAAGGTGGTGGCAGAGAGGTGATAGAAGTCCTTGTTGAGAAGCTGTCAAGAGTCAATTGTCAGCTGAGTGGTTTCTCGTCGCGGATGACCTCGGTCAGGGAAAGAGCCAAGAGCTCTTTATTTTCCCCCCATCCGCGAATACCCGAAGAAAATAAAGAGGAAGGGAGGAAAAGCGCATACGTCGTTGGCCGACTTGGCGATGTCTCCGAAGTTAGGAACAGACATGTTTGCTGGTTTTGACAAAGGACGTTTTGGGAGAATTGAGTTGAGAATGGGAAACGGTTGACGAGATGCAACAAGTGAAAAGGCGGGTTGCAGGTGTCCTTTCAGGAGATGTTCTGCTGGGGCGGAAGCTGTTCGAGAAAATGTTTTGGTTGCATCAATTGGTTGACGGGGATTCCCGGCGCAATTCGGTCCGGAGGAGCTTTGTGGTGACGGGGCCACACTAGGACTCTTTCGGATGCACGTGGGGGATCTGTTATTGGTTTGTTGGGACTGCTGCCGGCTGCTGGTGAACAGGGGATCCGTAAGAAGGTGATGCACTGAACAAGTGGGCACTGGATGCTGCTGGGCTAAAGGTGCTGGCTGGAGCTGGCCGTTCAATGCGTTCAGTCTTGCTGCTTGGCTTTGTGCAATTCAAGTGCTTATGCTGACGAGTGCTATTGGGAAAGGGTAAGGTTGCATTGCCGTCTCTTAACGACACAATAGCGAGATGGGAGATGCTTCAAGGTTGATGGGATGGCTCTGCGGCACGATGTCTTCTTTTTCCTCATTCCCTGCGCACTTTCCTTTTGACCTCTCCTTCGACCGTCTTACCTCGCCATCTCACTTCTTTCAGACAATACAGAATTACTGAGTCACTGTGCTTGCGCATTCAGCCAATTACCCACTTTAACCTGTCTCTCCCGGGCAATCACACTCAATCATTGTTGCACACGAAGCGGGCTGCGGGATGGGGAGGTGAAGTTGGGGAAGAGTCTAGGCCAGGATAATTACTTTCTTGACTATCCCTAGAAAGTAACCCCTGACAAGTCAGAGAAGGTGGGGCTTTCGCGCAATTCCATGACCTGCAATCGCAACAACAGCATCGACAATTTTACTTGGTAAGGCAGCAAAAGTATAGCAATTGCAACATCCATCCACATCCCATTTTCGAGACTCTAAACTTGTTGAGGTCTACTTAAGCCAACAATCCAGGACGCCTCTCTGCCTTTTACCCACCCGCATTGACGCAAAGTGCTAGGATACAGGTATCTTCCTCCAAATTACCACTTTATGCGGCATCGTCGTACTTCTTCTCGTGAATGGCAATGGCTCTGTCATGCAACGGGTCAGCAACTGATTTGGATTTTCGTTTTCAATGGAGACAAGGGGCATCTTGTGACTCACCTGCCACTGGGGTCCGTCTGCTTGGACCATGTGGGGGTCCAGCGCATGACGGTCGAGGCGCAATGCGGCGGGAAGTGCTCGTCGAACATAAGACGGTACCAGTACCTGTCAAATCCTGTCAGCGCATCACTCACATCAAACGGGAAAATTGGACGATGCATACGCCTCCTTGGTGTCCGGAATGTCGTTGCCCCACTCCGGCTTGGGGTTCTTCATCATCTCGTCGGTAACCTGGATCTCGGCGTTGTCCTTGAGCGCATCGATCCACCCGTATCCGACACCGTCCGAGAACTGCTCCTTCTGTCTCCACAAGATGTTATCCGGGAGGTACGGCTCCGAACCGGGCTCGTCGGAGGTGTCGAAGGCCTTGCGGAGAATGTACTTCTCCATCTTCTCCTTGGTGATCATCTTCTCTTGGGGATCGATGTTCATGGTCGCCTCGAGGAACTGGGGCGATTATTAGCGAGGTCACTTCTTCATCATGGCTCCAAAACACTCACCTCCTTGTCCAGGAACGGCACGCGAGCCTCAAGGCCCCAGGCAGATGTTGACTTGTTGGCACGCAGGCAGTCGGCAAGGTGGAGGTTCTTAACACGGCGAACAGTCTCCTCGTGGAAGGCCTTTTTGTCAGGGGCGGCATGGAAGTAAAGGTAACCACCGAAAATCTCGTCACTTCCCTCACCACTGAGCACCATCTTGATGCCCATGGCCTTGATCTTGCGAGACAGGAGGTACATCGGCGTCGAGGCACGGATGGTTGTGACATCGTAGGTCTCGAGGTGGTAGATGACGTCGGACAGGGCGTTGAGACCATCCTCGATCGTGAAGGTCATGACGTGGTGCTTTGTGCCGAGGAACTTGGCGACCTCAAGGGCAGCCTTGTTGTCGGGTGATCCAGGGAGACCAATGGAGAAGGAGTTGAGTTGGGGCAGATATGTGACCGTCGACAGCTTGTTATCGTCGTCGATACCGACCATGCCATCACCAGTGTCGGGGTTCTCCGTCATGGGGAGTGCGCCGCCATTGGCCTCGAGGGCCGCCTTCTTCAACCGCAGAGTCTCTCTTTGGGCAATGGACGCAACCAAGCTGGAGTCAAGACCACCGGAAAGGAGGACACCGTATGGCACCTCAGCCATGAGTCTCTTCCTGACAGACTTCTCCAACTTCTCGCGGATCAACTTCAAGTCGAGGGGTGTCTCGGGGACTCTGGCAGGGTCCCACCAAGTGGGCTCAAAGTATCTTGTGGTCTTGCCCGTAGAAGAGTCGTAGACATGGCCAGGAGGGAAGGCCTCGATCTTGTCACAGACGCTGTGCAGGCACTTCAGCTCAGAAGCGAAGTAAACCGCATCGGGTTCTTTTGATGACCAGCCGTAGTAGAGAGTGGTGATGCCGATAGGGTCGCGGGCGGCGATGGTGCGGTCGTTCTTCTTGTCGTACAAGACAAATGAGAACATGCCGTCGAGGTGCTTCGGGGCGTCGAGGCCATACTCCATATACTACAGTAACCGCTGTTAGACCTCCGTATGTCCCATTGTGGGAAATGAATAGCATGTGCGCGCTGTTGACTCACCAGAGGAATAACTACCTCGCAGTCGGAGCCAGTCTTGAAGTGGTAGGTGTGCTTCAGGGTCTTGCGAATCAGACGGTGGTTGTATATTTCACCGTTGACGGCAAGAATGATGCTCTCGTCATCGTTGGTAAGGGGCTGGGCGCCGGACTCTTCGACAATGGTCAGCCGTTGGCGTTATGGGATAGGCGGAGATCGACTTACCGACGCCGACGATGCTGAGACGCTCATGGCACAGGACTGCGATTGACGGTCAATTGTCGGACAACACACAGCAACAACCAGACTCGACCTACTTGTTTTGTTGGAGATGAAGCTGCCGCCTGTACGAAGGTTGGTTAGTTGGCTGCTCTGCGTTGTCAAGGTCGCGTGTCGCAGTGACTCAGAACTCACTCCAGTCAGGGCCACGGTGACGGATACTACATGTCATGAGTCAATTGATGCGCTCGAAAGTCGGAATCTTCACAACTTACGCCTTTGCCAGCTTCAAGGCCGTGGGCTTGAATTTCTGGACGTCGGGGTGACTGGGCGCACATAGAGTCAGCCGCGTCGTCCATGTGAACGCATGGCGGGGTCACTTTTTTTTTTAGAGGGGAGCTTGACTGCCCCTCCATCCCGCTGCCGAAATAGGGAACCGTCGTAGAAGTTGAGCTTACCGATGACAGGCGAAGATGCCACACATGATTGCGGTCTCGAACTGCGATTGTATATGTGGTAGGTGTATGGGATGTACTGCAGCTCTAAAGGTAGAAAGGCGAAAGATGTGTCTCGAGAGAATAAATACGGAGCAGGAGGATGGAGCAGCGGGTGAAAGGGTGGGAGTGAAAGCGGTTATGACTCTTCTTGCGCTTCACCCAATTTTTTTTATCGTTATTTTCTGTTCACAACGGCCCCTAAGTGCTCCTGACACAATGACATGGCCTCTACCACCCAGCATTCCGACAAGCCCTGACACCCGGGACTTTGCCCACCTAGGGTGCCGGAGACCGTGGCCGGTGCGTCGATAAGGCCAGGACTGCCAAGTACTTGGTGCGAATTATCTCAGACGGTTGCGAGAGAGAGCCAAAATTGCAAGTCCGCCGCCGCCACGGAACCACAGAAAACTGCACGATACGCTAATCTACTGTGTTGCGCTAGTGTAACACAGCTGTCTCCCTGGGCCGATCTCGGCTCTTGCGGCTATTGGGTGGTGTGGCCAGTCAGAGTTCACCAGCCGGTCAATTACCTAACCTTGCAGACTGATAAGAACTCAAACACGCCCAGCCACCAACGGGAGCGTCGAGTCGGTGGGGTGCTGTTATTTCCTTGACAATCCACTGGATGGTGCCACGGAGACGACAGCTGCTGTGAACATGACCCTGAAGCGACAACGGTCGTGGCCGCGGCCAAATCTTTCTTACTCCGGGTCAACATCAATGTGGTAACCAGGGGAGGACGGAAGGGTGGCGGGAAACTGTGCCTCTGCCGTCTGCGCCAATTGAGTACTGAGTCTTGACTCCCGGCCAACTTACTTGTCACCGGCGTCAGGGTTCCAGGTCCTATGCCAAGCAAGCTATGGTGGAGGTACCCTACCCAGAATCAAGTGTCCGGCGGCTTTAGTTCCGATGAGATATCCACCTCGACAGCCTACGATTAATAAGTTGCGCTTCCCACCACGACGGGCGGAGCGCAATCCACCACCAGAAGAGTCATCACCCAGTGGTCGACTGTTGTTCGACACCGTCCCATCGTGGACGGCGAACATCTTGCGCAATACTTCATTCGTAGCATTTTGGCATCTAGACTTGTTTCCGTATCTGTCTGTTCGGCCTCGTCCGTCTCGATCCCCTTGTGGCCAGCAGTCTCATCGACCAGTCCGAAAGCAGAGAAGCAGACCGTATGGTATTCCTGTAACTCCGAAGCCATGCCTGCGGGCACGACGTTGTGATATCGTAAATCTATCCACCCCGTGGCTGCCACGCCGTCTAGGGTGCCGGATTTTCCCTCACAACGCGCTTGATGCGCTTCTCATATTCCGCCTTATCTTTCTTGAAAAGACTGTACGCCTCAGCCTGGGCCGGCGACTCCGGGTTGGGATCGTCGAGCAGGTTCTGAATACCGAGCAGAATCTGCTTCACCGTGATCGCGGGCTTCCACGCCTCTTCCTCGTTCAGGATCGACAGGCATACGGTACCGGAGGGGTAGACGTTGGGGTGGAACAGGGGAGGAACAAATTTGCCTGTGCAACGTTTTGTCAGCCGGAGATTTTCATCCTAGAGGCAAACTGTAACTCACACTTGGGTGGCTTCGTCGGATACTCTGTTGGTCGGGGAAAGAGGTCAGCAAAGGTTTGTTCGGTGAAATTATGCGATCCTGCTGCGCAAGGTCACTCACCCTCAGGAAATGTGATTGTCAGTTTAAACAAGCCTCCCTCCCAGATGGTCTTCTCCTTTCCCGGGATTCCACACTCCCAAACCTTCAGATCGAGCGTTCCCGTCGCAGCATTACGCTGGGGCTTGGCGAAGAAGCCAAAGGGGTGGTCTTTGCGCCATTGTTTCCTAGAACCAGTTAGAGACATCCACGGGGAGGAAACGTAAACGGTCAGCATACCGCTCTTCCTGGAGTCTGTTCTGACACAGTGACATCGTCGCGGTGGTTGTGATGACGGAGGCAAGGAGCGGCGGTCCGTTGGCGTCCGAAGTTGTATGCGGCGTCTCGCTCGCGTGTCGCTGGGGCAGATTGGGGCTGATGTGCAAAAGTCGGGATGACTGGTCGCGTGGGGTGCGAGAGCCTGAAGTGTCGGACCACAGAGGCTTGGTAGGTAGGTCTGCCTGTCGATGAGGAATAAACGGTAGGATCAGGCTGCGTAAGTGACGGGAGTCATTCGGCGAACTTTAGGTAAGTCCGCGGCTAGAGAAGGCGCCTACAAGAAACGAGGTTGTTCGCCTTGCACTTGCCTCACTGGATGCGCCAGCTGAGTTGGAAGGCAGTAGAAGATTTTCGGGGTAGGGGTACGTACCTTTCGGGCTGTCGGTCGTGTGTACGCTGTTTGTACGGTCCTAATCAACAGATGCGGGTGTCTCTCTGGGTGGTGGTAAAGGTAAGATACCGCGGTACTTTCTGCACAAGGCTCAGGGCACCACCGAGGAGGAGGAAGGGCGGCAGGGGCGGGAAACGGGACGTCACTACTGTCCAATGGACAAATGCCAATAGGACCCCGCCCTAGGCCACGTTCGGTGTTGATGCGCCGGGCGCGGGGTGTGCTGGGTGCTGGGAAACCTGACGTGGGGCTTGATGGACCTGCCCAGATGCAAGACAAGGAGCTTCAGGCCCGATTCCTCGGCTTTCATCTGACAGTCCATCTTTCGCCACGTACAAAGGCCATAACCCCAGCCCCGTGCGACTGGATATACTGTACCCTCAGCCCTTGCGCGAGCGATCGTATATTGTCTGCAGCGCCACAAAGTTCTGGTTGTTGCTGTTGTTGTCGCTGCATTGCGATTGCGCGCTGCACGACTGATTCCTTTGTCCCGACAGCATCTAGCGTGCTTTATTCTGGTTGCTTGGTCTACATGTACTGAGACGCAGTCCGCCTGAAAGCTTAAAAAGACACAACACGCACATTTTTGGATACGGCTTCCAGAGGTCATCCGCAACAATGGAGAAGGATAGTAGCGCAGCCGGCGCTGGGAAGACGGGAGAGGCAAAGCCGACGGCCCCAATAGTCGAGGAGAAGCGGCTAGCGGATGCGGCCGACGATGTGCCTGATCCAGACGAGGATGATTTGGACGACTTGGATGGTTCGTTTTGAAAGCTAGGGTCTATGAAAACAGCATCAGGGTGCGCTGACTCTACCAGACATGCTCGACGACTTCGCCGCGGTGAACGTGGACACCAAGAAACCCGAGCAGCCAGCTGCGCCTTTTGCGACTGGCCCCGGAAAGCCCGCGACGGCTACCGAGGATGGGGCCGATGACAAGACGCTGGAGGACATGCTTTCTTCCGACGACTTTGCAAAGCAGCTTCAGGCTGGCATGGCTGACTTGATTGGCGAGTTTGAGAAAAACGTAGACAGCCTCCACGTCATCTTTACTCGTTTTCATCAACTAACCCGACTTTACAGCCAGAAATGCAGGCGCAATTTGACAACGTCTTCAAGCAAATCAGCGCCGCTGCAGGGGAAGCTGAATCTTCTCAGGGGCCAGCCACAACATCAGCCCCCTCTCGGCCAGTTTCTTCCTCCGGCAAAGCCCCGGCCTCAGACCCGATCGCCGACGGTTCCTTCCAAGAGACAATCAAGAAGACGATGGAGCGCATGCAAGCGTCAGGGCAGCAGGCGACGGCAGCGGCGGCAGAATCTTCAACCGAAGACTTCCTTGCTGAGATGATGAAGCAGCTCGGAGAGGGCAACATGGAAGGCGGCGGCGGCAACGAGGAGGAATTCTCGAAGATGCTCATGGGCATGATGGAACAGCTTACCAACAAGGAGATCTTGTACGAGCCCATGAAGGAGCTCAACGATAAGTTCCCCGAGTGGTTCGAAAAGAACCGCGAGAAGACGCCCGCGGAAGACCTCAAGCGGTATGAGGACCAACAGGCTTTGGTCAAAGAGATCGTGGCCAAGTTTGAGGAGAAGACATACGCAGACTCCAACGCAGCGGACAGAGAATACATCGTCGACAGGATGCAAAAGGTAAGCGATAGAGCTGTCTTTTGGTCATTTGCAACACTGACATGCGACAGATGCAAGCCGCCGGGTCACCTCCGTCAGATTTGGTTGGCGACATGCCATCGGCACAGGAAGCGTTCAACCCAGATGAGAGTTGTAATCCGCAATAATTGGACATCCGCGACGGACGTCTCTTATTTATAAATATTCCCGCAAAGACCATGATTTCCCATGGTTATGCACATGTCAAGCCGCTGTCCATACCGTATCCCGTTCGCCGTTCAAGGCCCAACGCCATAAACAACCCATAAACCCAAAGCCATACCCGACCAAAAACCGCAATGCAAATGTAACGACCATATTTGACCCACCCCAGTTAGGTCCGGCTTTTTTCTTTTCTTCAAGACATGTCCATCTGTTGCGAAGACGCGTCCAGTTCACTGCCTTCCTGTGACACCAGATTCATGAACAATGCGTCATAATCCTCATCGTCTGAGAGGCTAAAGGCATCAGACTGCGTTGTTTGCGACGAGCGTGCTGAATGTGGTGGTTCAGAGGACTGGTCGTAAGACAATAGCAACGCGTCAAGCTCGTTCTGTTCTTCTTGTGCAATAGCATCGACCATCATGTCGTCAACATCATCGGGTATCTGCTGTGCGCGTTCTTGGCCGATCGCCGCAGCGTCGTCAATGTCTGCTTCGGAGAACACGGCATCTCCCTCCAATTGCTTGGCGTAGTATCGTCGTCGCATGTCGCGGTCCCAGTCTGACTTGAGAAGCTTTAGAAGAAGTCAGTATCATGCATCTCAGGTCATACTTTATGCTTGCCACGTACAGTGCCCTCCATGTCTCGCCGTTGGTACGAACGGTCGTCCGCACGCTGCCGCACGTTCTGGAGAAACAGCTTCCGCCTGCTCTCTTGCGCCTCTTCGCGTTTGCGGACGACTGGATTCGGTCTCGCAGGCCGTGAAGCGTACTTAAACTTCGGCTGAGGGATAGGCGAAGACTGCGTATGCCGGACGGTGTTGTCGTCAATGGGTGACAAGGGCGATGCCGCGCGCACGGGCGACGACGAGAGAGGCGACGGGACCGCAGGCCTGAAATCCCACGAAGTCCGCTCGCTGAAGAAGGGTACAGGCCCGGCAACGGAGAACATGTTTGTGGCTCTCTTGATTTCTGGTACTTTGTCTTCTTGCATCAAGCTGGTGGTAATAGCAACATGGGCCGAGTTGTAGATGCTGATTTAGATGCGAGCTTTTCCAAGATGGTGATCGTGGTGTAAGGGACAAGCTTCACTGTTGCCTCCTAGCTTAATTGGAGAACCGCGGTGGGTGTCATGGAACGCGACCGAGACGCGATTACGGGCGTCGGACGCCACAGGTGTGGCTTATGCTAACACTCGACACGTGAATCCACTTTAAAGGGTCCTTCCGATCCAGCGAGAGTGTTTATGCAGCGTAAACTGATTTGCCGTCTAGGCTGGATCTTCATCCCGGCGGTTCCCGAACGGAGTCCGAGGCAAGGGCATCAGCGAATGAAAACGGCGGTGCCACGGTTCCCCAACGTTGCAACAGGTGCACGCGCAGGAAGGGCAAAAAAAAAAAAAAAAAGAGGTATCTGGGAGGACCGACTGACGACATGACATTCGACTAGTTAGCTCTAGATCGCCCCCAAGACAACTTGATCCCTTGGAAATACTCCACTATTTGCAGCGACTGTTGGGAAACGTCCATATCGAAGATTGGCTGCCTCTGCATGCAATTGCAAAACTGAAGCTCGACACAGCCCCGTAGAATGAGCATCGGCAAAGACTCCCCTTGCGTTAGTCTATTCATTGGCGGCAGCTGGCCAGCGCCCAGATGAGAGCTTTGTCTATTTTCTCGCTCCCGCTGCGCCGGGTCACCACTCGTCAACCATGGACCTGCTCCGAATGTCGCGCCGGCCCGTTGACGCAGAAATGTAGCCGGGCATCAGCACAGCAGCAACGATTCGGCAACACCGCCGCCCGCGGATTCTCGTTGACGAGCACAAAGGCCGCAGCTGCAAGGGCGGCATCGAAGAACGGCAGCGGTCGGAAGGGTGGTCGCGTGTGGCTCCTTGCTTCGGGTGGCGGCGCTGCGGCAGCGGGTGCGCTTGCCTTCACCGACGATATCAAGCACGGCTACGAAGCGGCGGAACGCGCAGGTCGGGTCGCTGCCGCGCTCGCAGTGTGTATCAACGAGTACGGCTTCCCGCTATCGGAGAGATGCTATTAAAGCGCAGCCCTTACTGATGCAATTACAGTTACCGAACGACTCTCAACCAGAAGGAAAATATCGAGGACCCCGAACTGCAGTCTAAGATCCTGAAAGACTGCCACCAGCGATGCGCCGATCGAACATTGAAGGTCTTGGAGAAAAATGGCGGCATCTTCATCAAGCTGGGCCAACACCTTGTAAGAGCACTTGCCTATGATTGCCTCAACCGGGAGACTGACCGAAGTGCAGAGTGCAATGAACTACCTCCTCCCGCAAGAGTGGACGAACACATTCATTCCCCTACAGGACAAGTGCCCCGTATCGTCCTTCGAATCGATTGAGGATATGTTTCGGAAGGATATTGGCAAAGAGCTCTGGGACTATTTCTCCGAATTCTCGAACGAACCGATTGGCGCCGCGTCTCTTGCGCAGGTACATACTGCAACCGTGAAGGAAACGGGCATGCCGGTGGCCGTCAAAGTGCAGCACCCTGGCCTCGGCCAGTGGTCCCAACTGGACCTGGCCCTGACCCGATTCACTTTCTCGACTCTCAAGCGTTTCTTTCCCGAATACGACCTTGAATGGTTGTCCTCAGAGATGGATGTTTCGTTGCCGAAGGAACTCGACTTTAGGGAGGAGGCTCACAATGCCAACCGCACAAGGGAGCACTTCGTCAAACTGCCGGAGCACCCGCTGGTTGTCCCGGAGGTTCTCTGGGCAAAGGAGCGCATCCTGGTTATGGAGCGACAGTCAGGACACCGACTGGACGATCTCGAGTACCTAGACTCCAACGGTATCGACCGGGACGAGGTCTCTGCTTGTCTCGCGCGCATCTTCAACGAGATGATCTTTGGCCATGACGCCCCTCTGCACTGCGATCCCCACGGTGGAAACCTAGCGATCCGCAAGAACGAGTCCCGGCGCGGTCTCCGCGGCGGACACAACTTCGACATCATTCTTTACGACCACGGCCTCTACCGCGACATCCCGCGCGATCTCCAGCGTTCCTACGCCAAGATGTGGCTCGCCGTCATCGACGGTGACATGAAGCGCATGCGCAAGTACGCCAAGGAAGTCGCCAATATTAACGATGAGCAGTTCCCCCTGTTCGCCTCGGCCATTACAGGCCGTGACTGGAGCGTCCTCAACAGCGAGGGCTCCGTTCTGCAGACCCGCACGGCGGACGAGAAGAAGGAGATGGGCGACGCGCTGCAGGAGGGGTTGATTGTCGACCTCGTCCAGCTGCTTGGCCAGGTCCCGCGCATCATCCTCCTTATCCTCAAGACCAACGACCTCACCCGCAGCCTCGATGAGAACCTGCACACCCGTCAGGGCCCTATCCGCTCCTTCATGATCCTCGCCCGTTACTGCACACGTACTGTGTTTGAGGAGCAGCTTGAGGACTTGAAGCGCCGCGGCTCGCTGCTGTGGCCGCCAAACACTATCCGCCTCGTCTCGGCATGGATCGGCTTCTGGAGGGTCGAGGTCAAGCTCGGTGCCTTTGAGCTATTCTTGAGTGTCAAAAGGATGCTTGGATTAAAGACGGTGGCGTTTCCTGCTCCAGGAATATGATGTATGTGATACCTGGAAGATAGATGCATAGACTTGTAATTTGGCCTTTTTTTGTACATGATATAACTGTTTCCACTTACCCCTTGTGACTCCCAGCAGTCTGAGCGTGATGACTTCATAATCTATCCGTCAGTCGTGGTGTATTGCAAGCGGATCAAAACAGAACGCGATAACATGTAAACGCAGTATCGTACATCTGTGTAAGTGGGTTTCTCGGTCAATGAGAAAGTAAAGTAAGTTTAGGCAGAGAACATACTATGATGCAGAGATAATAGATAGGATCAACTCAAAATGTGGTACAGACAGTCGTGATATTACCTAAATAAAAAACCTTAAGAAAGGTTATGTTAGGGAATTAATATTACTACAACCAAGCCCCTACCTAGATTTATGTCGTATGTCCTCCTAACACTGATAATTCTTGACCATAGTGATCTTAATATCAAGGCCTCTAGCTGTAACTCTGTCTATAAAATCCATACCCAAAACTCCAACTATCAAGCATCTACCCTTAATCCCTGTTAACAGGTTCTAATCGTATAGCAGCATACCTGCTGCATAAGCCATTAGCATAACAGCAAAAGGGTAACCTCCCTCAGTATACTTCAATTCGATAAGGTGACCTTTACTATAATTCTTATCTACTGCAGGGTTAGCCTCAATAAAAGCAGCCATAGTAAAGGGCATACTCCTGATTTTGTAACAACACAACTCCCCTAGCCAGATGGTTGTACGTCACAAGGGCATATAAGCAGTGTTGACAGCAGGGCTTGCACGCGTGCAAGCTCTGACGGATCTTGTGGGTCTTTTGGGTCAATTGGTCATGGTCGCGGAGTCTAAAGGTCCTTGCCACAGAGCGTCACTGTCAGCGTTCTGTTACAATAACAGGCACACAGTTTATTGTCTTATCTGTAGCTCCCTTAGGCGGCTCCTAGTTAAGATTCTTATATAAGATCATTTAAAAAATATAAAGCCTAGGTTGAAAATTTGTCACGCAATTAACAAAAAGTTTCGAGCTTCGCAGTGTTCTTATTGCTGACTGGATGTACCAGACGAAGTGGACTAAGATACAAGGCCAAACTCATGCCAAACTCCATTCCTGATCTCCATTCCTAGTCGATGGGTGGGGTATCGGTATCACAAAACGCCGCCGCCTTACATGTTATCAAGACGCTCCTTGGCGGACTCCTTGGCCTCGTCGGAGACGTTGGGGTTCTTCAGGGTACTGAGAAAAATGCCTTAGTTATGTTTCGGGAGCCGGAGACCGGTGTTAGGAACTGGGTGCAAAGACAGACTCACGCCTTAAGGCCACCGGCAACATTGCCGGGGTTCTTCTGCTCATCATCGCCAGCCTTGGGAACGTCGCCGCCGTTGAACTCGTTCTCAAGGATCTTCTTGGAGTTCTGCTTCGACTCCTCGGAGGTGTTAGGGTTGTTGATGTTGGCCTTGTGGCCGCCGGCGATCTGAGCTTCGGTAGGCATGTTGAAGGTTGGTTTGGTATTGTTGGTTTGGGGAAAGTGTGGTTGTTAAGCTGGTGAGCTGAGATTGTGATTGTATGATTGTTTGTTGTTGTGATAATGATAAAAAAAGACAGGTTCCAGAGGTGTTGGACGGCCCCTTCTTATAGGATCTTTTGAGATGTCGACCAGGTGTTGTTGGACCTTGAGCCGTAAGTCACAAACGCAAGACGGGACAAAGCACAGCTTGGAGCTCGCCGCTTTACCGCTAGGTCTGCATAAGAGCTACGACAACCCAGCGAGAGAGTTGCAGCTCCGACGTAATAGATGGCATCATCGATTCCACAGAGACTTCTCCTGTACACGGCGTTTTCACATTTCCTTTGGTATCCATGACTTAGTTTACACTAATAAACATGTTCACGAAACCGGTGAAAGATACATGAACCACTGCCCCCATATGAAACCACCCAAGCTATGGCAGTGCTACCGGGCCAACGCTCGAGTGTTTCCAAGTATGAATGTTCTCTTTCCCTTCGATCATCGACCGTGGAAATGGATAAGCTGTCCAAAGTCATGACGTCCACAGTCCTGAGAGGAGCCGCTCCAAGACGGGTAGACAACAGAAGATCGAGATGATGATCGAGAAATATCGGTGCGTTCTGTGGCTTTTCTGTTGCTGGTTGTTTCTTATTATTCCGCTTGAGCCCAAGCGGTAGTGCTTGCGTGCCTAAGGGTGTTGCGGGAAGGCATGCAAACTATTGCCGCGAGGGGTATAACACGAGACTAGGTAACAAGGGGGGGGAGTGACAGATCGAGCTGATTTGATACCATGGTAACATGCTCGCGTGGGTTAAGGTGAGTGTGGCTTCAGTTAAGGAATAGCTATACCAGCCCTACAAGTTCTTAGGATGTCACCTCTGTCAATTAACGACAGAGGGTCGGAAAGAACGTAAGGGCAACGGAGCTAGAGAGTTCGGTTCGTATCCGTCCGTTCCCCACGTCCCTCCTTTCCAGATCGATGAGGCGGGACGAAGTCAGATCGCCCGATAATGTCGGTTAGGATGGGACATGATGTGGTGGTTGGTCAGATAAAACCCTGGGGGTTGGAGGCTAGATGTCAGCGTGCGCAGAGCTTTGAATCGACCAATCTGGCACTCGTCCCCCCTCAATGCTATGCCGCATCCGGAGAAAAGAGTGAAGATCGATCTGATCTTGGGCTGGTGATTCTGGGCCGTTAGGCGGTTTGCTACCGATATTGCCTGTCCGTTGTGTGTGTTTGGCCGATTCGTTGCCGTCATGGCGAGGGGTGATGCGTACCTCCCCGGCAAAATAAGCAAGCAAGTGGGCTTGCCTGACGTAGTGCACTAGAGGGCATGCTGCTCCAACAGGACCAATGGCAAACTACATCCGCCCAATTAACAAAACACTGTTTTTTACAGGAACCGGCAACGTTTGATTGTTGTCGATTTGCCTTTGAATTGGTTTCAGAGATTGTCGACAATAACAACATCACTCAACTTGGCCGGGACACAGTGACAAGAATGGACAGAGTGGCCGCTGTAGCTCAACCCAGCGATCTGTGATCGGAATCTGACATGGGAATCTAGGAAGAAATGCAAGGTACCGCTCTAAAACCTTAGCCCCAAGTAAAGGCCCCTTCCAGACCTGTGGAGAAGCTGATCTTGCCTGTAATGCGATGGCAGTGGTGCGTTTTGCACAATTCCAACAAACAAAGCAGCCTGCCGGCGTTACGGCGTGTCGTTAGGCATGCGGCTGATTTGGGCCTTCGCCCCACCAGCGGCAAAGAGGAAGAAACAGGTGGTGACTCATCGTACTGGAGGTGGTGATGTCAATGGCGAGATCCGCTAGACCTGGCCGAGCCGAGAATATGCATATTAAGGGACACAGACTCACCAAGGCGGGAGCTTTTCGTCCGGCGGGACGATGGAAATGGTAAATCCGCTCAATGATCGACAGGGAGAAATATGCTAATTGAAGTGATATCGGGGTAGATTGATATAGAAAGGTCCTTGGCGGGCCAGTTGGGTCACCATTCTTATGCTCGTCGTTTCTACATTGAATGACTTGTGACAGGCTCTAGACCTATCGACCCCCAGATCGTGGCTTGCTATGATGCGCTAGCGTTTCCGGGCAGCCAAACCAAAATGAGCCCATCGCCGGATGAGTTCAGAACCAATTACTCCAGTAGCTATCGTTTGTCGTCTGACGAAACGAGAGACATATCAACTGCCGGCAGGCAAGTAGGCAGACCGGAGTAGAAGGCCACATCGAGCGTTGTTCGTCGGACTAAAGGTGCGCTCCCAGTTACGGAGACAATCCGTCGGACAATCGATCAAATCAAAAGGAGCGTGGCGGCCCAGCGGCGAATGAGATGAAAGAGTCCGCTTCGCTCCTCGGCTTGGCGGCTCATATGCTCGGACGACACCTCCCACAAGCCGCAAACTTGCAGCGGCCCCCAACACTTGTCGGATGATATACCTATCGCGCTTGTTTTGCTGCGATAGTGGCCTTTATGGCTACCATTGGCCAAGGGCGTATGGCCACTTATGCAAGCCACTTTGCTTCGGTCCGAGCTGATATCTTCAGAGCCGCCAGTCTGATGCTCCATTGTGCATCAAGTGGTCCATCGTACTTGGGTATAGGAGCCGTTTGTCGACCAGCCTTAACAGCATGGGTCGAGACACGACTCTTTGGAACAGATTGAGAGGCCTCTTTCGGTGAGAGAATTGTTTGTTATCTATTCTTGGCGTCAATAATGCATCGTTCAGGTGGATGATGAAGTGCAAAAAAAAAGCGCCGGCGCCAAAAATGCTAATAGAGTCGGTGAAGTCGACCGCTCGGCTGGCACTTTCGTGGGGTCCCCTGTCAAGTGGATTGGGTTTGGCCAATGGGCTCTTCCGTGGCGGCTATCTGGGGCAGTACCCGTCCTGCCGCGTGGCTGTGCTGAGGCTTCGCCCGGGGCCCAGACCACCCACTCCATCCGACTTCACTCCATCCTGTCTCCGTCACCTCCGTCATCCCGGAGCACCGGTATCGTCAAGCTCTTCCATCAATTCTCACAAGCATCGTGAGGCCTGTCAAACAAGGGCCTCAGCTGATGTAACCACACCGCACGACCATTGCTGCAAGGCTGAAGCACACCTACACAATCCCTACAACACACAAGCACACAACTTCATCTGCAAAATGACATCACCAGATGCCCCTGAACACCAGCCTGCGGCCATCAACTATGTCGCAGGCTTCCTTCTTGTAGGCCTCGCGTGGGGCTTCACGACCCCCTTCATTCGTCGCGCTGCGAAGGACCACAACCCGCCGCCGCACCCCATCCTCGAGACCGACGCCGTTAAGCGGAGCTGGTTCCGGAGCCGCGTGTACGGTGCCTTCTTCGGCGTCGTCGATCTGTTGCGCAACCCGCGGTACGCCGTGCCGCTGCTGATCAACTTGACGGGGAGCGTATGGTTTTTCCTGCTTATTGGGCAAGCTGGTAAGCACCCTAACTCTCTCATTTTTGAAAAGATGAAAGAGTGCTAACAACTGGCCTTAGAGTTGAGTTTGACGGTACCTATTGTTAATACTCTTGCGTTCCTCTTCACCGTCATTGGAGATTGGTGGGTTGAGAGCAAGGTGATTAGTCGTGGTAGGTCGCAATTCTGCAAGGTCGCATATATGATTGGCCGCACGACTGACTTCTTGCAGAAACACTGGTTGGCATGGTGTTGTCTCTTTCCGGGATAGCGTTATGTGTTCACAGCAAGACCAGGTAATCAACTCGGGTCTCTTTTTTGGTTGGCGAGATAGTTCTAGTCAAGGGCGGCACATTTAGATGCATGAGGCTTGGGCCACCGCATGTCTCATAGTGGATGCAAGGTACATAGGTTAGGTAAACGGCACTTGGGGGCCTTTGAAAAGATATTGAGATATGAATATAGACAGTTGAAGCGAACAAGATCCCTGCGCCGGGCAGCTCCAGTCGTCCAAGTCTTCCACCGCCTGTGTTGCCTTTATCTTCCTCGCCTAAGAGACCCCACTGGTCGCTAGCCTACCTGGGCCAGGACCCCTCTATATCAAGCGCATCCAGTCCGCCTGAGGAGAATAGTAAATACTATGAATCGAAAACAAGAATGAGACTGATGTGGCCATAATGGTCGCTGCTGTAGCTGTTGGTATCCTCCATGCGCCGTGTATGCAAAAAAACCTCCGCCCGGATGCGTGTAGCCTGAAATCGCTCCAATTTCGTATCGCATCGAAATATGCCGTGTCATTCATCACACCTCACTGGTTTGCGACCATCACGCTGTTGGTCGTCGTGCGCGGAGCCAGCGCTGCACACTTCGTGAGCTGGGGTCCTCGGCCGTCCAGCGGCCCATGGAGCGGTCAGATGCCTGCAACTCATTGTAGATTGCGTCGTCGGTGATCGTCGAGAGCTCCTGCATTTATCATATCAGTCACGCCATGACTGCAGCCATAGGTTGATGGATAATTACTCACAGCTCTCAACTGTTGATCACACGCTCTCACGTGAGATCCATTCCTCGAATTCGGTCTCCCGCCCTGCAGAACACCGTCCCGGTTGCTGATCCATCGCTGCGCAGCAGCCTGGCGCAAGTAGATTTTTTGACACTCGTGTCTTCTGGCGAAGGAATCGAGCAGGCATCTATAGGAGCAACAATCAGTTTCACTGTGCCATTTCGTCCATGGAACAAAATACTGACTGTTTCAACTCCGCCTTTTCTTGCTCAAGCGGCCCGCCGCTAACCTGCGGAACACTGGTGTCGGCCGCACAATTGAGAACATGCTGTCCGTCAAGAGCGCATTGCCGCAAGGCCGCCCAACCCTCAGTGTAGTAGTCTTCCATGTTGGCCGGGTCCGTAGGCGCCGCCGCGATGTAGTACTGCAAGGTCCGGAAATCGGAGAGAATCTCGGCGACTCTCATCGTTCGATATTCGTTTACTGGAACTCATGTTAGGTCTGTCCGAGCTATGAGACCCTTTGGTACTAGGCCCATATGCCCCAAGGAGCCTGCCTGATAACATACATCCGTCCATTGTTCTAGTGTAGTATGGGTGAGAGCGATGGGGTGCAACAACCAGAGTAAAGCTCAATGAGAAACAAGAAAAGTCAAACGAAAACAAAGTATGGTGTACAAGAATTAGTATTAGTCGCGGCGTAAGAGAGGGAGCGGGCCTGCTGTTGTTGAGACAAGTACACACACTGGCTGATGCAAGACCACGAGCATACTACCAGTGCCATGAGCTTCTCCTTTTGTATATCGTCGACGGCCTCCGAAAGACTCGGGAAAAGTTAATCACGAAGTTTACGGACCATCGTCCGAGAAGAAGACCAAGGTCAAGCCCTGGGATGCTCCGTCATGAATCGCAGAGCCGTCCCAGGTGGTTCCAAGAGGTAAGGGGGCCCCATAGGAACGCAGGAGGTCCTGGGAAGCGTTGATCCAATGAACCGTTGGTTCATCTGATGAACCCCACGGCGTCCGAGTCCGACCATGCAGCCGACCGACGAGTCGGAAAATTAAGACCAGGGTCCTAGCAGTTGGGATGGCTTTGCAAGCTCAAAGCTAGACGGACCCTAGCCAAGCTGGTGGAAGTGCCCTGGTCTCTCGGATACGATGTGAACGAAGAGACTACTCTGGCTCCCGGGAGGCCTGGCGATGATGCCAACTCACATGTTGCATGCTTAGACAAACGTGGTCCAGACCGCACGTCTAAGAAACTGACGACATGCTGGAAAGACAGAGCCGTCAGCAAGCTGGCCTGAACGGCAGCCACTCGACATGCTGCTGACGAGGCTGCGCCGGATGGTAAGACCTGGATTGAGGACGAGGGTGTAAGGCTCTAGGTGGTGGGTGCCATGGGTCGGAGAAAGTCTTGAGATTCAAAGACCGGGGTAAGACACGTGAAATCACGGCATGACGAAAAGGAACCGATGGGATTCCATCCAAGCCCAAACCCAGTACCTAGTCAAAGTTGGTATTTTGCACGGATATTTTGCCTAGGTCAGGTCGGTGACAAGGATTCGCAATAAGGTAAGGCTGGTGGATCTTCAGCCGTAATATTGACGGCCGGATTGGGAAGTGGGCTGGCGTTGTGCATGCAGTGCTGCTCCACAACGTCGTGACTTGATGGGGAAGGGTGGCCAATCATCGTGTCGAGACCCTGACCGTCTCCCACGTTTGGCACGTTTTGTTCCAGCTGAGCCGATACCGCCAAACCGGTCACCCGCATTAGGTCCCCGTGTCGATTACCCGTTGCGACTTAGCAGAAGGCAGACTGCGAGACTTAGGACGAAATTCTCCTTACGGCACACGATTGCTGTGAAGGGGACTGGTTGGGAGACATCCTGGGCTGACATATCCAGCTCTGACTCGGGACGCCATCATTCTCCTCCCCCTGCCATCCCACCGCCCACGTCATGGCCTCTGGAGTTCTGCAGCCCCTAACGGAAGAAAGGGGAACCTTGCTTCCGCACAAGGGCAGATTGCGAACCGTTGGGAGATCTAACGGCCTCAATGGCTCAACCTTCCTCCGTCGTGTTTGTGTCTGTCCGTGTTTATTGCTTTTCCTCATAGGATCACTTCACTTCATCCCACTGGTCGCCCTATGAGGCCGTTTCACGAGGCCAGTAGCCTACCCGCCTACAAACCTACGCCCGCTTCCCGATATTGCTTGAGGCCATGACTGGCCGCAAGCTTTCCTTGCGTCTTTTGTGTCTCATGTCTTTCTCATCAGGTTATTATCCGAGACAGCGATATCTCAAATTCTGTCCGCTGGCCCTAGTCAAGCCATACCAGCCATTTCCATCATTGTGCCTACTATGTCAGTACTCAGCCAAGCCACGAACGGCCCCGCGGCCGCTGTAAAGTCGAGCACCATTGGGTTGATCGTTGCAACGTCTTCCGAATGTCTTGATCTATAACGGTTGGTAGGCTGGCTAGTAGTACAGTCGTGCGCGGGGATCTGTGTTCGGGAGACAACCAGCTTGACTCTCATTTGCAACACCCCGCGGATGGTCATGCGTGATCTGGTCTGTCAACGAATCAATGTCGCCTTGGACTCATCATCGGACGCACCGACGAAGTCCAGCTTCCACCTGCCGGAATGTGTCTGTTCCACCTCAGTCCTTCTCCGCAATCGCCTGTAACCGCTCGTCGATCTCGTCTTCGGTAAGGATTCGGAAGCCCGGATCCGTTCCCTCCTTGCCGTCCGCGCGGGGGCCTCCAACAATGCCAATCTCGATCTCGCCCTTCTTGAAGTCCATGCTCAGAACGGTGCTGAGAGTGGTGATGGCGAGCTCAACAACCTCCGTCCAGTCGCCCGGGGCGTGATCCTTGTTACGCAATTTCTTCTCCAGGTGGTTGAGGGCCTCCTGCTGCTTGGGGCCTGCTGAAGTGCCCTTGTAGCCAATGTAGTATCCCGCAGGATCGCACTTGAACAGCTGAGGTCCGAACTCAGAGTCCAATGAGATCAGGGTCGTGGCCACTCCGTACGGGCGCATGTAGGCCTAGGTTTTTTATAAGTCACAGTCAAATACGTCATCCTCAGGTTCCATCCTACGTACCCTTTGTGTGTAGACTTGGCTGATGTTGGCCAGTCTCTTGGCCAGAGCATCAGCAGGCATTTCGTAGCCGTACTTGTATCGGAACTCGGCTGCCTCGCCTTGCGCACGCTGCGAAAAGGCACGGGCATCGGCAATGGAGCCCGTGATGACGCAACCGACGGAAGGGGAGAGCTGGAACAGGTGAGAGACGGAGGCGGGGTCGATGAGTTTGTCCTTGCGATTGGGTCAGTTCCTGTTCCCACATACGACTCTGTCGACTCTCAACGTACAGGAACCTTCTTCTGAGACAGGACAACGGCGCAGTCCTTGCCTCTGACGCCTATCGACATGATGTTGGCGGCTGTGATTGCCTTGAAGGCATATTCTGGTCGAAGCGTATCGTCAGCTCGGCCGGTGACAAGCCATGTCGTTGCTAGCCCCGCATGATCGCATCACCAAAGGGAGGGGCAATCGGTTCGCGGGGGGAAGGGTTTACATACCGACTTGGTACAATCTTCCCTGCTCGGAGAAGATCGTAATGTGTCGGTCGTAAGCTGAGCCACCTGATCGAGGAAAGACAAGTTAGCTATGATGGACATTCGCAAGGGTAAGGCCAGCTCTAGGAGGACGCACCCGACATCTTGGCGGTATTGTTATGTTTACGTGGGTCGAATTACGTCGAAGAAAATCGTATACGGTCGTCACGAACTGAATGAAGGCGTTGATGCGTGGAGGATGGATTTGGTTGTCGGTTGTGAGGTCGGGGTTGAGCTCTGACGGAGCTCTTGGATATCGACGCGTTTGCAGGAGCTTGCCTGGAGCAGGCGAGGCAACGCAGCGGGCAGCTCCAGTGGCCCAGCATGGAAGGCTGAGTGGATGCCTTGCCCCCGTCCCTTGTTCTCTAAGGCAGCAAACCGAAGACGTACTATGCAAAGCTTACATAAGGCAGTTGGATCGCAAATATACCTATGAACGCGGCACTTTCCGGTACGTACCGCATATGACAGGGAAGTAGCGGGGCACCCCTGTTCAGTGGGAACGACAACGCATCTCTGCTGCCAAAAATTTGGCAGGGCGGTATTCAGAGCCAGAAAAAAAAAGTAGACTGGGACCATTCCCAATACTATCTTTTCAGTGTCGAGCACCACTCTCTACGCCCAATAGGACTGCTGTTCATGAGGCCACAGCATTCCAATCTAATAGGCTAATCACACGTGGAAAGCATCGAAGCGGCCCAATTCTGCACTTTTCGCTCCTCTCGACTGGCCAGACGCGCAGACAACAGATTCCTGGCCAAAGAAACAGCAGCGGCCCGAGAAGCAAGCACCCCTCCTCCCTCCCTCCCTCCAAAGAATTCCGAGAAGAGAAGCCGAGAGAAGCCCTAAGAGGGTGTGCCCGCTGCCCGTCATGTCCTCCGCCCAAAAAGTCCCGGCCTGGAAACGATTGGGCCTCAAGCTCAAGCAGCCCGCATCCGGCGCAGAGATTGGCGGCCCTGCTCCTGCCGAGGGATCGAAGCCCAACGGGCAACAACACCACGACCGGCACGCCAGCGGCCCCGTCGTCAACGCCGCCAACGCCTCCCCGGCCGCCGCCGCCGCCGCCAAAAGGAAACGTCTCGATCAACAGACTCCCCCTGCGTTCAGCTCCCCCTTCAAAAGGACCCGCACGGACGATTCATCGAACAATGCAACCCCGACCCTGAGGAAGCAGAAGTCCGTCACATTTGCCGACGACGTCAAGAACCCCACCGCTGCCGAAACGAACAGGAAGAAGAGCAAGGGCCTGAAGAAGGCGGCCAAGACGGCGACGCAGCAACCCACCGCCGACATCAAGCCCTCCCTTGAGTACCTCCGGAACTGGAAGTCGTCCCGCGAGACCTGGAAGTTCAACAAGAACCATCAGACCATCCTCATGAAGCGGGTCTTCCACGCCGATGCGATCCCCTCGAGCGACATCGCTACCTTCTACGAGTACATCCAAGACCTGAAGGGCTTCACGAGGACCCGGTTGAAGGAGACGGCAGCGGAGGTCAAGCAGGAGGATACCGAGAAGGGCAAGGCTGCCTTCCCCGAAGGCACGCCGGACATGGACTCGAAGCAGTCCGAGTACGAAGAGGTGCTGGCAGGCCTGATGCAGCTCGGCTCCGGATCCGGCTCCAAGAGGAAGCGCTTCGACGAGGCCAGCTTCGTGTCGCAGTCCACAGATGTTGCCATTACCCAGCGTGTCATCAAGCGCATGCGCGCCGAGACGATATTGGAGGAGCTGTCCGATAGCGAGGACAGCGATGCCATGACCATTGATACGGAGGAGACGGCCCCGGCGACCCAGGCGGCTGCTCAGGAGGAGACCGTCGACAAGAGGGTGAAACTCAACGACGGCACGAAGCAAAGCACCGCTCGTCGCCGCAAGAGACGTACCAATGTTGACTCCAGCTCAGAGTCCTCCGATTCCGAGTCGGACTCGGATTCCGACAGTGACAGCGACTCGGACGACTCGGACAATGCAAGCGAGATTCAGCGTCAAGCCGCTCAGCGCGAGGCCGAGACCTCGAGCAGCTCATCGTCGTCTTCGGAAGACGAAGACAGCAGCAGCGAGGACGACAGCGATGAAGAGGAGGAGACTACCAAAAAGAAGGGTTCGAAGAAGTAGGGGGAAGTTAAAAGGATACGGTGAGGATGGCACTGTATCAGTCATGCATGCATCATATCTGTACCACCCCACCCACTCAGTCCCGTTGCCACGATGCTAGGATGTAGAGGAAAATTTGCTGTCTTTTTTGTTTTGTGCTGGGGGCAGACTGAATCTATCAATGGATACCCACGAGTCTACACTTTATGAAGCATATAACCGGGTGAAACCAGCCTCGGGCGGCTGCAACCAGTTCCTTTCATCGTACTTTGTGCCCTCGCCCTCGATGACGTGAAACGTGTAAATGATGCGTCCCTTCTGGCTCAGGTTCTTCTCGCTCTTGTGCAGCAAGTTGCCGTGGATCAGCACCAGGTCGCCGGCCTTGACCTCGCCGGGCACGTACTCGCCTCCCTTGTCCTCGGCGCCGTACTGCTCGCCGGGGGGGAACCGCGGGCCGTCGTTGTCCACCATCTCCGTCCCGGCGTTGCCCGGCTTGCGCACCAGGCGTTGCGTCACGGGCGCCCAGCGGTGCGAGCCCGGCAGGAAGCTCAGGCACCCGTTCTCGAGCGTCGCGTCCTCGAGGGCGTACCAGAACCCCACGGCCGACGGCGGGTCCGTGTACAGGAACGTCGAGTCCTGGTGCGGGGGCACGGCGCCGCCAATCTCGGGCTGCTTGCAGATGACCATGCTCTGCAGGCACCGCGGGTCACGGAAGCCCAGGCTGCGGGCCACGGCGGACGGTTTGCCCTTGACGGGGCCGAGCCGGCCTGGGTTCGGGTCCGAGATGGCGGCGAAGGGCGGCGAGAGGATGTGCAGGTAGTGACCGATCTTGTTGATGGCGCGCGCCTTGGGTTTCACAAGGTTGCCCGCGTCGTCAAAGGCGTCCTCTTCGAAGAAGAATCGGACCTTATCGCCCGAGGAGAGGAAATAGTCGTCGCCGACGTGTTCGGCCTTGTCGCCGGTGGAGAAGCGCGTCATGGGGTGGTCCGAGAGTGAGAAGTTGTCCAGCAGCGAGTGGGTCTCGGAGAGCAGGCCCGAGACGGTCTCGGGGGAGAGGGCGCCGGGGATGATGAGGTAGCCGTTGCGGTGGAAGCGGGCGAGCTGCTCCGGGGTCAGGCCCTCGTCTTGTGAAGGGACGGTCATGGTGACGAGTGGAGGAGGGGTCGATGGGGGGCGTAGGCCAGGTTGTTTGGTGTGAGAGGAAGGTATCGTTTTATTATGACGGGTGTTTCTTCTAGACTATGAGTCGCGCCAGCAACACCAACAAGTCAGGTAAATTGATGGCCTCATATGGGTTTCAAGGTGGCGCGCCGTTGGATATCTGGCGGGGTGAAAATGGACAGCAGAATGCGGGGATCCGCGCCCCACAATAGCCCGCCAGCGCCTATCTCCGTCGTCTCCCTCACAGTCGTCACTTTCATACCTTGTGATACAGCCAGGTTGCTTATACAAAAAATTGTGTATTTGCTTGTATACCTAATTGTTCGGGCGCACATGCCAGAGGTGTATATTCATCACTTAATCCAGCCCGCTGCCATGAAATCAATTGTAACAGAACTCCCCTTCCCATGTCCAAAAAAGTATCGCCCCGGAGAGAAAAAAAGACAAAGTATAAGACGCCGGTTTTCTTAATGCGCGTATGTGGTAGAACCAAAGGTGAGGCATGCCTTTGATATTTGTTTCCCTATTGACGGACATATCGCTTACGGCAAGGGGTCATTGAGGAATTCGTATCCCTCCTCTGGCGGGAGCACAAAGGCGGAGATGGCCAGGCCAACAGCGCAGAGAACAGAGACGGATGCGCTGATGGTGCAAAGAATCCAGGAGGTATCCAAGCCCCAGCCGGGAACCTGGAACTGCTCATCGTTATCGTAGAGGTATGCCTGCGAAGGAGAGCGAGTCATTTAGCTTTGGTTTTCCGTCTGGCGCATGTCGTTGCCAACTCACCACAATGCCCATCAGCGTGAACTCGACTACGCCGACCAAAACCAGAAGTCCGCCGAGGATCTTCCAGCCAGTCTCGCGCTTGTACTTGCCGCCGCCCATGATGACGATGAAGGTGACGATGGATGCAAGATGCAAAATCGTCGAGAAGGAAGCCAGGAAGCCGACAGAGCGCCACATGGAGCAGAAGTACCGCTCGCCATTCTTACTGCACAACTCTTCTGTCGGAAACTCCTGGCATGGCGGGTCATATAGGTTCGAGCATGCGCGATGCAGGCCGATGTGTTTTGAGAACTCCTTGCCGTCCGTGGCCGTAACGGAGTAGGTGACCCAGTGGGGCAGCGTAATGGATGCGATAATCATCGCCGTCGCTAGCAGAGAATGGCATTGTCAGCGTCGTGCGCCTGGTTGTGTGATTTCTCCCCCTCGCCCGAAGCCTGGCGTCGCGTGCCTCCAAGATGCTGGCTGGCTTCTGGCTTCAGAAACGACGATGACGATGCCGTGTGGGTCCGTCTCCTTCCGTAAAGCCAAAGCAAATGCCACTTACCGGCGACAAAAGCCACGAGGGCGGCGCTGTAAACGGAGACTCGTGTCATGTTCGCGGTTCGGACGACGACGTAGGGTACAGTCACGGATGGTAAAGCAAGCTGTCTTCTCTTCCTCCTTTCTGCCTGAGAGAAGAATAGATGGATGAGGCAAGATTTGAAGATGGCCAAAATGCCTTGGAACGAGGCAGCTGGACGGGAGACTGCCAGGTCGGGGGTCTTTCAATGATTGGCGGTGGTGGGCAGACTGGCCGCAGTTATGACGCTACCCTTCCCTGAATCGGGAAGCCGTGGGCACTTACGCGTGTGGTTTGGAGGTGGGCTTCGAGGAAAATGACATTTGTTTCAATGTCAATTGCGCAGGCGCCCCAGGTACCTTTCCCCCAACTGAACATCGGAAACAAGTGCAGAAGGCAGCTACAGCTGTGAGCAGCATGCAATTTAGTCGCAGCATGCATGGCACACGGGGGGTTAACCTGCCACACCATCTCACCTCTCCTTGCTTTCCCTGCTCTCCCGTCACATCCCACCTCCCTCACCTCACAGATCACCCACTGCCCACTCCCCATTGCTGCAACTACCGTGTCGTGACCAAGATTGCAGCGCATCTGAGGGTAACTTAGCGCGGCCCGGATATTGTTAGCGACGTTATGGACAGAGCACTCATTCCGCGCTGCTCTCCTAACTCGTCTCACCTTAGCAACACAACTCGGCCTTCACCGCTTTGTCTTGCACAGATCGCAGTTCGCCGGGGGCTCTCTGTCGCTATTTCGTGTAGCTAGTTCGCTGAGAGCCGGCAATCGAGGAAACCCACGCTGGCACCAAGCATACCAGCCAGCCCAATGGAGATGTGAGTCACCTGGGAAAGCATGGGAACGGGATCCGGAAATTCGTTCAGGTGCTGCAAACATCGAGATATGGACAACGTGGCCGACTTATTCGACTGCCTAAACCATTTGCGCCTGCCGTGCTAACCGCCACTATGAATCCAGCTCTCAGACGCCTGGATTGTGGGGGTAAACACCAAGGCCGCTGTATCAGCACCTGCGCCTCTCCGTTTCTGATGCGATCAATCCGTCCCCTCGCACCCCACAAAGGCATTGCCCTGGGCTCCCGAATGGGTGATCTGGCCCGCCAAATCACACTTCTGGTTGATAATGACTCTGTCGGCGCCAGGCTTGCCTATTCGCGGTTCAGTCAGCTCCGACCCAGCCTCACGCATTTGAGCGCCCTGCTTCAACTGCGACGAATACGACGAGGTTGCAGCCCTGCCACTAACGATCCTTGGCAACCTGCGTCTAACCGGTACAGGCACCAAATATAAAGTACACGCCAGATCGCCGATCTTCGCAACCGCCCTACGATTGAGAACTCAAATAGACTGCTTACCGCCTTTGTAAACACCACTCGTCTTCATCGGGAACTCGACAAAAGGTCCGTCAACCCCATTGAAGTCGAACCCCTCCTGGTTCCGGTACGTATGAGGATAGCTCGAGCTGCCGGCCGTTGTCCCAGCATCCACGTGCTGGCAAGCCGCGTCGGCGGCCAACCTCACCGAGGTGAGGCTGTACGTGTTCGGGCCACATGCTATCTCCGTGTCGTTGGCCCGGGTCAGGATTCGGAGGCGTCCGTGCCGCGGGGAAGCCTGGACAGTGAGGCTCAGGGCCGCGATGATGGCCACGTAGAGATGCATGTTGGGCAACAAAAAAACCGAAAATACCAAGAGGACAAACGAACGAGTTGGTCTGTCTCTCGCTCTGCATGTTCTCATTTCTTGGTCGGCCACAGCGACCTTTTGAACCATTTCAGCATCGACGTCCCATGGCTTCAGTCGCCTATGATGAATTGGTTCATTCAACGCAACAGTGAGAGAGTCGCGGTGCACAAACGCGGTGCTGCAAGTTGGTTGGCCATTGCCTCGAGTACACCAGCGATCCTCATTCACTTGCACTCAGCCAACTGCCGTGCATAGCAAGACACCTCTCGGATCCGGAGAACCGTTTGACGCATGACCGACTTGATTGGCTGGAGGCCCTCTCCGTGGTAATCTCCCAGTTGGGAATGGGACCAGATCATGACAACGGTCGGGAGCAGCAAGTATTGCTCGCCGTGCAACGTTGAACGAGTGCCACACGACTCAGGAACAATACCGCCGCCGTACAAGTTACGTGAAAGTAGGGGGCATTTTGTCGGTTCCCACATGTCGCAATCCACCAAAGGACTGAGGAACGGGTTGTAATTCGAGGCGGTGGCCGGGCCTTTTGCGGTCTTGTCAAAGACTCGCGACAAGGGTCCCAGGCTCCTCGGCGATCTGTCTAGCCTTGAAGAGTCGACCGAAATCTCCGCAGAAACCCGATCCGCGATCTCAACAGACGACGACGAGAAATTCTAGAATCGTTCGCGCCAACTCACTCCAACTGCAAACCCCCAGCTGAAGCGGTCAGCCGGAAATCCCCATGGAGAATCATACCTATTCAGAAATTAGGGGGTGGTCGATTCTGACATCTGTCAAACGCACGCATCATCGCGGGACTAGGCCGCATCGATATGTAAAATCCATGCTGAGGAAACATCGAGTGATCATAGACTCGCGGTACCCCACCAACCAGACAGGCTCGGGGTTGCTTGTGATGCCGACCTCCTATCTCACATGTGGGAAAGCCTCTTTATCGTCCGTATCTTTGTTTGGTTTGCCCAATCTCCCCTGACTCAATTGCCCGGAACCGGTTGCAGCGCCATCGACGTACACACAAAGCACAAAGGCTTGTATCGTTTCTGTTCCGTTGACAAGCCCAAGCCTGTCCGTCCCGCGACCCGGATCTGATTACAAACCGTGCTCTCGTCTCTCGGGAACCATTCACCGCACACCATTCGATCACGCCAGAGGCAGGGCATGCAGAGCAATCCCTACAACGCGCGACATGCCGCACCAAAGCTGGGTCTGTCGGCCACTCAAGACAGCCGGATCGAGGCGGCCTACCCACTACGCCTGGAGCTAAGACCAGGATAGCCCCGAGTGGATGGGACTGCAATCAAGGTGAGTTTGGGAAGGTCTCTTCGCTTCGGCGCAGGGTCCTCGGTCCCTCGACAATAACTTACGTATTCCATTATTTTTCTTCTTTAAACTCGGCCGCGCGCTTCGGACAAGAGTTACATGGTCAGCGAGCCGCAACTCTTCAACGTCATGGAGTTCTGTTACTGCCCTGTGCTCGACTCGTACTGCTCCTCGCGCCTCGATATCCGGTGAAGCCGGCCCCAGCTTATTCTTCATCAACTTCAGAGCTGCCATTCTCCGACCCGCAGACAGAGACACCAAGCTTATCACGAATTCTGGATTAACGGCGACACCCTTGCTCCATTGAACGGATAACGATAACGACTTTACGATTTCATCATTTGACGACGCCATCCTGCGCCAACATCTGCGAAGCGCATCCAAAAGCAGTGTCTTTCCAAGACGCCGAACAGTCCTTAATCAATATGGGAGACCAACGTCACTTGGAGCACCGGCCAGTGCAGACCAGCGCGGTCTACGTTCTCGGCGCGACTCACTGCGACTCAATGCCACCTCCTTCACCTCCTTCACCGCCAGTGTCTCCGCCTGAAGATGAGTTTTTGGAAGACTTGGAGGAATTGAGCCTGGGATCGCCCGACGACATCCCCGAGAGTGACGAGACCTGCGCCAAGATCCAGGACCGCCTTCACGCCGCAACACATGTCCTCAAGACAGAAGCCGCAGCGCTGCGGGCGGTCGCAAATTTGTACGAGACAGACCCAGTTGCCCGGGACGGCTTCAACAGGACCGTAGCGGCAGTTACACGGCACAAGGGCGAAAAGGGCAAGCTCATCATTACCGGGGTTGGCAAGTCTGGTCACATCGCCAACAAGCTGGTTGCAACTTTCAACAGCTTGTCCATCACATCAGTGTTTTTGAACCCCATTGACGCTCTCCATGGCGACCTGGGCATTATTCAGAAACACGATATTCTCATGTTCATCACATTTTCCGGAAAGACGTCAGAACTCTTCAGCTTATTACCGCACCTCGACAAACCTTCGTCATTAGTCATCCTCACCGGGCACACAAGACCTGATACTTGCGAGCTCATCAAGCTCCGGCCAGACACCATCCTTCTCCCGGCGCCGGTTCACGAGAGCGAAACGGCGTCATTCGGCGTCTCAGCCCCAACAACGTCCACGACAGTCGCCTTGGCCGTGGGCGACGCACTCGCCATCGCCGCGGCACAGGAGCTGCACCCGAGCGTCGCGCAGGTCTTCTCCAAGAACCACCCGGGTGGCGCGATTGGCGCTGCCTTCCGGAAACCGCAGACGATCCTGGACCTGGCCGTTCCCTGGATCGACATTGTCGACTCGGACAACCTGTGCGCGGACAGTGTGGGCGCGGACCTCTTCCGGGCCGCGTACGACTCGGCGTCCGGGTGGGTGCGCGCTGGCAACGATGTCGCATCGCCGGGCCGGATCCGGAAGCTCGCGACGGCGGACTTTGCGCGGTGTCTAAGGGACATTCCGAGCCTAATGGTTCCGAGAGCGGAGATGCTCTCCGTCTCGTCGGGGACAAGTATACGGCGCGCCGTGGACTTTGTGAGGAATATGCAGGGCGCCGCGGACGACGGCGAGTATGTATGCAATTCGGATTCGATCCTGGCCATCCTGGACCAAGGAGAAATGGTTGGCGTTTTAGAAGTGGGAAAGCTTTTGGAGTGGCAGGACTGAGGCCGCCGGCTCCCTTGCGGGCGACCGCGATGAATTGTGTGCGAACTGGGCGGGAATGGGGAAATCTCCAAATCACATGTGCCTCTTTGGAGCACGTGGGCGAAGCGTTTGATATCATTTTTTTTTGTGGGAAATATGCCAGGCCTTTGAGCCGGCTTTGACGATATTGTCTATAGAATTGGGATATTACCGGATCCGGACCAAAATCGAGTCTGATGATTGGCATGGCGACTACGCCACTCTTGCATTGCAACCTTGTTACCCTTTTTACCACGGTACTACCAGATCCCGAAGTCAGTGAATCGTGATCTCTGTGAGATCCTCCGCCCTCCACCAGGGGGCAACCTCCAGCCACGCAGTTTGATGCCCAACATCCTCAGCCCTGCGTGGGAGAACCTTGACCGGAGCCTGGCTGGGCACGGGCACAGGCAACACCCCTCCTTGGGGTCACCGCGCCATTGAAGCACCCAGGGCCAACTCGATGCTTGGCTCCCGACGCCAAGCTTCACCGACTTCATCTCGACTCCGTCAGGCTGCCAGAGACTCGGCCCGTCCTCAATGTCCCGCAGTCGGGCCAAAGGCGTAGAGGACGGAACCTGCAAGGCTGAGGGGGGGGGGGGGGGGGGACATGGGTGCGAGATACATGGAACCGCGACAGAGGCCAACCGGCGGATGTTACTAAGGTGGGGTTTCCGTATTTAGAGTTTCTCCAACCTCTCTGTCCCGCGGTGAATGTCCGGCTGCCCACCTTGGGCCGTGGAAGAGCGTGCCTGAAGATCCATTCCCACAGTGTGCGGGAACCGTTCGAAGCATCCAACGTAGAGAGTGTGGGCGCGACGAAATGGGCATCGTGAGTTGGCATCGAAAATTGGGACGGAAATGGACGAGTAACACCGGGAGGGCCTGGGTCCCCCGGGCATCCCGCGTAGACGCCATCCTTGCCGTGCCGAATGAGACGTACGGGGTTTCCCGCGACTCGGGCGTCGGCAGCGGCGTTGGGGTGCTGGGAGCGCGGGCGGACTCGCGGTGCCTGTTTGAGGATGCCTGCGAGGCCAAGTACAAACCCGTTTCGGGAGTTCGGTTTTCTTCTTTTCTCGATGGCATTGCCGAGAGACAAGAGTTCCAGAACTCCCCAATAGTTGAGGCGATGGCGACGGCTAGTCGACAAGCCGTTGCGGCACCATGGCCGTCTTCCACGGCAACTGGGGCTTGTTGGCCGGGTCGGTTGCTACGGAAAGACGAGAGACAGCTCCCCGCCAGAAGAAAGACGAGACGAACTGATCCTCCCTTTTTTCGTCTTCGTGCACGAGAGGGGGGAAGGCCGCTAAAGTACGGACACTGTGCTGTGTCAGAAGATGCTTTTTTCCTTCTTGGTGTTCTGTGCGCTAGAAGGTGTGTCTTGACCGTTGGCCCGAGGACGGCGACGACGCCACAAGCTTGGACCGGATCAGGCCGAACCGTCTGCGGTGCCAGAAACGAAACAAGGGCGTTGTTGGCGTTTCTGGTCATGAGAAAACATCAGACAGACAAGATCTGCCGGGCTGAGACGTGTTTGGGTATTGTGCATGTTCACCCCAAAGGAATGTGCCTTGCGTTGTGGGGGTTTGTCGATACAGCTCTGGATGGCTGTAGCAGACGAGGCTTCATCGTCATTTACGTGCCTCTGAAAAGGGCCAGCGTCTGGAACCCTTGATCGGCATCACGAAAGTCGTCACGCATGTACGCAATCCCGCGCAGAGTCGACCGGTTGACCGTTGCCGTGGCCCACGGCCGCAGAGGGGGGAGCATTTTCACCAGATCCGAAACCCATCACGGCGATCTCAAGAGAGATTGCAAATTTTTGAAGCTTAAACTCACAAGAGAGGGGACCCGGCCCATCGGATCTGTCAGTGAGGTTCTCTTGGATTCCTGTGCTTCTATTTCGGTGTGGGGGAGACGTCAGCTTTCAGCTCTTGGCGACAGACACCTCGGTGGGGGGGGGATGAACCGCGGAGGAAGCACTGTGAGGCTTCCGCTGCTTGGCTGCTACGAAATGGTGACATGTACACCACTGAAGAAACGGATTCCCGGCGGGCTGATTGGCCCAGTCGGAGAACTCTGGACCCCCCCCCCCCCCCTCGGCGGCTCGTTTCCCTTCTTGCTGCAGCGGTTCGAGAAATGTCATTGGGGCGGACGTCTTGGGGCCCTGAGGCGCGTCAGCCATTGAGGCTCAGTTCGGGATGATGTGCATATCCCTGCTTGCAGCCGGCGGGCCACAATGGCCACGACTGGGTGAAGCTGGGAGGAACGGGGACTGGTCCGCAGCAAGCTTCAAGTTGAGGACTATTGGGGCTAAGAACATCGAGTTCCCATGAGTTCCGTGAATGTTCGGGTCTGCCGCTGAGCTGGTAGAGTGCGAATTGCGGGCGGTGGCCGGACATGGACGTTCCCCATGGACCGATGATCAATTGCCACGGCAGAGGCCACGGCAAAGCATTGGGATGCGATGAGCTCGGCGACCAACCACCGCCAGCTCATTAGACGTTCAATTAGCCGGTGGTTGAGGAGGGTGAAAAGTGACAGGCTGACTGGCATGCGAGACTCGCACAACGGTTTTGGTCCAATGTTTCAAGCACGCCCGGTTCGGTCTTGTCCAAATCCGTGTTCACTCCATGTAACCGTACGAGTCACGGCCTTGGACCAACCCTCGATATTTCCCGTACGGAATAGAGCATTCGAGTGGCACAGTCGAAATGCCATGATAGACCTTAAAACCACCCCGGTCACCAAGCAGCGGAGCAAAGGCGGGAAGCGATTGAGCCCTGGAATGTTTGGGCGGCTTGTCGACATGCCCTCACGTCAAGCGAAGGGAGCGATTATCAGCGGTAAGGTTGTTTAAAAAGGTTTGAGTAGGAGATTCCCAAGATCCCTGTGATTCAGCTCGCGAACCCCTGCTACGTCCACGGCACGTCACCCCTGCCAGGGTGGCAGGCGAGTGCACTCTCTTGTCTGCACTGTTTGACGTCCTGGGGTTCCTTGGTGATATTGGGCCGACCGCTTGGCAGTCTGCAAGATGAAGAAACGTTGATGAAGGCGAAAATTGAGATGGCCCGGTATACCAGCCTCCCGAATTTCTCTTGGAGTGGTATGGTGCGACCCGATCTGGAGTGCCAGGCCATGATGGATGGCATGATGTGCCGAGTCTACTATGCTGCTGCATTCATCCAAGTTGCAAGGCAGCAGTAATCCGGCCCTCCCCCCCCTCTTGACGCAGGAACCCCTAAGGAAAGTGACCCAAAGCAAAAAGTCGAGTGTTGTGCCTCGTCGTCTCAAGCCAGGTACAGAGCGGCCCGTTTCTGACTTCTGTTTGGTCCATGGTGCCGGGAGCAAAGACTGACTGATATGTCAGAAAGTCGAAAGCAGGAAATGGCTTGCATTCTCCCAGCCCGACCAGCCACAACATATTCCCCAATCCAGGTTCTCGGTGGAGACTCAGGGTGGGGCATGTGTCACCCCTCATTCGCCCAGCCACCACACGCGCGGCCCTGGGGCTGCCCCTGCACGCACAGTGCGGTTGAAGCGTGTGCCTTGGCGCAGTCAAACCCCACCCCCCCCCCCCGTCGTGGTCGTCACTAGCGCGCAGCCCAGCCGACCCGGCCAAACGCAGGGCGTAGAAAAGCTAAGGTGGGAAGGTACGACAGCAACAGGGCAACAGGGCTGTTACCTGCTGCTGCTGCTGATGCTGATACTGCGACCATCTTTTTTTTTGGCACTTTGCTCTTTCTTCCTGGTCGAAGTGTACCGCTCCGCTGTGCTGGACTGGGCTGTGTTATCTGAGTCGCATCTCGCTACGTCTGCTTCTCTCTTTCTCTCTCTCACACTCTCGAATGCTAGCAGCTCATACCCGGACACTTCGACAGACAGGTTCAGGGCAGTAGAGAGGTGTCACGGCTGGTACCTTTTTTTCTTGCTAGCTTCCTTTAGCTTCCCACCCCACCTGCCCTCCAATTGGCATCCTTTGCATGTTGCCCGCCGCCGCCAAAACCAGTCCTGGGCGACATCCTTCATCATACGCCTGCGTCGCACTCGGCCGTGTCTCTGCCACACCACACACGCACTCTCACTCTCTCTTCCACACATTCCCTCCTCTTCCACCTCTTCCTCCTTCGCACCCGCTGCCGTTGCCATTCATTCCACGGCTTCAGCGTTGACTCGCCCGACTCTGTTTTACTTTACCCTCTTTCTTTCCCGTCATCGTCATCTATCATCGTCATCTGCGTTTGTGCTCTTCTCTCGGCGCGCTCAGCCGTCCTCACCTTGCTCGACTTTGATTGTTTGATACCCGTCTCCAAGAGCCTCGCCTCATGTAAACAGCTTCCGGACCAGCTATTCTCCTTCGCTCTGCGGCTCATAGGAAGCCCTTGCTTTATGCGTTTTCTTCCACTTTACAGTATTCCAGCGGCATTGGTCCTCTGAGGACGCAGCTCACAGAACAGCGCAACAACCACAACAACAACAAAACAAACCTCGGAAATGACGACGGTCAAGTCCAAAGTCCACCCCCTCAATGGGATGCACACGGCTGGAATCTTTGCCGACCCCAGCGTCGACGGGCCCTTGATTGGGACCCTGGTCGCCATTGTCGACCGCGCGAAGAACTTGCCCAACCGCAAGACCATTGGGAAGCAGGATCCCTACTGCGCTGCGCGGCTCGGCAAGGAAGCAAAGAGGACCACGACGGATATTCGCGGAGGCCAGACCCCCAGATGGTAATCTTCCTCTCCTTGCCCCTCCAGGAAGCTTCACTCGTGTACTAACACCCGATTCCCTAGGGACCAGGAGCTTCGCTTCGCCGTCCACGACTCGCCAGACTACTACCAGCTGAAGGTGTCAGTATTTCACGACGATAAAAAAACGGACCTCATCGGAGAGACATGGATCGATCTGAGGGACATCATTGTTCCTGGCGGAGGCCAAAACGACATCTGGCGCAACTTGATGTTCAAGGGCAAGTATGCCGGTGAAGTGCGCATGGAGATTACATACTACGACCAACGCCCGAAACCCGAGAAGCCCGTTGCGAAGCCCAAGCCCGTCGAAGCAGAGCCTACGGAAAGCCACTATGGCACAATCCCCCGGAAGCAAATCAAACGCCGTCCGCTGCCATCCGATCCCTTCACTGGCGAGGCTCCCGCTGCCCCGTCTCCGGACCAGGCCCCGACCCCCCCTCGCACTGGCGGCCCTAGAGGTCCCAAGGAAATGAGCACTCCCACCCCTCCTGCTCCGGAGGCAAGTCTCTCGGGGTCGCGTCCAATGCCAAAGGGTCCGAAGCAGCTACCGCCCGTCCAGGTACCGACGCAATCGCCTTTGCAGGCCATAGAATACAACACCAGCCCTGGTCCCAATGCCCGGTCTAGCCAGCAAGACTTGGTTGCGCAGTCGCCTCAAGCTGCTCCGCAGCACTCAACAGAAGTGACGCCACAGCACACGCCGCGACACGAGCGCTACGAAAGTCCCGCCTCTCAGTACGACGACAGAGACTACAGTCCGAGATTCTCATCCCAGGATATTGTCAACCAGGCCCACTACCGCCAGGGTTCTGAGCCGCCGCGTGAAATGCTTTATTTGGAAGATCAGCGGCAAGCACCGCCTGTCGAGGATGATCGCCCTCCACCTCCCCCCGCTCATAGAAGCCGCGGGAACTCTCAGGACATGGTGGTGAGGAATGCCTACGACACTCCTCCAAAGTCGGCGAATGCCATGAGACAAGATGTCCTCCGAAACGAGGCTCATCGCATGTCCTTTTCCTCAGCAGCGTACCCCGGACGGCCCACCTACCGTGGTTTCGATTCGGCGCCCGCCGTCACCAATGCGCTTCCAGCCCCCGAGGATCACCACGAACCGGCACCCCCGAGGCACCACTCGTACGATGCTCATGCAGAGTACCGATCCATGCAGCCAACGGTCGAAGACGTGCCCGAGTCGCCGAATGCGTCTGCTGGTGCCCATCCACGAAGGACCTCGCGTGCGCCTCAATACGAGGATATGGGTTACGGCCAAGAGCACAACCAGCCTCCGCCTCCGCCACCTCAGCAGTCGCAACAACAGCAGTTCCAGCAGCAGCAGCAACAGGCCATGCAAGTATCCCATCGCCGAAACTCGCACACACCACAATATGACGAGATGGGATATGATCAGGGTTACGATCAAGTGCCTAGTCCTGCGCCCCTGAACATTGGCGGCAGGGGAAGTGCCGGCTCCTCGCGTCAAAGAGGCCACTCGCCGCAGCCCAGCTACGGCCGAGGGGACGAGATGTCTCAATCGGGCCGCTACAGCACCTCGCCTCGCCCAGACTACCAGCCGAGAGGAGATGAAATGGTATTGGCAGGCCGAGGCGGTACGTCTCCTGGCCGCTACAGCACCTCGCCCCAGCCGGATTACCAACAAGATTATCAGCCGAGAGGTGATGAGATGGTTCTTGCTGGCAGCAGAGGGAGCGTGTCGCCGGGCCACTACAGCACTTCCCCGCAGCCGTATGCCAGAGGAGACGAAATGGCTCGTCGCCAGCAAATCTCTCCTATAGCGACGCGAGATTTTGCCCCGAGCCCGATGGAAGGATCGCCGTATCACTCGCACTCTCGCAGCCAGAGTCAGTTCACTTCGCAGCGGTCTGAACTGGCAGGTACCGAGGTAACGGCTCACAACATGCCCGCTGTGCCTGCTTCGCTGGTGCCGGGCGTCGATCCGACCATCTCGCAAGAGGTTTCGGACCGCATCTATGACGAGAGACGTCAGCAGCGACGCTACACTGATCAGAGCATAACGATTTCGACTCGTGGAAGACAGCACAGCGAGCCCGTCGGATACGACGTCAACTTCTCGAACCAGTCATACGTCCCGCCGGGGTACAACCCCCGGTCATCGGCATACGGTGCCCCTCCTCCTGATGTGAACAGGGGACGGGGTCCTTCACCGAACCCAGTGAGAGGACGGGGCGCTTCTCCCAATCCCATGATGGCTCGGGGTTCTTCTCCTAATCCTATGACGGCACGAGGTGTCTCGCCCAACCCCACGAGAAGAGGAGTTTCACCTCAGCCTCCTCCTCAGCATATGAGGTCGCGAGGCATGTCTCCTAATCCCCAGACGCAGCACACGATCAGGCGGAAGTCTGTCAGTCCCGCGCCGCCTCCGTCCGATCATCGCAGGTTGTCCGGCATCCCCTTTGGCCCAGATTCATACGACATGCTCAACCCGGCAGTGTCGACCACCAACAGTGACATCTCGAGGCCCGATCCGGATGAGAAGATTATCACTCACGATGGACGTGAGATCGACCCGTCAGATCATCTCCCCATGGACACATGGGCGCCAGAGCCGGAGCCAAAGGGTCCCAAGACGCCGGCCTCTGCTTCCACCCGGTCACGGGCGTCTCCTGCCGGGCCTCAGCCAGTTTCTGCGAGCGGTCGCCGGCAGCTCCGTATTGCAGGCCGGCCCCAGTCTCAAGCCTCGCCAGTGACGTATGGCTCGGAGCCGTACCACGTCCCGGGCACTCCGCCGAACATGGGCAGCGCTGGCCGTAACCGGCTTCAGAAGAAGGCACAGCATACGTCTGCTCTCCCTTCGATATCGCCCGCGGGATCCAGCCCTTTGGCCCCCATCTCGTCGCACAACTACCAGGACAATGGTAATGACTTCACACCACCGCGCCTGCCAAGGGCGAGCACATGGGACTACCCCAGCGAGAACCACGCACCACAATACGGCAGCTCGCCCGGAGGAAACTACGGCGGCGGTGCACCCCCGATCCCGGCCAAGGTCCCCTTGCCCGTTATGAGCGGCGCGAATGGCGACAATGAGTGGGCGTTGATGCAGGAGATGAGCCGCATCGACATAGGAGCCGGGCGCTCCAGGCGTCATCGGCATTACTGAGCTACGGCGTATGATTCACGGTGTGACGTACACATGAACTGACTTTGGATTGTACTATATAATGGTTACGGGGCTACGTTTTCAGGTTTGAACGGGGTTTGAGTGAATGAATTAAAAGACATGGCTTAGGCTGCGTAGTTGCACAGGATGGATCAGTATTGCTGTAGATCGCCGGAATTCCATTTCTTCACATTCAACATCTTCTACATTTGTTCGACTGTGTGACGTCCTTCATAGACTCCATCATTGATATGCAGTGGAGCTGGATCAAAAAGCTATCAGGAGTCGCGTGTGCCATGGCGCCGGACGAGCTATTATCTGGTGAACGGGTATTCCGACTGGCCCAGCTAAGCTCTCTTTTCTGTGCAGATGTGCTGTGGCCTGCCAGTCCTGGATCGTATACTCGTTTTAGCATACATTATGGCACCTTGGCACGCTTGGTGGTTTCAAAAATGGATATCGTGATGCACTCACACTTAGGCACGCGAGGTTTAAGCGATGGTTTAAACTTATGGTAGTCTTGTCAGGAGTATTGTAAAGAATCAGTTTCGCCTCTGACAATAGAACAATGCCGTCCAGTGGTAAAAGAAACATTCTCCATCCGTATCTCGCCTAGGAGTAATTGTTAGCTGATTAGGTGAGGATTTCTGGGAGGGAAGGCGGTTCCGTATCTGCCTCGGGAAATCATGTCTATACTCGTTTAGTCTTGCCGCCAACTTCGGCTTCACTTTCTGAGAGGGAGCGCAGCCACAAACAATTTTGTTCGGGTGGATTGACCACAATTGCTGCGCCCTTCGATTGACAAGCACGCCGCACATTCCCACTCTCTCGTTCTTCGCTAAGGAATAAAAGGCGCGCGGTTCTGCTCAAACCATCACCTCGTGCTCTCTTCCTTCATATCAGAAATCCAATATTGCATCATCCAACCCGACTTTTCAGCGTTCATGTCGGAATGGGTTCCAAGACACCCGAAGACCAGATTCCTGGAGGCAATGGTATGATCAGTAGACCCGACTTCCCCAAAATGAATTCTTACCGGCGACAGGCGGTCCACTTTCTACCGGCCCTTCCTCCAGCGGCGGGGAGCCCCGCGGCGCGCATCTCTCCCGCGATGGAGATGCGAGCCTTGGAGACCAAGGTGACGACGACGATGACGACGACGATGACGACGACGATGTTGATGTTGGCTCCAGACCGTTGACGACAGCTGATGACGGCCCCAAAAAGAAAAAGAAGAAGCCCAAGAAGAAGAAGAAGAAGTCTGCCGCTGCAAAGCAGCAGTCGTCGCCCCCAAGGGTGCCGCTGAGCGACCTCTTCCCTTCGGGAGAGTACCCCACGGGCGAGTATCTTGCCTACAACAAGGCCCCTCCGTCGAACATGAACACCGCACGCACCACGGCCGCGGAGCTGCGCTACCACAGCCGCCAGCACCTCGAGGACCCGGCGCTCCTCAACGACTACCGCAAGGCCGCCGAGGTGCACCGCCAGGTCCGGCAGTGGGTTCAGGAGACTGTCAAGCCCGGCTGGACGCTCCTTGACATTGCCACCGGGATCGAGGACGGCGTACGCTCGCTCCTGGCTAACCAGGGGATCGAGCCCGGCGACAACCTGAAGTCCGGGATGGGGTTCCCGACGGGACTGTGCCTCAACAACGAGACGGCGCACTACACGCCGAACCCCGGGCAGAAAGACGTAGTGCTGCAGTATGGGGACGTCATGAAGGTTGATTACGGCGTGCAGGTCAACGGATGGATCGTCGACAGCGCCTTCACGATGAGCTTCGACCCCATGTATGACAACCTCCTGGCCGCGGCCAGGGACGCGACGAACTCGGGCATCAAGGTGAGCGCTCCTCGGATGGCACACGCGCGAAATGGATATCTCGACGGCTTACAATCTTCCAGGCCGCCGGCATCGACGTCCGCATCTGCGACGTCAGCGCCGAGATCCAGGAGGCCATGGAGAGCTACGAGGTCGAGATCCGCGGCAAGACGTACCCCGTCAGGGCGGTGCGCAACATCTGCGCCCACGACATCAAGCGCTACCGCATCCATGGCGGCAAGTCAATCCCGTTCATCCGGAACAACGATCAGACCAAGATGGAGGAGGGCGAGATCTTTGCCATTGAGACGTTTGGGACGACGGGCCGGGGCAAGCTGTATGATGACGTGAGTGGTGTTCTATACTCTAGACTGTCACCGGAGATGGGACTGATCAGTTGACTGTGAGAAACAGGTCGGTGTCTACGGATATGGACTACAGCATGACGCCCCCGCGCAGGTGAGGCTGCCCTTCGCCTCCGCGAACCGGCTGTACAAGACGATCAAGGAGCAGTTCGGGAGCATTGTGTTTTGTCGCCGCTACCTGGACCGTCTTGGTTTGGACCGATACTTGGCTGGGGTAAGTCTTGTCTCTCCTGTTTCGTGAAGGGTCTCTTGAGGAAACGTTGTACTGATGATTTGGTTTGTGATAGCTGAACTGCCTGGTCTCGAATGGCGTCCTCGAGTCATATGCACCGCTCGCGGATATCAAAGGATCTTATTCCTCGCAGTTTGAGCACGTAAGTTTAGTCATTGGTACAGAATTTTATGCATCATGAGGACACGTAGCTGACCTATCCAGACAATCTTGCTGCGGGAGGCCAGCAAGGAAATTATTAGTCGAGGAAGTGACTACTGATCAAGGGGAGAGTATGCTTCTTCATGGGGATGAGAAGTCATTCTCATGACGTGCGTAGATGCAGCACACGGTTGCAACACAGGCTTGGTGCTCAGGGCGGATTCAACACCACCTCTGAGGAAATGCTTTATCGAAGCAGCGAGGCAGCTTCAACACTGCTCTAGCCTTGTCGCGGGTTCACGGCACCCCTGCGTCTTTATATTCATCACCCCTCATTAGTTTAGTCTGCCTTAAACAAAATCCCTTATTCTTTAAGCCTGACCCAGCGATGAGCCCTGCAGAACCAGGGCGTTGCGTGCCTCATATTCTATGGTGTAGTACTGTTATTTGAGTGAAGGGGACTGCAGTGAGGTATGACCTCCGACTCCCTACTGAAGGATCAACCAGGTGGGTAACAACATTATGGATGAGAGGCTTTCGAAACTTCAAGCCTAGAATTGGCAGACTTCCGCAAGAAACCGCACCAACCTCGGCGATGTGAATACATGTTTAGCAAGCATCTCCATCAGAAAAGTAATTCTTGCCGTGATCGTTATGGCAGAATCGACTCTTGAGTGCTTACACACTGCAACAGTTGAGTCGCTTCCTCTAGCCTTGGTTTCGGGGAAGTGGGAGACGGGAGCGGGAGATCGCCGGGTTAGCCCGTGTTAGTCAAAGCCGGGGCCGGAAACATTTCGCCGACTTTTTTGTCTCGGGCGTGGTCACTTATAAGCCCCCATCGTTCCCTGCCTCGTCAGACAGCGACAGCTGTCATTCAATCTTATCTCACAAAGCCTTATTGAAATGAAAAACTCTTGAAGCAAACGCACCTCAAACAAACCCCCCTCAACCCCGTCTGGCTTTGGGCCCAGCCGTAAACCATCCGTCACAATGGCCACCATCCCTTCCAAGACCCTCCAGGTTTCGCCGACAATAACATACAAGTACTTCTACTCCCCAGCCAAGAAACCGAACCTCCCAACCCTCCTCTTCCTCCACGGCTTCCCCTCCACCGCGGCCGACTTTCGCCCGCAGCTCGAGCACTTCGCGTCCGAGGGGTACGGCGTTCTCGCGCCAGACCTGCTAGGCTACGGCGGGACGTCGAAGCCGCGCGACCCGCGCGAGTACACCTGGCGCGCAATGGGCGCGCACGTCGCCGCCATCCTGGACGCTGAGGGCCTCGGCGCCGTCGTCGGCGTAGGCCACGACCTAGGCTCCTGGTTCTTGAGCAGGCTGTGCCACCTCCTCCCCGCGTCACGGCTCGCGGGACTGGCGTTCCTGGACGTCGGGTACTCGGCGCCCGGCGACCGGTTCGACGTGGAGGCCATCAACCGCGCGACCGAGGCGATGACGGGCGCCGAGCGGTTCCGGTACTGGGACTTCTTCACCGACGCCGAGGGCGTGGCGCTGATGGAGCGCGAGGTCGAGGCCGTCGTCTCGCTCATGCACGCGCCGCCCGGCGTGATGGCGGCGAACCTGGGCCCGCGGGGCAAGACGGCCGAGTGGGTTTCCGCGGGCCGGGTTGCGGCGGCGCATTCCTTTGGCGGCGGGGACGCCGGGGCGAGCCCGTACTTTTTGGAAAAGGTCGCCGTGTTCCGCGAGGGCGGGTGGACGGGCCCGACGAACTGGTACCGGGCCCTCAAAGACAATCTCTCCTTTGACGACGAGAGGGAGATGAAGAAGGAGCTCGAGGTCCCCGTGCTGGTCGTCGGGTGCGGCCGGGACGAGATGACGGTAGCTGGGTTCCAGGACCAGGTGACGAGGCCGTGGGCGCGGGCTGGGTATCGTTTCGAGGTGCTTGATACGGGGCACTGGGTCATGCTCGAGGACGCGGCGGGGACGAACCGGTTGCTGGAGGAGTTCCTGGATGGTCTTGCTTGACTAAAGGGGTGTAAGCGGCATGCTGATGGATCGATACCTAGACTGTAGTGTTAGACCTTTTTTCTCCAAGTGAGCCCCGTCTTTAATCTAGATGGCAATGCGTCAACGAATGCATATGTTGCCTTGTTTCAACCAATCCAACAACGGAAAAGGGGGCGGGTGAAGCCGTAGAAAAGATCTCAAGACCCAACTTGACAGTGTAATCAACAAGCGCAGTTGACTCGCGAAGAAGTGCGTTTTGGCATGCGACTCGGCCCTTGCTCATCCTACGGACCGGAGCTTTTGGGAATTGACCTTGTCATGACGGTAGGTCCTCGTTGACCTAATCGAGATTATCTGATTTAATGCTTGTGCTCTCCTCCGCATACTCCCTTGTCAACTTACTCGGTGGCGAGAACTTACGGGATGTGGATGGAAGAGGATACAGTTAGACCCTGGCATGGTATGATGTTTGTAGCTTGAACCAGAGAGACCTGGAGGGTATTCCATTTCGAATGTCCGACTCGCCTCTAAGGTGAGCCGGGTAGGTGAGGCCCATTCTATATCAACACAATTATTCTCTTGTCTCTTTTTTTTTCCTCGATCCCCAACGCCATCGCAATGCATCAGTGACCAACAAGATCCAGTCCCATCATCGAGCGTCCCTCGGAGACGGATCGTGATCTCCCCCCTTCATCCCCCTTTTTTCTCAACACGGTGTAACCGTATCATCCTCTTCTTCGGTCCTCTCGAGGACCTGCGAGGCACGGTATACACACAGGTCAACCGCGGACTGCCGGATATCTCGGAAGCCACAAACCATTCTAGAAACAGCAATCAAAAAAACGTAAGTATCAGAAACCGCCCCCTAAGCAGACCCCATCATCAAACTCTCCACCATACCTCCCGTCTCACAGGCAAGCTGCGCCTTCTCGACCTCGTGCCCGACACGACGCCTCAGCGTCCGGAAGCCCTCGAACAGCTCCGCGCTCGCGGCGGCATACTCGGCGTACAGCTCGACGAGCACCAACCCGACCTCGACGCAGACGCTGACGTACCGCGGGTCGATGATGTGGTTGCACGTCCACTTGAGCACCGGCTGCACCGTCCTCTCGTCCCGGCCCTCGAGCGCATCCCGCACCGCCGACCTGTGCCGCAGCGCCATCAGCAGCGTCAGCACCGCGAGCGGCGAGTGGTCCTTGGCCTGCGGGTCGAGGACCTGGTCCAGCGCGCTCGCGTAGCGCCCGTGCCGCAGCGCCTTCTGCCACGCCGTCTCCTTGGTCCGGGAGACGCGCGCGTCCTGTGCGACAATGACCTCGGCCTGGCCCTCGCCGAGGGCTTCGAGGCGGCGGTGGGCGGCGGCCTTGCGCTTGCGCGTCTTGGTGACGCGGTCGTGCTGGTCGAGGGTGCCGGCGATGAGCGCGGCCATCTCGCGCTCACGCTCCTTCTGACGCGTGGCCTCGGGGCCCGTAAGGCGCGTGCGGATGGAGAGCACGCCGGACTGCATGCCGACGACGAGGTGGCGGTCGGCGTGGTCGGGGGAGTCGGAGGCCGAGAGCACGCGGAGGGAGAGGATGGGCGAGGGGTACTTTGTGGAGGAGACGACGTTCCAGGCCGTCGTCTCAAAGACCTTGACGTGGCCGTCGAGGCCACCCGTGACGAGGCGGGTGCCGTTGGAGGCGAGGCTGAGGGAGGTGACGGTCTTTTGGTGGTTGGAGATCTGGTGGATGGGGCGCGCGGCGACGAGGTCCAGGACGGAGACGTTGGGGCCCGAGGAGGCAAGGAGGGTGGTGCCCGAGGACAGGGGCAGGACGGACTCGACGGGGGCGGCGTGCTTGAAGGTCATGACGGCCGCGTTGGAGCCTATTCTCGGGTCCCAGATCTTGACGGTGGAGTCGTAGGAGCCCGAGACGACCATGTTACCGACGCCCGAGGGGGACGTGGCCGGGAAGAACTCGGCACAGCGGACGTAATCGGAGTGACCGACAAAGGTGTTTGTCGGGTCGTTGGCCGTGAGGTCCCAGAGGCGGACCGTCTTGTCGTCGGAGGCGGAGAGCAGGGTCGTGGGCTGGGAGTCGGAGAAGCGCGTGGCCCAGACGGGCTGGCGGTGCTTGGTCCAGGTCTTGAGGATGGAGCGCGAGTGAGTGTCGAAGACCTGCATGCGTCCCGTATCCTCGGCGGCGACGAGGACGCGGCCATCCCGGCGCAGAGAGCCGGAGCGGGCGACGTCGGCGAAGCGCGTGATTGTCTTTTCGAGCTTGCGAGTGCGCGACGAGTAAAGCTGCACGCGGGTGCCGGTGGTGACGGCGAAGAGACCGTCCGAGGAGGTCGACGAGATGTGCGTTATCGGGTACGACGTCGGCGAGGGGATCTGGAGCTGGTTCTTGAAGGACTTCCAGTAGCGCTGCTCGGCCGTCACGGGGGACGGGCCCGAGGGCAGCTTCACCTGCGGGAGGGGTCCCACGGGGGCTGCCATCGTGATGGTGTGTTTGTTGTTGGTTTCCGCTTCTTGAGTTTCGGGTTGAATGATTTGAATGTCTGCGTGGGAGGCGTCGTGGCGGCGGAGAGAGCAGTTGAGGGTATCGTCGTCGTGATGGACGTTGGTGATATTTTTTTGGAGTTTGGCAAAGCCGCTGCTAGGAAAAAAAAAGATTCTCAATTGAGAATTTCTTTGGCGGCTAGTCCTGGTTCGGTTTAGCGGGTACCCCACGCCGTCACGATAAGATAAGGCGCGGGGCCAGGGACCTCGAAGCTTGGAGCCAGTCCAGGCTGCGAGAGACCTGGGCGGACGAACAAGCTCTTCAGCGTGGATAGATTGATGGGATTTAACAAGCTGTAATGCATGTTGTTTGATTCAGATGTAATTTCGGACTGGGTGGGTATATGATTTTTTCATTTCAGAAAGCTAGGTTCCTGGCGTGGTCCCGAAAGCTCTTGTGACAACAGTCCTTCGGCGTCCAACACAGCTGTAGGTGAGGTATCATGACAGCTCGGTCATCGTCGACTACAGCTTCACACCAAACCACACTTTATCCAAAGCATCTAACTGGAACGAGCTCAATAATCCAGTAGCTCCTGAGGTTCTTCAGTTACAGAAACATAATCCAGCACGACACTCCGCTCTCCACTACACGCCTTGCCGAGTCAAGCATCCAAGCCCGCCGCCCCTTTCAAGGAGTGCACCGCCGCAGTTTATCCGCCAACCCCGTATACGACATCTTGGCATCAAACATATAGAAACGTCGGCAGTTGGATCGTTGTCCGACAAGGCTGCCAACGCGTAATGCGACCGCTTAGGATCCGAGGCTGACAGCCGTCCATCCACCCATCCAACACGGTTCACACCACCGTCCAGACAGCCTCCACCCCCCTCTCCAAGAACAAGCCCCAAACACCCTCGAAAACCTTCCAGGATGTGCCAGCTCCTCACCGACGTGCCTCTCTCATCGCTCGTATAACCTCCATCCCATCGTCGCCAGGCTGGGTGGGTTGACAGGCTCTTAGCTCCCCGCCTTCCCGTCTTGCTCAGCATCGGTGGTCAAACGCTTCAGCTTCAGCCTCTCCCCATATAAAAAAAAGCATCATCGTCGCTTCAACGCCTTGGTCTTTCTCGCGCTCAAAACTATAGCCAGTTCATCGGACGGTGATATCACCGCTAGAAGAAGCACTCCCACTCCGAAACCGGCCAGCGGGACGGACAAGGCCTTCATCTGATGTCGCCCTTCGGGGCTGGGCATCAAAAAGTCTAAAAAACTTTTCCTCCCTCCTCGACCTGAAGCTTAGCTCGGAAAGACACCCTGCCATTTTGTCAAACTCTAAACATGAGAACAAGCCTGTAGCCAGACCAGACCAATGTTTCTCCAAGCCACGTTGGCCCAAAACTCTTGGCCAAAACTCGCCAGGTCCGAACGGAGGGGCGCCCGCAGCGCCTTCGGAGCAGCTGATACGGTCACCATGGACGGCGGTAAGACGGTGAGACTGTGTCGGACCCGCGACATCTGCGGAGTGAAAGCAAACAATCCTAGAGAGGAATCCCACATCAGAACCGAGCGGAACGTCTTTAATGGGTTGTCCGTTACGCACCTGCAAAATGACGTCGTGAAATCAGACAGCGAAATTATCTTGCTCTGAATATGAAGGAACTTTCACAATAGCGATGGATGATTGGGATGAGTGGTTTTTTTTTTTAACTTTGTTTGAATTCTCATTGACCCGTAATAACCTTGTCTGATCTATGTAACACGCTGATAAAAGCATATTCAAAACGACTTGGAGTCGTTGAACTAGGGTATACCATCCTCTCTCTTGTCCTTCTCCCCTTACGCGACGGAACCGAAAATAGTCTCCATCATAATACCTGCATGACATGGTTAGCATTGTTGCGCCAAGTTTGTATCGTGAACTGGGTGCATCATCCAACTTACCAGTAATTCTGTAAGGGTCGGCGTTCGAGGCGGGACGGCGGTCCTCAAAGTAGCCGTAGCCCTTGGCGGCGCACTCTCTGGGGATGCGGATCGAGGCACCACGGTTGGCGACTCCGTAAGAGAACTGGTCGATGGAGCCCGTCTCGTGGCGGCCAGTGAGACGCTTCTCGTTGCCCTCGCCGTAGACGGCGATGTGCTCCTTGTGGCGGCCCTCGAGCTTCTTGATGGCAGCCTCAATGTGCTTCATGCCACCCTCAACACGCATCTCCTTGGTGGAGAAGTTGGAGTGCAGGCCGGCACCGTTCCAGTCACCGGGGATGGGCTTGGGCTCGACGGAGACCTTGGCGCCGAACTCCTCGGCGATGCGGGCCAGGAGGAAGCGGGCGAGCCAGAGGTGGTCACCCATCTCAATGCCGACGCAGGGGCCGACCTGGAACTCCCACTGGGCGGGCATGACCTCGGCGTTGGTGCCAGAGATCTTGACGCCGGAGTACAAGCAGGCCTTGTAGTGGGCATCGACGATGTCGCGCTGGACGACCTTGCCCGCGCCGACACCGCAGTAGTAGGGGCCCTGGGGGCGGGGAAGCCGTTAGCAGGCCAGCCGAAGGGGCGGTTGCTGAGGTCAAGCAGAGTGTACTCCTGCTCCAGACCGAACCAAGGCTCGTGGGCGGCGTGAGCCTCCATCAGCTTGGCGCACTCATGTCTGTAGTTGTACTTGTTGGGGGTGCCGTCGGCGTTCCAGCACTCGGCGAGGACGAGGATGTTGGGGGATCCACGGAAGGGGTCGGGGAAGACGGCAACGGGCTTCAGGTAGACGTCAGAGTTGTCGCCAGGGGCCTGGTTGGTGGAGGAACCGTCGAAGTTCCACATAGGAAGGTCCTCGGGGGTGTATTCCTTCTCCTTGAGCGTCTAGAGGCGTGCATGATGGTTAGCTTCGTGCGTCTGCAAGTGGCGGTATGATGCAACTGCGCAAAATGGTCCCCATCTCCATGCCACCAAGCTTATGGGCCAACCCTGGCCGCCGAGGCTGACATCATGCGGTGCGCCTTGCCGTCAGGCTGACGATGCCAGGCGGAGCTACTCCAGCGGCCCATGTTTCGAGGTCTTGGGGCATTGTGTGGAGAAAGACGTCCATCTCTTGGCCGGCGGCAGCAGCTTGGCCCAGCCGGCTCACCAGAGACGCGCCGGCGGCCAAAAGGGTAAGGATACAAGCGAGCGACTGGCAAGAAAGAACCTCCAATAACCGAGCTGCGGCGTTGAACCCTGCAGCTGGGGCCGAGCGAAGCCTTGGAGGGGTTCTCGGTGTCGTGAGAGGCCACAGGATTTGTGTGGGGTGGGGTTCCTTGCAGGACCGAGTCGTGAACGAATCCTGCCAGCCGCCGGTCCGGACTGAACAGCCAGACCAGACCAGGCCGAACAGGTACGTACCGACTGCCCACCACCCACCACGCAACCCGCACTTCTTGGAGGGGCAGACGGTGGTTTGACCCCCGCCAAGCCCCAGTGCATATCGCTGCCGTATCTTTGCTGCCCCTCCGCCGCAGCACCCTTTTCGCCCGCCATTTCCAGCCGGAACTCGGAGACGCCCCGAAGGGAAGAAACTAGAGTACGGAGGATGGCGACCCAGGTTTGTCGCGCCCGTCGCCGCAGGAAAAAGAAATAGGCATGAAACAGCGCGCTTTCCCTCTCACTGTGACGGGTCGCAAGAACAAAGGCCCAAGTGATGCCCCTCACGAGGAGGGAAGACGGCTTCGGGTGCTTACGGTACTGAGACCGGCCGGGACCAGAGAAAGGGGAAACCGAAAAAGGAAAGAAAAGAACGAGACGAATGTCGCAAACTCACCCTCGACTTGGAGCGGGTCTCGCCGTCAGCATCGATCCAGATGTACTCGGCCATAATCGAGCCCTTCTGGTCAAGTTTGAGGTACTTGGCCAACTGTTCGACTGGGTCAGCATGGTTGCTTTTTTTGTTTATGTTTTTGATTCGTGTTGCGCAAAGCTGACGGCAGGATCGTCTGCTGCTCAGCTCAGCTCGAGGGGCGGTGTATTCTCACAGTCTCGGGCTTTGAGGTGAAAGCAGCTTCTGTCGCCTGGAGAGAAGACCATGTTAGCACGTTGTCCCTTGTCGCAAGTATCGTGTGTATATCTCGGAGGGTAAAAGGCGATCTGTTCGCGATCGGAAGGGTATGACGTGAGGGGTCAAGGGGAGAGTGAACTTACCATTTTTGCGGTTGTGTGATGTGATTTGGAAGAAAAAAAGGAACAGGGTCAATTGGGGTCCAAAAAAAGGTTCAAGCGGGAAAGATCTATTGATCTAGGTATCGGGAGTGGGATAGAGGATGGATTTGAAAGTAAAGAAGGGGTTTGATAAGAGCAACAGACGAAGCGGGCGGTTGAGGGTTTTATGTTTTCCCTTCCGTAGCCCGTCTTCGGGGGAAGGAAGGAGGGAGCAAGACGTGGGCTGGGAGACACTCTCACTGGCGGCGGCGATGCGTCGATGCTTTTCTTACACACACAGCGAATCTGCAAGGTACCGTCGAGATACAACATGACGACCGCGGTCCTCGCCCACGAAACCTCGCAGGCGCCCGGTACAGAATCGTAACTTTGGCTCCCGCACAGGTTCCTCTTTGGTCCTTTCAGCCCAAAGATAAGGCCTACCCATCACGGCTGCAGGGGTGTGGCTGGCTTCTGGCTTCTGGTATCGATTGCAGGTGGGGTGAGAGGGGTGGGTTGGTGGGGTGTGGCCCCGGAAACGCGCCTCCTGCCATTCGCCCGCCTGCCCAGAGTTTGGGGGACCACAGATACATACTGTACATGCCACCTTTGCTCTGGTTCCCAGGGTCCCACGAAGTCCAAGTCAAGGTACTTGCGCCTTCCCAGAATGCCTATTCCGCCCACCCATTTCCCGCCAGCTGCACCGCTATCAGAGGTATCCCTACTGCCTCCCGCCCTCTCGCAGCCAACGGCATCATGTCCTTCTGGTACTCGTCGTCCAACGGAGGTGCGACGGCCGGACCATTCGCCTCTAGAGGTATCGTCAACTTGCTCTTCTCCGTAACTGGCCCCTGGCGTCCCTCCTCTTGCGCTTCCACTTGGGTGGTTTTGTTCTGTCAACCCTAGTCTCCGACGCTGATAAGTAGGAAAATCACAAGAAAAAATGTGTGACGATGACTTCGACGTGCACCCAGTAGCCCGGCTCGGAACCAGTCAGATGTCGCCGGAGGCAGCCCGTACAACAAGTGCCTGCAACTAGCTGCATCAAACTATGTACCACCACCACTACCATTACATTACCACCATTACCACCAACCCAACAATGACAATGAATGGCAGCGAGCCTGTGAGGGGCTGTAAGGGCGAAAGAGATAGCGCGCTCTCAGTCCTGTTGACCCGAGATACCTCTCACCCACAGCAGCCCACCTGTGCCACAACGCGGGGTACGTACCGATACATACAAGGCCCACGTCCTTGCGTTCCGCTGTTTCTATCCTTGGAAATGCTCGTGTGCACACCCGCCGCCCGCCGTGGCCTTCGCCATCGCCCTCGCCGCCGCTGTCGCTACATCTTGTCGTCGGCAGTCAGTGCCCGTAGCGATTGCTGGTGATGGTGGTGGTGGCTGTGGCACCCGCTGTTCAGCGCCCAGGTCAGAAGCCAAGTGCGAGTTGTGTTCCCGGGGCTCGCTGGTGGTCAGCGGCATCAGTAGTCGCCTCACAACTTTCTGTTCCGGTTCCAGACCGCTTGCAAAGAAAGCGTCCTGGAACTTTGATGCCCAAAAACGGCCGCTCATGAGTAATTGGTGAAAATCCCAAGGTGTTGTCGTTTCGTCTGATGGAATCCGGCTTCCAGAACCGAGAACCCCTCAAATTCCATCAAAAGTCTTTCTTCCGCAAAACAGCCGTGCACCCCGGGACCGGCCAGTGCCTCCAGGAACGTACCGGACGGACCTGGCATCGCAACAAACGGTTGGCGGTTCTGGATACCCCGACGGGGGGAGCGACAGCGTCGCTTCCAATTTGGTTGCACGCCGACGATCGCAAGGCCATATTGCGACAACCTGCATATTCCTGGCGCTGGCTCCTTGGGGGGCATTGTGCTGTTCCGCTTCCTTTCGGGGTATCGTTAGGTACCTCGACCTTTCAACATCCAACCCTCGTCAGCTTGTGAACTCCTCCATGCCAAAGGACCCTGGGTCCCAGAAGGACGACACGTCGTGGAACCAGCCACTCAGAGTTTCTCGCCTACCTCTCGCATTGGCTCCGAAATCGAAATGCCCTCCTTCCATCGCACAAATTGTCTCGTCCCGCCGGCGCAACTTGTCGCGACGACGAGACGCACATGCGATGGTCCTCCTGCCCTCTCTAATCTCTAATCCTTGCCATGACTATGCTCGTCCGCGGCACAGGAAAAGCTAGTCAGCCCTCATGAGTTGCCTCCTTCGTCTCGTCCTCGGAACTAGTCCCGCCTGGTTCGTGCAGATGGCCGCCGTCTCATGGAAAATTATCCGCCTTCTGGCAGCGATATCTCAGCCATCCTCAACGTTGTCTTGCAAGTTTGTGCGTCTCCGTGTGCGCGGCTGCAACCCCTCGGTGGGGTTGATCCTGGCGACTTGGTTCTCTCTCGAGGTATCGGTACCTCTGTCAGTTTGTCTTGATGACTCCCAATTTGGACTGAACCCAGACAAAGCCGTCACAAATCCCACCTCAAGGTTATCGTCCAAGTTGACCCATAACGCGGCGGCGAGGGGCAAAAGGTGGGGTGCGGTCTTGCTCCGGCCTCTAGATGCGCTCTACAGCTGAGATCCGTGGTCAGTGCGATCCCATAGCCTCTTGTCGGTATCCTGTGAGCGACGTCGAGTTTACAACACCTCTCGAGTCATTTGGGGGATTCACGGGGAACCCCATTTCGCGTCTACTCTCCGATGGCGGGATGGTAATCTTCCCCAAACCGTCGGAATCACTAGCCAGCTCGTCCTTCCGGCCAATATTCGATGGTCTGTTCGTCAGCGAACCCCCAAGCTTTGGCTCCACGAATTGACCTTGTCGAGAGACTATCTCCGGAAAGAGAGCCAATCCACATGGTCTGCCGTGACCCGTCCTGCAAGACTTGAGTGAATATCTGGCTGATATGCAGCCCAAACGTCTTGGAGACTGCAGGATGCACGAAGCTGGAGCCGTCAAGGAGGAAGGCTGTTTGGTATCATGGCTAGTCTCTACGTTACCTGTTACCTGTGGTCCCCCTCGCGCCCCCCCCAGCAGGACGCAGCTCGAGGAACGGGATGCTGCCCAGTCGCAGTCGTCGCAAGTTCAGTCAGTCTGCAGTCGGTCATATCACACACAGAACAATTTGCTCCGATACGGCGGCGCATCAAAGACAAGCTAAGCTCCCCCGCACTTTGCCCGCGACAAGGTAAGACCTGTACGCGGCACCACCGTCGGATGGACGATTACCCCCAACAATGCTGTCCCAACATCTCACTCGTCGCCCATGGTCAATTCAGGCTGTATTCTGGGATAACCGCTTGCCATTGCCGCTCTTGGAGAGATCTCAGGTAAAACTTTGATGATTCCATTATGGAACTCGTTCTCCAGATGTGACCTGCAGGAGACCTCCATCTCGGGTGTCTCCAAAGCATCAAGTGTGGGGCGCTAGTGGACGGCTGGTGCATTTTGCATTGCTGGCTTATCGCTGGGCGGTGATTGGTCGGTCTCCAAGTGCAGAATAATTGAATTCTCTCAAGAGCCGTGTCTGTTCCGTCGTCTCCTTAAAGACTGGCATTAATCGCTCAAGAGGACCTGGTCACCCGTGACGCCCTCGACTGCTAAGCACATTTCCATCTCTTGTCATTCGCAACTCTGGTTGACTTGTAACGATGCGTCGCTTCACGAGGTGTCGTTGGCCTCGGTGAAGCGTGTGGCAGCTGACAAGCTTACTCGGTGGAGAGCCGCAGCAGGCAGTGACATGGGGTCGCTGCGAGCATGAGGTGCAGTGAAAGGTACCCCGTCCATGGCAGAAGGCTGCTGTTTGGATCCAACTCCGGTGGCTAGTGCCGCAAAGTTGGATTCTGGAAAATGTGGATGGAGCAGCCATGTTGGGTTTGGGCGCCGGGCCGGCGGGGATGGGGGAGGGTGGAATCGGTGGATGGATTCGCTGTTTTCTCGTTGGATTGACGGTGACCCAGGACTCGTGCAGAATCGGCTTTGTCGAACAGGTCGCCGAGACCGGGCAAAACAGCGGTAGCGGCCGGCAAGCGAAAACACGGCACCACCGCCATTCCCTTTTGCCGACGGCTGCCCCGACGACAACACGATGTCCGTATTCCACATCGGCAAATCTTCGAACACACCCCCTCGACCGAGTGTCTCGCGACCTGGCACTCTTTGTCGCCTTCGACAACGAGATTGTTGACTCCCATGGCCCTTTTTTCCATTGCGCTTCGAACGCATGCGAAAGGTCGTCATTTCCCATCGTCCGAGCTCTGGCGACGACGAGAATTCGCCGGTCTCATCGCTGAGTGGTCGGCGTTGACACACAGTTATTCTCTCATTGGTCGGCTGTCACCCGCCACGATCGGGACTTGGCTGAACACTGCCGGGGCACCTGGGCGAGGCATGCCAGGGCCCCAATCGAGACTCTCACGAGATCAGAATGACGTCTTTGGGATGGTCAATTGGGGCTCCCTGACCCAGAAGAGCAACGATATCATCATCATTGGGGTTGGTGCGTGGTGTCTGTCAGGAGGTCTGCAAGAGACAACTCGGGAACCAAGGCCGGAGGAGACAAAGACCGCTTCCGTGACGTCGGCCACAACAAGTGTTGGTCGGCAATGGCCTTGACTCGAACGTGGAGATCCCGAATCAGGACTCAGGTTTCGAGGTCCCTTTGACCTGGTGCCTGGATCCAGTCGAGGCTGCCTCAGGGGGTGTGCATCTCGGCGCGGCAAGCGCCACACAGAGAGGCCGAAGGCCTTGCAAGTGCCTAATGTGCAAAGGCGGCGCGAAAAAAGCCCACAGCAGGGCGCAGTCGACATCACGAACCGAGTTGAGTCAGACTCGTGTTCGGCCGACGGCGGTCAGTGGTTATTTTCGGAACGTCGTTCCGGATCAAGCGGTGGGCTGAGGGGAGACAAGACGGGACAGAGGGTGTTCTGGAACTCGCAGGGCATGGCTTTGATGTGTCACAGCGCGAGCGCGCAGTGAATGTGTCCGAGTGCGCGAGGCGAGGCGAGGCGAGGCACTTCACTTCATCCAACAAGACGCGACGCCCCCGAGTCTAGCAGAACAGGGAAGAGGGTATCTGGGTGGGTGTCTTTGGGGAAACAGTGGATTCGAGACAGTGCGCAAACGACGGCGACACATGTACCCCTACTGTCAGAAATAGGGGTTGAATGAGTCCGGCTTGAGGCGGCAAGTGCAGCTTCGCCCATCACCCCTTCCTTCCCGACATACATACCGTTGTCGATGTAAAAATCACATGACCTGAAATCAGTTGAGAGAAGCACAATGGACTTGCTATAGCAAACCGCGCCTGCCTGGTGTTCTCAGCATGCAGAGGACCTATTCAGTGATGTATGATAGTGATCTCGTGCGGAACTCGCAGACTGGAGCAAGCTTCTGCCTCTCTTCGTCTCTGCACCGCATTTCTTCTGGGTCAACCAATCGCACGCCTATGGTCATGTTAGAGTCCGCTGACACCAGCAGCCCTCCTATGTCCAAGCCATGAATTGGACCGAAGGAGCTTTGGCTCGTCATTCGCGAGGAAAAGGTTAGAACCCCGAGCTCGCGAAGCAGAAGCAGTACTTTGCAAAGGCTCGAGCCAGACTAAAGGAGAACTCGAAGCTTACCCCGCCTCCATCTCTTTCCTCTCTCGACAGCCCAATACGACTACGGTGCATGCTGTGGAACAGCCTCCAAGAACCTTGATACGGAGCTCGCCGCATCTTCGGCGCCGGCAGAGCCAACATGGCGAAACTGGGGGACCTCGTCTCAATCATTCGCTCCGCCAACATCCGCGGGAGGAAGACACGTCCACAGCGGACCATGACTTGCCGAAGCTTCACATACCGCTGCGCGCGTATGGCAAGCGAAAGCACACGGTAGATGAGGAGGGGTTGGACACGAAGAGACGCCGTTTGCTGCAGAAGAGCGACTGGGCAGGTGTCAACGTCCAAAAACCAATTCCTCTTCATTTCGCGGCCCGTGGTAACTTGGCTGGGAGTCAGATCTGGGGTTTTCGCAACATTTACACAGCTGGGCAGCCCGACCCTTTCCTCCAACAGAATAGTTACAACAAGAGTACACTGAAGAGACGCGCTGCCAGTCACAGTAGCACGCAGGATGGAGACAGAGGCGTCAAAATCAGGATTGGCAGCGAAGACATTCGGCTCGGCAGTGAGAGCCAAAAAACAGCAAAGAGCCCGAACAAGAAGTCTCTCCGAACCTTCACCAAGTCAAACAATTTGCGGCAGTCAGGCTACTTCCAGAAATCCTCGTCCCAGAGACTCTTACAGAATCACGACATTTCGACATACCACGATATCAGAGAACTAGAAGGCCAGAGAACGAAGCGTTTGCGAGAGATTCACTCTGGAAGGGATGATGTAAACCACATTAATGTTGCAAGACCTGTCTTGCCGTCCACGTCAAATGATCAACGGACCAGGCTGGAGCGTTTGCAACGAGCTGGACAGCCATTTGTTATTGAATCATCCCCGCCCGTCGTCCATCACCCGGTTCCTCAACGACTCAGTCAGCTTGTCTTAACCCAGAAGCTGGAAACTCCCAAGTCGGATGCGTTTGGAAGCACCATCGCCGATGTCAGTCATAACCCTTTGCTCGCCGTCCCCTCCTCGGAGATAATTGAGAACGAGCGTTGGCACGACATGTTCGCATCTTTCGGGGACACAGCAGAAACCCCCGATGACTTAATCAACAAAAGAATTACTGCAGCTGAAGATATCAGTCCCGGAGCCAGCAACTTTCCAGACCCCAGCAGTCCACCGACAGATCAGCCAATTTCCCAATGCCTTGAGAGGAACTCATTTTCGGATTTACAAGAAACACGAAACAAAAATGACGTTGCAAAAGTAGACTTGCGAAAAAACCTTTATGGATCTTTTGATGGAAATGATGAGGCCAGAAACTTGCCAGGAGATGCCATTTCTACATTATCGTTCTCCTCACCACTTGCGCCGATCAACATGTCTGCTTTGTCAAGCAAACAAACCGCAGATGATGTTGACGGTGATGGACAAGGGGAAGCTTATACAACTGAAGAGGTTTCCACGTGGAACATGCTTGATACCGTGATCCAACACCCTTCGCCGTCGATGATCTCAGGCAGCCTAGAAGAACAGAACCTCGATGAACACGAGCAAGGATGTACTGAAGGCAACAGAACAGAGCCCAGGAATCCAATTGGTGTATTACAACCTTCGGAGATAGGCTCATGTCGAAAAGAATCAGTACCAGAAACAAGAGCGATGGGTGTGGATGCAGACTGGATTAACTTTATATTCGGCTATGATGGCGAAGAAGCACAAGATGTCGCGTTCCAAGAAGCAAGACAAGAAGCAGCTCGAGGTTTACGACCATCAAGCAGCTCTGCTAACAATTACCGCCAAAACCCCGGATCGCCTGGTCTTGATTATGGCACAGCAACTATAGCAACTATAGCCACCTGCGGAACATCTGACGGTGAGGATGAGAAGGACATCATCCCACCCTCTTCAAGAAGTTCTCTTGGATTCCAACTTGACCACACAGATATGACAGCCCCCGAAAGTTCCACAAATGCTCTTCTGGGGTCACACAACAGTGTGGACAGTTGCATAGACACAACAGCGGCCACGATTGCGGAAGCCCCTGTGCCAATCACCCGGGGGGTAGAGTCAGATTATTTCGTAACTGGCATCGTATCAACCCCGGCGATAGACTCCGCGTCCATAGTGACGCAACCGCCCGAGTCCGAAATGGGAGAGGTACCTAGTCAGTCATTCCGGTTTGCGCGCCCAAAGACGTTCATCGGCCGGCTGGCTAGTTCGTTGATGCAAGAGATTGGCCCAATAGTGCCCTTGAGTGTTTATAATGAGCCCAAGAAGCGTAGCAGGCCGAAGAGAAGGCTAAGAAAGAAGATGGCAAAGGACGGTCGAGCTGATATCCGAGGGTTGCCAGACTACGAAGGGGATCCCATTGAGGGGGGTTCAGATGAGTAGGGGCGGTAGGCAGAACATGCATTCAAATCACAGCATGGGTTGCGTGAATGTAAGCGCTTTTCTGGTATCTCTTTGACATTCGTGGGATATCGGTTGCTGTTGGGACCTGGCCCTATCTGTTCTAGACGACAAAACATGCACAATGTGCTAGGAGAAAAAGAAAAGACTGAACTCCCCCCCCCCCCAAAAAAAAACCAATGCTCCAAAACCCCTTGCCTTCATTCTGGAATGGCTCGACAAGTCTCGTTTCCGACGTTCCATCCAAGTCAGTATCCAGCACGGCTGTCTGCCTTGGAGGCGATCCAATTCATCTATATCATGTGCGAAACCTTCTCCCTTCCCCAAAGGTTTCTTTCTTGTTTTGATTTTCTTGATTCGGTCGTTGCTTTTCTGGAGTCAATCCAAAAATCTATTTTTTTTCTTCGTTTGTGTTTATTTGACTGATATCCCATGATGTATTGGTGGTGAGCGAGGTGAAAGGAGCGACAGTGAGATTACTGGAAGCTGAATTCCTTCAAGCTTTTTTTTTCGTCTGCTACTGTGCACTTCCCGCTCAAAGCTCACTAGAGGCCAAAGGCGCGGACGTGGCGCCGGGAGTGACGGAACTCATCGCGCTTGTACTCGGCGGCGTGCTTCTTGTCGGACTTGGTGCGCTTGACTTCGCCGGTGGCCGCAGGGACGACCGATACGGTCTGCGTCAGGACCGAGGTTACGGCCGCCGTGGGGCACGAGGAGACGGTCTCGGTAACCGTGACGGCAGCGGGGCAGTTTTGACTTCCCTCGTTGCCGACGCTACCACCGGTGCCAGCGCTGGGGAGGGCCGAGGCCACGGTCGTTGCGGAGGCGGTGCTCTGGGCGTCAGAGACGGTCACGACGCCGGTGAGGGAACCGACGGTGATGGTGATGACGCGATGGGGAGGGGCCGAGGTGGCTGCAGGGGCTTGGGCTGTGATGTAGACGGTGGTCACATGGGGAGGGTTGGTGCCCTCGGCCGGGATGGTGGAGGTCAGAGCCGAGGTGGACACCTCAGCCTGGGCGGAGTCGGTAGGAGCAGCAGGAGGGATGGTGACGGTGATGAGAGAGACCACGGGGCTGCCGGTGGCAGGGCCCAGGGTCATGGTGAGGACGGAGGTCTTGGGCTCTTGAGGCTTCGGGGGTGGCGCAGAGGCAGCGGGGGCGGTAGCGGTGACATAGATGGTTTTGACGATGGCTTGGCCACCCGCGCTCTGGGCCGGGAGGGTGGTCTCGATGGCGGAGGTGACTACAGACCCGGCTTTGTCAGCCCCGCCAGCTCCCTTGGTGGCAGCGGGAGGAGGAGCAGAGACGTAGACTGTAGAGACGATCGCCTGGCCGCCCTCAGACTTGGCCGGGAGGGTGGTGACCACGGGAGAGCTGCCGGCGATAGCATCGACGGAGCTGACAGCCTCGGCGGTCTTGGTGATGTAGATCGTAGAGACGATAGGAGGCTGGCCGCCCACAGCAGGGAGGGTCGAGACAACAGCAGAGGTGACGACGGATCCGCCCTTGCCGCTGGCACCACCCTCTTCGCCGACACCACCGTCGGCAGGCTTGGAAGGCTCAGCGCCAGGCTGGCGGGTGACAGTAATGACAGACACCACAGGGGTGGCGTTGGGCTGTTCGGGGTTGGCCGCGATGGTGGTGGTCAAGACACTGGTCTGAGGGGCGGCAGTCTGGGCAGGAGGAGCTGCAGGCGTAGCGGTGACAGTGACGAAAGAAACACCTCCGGTCCCGACGGTCGCGGCAGCGTCAGGAGGCAGGGTGGTGGTGGTGATAACGGAGCCACCGGTCCCGGCAATGCTGGAAGGAAGACCAGCGGCACCAGAGTTGGGGCCTTGGGGCAGGAGCACGGTCTGCGTAACAGTCGTGGGGACAGAGACGGTGACGGTGGCGGTCTTTGCGGCGCCCTGGCAGGCGATGAGCTGGGTCTGGCACTGGGAGATGTGGAAGTTCTGTCCGGCGATGCTCTGGCACTGGGTGAACTGCATGCCACAGGCAGCGTTACAGGCGGACTGGAACTGTTCGAACTGCTGGCCGCCGACGACGAAGCCGCCCTGCTGACCCTGCTGGACAGCGGGACAAGCACCACCGAGGGCGGAGGTGAAGGTGAAGAAGGTAACCTGGGAGACGATAATGACCTGGGGTTGCAGGATGATTGGGGCGGCGTCGGCGGTGACGGTGCGCTCAGTCGTAATAACCTGGGTGGTGGTGACGTTGTTTGAGAGGAGAGAAGTGACCGTGGCGAGCTCGGTCAGGGTCGACACCTGGGGAGGAGCGGCAACAGCGGGGATCGAGGTGTTGAGGAAGAGACCTGTCGGTCCGGCCTTGGCAGGGGCGGCGGCACCAGTGCCCGTTGACAGAAGAGGCGGGATACTGATGCTGGACAGGACGGGCGACGGGGCGACATCCTGACGCTTGGCCTGGCGCGCGAGACCGAGCTCAGCGAGGAGACAGGCAAGAACAGCTGATTTGAACAACATGTTGAGGGATCGTGAAGCAACTGCTGTCGTTGTGATGGCAAGTTGCTAAATGGTTGAAAGGTTTGAGAGTCGTTCAAGTCGTTGACTTCGTGTAAGAGAAAGAAGCAAGGCCCTTCAAGGGGTGGGCGACTAGCACCGAGAAGAGAATGACAGGATGCTCAGAAAGAGGCGAAGATAAAGGAAAGAAACTTGGCAAAAGAAAAAGCCAGAGAGTGTCAGACTGAAGAAGCTGTTGAAGCGAGAACAGAAACCGGGCCAGAGACGGGAAGCAAGACCATCTTTTAAACGCCTTTCCGTTCCCAATCTGAGCGATGAGCTGGAGGAGACTCCTTGGGCCAGACCAGGGCCTTTCGACTTGATAGACCGGGTGCTGACTCCTGACAAGCCCAGCTAGTCTCCTCGTGGTACGGCTTCGCCATCGCTTTGGAACGGTCATCGTTGGCCGTTCGGCCAAAGAGCGGGCTGCCTGCGGGGCCAAGGTAGGGGAAGGAGCTTAACCATCGTTTGGTGTTTACAATTCCAGGAGGGGGGGCAGGCCCGCGGTGTGGAGGGAGTGGAGGAGGAAGGCTGGCAGAGGGGGGCGAACAGAGTATTCTCCCGGAGGATCACCACCAGGCGACGGCGGTATCTTCCAGGAGTGTGTTTCCTGAGGGCTCAGCTTGAAGGCTGTGCTGTTCCCCTACCGGGATGACGGGGGATGTGAGAATGATGGAGCGGATGACGGAGTGTTAGACGTCAACGCCTGCGGCCTTCAGACCGGAGGAGATTGCGTAACTGGATCCTTTGGCCGAGGGCACGACCTATATCGCGCCTTAACATAGTGTGCGCCTCCTTTTCCAGAGATGTCGATGGAGGAGCGGGGCTCAATAACCGAGTTTATGGGATAATGAAGAACGGAGGAGGCGATTTGCAAGAATGCAACGGTATCTGTAGATCCAAACGTCAAGCAGACTGAGGACGACAACTTGGTTGTATCGTTGTGGCTTACAGCAATGTGCGCCCTAGATCCATCTCCCTGTGATGTTGCCGCGATCTACAATCACCCGTTCTCTGTCCTGCCGTTGTTGTTTTTCTCCGAGCCGTCTCTGGAATCCCCACCCCAAAAAACCATCTCGACTTTCTGAGTATCCGAGCAAGACGGGAACCCCCCCGCTTGAGAGAGAATAAACAGCGGATGAAGGGGGGAAAGGAAGTAGACTGGGTTCACGGGGTTGATGCCAGCGTAAAAACTTCTTTACGCAGGTCACAAAGGGTCCAGAAACGGGGAGCCGCTTGGGGTCCGATGCTGCTGGCCCAATCAAGTCAAAGGCATCAAGCTTGAAAGAAAAAAAAATTCTGGCAGCTTGATCCAGGGAGTCAGGCTGGGCCAGGAGATGTCGAATGGAGGCCCAGGGGCAAGTCGGTGGAGGAGTTGAGGTTCACTTTGAGTGCCCAGAAGAAGGGGGACGTTGAACAGGACCGAGCGACGGAGTTGGGATGCTGCCAGGATTACCGGGAAGGGATGGTGCATGATTGACGCGGGGGGGTCGAGGATCAATCGGGCGTTGCCGCCATGGATGTCGGGGAATTACTGCCAATTGGGAGGGGTCTTCCCTCCAGGCGCGCTTTTATAACGTTGCGGCTAAGGCCCACTTGGTCCGTTTGAAAGGGCCAGCGACTTTTTTCCCCTGGGCCGTCATCCGTCACCCCCTAACTAGGCTGTTCCCCTGGACCTGGTTGTTCCTGTTTCAGCTGATCGTCCAAAGAGGAAACCAAACCTCGTCCCAGAGCTCCTGACTGTGGCTTCCCTTGTACAACGTCCACACATCAAGGCTTCTGGACTTTGTACCGTCTCCACAGTCCAATCAACTTCCATCACGTTTCCCCTCCTTCACCCCTCCAGTCCTCGAGAATTCCACCGAACCTACTATGTACCCCCAGATCACGTGGTCGCTCCTGGTCGCTTAGACAGCGGGCGTTTCGCTCGCTCTTTTCACTCCTTGGCGGGCTTACTACGTACACCCACTCCTATCCCCTCACCACCGGCTTGTCCATCTGATGTCATGCTGCTCGACGCCCTGGACCTTGAACCCTTGCTCTAGTTTCATCGAGGCTAATTGCAGGAGTGGTCTCTCGTGCAACTTTGGGACGATAGTGGACTTTGGACTGCCAGCCCATCCCTTCCTAGCTGTCATCTCTCCTCTCGAGAGTTTTTCCGATGGCATAATGGCAACGATCGCATCGAAAGCCTCGCATGTGCCGACAGATGAATAGTAGAACAGAGTCACATTTGCTATAGCTGCTGGACCCGTTCTCTTGCGTCAACTCACGACATCCCTCGGAAATTCAATACTGCAGTCTTCAATGCACGCCGCCTTCGTGGTTCGTTCGTCCCTCGCTTCTCATTGATCATCACGGTGCCCGCCGCTCGTCGATCCGCAGTAGTGTACGCCAAACCCATGAATAAGGTCTGGCTTGTGCAACCCATGCGGGAGATCATGGGCTGCCCTGGCCTTCAAAACCCCCTTCCCTCTTTCTCTCTCTTCCCCCTCGGTTTCGACGGGCTTCCCCTACCTACCCTTGTTTAAACACTTGAATGTTTAAGATTGCATAGGGGCACACAAGCGTTTGTATGAGACCTCTCTTGTAGCATCATCCCGGACTGGGCAACCACTTCACTCGCGATGTTGACTCCTTATCGGCCTCTGCGATGTGGATCTTGAGTTCGGTAACTTGGCCGCTTCCTGGCTTGGCGGATCGACGATGAATCGTCGTGGTTCATTGGGAATGCGCCTTAGACGGTTGGTGATTATCCTTGGCGAGCGGGCATGATATGGATCGCCTCTTTCCTTGGGTTATTCAGAAGATCTTTCAATGAGAGACCCGTCAGCCACAAGTAAAGTAAGTGATTACATCTGTCAGGCGCCACGAAGAGCGCCACTCCGGCGCCGCTGGTTTCCCTTCTGCCTCACGGGCGCGCCACAAGGACGATACTAGATTGAGAGATTCAAGGAGGAAAGCTGTCACTTAGCTTGGATGAACGACAGCAGGCCTTCAGACAAATCATGCTTCATCTGAACCTGGCAGTCCCAGTGAAAGACATTGTCATAGACTCGACGAAGTGGCTTAGCCTTGGTACAATGTGACTTCCCTCCAAGGTCCCTCTTGGTGTACTGGATGCTTTGGAAACGGCCGATGTGCTTAGCTTGACCCTCATGCGACCACCACTGTTAGACATAGCAACAAGATGTGTCTAGACCAAGAAACTAGAGCTCAGTCATCAGCCTTGTACGAGCAACCGCCCTGGACCAGGGATGCTGCTTCGCTTCCGCAGATCATCCGGAGTCTAGCGTCAGTGTTGAGTTTCGGCATTGACGTGAGCGCTGGGGTGTCGCTGCGTCCTCTGGCGATCAAATCCGGAATTGCCGCATGTTTTGTCTGAGTGAAGCCAGTTTCTTTGATCTAGAAGAAAGCAGCCGGCTTCCATTGCATCATGTTCTCCCCGATGTTCCGTACTACGCATCTCCACAGAGTGCCTTGACAAATCAGAGATACCCAATCGCAACCAACTTTTGAGTGACCTTCTGGTATCCCCGGCTTTCTCAGCAGCTAAACCCTGCCCCAAGTCTATCGTTTCGGTTTCGTTGTGGGAGGCCCTTTCGGTTTAGCGATCGCGTGATGTTTTCGTTTAGTTTACTTGCAGACGTCGAACAATCATTCATGTGATAGGCTTGACAGAGAGACTGGAGTGGATAATGTCACAGAGATCTGAAGCTCGCTGAGTAAGCATCATCAAGATGTGGTGGTTCTTGCGAAAGGCTTCGATAATCAACAAACTCGCGACTAATGAGGCCGGCCGGGGTTGCGGACAGCAACATATTCTTTCAGAGACTTTAAAATTTGCTGTAGGACCAGGAGTTCTCTCAATCTCAACCTTGCTACAGTAGTTCAACTTGGGACCATTTGCGTCGTCAACACCGTCCGTCTATGTCACCAAGAAAAAAATGGATCTGCTCGGATGGCGTTTGGTGTGCAGGTTTCAGCGGTTCCGTGCAAGTGAACTATTTGGCTCGAAGCCAACCGATGTTGAACATGTCCCAGGCCGTTTCTCTGACATTGAAATGTACCCCTGAGGACCCGTTGGTCTTCTCAAACCTCCTTATTTCATAATTGCAACGTATTATAGATCACGTATGAAGATTTGCACCCTTGTCTTTTTATTACCGGATACGTCGATAAAGTAGGCTGAGTGGTTTCAACGCGCCTTGTGCACTCGGCTGCCCCGAATTTTACCAACTGAGATGCCGAGCCCTTGAAGTCTCTCCCAACCCAACGGCTGGAAGATCTTTCGGTCAGGGCATTTAGAACCTCAATAAAGAAGATATGGTCCCAACTCATCGGCTTGCCGTTCTGAGTGAAAGTCCCCAAGCTCGCTCGGGTATCTCCTTGGTACTCGTTGCATTTGTTGCAACTTCGGCTATTTGCCAATGGCGAAAAATGAGCGAGAAATGAGCGAGAAATAAGCCACGCAGTTACCCTCGAGATTTTCCACGGTGAATACTAGACCTCAAGGAGGAGCAATGGGAGCAAGGTTTGGAGGATTCGAGCAACCAAAAAGACTACCTGTGGCGAATCCTCGCTTGTTTTGCCAGGAGTTGAGGCTGCACTGACTAGGATGCGAGATGGCTGGTATGTTATCCTAGAGTGGGGTCGCAGGTCCAACGGCGACGTTTTGCTGGATCAATTAACCGGATGATCATACAATGTTACTTTACTTAGAGCCAGATCTGGAAATAGGCATTGACGGTTCTGTCGGAGACTGTGCATGCGAAGTCAATTCTGAAGGCACCTTTGATGTAGGTAAGATATCGGTCAACACAAGGAGAAAACACCGGGTCCGGCTTTCGATCCATTGTCGGTTTTGAATGCGGTTTCTGGCTGAGCAGGATGTCATGACGTCAAAAGACCATCTAGGTCGGATGGATATAAGGGAATGGAACGCACTGCGTGTCGTTTCTGGTGTTCCAGAAGTTGAAATCTGAGTAGGTCTCAATCAGGAGATGCCTCGCCAGAACAGCTATCACGGAAGGTGTCAGTAAAACTTTTATCACGGCTGAAGCACGCTGATATTCTTTGTTTTCCGTGTTTCCCAAGGCAACTATTCTCAATTGCCGCATGGGTTTTCGGCGGAGGACTTCGATGGCATTTAGAAAGGGAGTACAATTCACCACAAGCGTCGCTAATTTGCACTCTGCCGTCTCCCCTCGAAAGATCGAAAGTCAATGTTGACTGACAACTGCCAGCCACCGATAATAGGCTACGGTGCAGCTGTCGCGTAGAGAAGCCCACCGTACCGGTGCAGGTTCTCGGCCTGCAGCTCCGTGAAAAAACAATTAATGACAGAAATTGGGCCGGGCATTTATGCAACACGGTCGATTCAAACGGAGTCAAAATAGAGTTGACCCCGAAAAAGAAGTGCGAGATGATCGGATCAAATTTCCAACGCGCAAATATCAGACCTGACCAGTCGGAATATCGGGAATATTGGCTAAAAGAAAGCAACGTCTCATCATCGCCGAAGACGGCTCGGCGGTCGGCTGCTCGGTGTGGGGTATCCCGTCTCCGGATTTCGGGAGGCTGCCCCCACTGCCGAGGGGAGAGAGAGCACTCATAGACTTTCCTGTCTCAGTGTGTGGGCAGCAGCAGCCGGCAGAGCATTGGGACCGCTGGAGCGCCCAGGTGATCAGAACCGCAGGGCGCTAGCGTGCTGGCGCTAAGGACGCCACGGGTTGATGTCGCCATCCCCCGGTGCAACGCATGTGCCGGAAGCTATTGCAACGCGTGTATCTTTTGCTCGGGATCGCAGCACGATGGTACACGGCCTTGGGGATTTGCTTCGTTGTTCTGGCCCACGTATCGTGTTAAGCTAGCTCAGGTGTCCTTTCCATCCGCGGTTTGTGCCTTACTGTGCGCTCCAGCGATTATGCTCTCAGACGCTTCCACTCCCGAAGCTGATCTAATCTGACCTGTACCATCCTAGCTGGTCAGTGTTTCCCTCCTCTTCCCCCCGCCCCTGGCAGAATTCAACATCATTCTTCCATCACCTACCATCCCGGTGCTATCAGCTCAACATTGTCGACCTGCGATGGACTCGGAAGTTGAAGTTGCTCTCTTTTAGTGTTGTGCCCGCGACAAACCGTCCCACCTTTCTCTGCTCGTTTCTCCACAACATCTGCCGAGATCTGCCTTGCGTCATTCATCTGCTCCGGTCAGGAACCAGAGAAGCTGCGGCATCGGGGGAATCTCGAACCCCACCCCGCCCATCCATCGTCACAGGTAAAGCTCGGCTCGGTGTCTAGGAACCGAGAGAAGATCGGCAACAAAGCAAGCTCGTCCGTTGGTTGTTCATCCCAACCAGTCAAATAACTCTTCTGGTCGTATCACCGATTGTTCGAAATGGTCGTCTTTGTTGATCTCGACGAGGACATGGAGCCCCTTCATGTTCTCGAGGCGCGTCGCCTGGCTGCCGCTGCCGCTGTCGCGACTGATGCACTAGAACCAAGCAGTCGCGAGCTCAACCATGAACTCGAGAAGCCGACGGCCGCTCCTGTGGTTTCGGTAGCTCCGGTTCCCGCACCGGAGCCAACGCCGACGTTTCAAAGTGCCGTTACCGAGGCGTTTGGCTGTTATCCGTAAGCCTACCGCACTGATGACTACGTGCTGACTATCGATATCATGACTGACACCGAATACCCATACAGCATTGTCATGTCCATTGCTGAACACATCGACCTCAATACCCTCGACAGCCTAGCCCGCACCTCGCGCCAGGTCCGCCGTGGCTTGCTGCAGTACCGCTCCATCCTTCTATCCTCAACGCTGCACTGTTCCAATGAAGACGCTCCCGTCGACCCAGAGTCCACCTTCCGCTTCCGTGCGAGGGCTGGCAACTGGTATTACATGGAAGATGGCCGAAACTACAATGGAAAGAGCGGCAGCTGTGCCCGTGACCTGGTGACGGAGTGTCGGAGGTGCAGAACCGTTGTGTGCAGGGTATGCCGTCCTATGCCGAGCCACATGCCCTTGGCCCTTTTCCTGCGAGGGCCCCCTTACAGGTGTGAGGGAGAGACCAGGGGCTTGAGGCAACGGTCGAGGAGGATGATGAAGATGATCAAGTACAGTTGATCGCTGACGCTGCGAACAGAACTGTGCTATCAAGCCGCCAGCCCACAACGCCCTCCGCGAGCGACATCGCAGGCTGTGTAATCCGTGCACCAAGGCCCCAATCGCCTCGCTCGTTAATAAGCCCCTGGAACCCGAAACGTCTCTTCTGGATGACGCGGTGCGACGGGAAATTTGCCGGTGCGATATCGACGGCGTCTGGCTCTGCCAACCATGTGGGCGGAGCATGCGCGGGGCCGACCACGACTATCAGCGGTATGAACCCTGCCCTTCAAACTCGGCACGCAAAGCCCGACATACTAACAAGGGTTATTCAGCATCTGGAAGTGGCGAGCTCATTACGGCGAAGTACTTGGCGGCCTGGGAACGGGCATTGGTGAGGGTGACCGCGGTGTCATTTGTGGTCGCGAGAGCGCCTGCGCCGGTGCTAAGGAGCGTGAAAATGAGACCGACTGTGACGCCGAGGATGCAGCCGTCAGCGGCGCGAACCTCTGGACGGCTACGGACCAGGTGCATCTGGATACGGTGCGGTATGAACGAACGCCAAGTCCCCAGCTCGGCCCTGGGTATGAAAGGCATGAGATCGAGGGCATCGGTGGTTGTGTCAAGACCAAACTCATCAGGATGGTTAGAGTTGGCGCTTGCGTGCCCGAGTGGGACGACGAGAAGAGTCACCACAACATCCTTGGGAGAGAGGTCAAAGGCAACAGGAGGAGCTGGTGTGGCTGGTGCTACAGAGTCGTTCCCGGTGAGGCTGACTTGGAAACGGCCGGTGTTCAGATGCGCCAACTCTGAAGGTTGGATAGCAGATATACTTTCATTGTAATGGTTCGGTGACATTCTTCATGGGAATTAGGTATCCAAGAGGTAGTAGTGCTGCACCGCAGGAGGTACAGAGGAAACTTTTCTACACGGCGTCGAAGAGGAACAATAATAGGGTTAGGGGCAGGAGGAGGATGACCCAACCGAGGAGAAGGCAGAGGCAAAGCGCCTCAAACCAAATGACTGCGGAGAGCATGCTTAACAGAGCAGGCGTCGAGCCGGAGCATTTGTGGTGGACAACGGACCAGGGCCGTCCTGGTCATGAACAACCTAGGATGGCAGCATCTGAGTGCACATAACAGCCACATACATAGGCGTGGAAAAATTATACACGAGTTTCTATAGATTTTACTCATTGTACAGATTGTTGGGTGGGTTTCAGTCGCATCGCAACCCGCAAATGCCCTGCTGCTATCCTACAGTATCTCAACTCCTTTTTGATACTCCTTGCGATTTGATGGTACAAACAATGGAAGTTTCATACTCCCTTTTCGTCCCATATTGGTACATAGCCCTCCTCCGACCTGGCGGTACATCTTTCGTGTTGCATTCGAGTGGTCCCTTCCTCATACAACCGCAACACCCGCAAGGTCATACTTGTTGAACAAACCCCTGACGGTGCTCGTATTCCGGCGATACGTCCAAGCCCCTTACAGCTCGCCGCGGAAGAGCATCTCCTTGCGGCGGGAGCGGTCCTCGCGGGCCTTGGTGCGAATAGTACCCCAGCGGCTCTTGACGCCCTCGAGCTTGCGCTCGAGGCGTTCCTTGTGTTCGCGGGGCGCGGGCGTGCAGATGGTGATGAAGGTCTCGGAGCAGTCGAACTTGCGCGCGAGGGCGGTGACGCTCCAGAAGCCCGGGTCCTCGGCGCGGAGGCGGCGGATCTCGGCGACGTCTTCGCGGGAGAGGTGGTAGCGCGGGTTGGAGCCGCGGGAGGGGACGTTGAGGGCCGGGGGAGGGGCCTCGCGGCCGACGAGGAACCGGACGACGTCGTTTGTGATGTTGCTGCCGAGGAGCTGGCGAAGAGGGAGGAGAGGTTCGCGCGGCGGCGGGGGTCCGAGGGCGGGAGGAACTTGAAGGGGTGTGGTAGACGGAGGGGGCGGCCGAGGGCGGGTTGTAGATGATTGTGTCGCCGGCGGTCGGGGTCGAGGGGAGGAAATCGGGGTGGGGAGGGATGTTGAGGGAGCGCTTCGTGCGTGAGAAGGTCTTGTGGCCACGTCGGGGGACGGTCGTGGCGGCCGAGGCAGTCTGCTGGCGGAGGAGGGTTGCCAGCGCAGTCGCCGGTCTGGTTAATGTCCTAGCCTCCATCTTTGATCGATTGTGCGTGTGAATTGGGTCGAGTCGACTTTGGTATGTTGAGCTCGAGGCCCCCGGGTGAAGGTTAGGAGCTGAGAGACCGAGACGGGTAGACCGATTGGACGGAGGGAGTGAGTGACAGCACGGCCAGCGTCGCTTCGGAGGGAGGTCGTAGAGAAGGCGACGGCAGGCGTGAGGGAGGCGTGATGCTCGGACGGACGAGGAGGGGAGTCGGGTGTCGCGTGCTAGCTCTCTGTTTGCTCTGGACGGGGACCCTGAGAGTGATGATCTGAAGTTTTTCGGGAGCGCGATGGAAATTTGGCTTAGGTAAGATTGTGGAGCGAGCTGTCCCGAAAGGGAGATGATGGTGCTTAGGTAATAACAAAAGCTTGGTGCCTTGTGGTCTTGAGCGGAAACCTAAGGCAAGTGCAGGTGATTAGATAAGAGAGCATAGCAGTTCACATGATTTTGCACGTGGAGAAATGCAATGGAGTCCCATATCTGGAACCTTAGATGGTTTAATCCGAAGATGTGGAACCTTGCCCACGGTTACCTTGGCTTTTCCTGCCCGCGCAGCGGTGGTGACGTCTGCACAGCTCGCAACCACCCCAGTGCATCACTGATAGCCGGGCGGTTGCTCCAGCAAAAGGCTAATAACGAGGAAAGCCAAACAAACGAAGTTCGTTTCAAACTGGCGGAAAAGCATCCTGCAACCGCGGCAACCATTCGGCCTCTGTGACTCGAGCTTCTGACCGCCGCGCATCGTGGCCGGATCCCCGTCGTTGTTGAGAAGACGCGGCCTTAAGCTTTGCGGCTTTTTTCTTCTTCTTCACGGGTTTCCTAATCGAGGTTTTCTGGAAGACGGGTTTCGCTGGCGATTCTCTACGTTGGTGTTGTTCATGCGGGATGGGAGGTGACGTGCGTGGTTTTCGCACAGGAGCCCCGGTTTCCTGGAAAGCGAGGCGGGAAAGGGGACCACCTGCGATTAACGCAGGGATTCGTGCCTTGCCTTGCCATCGAAGGAGGGGTCTGTTGCTTGCTGTTTGCTGGGCGGTAAGTCGAAGACGAGGCGGAGGGAGGGGCTGCTCCTCGTCATGACCGCCATTTCTCAGGCGGGCATTCACGGGCTCGCGCTGCCTTGGTGACAGGCTCGTTTCAAGCTCCTTTTTTTCTTTCTTCTTGTATGCGTACTTCTCCAAGGCCAGATCCGCGGGAAATAGGCAGAGAAGGACAGGGCCGAGGCCAAGGCTGTGTGGAGCGCAGAGACAGTGGTGCAGAAAGATGTGGGAAGGGATCTGGGAAGAAGGGTCCCGGAAACAGGGAAGAGTAACAAAATAGATGTTGGCAGAGCCAATGTCTGATTTGCTCAACACCGTCGTCTTCGTTGTTCACGGCCTTTCTCTTATTTTTTCGTCCGAAGGCTTGGACAGGGACTATCCACCCTGCACCCATCTGCATCGTTTGTTCGGTCATGTTCCATCAACCGCCCCAGGGTCTGGACAGGCAAAGTAAGGAGAGGGCGAATGGGGTTCTGGGGTTGGCGGTTACGAGAGTGCGAGTCTATTCCAAACGGTGGGTATTTCCGGGAGGTTCGTGGGGAGTCATCATCCATGAAGGGGACGTGTTGTTCCTCAAGATGCGCGAGTCAAACATCTGGGATGAAGCTTCACCGACTTGGAGGAAGCCTTGCGGGATCAGAGAACGGTCGACAAGTGGTTGCGGATCAAAACAGAGGATCCGAGGAAGAAACCGTCCCCACGGCTGTTCTTGGTCTAAGACATTGCGTTCCTGCACTGCATTGCGAAAAGAAAGGGTCCAGGGTCGAGAATGGCATTCATTGTTGGCGAAAAGTCTGGATTAGGACAAGAACTATTAGAAAGTCTGGGAGCTGAGTCCGAAGGAAAAGAAATGGGGCAATTGAGAAAAGGAACAAATGAGAAACTCGAAAACGAGGAACGCGTGTGTAAGAAAAGAAGCAAATAAAGCAAACGGCCGAGAAAGGGTAGAAAGACGCGTTCCAAACAGATTGCGGTGCGGTGGACAATGCACACGGACAACCAGCCCAAGCACCACCACCTGGACTCGACACACGCCAAAAGGCGCGAGGCGCTGTCGTCGACTCTTTCGCTTCCCCGCGTATCCATCCATCGTCCCTTGTGTGTAAGACGGTGTGGCAGCAGTGTAAAGTACAACGCCTCTCACAATGCCCGACGAGGGACCTTGGGTCTCGCAACGGATGGATGATTGAGTATCCGGGCAGAGTTTGCCGTAGTACGTAAGTTGCAAAGTGCAGAGTTAGGTGAGCGATCCCCCTGACGCCAAGCGAGAAAAAGCCTGAAGCCATCCATCGGAGGCTGCGGATGTCAACGGGGGGAGACCAACGGGGTATCATCAACCTAGGCCTAAAGCTTGGGTGGGAACATGACGGGGTGCCTGAGCTACGTGATACGGACGAGTGATTGGCTTGAGTGGTGTTCACGAGGCTTGGGCTCGGAATACCTTACTTTGGACGGTGTATCTGGTTGTTCTCGTCATCGTTTCATGGACAAACGGCACGAGATGACAGAACGAGCTTGGTAATGGAGTGAAGCCCAAGAGGGACTGTGCCTTGCAAGCGAGGGGAGTACCGAAAGGGAGTAAGGCAGATACTTGGGCAGAAGTGTGTGTTATTGCGGATGGGAGGGCACGCAGCATGTCACTGCCTCGTCCTTCGCGCGACATCACGTCAATGCCCGAACTCTATCCGTAAACAACTGCGCGACACGGGGGCCAACGTGACGGGCCCCCCTTTCACAAGCTGCCAGGGCGTTGTTGACGGGTGACTGACGGATGATGGTCCTTAGTGGCAGCATTAGTCCAGCACGCAGAAGGAACTTGAGCGAGGATGGCGGCAGAATAAAATGAACTAAATAAAACAAAAATAAAAGCTGCTGCTGCCATCCCGAACGCCTAAAGCTCCCGACGGGAATAATAGATCGGTCCTATCCCCCCTCCTCCCCTTCCCTTCCCAAAGCCTCCTCCCTCCAGTCTCCCAACACTCCCGAATACTTCTGCCATTTTGATTCTGTTCCCTCTTAACGTCTGCCATATCACGACTGTACAACAGACAGAAGGAAAGACCAACGTCGTCCGCGACTCTGGACGCATCGCATCTGCGGATACGCCCATCGGGACAAAAGGCACTCCACCAAGTAACCGGCCCACCAGCCATCCAGGCGAACTCCATCTCCAACCACCAACAAGGCACAGCGAACCCCGGCCTGGGCCTCTTTCTGCCTCTCTTGCAGATCAGCACACCGGCACCCGACCACCAACAAGGCTCCTGCAGCAGGGGTGAACGTGCGTGCCAATCTGCTTACTTGACGCCCTCGACCGTTGCGTCACACGGTCTCCAGCTTCGTCTGTCAATCAGGGACCTCTCGGGGTGGTCTGGATCGAGCGCCATTTTTCGAAGATAACTGACTGGCTGCGTCCGCTGCGGCAGAGGTGTTTGGTCATCCCCTCGAAAGAAAAAGAAAAAAAAAAAAAAGAGAACCAAGACCGACGGTAGACAAAAGGGCGACGACACCCGACTCTTGTCAAAGCTGAGAGCAAAAAGAGAACGCCATTCCGTGTAAATCATCATATTTCCCTCGCAACGGCTAGTGTCCTTCCCAATTCCTCCCCCAGGTCTTTCACACGCAAGGGAACACACTGCGCCCATCTTCAGCCCTTCCCTCCCCTCTCTTCCAACCAGGTCGAACGGTTGGTTTCGAATCCTTTCCGGTATGTACATCTTGATATTGCTATCCCGCCCAATGCACATCCCACCCCATGTTCAGTATCAATCTCTGGTTTCCTGCTGGGGGGCCACCACTGGCGTTGCTGCTGATGCGCCGCCCTTCGCCTTGCTTGCCTGTGACAGTCACCGCACTTGCACCCCCTTCCACTTTCCCCTTCCCTTGCAGTGACCCCAAAAAAAGGGCGAATCGCGGGAATCGACGTCAATCAGGGTCACAGGGCCACCAAGCCAATCTATTGTCCCCCCACCACCTGTTTTCCCATACCTCGTTCCTCTACGTCCTCTCCCCCTCTCCCCTTGGGTCTACAAAACATAACGTCAACGGCCGGGTCCCTGCTTGTTAGAGAGACATTCCCATTAACTTGGTCTTTCTGCCAGAACAAACCAAACCAAACCGAACCAAAAAAAAAAAAGTCACGGTATAATCGGCAAACCCACCTGCGCAAACACATTACACCCACAGCAACACCACCCAATCTGAACAACACTATATCAACATGAGTCTAGCAGAAGCAACGCCCCTCAGTGCCGGCCAGGCGGCTGTGAACCCCTCCGTCGCCGCTCACGTCGGTGTCGACAGACTAGGCGGCGATGCGACACCCCGCGCTTCGAGCCACCACAACTCAGAGACGGAAAGCAGCAAGAAAGACGTGAAGAACAAGGTGCGCGGACTGTTCGGGCTGGGGAAGAAGAAGGAAGACCCCAATGTCTCCAAGTCATCGTCGACCACTCCCGCATCAACCGCCACCAGCAACCCCTCCTTGTCGAGAGACGCCTCGAGGGCGTCTGCTCGGTCTACGCCATACATTGGCGACCACTCGCATGTGCATCCCTCGTCGCCAGGCCGCGGAATGTCCAGCTCCCCGCGAGTGCCCTCGCCAGCGGGCTCTCAGATTTTCGAGCGAGATGTCGACAACATGTCAATGAAGCCTCAATCGCCTGCCATTCCGTCGCACATCCAGACCGAGAACCACATCCCGCCAGTCCTGGATGCATCATCCGAGGCTATCACGGACAACCACCTCGACCCGGACTCCGTCGAGATCGTCACTCACGCACATCATCAGCCCGCCGCAGCAGCCGTGACCGGCGCGAATGGAACACCCCACACTGCCGATTCCATGTCCGCATCCTGGACTGACGAGCTCCGCGCATTTGCTGACCGCGACGATGCATCAAACGTCAACTCGCTCGACAACGCCGACGTGCGCAGACTGAGCTTCATCTCCTTCGCCGACGTCGTGCAGGCCGAGCATGGCGGCCACGGTGGCACGGCAGGCTCGCGGGACTCGATCCACGTCGCCGGTCTGACGTCCCTGTCGTCCATCAACGCCCGCTCGCCCTCGCCCATCCGGTCGCCCGTGTCGTCGCAAGGCCCCGGCACCTCGCCGCCGACGAGCAACCCAGCATCCGTCAAGGGGCTGGAAATGTCACCGGGCCGGAAATCCCTGGGTAGCCCCATTTCGTCCCATCACAATCTCAACATGAGCGGCGAGCTCAACATTGAGACGATGTCTCAGGCGCTCAGGCGCACGGGAAGCACAGATCTCAGCGGCGTGCGCAGCTTTCCGACGAGCCCGATTGAGGGACCGTCGCGTTGATAGCTGCAGGGCAGAGGATGAGAACAAAAAGCAAGCACGAGTTTAACGGTACGGAGTCGGAGGCAAACGGAGAACCATTGATACCAAAGTGGACGTTTCTATCGCGCGGTTTTATTTCCCGAATGACTTTTTTTTCTCTTCGGAACGTTTTCAATCAAAGCAAGCAGACAGAGCACTCCTTCGGAAGCTAGCTCACGGAGTAGGGAGGGAGATTGTTACTTCTTTTCAGGGGTCGTCTTTGGAGTTGTCGGGCAAAGAAAGATAAACCTCTTGTTGTTGGTCCGAATGATGTATGTGTGTGTGTGCGCGCGCGGTTGGCGTAGCGGGATCCCTCGTCGTCTCGAGACGGGAAATTCATTTCTTCCCGTCCTCAAGCGGTCTGAACCTGGATCAGTTGCACCTCTGTTGTTCCATCACGCGCACGCGCCTCCTAGGTAGGCCAAGGAAATTAAGGTTGCGATTTGGGGATCTGGGAAATAATTCGAAGCAAACTATTAAACTGTCAAAGGATTACGTTTCTCAGATCAAGGGTCCCTCCTGTCAAGCTTGAAAGACTGTGAAACTCGTTCTCGACACGTGGATAGCCGTTGGCGCTAGGTGCTCATTCGGATGGTTTAGTACGGCCTCTAGGCGGAACCAGGCCCGGAAACTCGCTCAACTAGCAACGGTTCTAACGCCAAAGGAAGAGAGGGGGGGGGGGGGGGTCTTGTCGCTGACGCAAGACCTCTGGGCGAGTCGGACGTCGAGTTTTTGGCCGAGGTAAAAGACATGGCCGCCCCTGTGCCTCTTGTGCATCATGAATGCAAAGGACATTCTAGAAGGAGCAAGAAAAACCTCTAAACCGACCCCGTGACCGCCACTCGCAGGCCATGGCTGCAAAACACACACACAGCATGTGGTCCCCTGCCGTCATTGTCCAAGTCGAAACAACAATTATCCTGTGCTTGTTTCCTTGTGAGATAGGGAGGGGGGTTTGTCAGGTTGGCATGGCCATGTGCTGCGTCGGCGGGAATTGAAACAGGACCGGGTGGTCGTCGATAACGGCGGGTGGTGATGATTCTAGCATCGCCAAGAGGGCTCGCACGCAATGGAGGATTGCAGAGAAGAAACGGACAAACTGACACCTCCGCGGGATTTCAACAGAACTGGGGGGACGTCAATGACACATTTGTTGACATAAACTCATCAATTACCCAATCTGGACCAGCCCCGTCGTCCCTCCGGAGTTTTACGCCGATGGCCGCCCCACAACCTTCTTTCAACCATCCCGGGTCTACCGCTCATAGTTCCTCGCCTTGGGCATCTTCTTCTCCTCCATGGCCTCCATGTCCTTCTGCTTGTAAAAGTGCGGCGCCAGCTCCGCCAGCCACTTGGGCTCGATGGGCATGCAGCTGCGCATGTACTCCTTCGTGGTCTGCACGAGCTCAAAATAGACGAGCATCTTGACGGGCGGGTCGACGCCCATGAGCACGGAGCTCGGGTGGACGTAGACGGTCGCGTTCTTCTTGACTGTGCGGTAGCTGTCGCCGCTGCGCTGCAGGCGCGCCGCGTTGGGGAAGAAGCCGGCCGTCAGCGCACGCTTGATGGGCTGCATGTTGCTCGCGCCGCAGGTCGAGGGGCTGACCTCGACGCGCTCGCAGAGCTTGGCGAGCTGGTCGCGCACGTCGCGGGCGCGGGTGAGGGAGCGCTGCTGCAGGAAGTTTTCGCGCGACCAGATGGGCGAGAAGTCGCTGTCGACCCACTGGTTCCAGATATTGAGCAGGGTGAGGTGGTCGCCACCCTCCTTGACGGTGAAGCGGGCGCGCGCGCTGTCGGCGTGGATCTTCTTGTCCTTGGGCCTGAAGAAGAGCGCCGATGCCTCGCTGAGCATCGAAACGACCGAGAGCACCTCCTCGACGCACCCCTCCTTGTCGGCGGCGAGAACCGCCTTGGCGAGCATCGGGTCTGTTGGGAACTCGGCCATCTGTCGGCCCATCTTCGTGAGCTCGCCCTTGTGGTTGAGCGCCTGCAGGGCAAAGAGCTGGTTTAGCGCGCCGATGAGGGCTTCCGTGGGAGGCGGGTCCATGAACTCGAAGTCGAGGAGCTCGTTGATGCCCAAGGACTTGAGCTGGAGCACGACGCCGTTGAGGTTTGTGCGCTGGATCTCGGGCATTGGTGATTCATCCATCTCGTTCATGTAGGCGAACTTGGTATACAGTCGGAAGCACTTTCCGGGACCGACACGACCGGCGCGACCGCTCCTCTGGTTCGCCGAGGCTCTCGAGCATGGCGTAACGACGAGGTTTGACATGCCCGTTGCCGGGTTGTAGACGTTCTCCTTGACGAAGCCCGGGTCGATGACGTAGACGATGCCGTCAATGGTCAAACTCGTCTCGGCGATGTTGGTGGCCAGAACAACCTTGCGAGCGCCTTCGGGCGTAGGCTCGAAGATCTTGGCTTGCAGTTCCGATGGCAGGTTGGCATAGATAGGGCAGATCACCAGCTCCTTAATACGGCTTCCCAGCTTTTTCGCCGTGTCTGCTATTTGTTGTTCAGCGGCGTCGATCTCGTCTTGACCCGTCAGAAACACGAGGATATCGCCCTTGCCCTGTGTCGTGTGAATCTGGAATACTGTCGTAATGGCGGCGGCCAAGTAGTTGGCTTCCGGCGCTGGCGTATAGTAAATATCGACCGGGTATCTTCGTCCGGGAATGTTGTAAATAGGAGCGTCGTCAAAATAGGCAGCAAACTTCTCAGCGTTCATTGTCGCGGACGAAATGAGAAGTTTCAAGTCTGGTCTCTCTCTCGCCAAGTCCTTGACCAGCGCGAGCAGAATGTCCGTATGGACGGTTCTCTCGTGAGCCTCATCAATCATGATGGCGGAGTATCCAGCGAGATCGGGCTCCGTCATGAACTCTCTTAGCAACATGCCGTCCGTCATGTACTTCAGAATGGTCTTGTCGCTGGTGTTGTCCTCAAAACGGATCGAGTAACCCACCTCCTGTCCGACCTTGACACCGACCTCGTCCGCTACACGCGCAGCGACACTCATCGCAGCCACACGACGTGGTTGCGTACACCCGACCTTCATGCCGTTCTTGGTGTACCCCGCCTCGTGCAGATACTGCGGCAGTTGCGTCGTCTTTCCGGAACCCGTCTCTCCGACAATGACGAGGATCTGGTATTTCTCCATCGCCGCGAGGAAGTCATCTCGGTATGCGTAGATGGGCAGGCTCCTCCTCGTCTCCTGGATCGAAAGCTGCTTCTTCTCAGCCGCCTCGATCTGGGCTGCCAAAAACTGCTGCTCTTTGGTCAGCTTGCCCTCCCCGGGCAAACTTGACCCCAGATTCCACTTGATGTACTGCTCCTCGTCCATGACGTAAGCGTAGTCGTCGTTCTCTCGTTCGGACCTCTGAATCTGTGCCTTGGCCTTGGTCGCTTGTTCTCTTTCCCACTCCTCGTGCTCCGTAACGAACTTTTCCTGTCCGTACTCGTCCTTCTCCACATACCTCTTGTACATGGCATCTTCCTTTCTCTTTCTGTCGATTTTGCCCTTCTCCGTGATGTAGTCCTCCGGTATGTAGTATCCATCCTTATGGTCGTCAATCTTCAGACGCTCCTCCGCCAACCGCAGAATCTCGCGGTTCTTGGCGAACTCGGCCTTCTCTTTTTCTGATAACCTGACGCCACTCCTAAGCTCTTCCGTCTCCTCGGCAACCTGTTTGCGGAGCAGGGCAAGCTTCTCGGCCTCTCGTTTCCCAAGGTACATCTGTCGACTCTTCATGCGCAGATCCTCCATGTTCGCCTTACGGTCCACCTCCGGCCGTCTGCTCTCGGAGCCGCCCTTGGACTTCTTGTCGTCCTTCTCACGTAACCGTTTCGCAAAGGCTTCGCGTTCTTCAATGTCGCGTTGGCGCTCCAGCTCCTCCTTCGCGCCGTCCGACAGGTCACCGTCGCGGTCTCGGTCATCATGGCTGAGCTTGACGCGCTTCGAAGCAGATTCCTGAAACTCGGGCTCGTCGTTCTCCTCGATTTCGTCGGCTTCCGATGGCGGATCTTCATCCGCCCACCTGTCGTCGTTGCCGGTATCCCTCTTGCGGTACTGTCTCGAAGGTCGGGCTGGTGATCTGGATCGCGATCGGCGTCTTGACGTTCTCTCGCTGCGGTCGCGATCCTTGTCCCTTTCGCGCGAGCGATCGCGGTGGCGCGACTTGTGTTTCTTCTTGTCCTTGACCACTTTCGTGGGGCCGACCTCGTCGTCCTCCATCGGGAGGAAGGCGTACTTTTTTGACGCCATGGCTGTAGGTGTCGATGAGAGAATCTATAGAAAACGCGCTCTTGGATTTGAGAAATGGTTCAAAGGTATGCCGAACAGGTTTCGAGGCAAGCACGAGCACTGCCTAGCGATGTCAAGTCATGAAAGTAGAGGCCTCAGTTGACGTGCCTGGCGTGCATCTCTGCGCATTCGTCTGAACCTCCACGGGCTCCACATCTTTTGCAGCAAGGTGTGGGGCGGATACTGCAAAGAAGCCGCTGTCCAATGATCACTCTTCGATAACATGTCTTATCGGACCTCTGCAGCTCCCTTCTTAACACGTTGGAACTTTACATTTTCGGAAGAAGCTGGCTCCCAATTGCGCTTGCTTTGGTCGGTATCTCTTACAATCATCTCCTTTCCTCCCTTTCCCACACATTCCTTGACAGGACTGCCTCTCCCCCGTCGCTCATTGAGGATTTGGTGAACACCGGGCTATTCGATACGAAAAGGATCAAGTATCTTTTTTATCTTTCATTATAACCTACTTTCCAAACGAATTACACCAAAGGGGAGCACGATGTTCCTCCGAGGGGCAGCACTTGTGCTGCTGCTCCTATGCCTCGTCCAGCTGGCCCTCTGTGCCGAGGACTACTACAACGTCCTCGGCATTGGAAAGTCCGCCTCAGACCGCGAGATCAAGTCCGCCTACCGTAAACTAAGCAAGAAATACCACCCCGATAAGAACCCGTACGCCGCACCCTCTTAGTCCTATAATGCTCGCCTACAGTTTCTTGAAGCTTACATACTCCCTCCAGTGGCGACGACACCGCAAAGGACAAGTTCGTCGAAGTCTCGGAAGCCTACGAAGCCCTCATCGATCCCGAAACCCGCAAGATCTACGACCAATACGGCCACGAGGGTCTCAAGCAGCAACAGCAAGGCGGCGGCTTCCACCGCCACGATCCCTTCGACGTCTTCTCCCGCTTCTTCGGCGGTGGCGGCCACTTTGGCGGCCACGGCCAGCGCCGCGGCCAGGACGTTAACGTGCGGATCGGCATCTCCCTCCGCGACTTCTACAACGGCATCAACACCGAGTTCCAGTGGGACAAGCAGCACATCTGCGAGGACTGCGACGGTACCGGTTCCGCTGATGGCACCGTCGACACCTGCGGCGTCTGCGGCGGCCGTGGCGTGCGCATCGTCAAACACCAGCTCGCGCCCGGCATGTTCCAGCAGGTCCAGATGCAGTGCGACGCTTGCGGCGGCCGTGGTCAGAGCATCAAGCACAAGTGCCACACCTGTGGCGGCGCGCGCGTCGTAAGGAAGCCTACGAGCGTTCAACTCACCGTCGCGCGGGGTGCTGCGAGGGATAGCCAGATCGTGTACGATAACGAGGCGGACGCGAGCCCAGACTACGTTGCTGGCAACTTGATTGTCACGCTGGCTGAGAAGGAGCCAGAGCTCGAGCAGGACAACCCTGACCATGTCGACGGCATTTTCTTCAGGCGCAAGGACCATGACCTCTACTGGACCGAGGTGCTTTCGCTGCGCGAGGCGTGGATGGGAGACTGGACGCGGAACCTAACGCATCTTGACGGGCACATTGTGCGCCTCGGTCGCGAAAGGGGCCAAATCGTCCAGCCAGGCCACGTGGAGACGGTCAAGGGTGAGGGCATGCCCGTGTACCACGAGGACGGCGACAGTGTGTATCACAAGACGGAATTCGGCAACCTGTACGTCGACTACGTCGTCGTGCTGCCGGATCAGATGGAGTCGGGCATGGAAAAGGAGTTCTGGAGCGTCTTCCAGAAGTGGCGGGGCAAGGTCGGCGTCGACCTACACAAGGACAGCGGGCGGCCAGAGAAGCCCGTGATTCACGACGAATTATGATGAAAGATGTTGATAATGTGAGATAGAAATAGACGGCCAAATACATGTGCACATAAGCCTGGCTTCCTCACTGTTCTAGTCACCAATATATTGGTTGCATGCTAGAAAGGATTTGCAAGTCTACCTGGCAGTAATCAAGCTCTGTGTATTCATGGTCTATCGGCAACATCTCATTCGTTAATATTTCGAATCAGAATCATAAGTCGTTAGATCTCCCATCATGTCGTGTCTAGATACCCAAGCCAAAGATTGGAAAAGGCGCCCCCATACACACAAGATCATTAAATCGAAATCAAAAAGTCATAAATCGTCAGTTGCTTCTCCTCCTTCTCCGCCGCCGGCCGTGGTAATCCTCCTCTTCATCCGTTTCCTCAATCCTGCGCGACTGTCCACCACCATGTTGCACCTCCTGCACAATTCCAACGACATCCTTCAACAGAGTCTTCCAGCTGCCTTGCCCGCTAACCATGCTTTCAATATCGCTTGCAATTCTTTGCACCGTGTCATCGTCTGTACCGCCGACAGCCCACGCCCCACTTGAGTGCCAGCCGTTGCCGTTTCGCGGGCGGTTTTCGAAAGCGCCTTGCCTCCACCTCATGGCTCCCGTACTGCCGAGGGGGCGGCCCTCGGAGTCAAACCGATCAGGCAGAACCTCGACCTCGTCACTCGATTCAAAAGGAGATTCCGCTCCCCGCTTGCGACGCACAGCTAACGGTCTACTTGAAGAAGGGTCTGACGAGGAGCGTCGGCGGCTGAGGACAGGACGCAGACTTTCTAGCTGTTCTTCACTAAGTGAGGGAGGTTCTTGTTCTTTCTTGGTCTCTTCCTCTGCTTGTTGCTCTTGTTCTAGATGATGCCTACGCAGAGTTTGCGATGATTGAGGGGAAAGTGGAATGAAAGTAACGGATTTAGAGGATGAGTGTTGCGGCGCGTGGGGACGCTTGTCGGACACGACACTCGACATCGAAGAGGGCGATGGGGACCGAGACGGAGACCGAGGCTGGGATTGAGAACGAGACCGGGATAGTGACCCCGGCAAAAATTGCTTGACACGTTCTCGCCATTTCAGACCATCTACAAGCATGTCAGTCATGGTTGTACCTTCGAGTGAAGAAAGTCACAAAAGAAACAACGATTAGATCAACCCACCCTCACGGCCCAGACCGGCTGGCTGGGCATCTTGTGGTGAGGCGCTACGAGATTTATCATCACTCACATGGTCAGGACCGAATCTCGTTCCCGGCGGGGGACCACCCGAAGGCGGAGGGGGAGGGTAGCCTCCAGCACCTCCGGTAGCCATAGGCGGGGAAGGCCCCATTGGTGGCCCTGGAGGGTATTCTTGGGGGTACGGCGGGTACTGGTCCCTCAAGTTGGAAGTCGAGATGTTGGGATGCTGAGTGAAGCCCGCAGAGGCGGCCGGCGGCGGCGGATAGTAAGAACCGCCAGATGCATGAAGCGGCGACGGTGGACGACTGTAGTCGTCGTAGTACCCATCATCTCGAGCAGTGTCTTCATACCCTGTCAAGATTGTCAGCAGTGCTCTCTGCAGCTTAACAAACACTCAATGAGCCTCATAATCTACGTACTCTTGCGGTCCCTTTCACGGTCCCTATTCCTCAGTCGGTCTGTGCTTCGTTCCCTGCTGTATGCCCGGTCTCGTGAGTGGGCTCTGTCACGGGAGATTGACCTATCTCTGGAGCGGGATCTGGCGCTCCGTTCCCTCGACCTGCGGTCCTCGTCCTTCTCCTTCTTCTTCTGATACTGCTTAATTCCGATAGCAGCGGCCCCCGTCCCCACTGCTGCTGCTGCCATGTCTCTCAACCGACTCTTGCTCCTCTTCTTCGCTGGCTCGGGTTCGTCGTAATCATCGCCCGACATACGTCGGTGTCGACGGCGTCGCCTCTCGTTCGCTGCAGACTCGTACCCATCATCAGGCGGGTACGGCGGATCGGTCGGCAGCGGTGAAGTCCCGTACTCAACTAAGCCTAGCTCAGGATCAGCGCTGCGCGGCTCGGAATATACAGAGCGGGCCTGAGACCTGCTGCGCGACCGACGATGTTCACGCCGTTCCCGTCGGGTTTCTTCCTCGTACTCCTGGTCGCTCAGTTCGCGATCCAGTTCACGGTCCTTCTTTTCCTTGCGGTTCTTATAAATCTTACTTGCCACACCTCCAGCTAAGCCAGCGGCAACAACCTCCGCTCCAGTCCTGATGCGAGACTTGGACCGCGAACGGCTCCTGGACTTGGACTTGTTGCGGAAGTGTTGTACCAGACCAGCAGCGGCAGCTGTTGCAGCTGCAGCCTTGGCAACGGACCGACTCCGGCTCTTGCGGCTCTTGCGGCTACGGCTGCGAGACCTAGACACCGAGTAGCTCGAGACAGAGTAACCTCGGTTTCTGCTCCGGCCACGGCGCAGTTCTTCCTTTTCGATCTTGCCGCTCTGGTAGTACTTGGCCGCACCTGCTACTGCGAGGGCAGCAGCGGCAATGCCCAGGCCAGTCTTGATCCTAGAGCTGCGGCTGCGGGATCTCGAACGAGACCTGTAGTGATCGTCATGGTAGGTATCTTCATATGCGCTACGAGCTCGTCGGATGATTTCCGTGCCCAAACCACCGATGGCAGCGCCTGCAAGCACTTTGCTTCCGCGGTTGGAGGCTATTTCGCCACGGCTGTCTCTCCGGCTTGCAGCGAGCGCTGCAATGCCGGCACCGGCAAGAGCTCCTTCCGCAAGATGGCGCTTGTGGTGGTGGTCAGAGCTGGAGCTCCTGTTCCGGCGGATGACGGTTCGCTTCATGTAGTAGTCTTCATCGTCGCTGATGTAGTCCCGGCCACGTCCTCGGCGGTCATAATGATACTCACGTTCGTCCCGGCGGTAGGGACCGACGTCTTTGGTCTCCCGGCGGTAGTAGTACTCATCCTCGCGAGGCTCGCGACGGACCATTTCGCGAGGAGCCTCACGCTCTCTCAAAACGACGATGCCAGGGTCTTGACGAGGGACAATAATGGGAGCGGGTGCGGGCGCCTCCTGAACGATGATCTTCTGGGGTTCGGGTGCCTGTTGGCGGATAATGACAGGCTGGGGAATAGGCGGGGGGCTGATAGGAGAGTAGTATTCGGTCTCCTTGCGGTATCTCTCGACTTCTGCTCCACCATGATCGTCTCGGTATTCCTCGACACGCTTCTCAACCTTGACGTCACCGTCCTCGCGGCGCTCTACACGCTTGTCGACGCGGACTTCTGTCTCGGGCTCGTGGTGGTGATGGTGGTGATGATCCCAGGATCCTCTGGAGCGGCGGTCCCAGTCGACTCGCTCGCGCTCGCGTTCACGTTCAACCTCAATGACACTTCGGTTGTCGGCAACACTGCGGACATCGTCGAAACGGTTGTCGTCGAAGCGTCCACGCTCACGCTCACGCTCGTAGTTGATTTGCGAGACGACACTACGAGCCTCGCCTCTATAGGGGTCAACGACATCGCGCTCACGCTCGCGCTCAACTACCTGGCGCTCGACAACCTGGGTCCGAGACTCATATGCGGAGCGTGGACGCTCGGGGGCATAGCCATATTCGCCGGAGTTGCGCAGCGGGTAGCCTGAATATCGGGATCGGCGGTCGTCGTCATCAATTTCGACTCGCTCTGTGCGCTCGACCGTGTCAACGCGCCTGGGTCCTCCTACTTTGTAACGGCGGACAGTAGTGGACTTGTATCGGTCTTCATCGGATGAGTAGTCGGTCGGCTCCCGGTAAACCCGGGTCGACTCTCTGTAGACTCCAGCCATCGCTAAATGCGACGGGAGCGAAGACGGCAGCGCTGTTTGCGGAAAGCGGCAGGTGAAAGTCAAACGGGCGACACGGTTCGGTTCGCTTTGGTGTAGGTTTGCGGGGGGTTGAACACAAAGGATGTGCGATGATGACGGAGGGGAGCCACGGATTAAATGGTGTGCATGAGTGACTGGTCGGCTAGGAGCGCAGGTGGTAGATTGATTTATTGGAAGGCTGGTGGAACTGCGACGGCCTCTGGTTGGGCGGGAGCGGAAAGCCTGTCTATTGAATACACGAGCCGATGCACTACGTACTTTTGTCTTGCCAGTGAAATGGCCACAACTGGGTGTGTGATGAAGAGGGGAATGCCTGGGAGAAGGACAGAGAAGTGGGTGGAGAGCGGTTCGGGACAGAAAGAGGGTGGAGGGGACGGGGAGGGGGAGGGACGTGGAAAGGAAGGGACGGCAAGCAATGGAAATGGAGGGGCACCCGTGGTTTCGGGCTGAGATGGGAAAGTGCCATGACAGGCAGGATTGCAGCAGGAGGAGCAGGGCAGGTGGTGATGGACCTAGCGCCTCCTATTCTCTAAGGCAAGGCAGAGACGTCTGACTGATTGTTCTGAAGCAACCCCAGCCCATCATCCTCTTCCCTCCTCCCCTGAGGCTCTCTCTGGACCAAGGCATCAAGCCACGGGAGAGGAGCGAGTCCGGCGTTGTCGGTGTCCGCCGCCAGGTCAAGACGGTCCGGCCAAGGTCAGCACATGGGAATGTGACTCCTGTCGCAGTACTAATTATACGCAGCTAAGTGCAGGCCCTCGAAGGGTGTCCCATGTCATTCCCCCCTCCAAGACACGAAAGCTCCTCGTTTGATGGCGACCAGCCAGCAGGGTCTACAGGCACTTTCTCCGCCGATACTGGCTCCTTTTCTCCCATGCAAGGTCGTATTGTCTGCATTATTGCGTCTCATTATTCCAGGTAGAGACAAAAAAAATTGACCAGCTTTCTAACCCGTCCAGACACCCTTCGGAAACCATCAGAGCCGATCCTCCTTCATATTGATCACCTCCTGTCGCGGGGCTCGCGATGCCAAAATGTTACGTCATTTGTACTGGCCATGTTCAAACCCACATGAGAAAAGCATCCAACATTATCCGACACCTCGTCCATCACCCCTCGCCGAAAACTGGCCACGAGTGAGACGTAAAATTAGCACGACTCTCGAGCACCTACTAGAACCACTTTTTCCCAACAAAAGATGGTAATGCTTCCTCAGCCAAAACTGAGTGTCGACGACCAAGGCAGCCTTGTGACCAGGCAGGTTTGGTGCGGCATGCCATCCGAAGCCTGGGAGGGTGGGCGGCTCAGGGCAACCACAGGCCACGACACCTTGCAAGCGGCCTTGTCATCTGCCCCTATCCTTGTCATTTGCGACAGCTGGTCAGAGTTCAACAAGACGCCCCGCAGCTGTTCGGAGGGGCTGGTGGGTGAGAGTACTGTACATAGTAGATGGGCACGATGAGAAAAGAGCGACACGGTTCGACGCCTACCTCCCGAAGAAACTCTTATCCGAACGAACGAGCCTTTCTTTGAGGCTATAGGCAATCTTAGCCCCCAATACTCGGGAAAAGCCAAGCTAAGAATCTTGACAGTTCAGACGGCGTCCACGGTGGCAGAGTTCACAGATGCAGCGCATCGCCTCTTCTCATGTTTTGAACCCTGGAATATTCTGCCCCGCTTCGTCGCAGCCTGGTGTCGTCATGGCACGGAAGACCAAATACAGAGTACAGATGCACCCAGTGCCATCGTGCTGCCGCATCTCTGGGTTCTAGCCCCGCCGGAACGCCAGAACGCCTCGGGAAGCGTGAGGAACACTCTCATCTCGCTCCACCTTGGGCCTGGCCTGGCCTACTAGTCGAGCAGTCGATGGAGAAGAGCCCTGCCCGACGACGATGGCAAAGCCGCAAACCTCCATCGCTAGCATCTTCTACCTTCAGAAAGGTCATCATATGTCGGGATGGGCCCTGCTTCACTGCCACGACATCCCGTCCGCTGCCAACCTTTTTCTTGCGCTGCACTGCTGGGAAACCTCGGTACCCCAAATCTGATTCCAGGAAATGTTCTCTTAGTTTCTGCATTAATGTGACCATCTTCCAAGTTCTGCGTGCCATCCAGCAGAAACCCTTCGACATTTGACCAGTTGCAGAGCTGTCTCCGTCTTGCTGCATGCGGTCGGCACTTGACCTTGACCTGCAGTCCGTGGTGGCTCATCTGCTCCGCCCGAAGCTGCTACTCACCGTCGACATCCCAGGACCCCCGAGACCTCCAAGCCCCAAAGGCTTGGAGCCGCGTGGGCGCCGGCCTGCATCCCGTTGTGGCTTGTCAATGTTGCATCTCAACTATTGGTTCGCAGGCATTCGCACGGAAATGGGGCATGCACCGCTGCCAATGCCGGGGCTCGCCGACGACTCGGTGTCAGACAGGATTTCGCTAAGACACAGAGCAAGTCCCAGCGGCTCTGTTGTATCATGAGTTTCTGACAGAGTCATCACGTGGGAAGACAGGAGAGATCGATTCAAAGAGCAAAAGGTATATTCTGCTGTTTTCTAATATACGGAAGGCGTAACCACGGACTGCCAAATGAGTTCCACTGCAGAACTTTCTAACTAGGATCTGAGAATTCTCGTTAGTCAGGTGACTCCTTACAAGCGGCTACTTGAGAACAGAGCGATCGTGTGTCGATTCAGAATTTTCAGTGTGAATAAATGATCATTTAATAAGATATCAATACAAATGGGAATTAACCCGGTATCATCTTTAAGGACGGTGTAAGGAAGGATTAGGTGAGGAAAAATTCATCTACATACCATGAGTGATATCGGATCAGACAAGCCTTAGCTAACGCCCGGTCTCAAGTCTGCAAAAGACTGATGAGGGCGATGCTACCGGGACGTCTCGAAAGCACGTCTGATCCTAATTTTGTCGACAAGTGACCAACTCTTGTTGTTGGCTTTCGGTTTGATGAAGGACAGTCGAAGAGAAGAAATTTCTGCGGCTGGTCTGATTTTATTTGTCAGGTAGCGTGGGGTCGTGTTATGTAAGCGAGATTTCCTGCCGACGCACGTTCCATCTCAAGGCTCACTCTCATGCCAGCTGACACTGTGAACGATTTTTACCATCGTGTCCCCAACTTCATCATCACATTTATGTGAAATAGCAATCCTAAGCCCACATTAGTGAGCCAGCTGTTTTAGGCATCATCTCAAAAGATTCTGGTGTAATTATAACAGCAAGATATTTGAGATTAACCTATAAAGACTACCACTACATATGAGCCCAATGGCCTCCAAGGGTAATGACAGACCGCGCGAGCCAGCATCATACTGGAACCATTAACACAAGATTACCATGGAGTAACCCGCCTTGCTAAGAGTCTGCCATACACAGGGCATTTTACCCAAACGCCAGTAGCAATACGCCAGATCTAACATATGGGTGACATGGTAGTAGAGTCGTATGCTTGGTTTAAACGATATAAAGTTTGCATGTTGTCTCATTTCATTGAGGCCATCCTGACTCCTGATCGCACAACTCATATCAAACTGCCTAGGTTCATCCGCATGAGCTTCTATCAAGGAGCTACCATAATACCAGTGACCGCTTGTTCGATTGTCGTTCATTATCGATATTGGTGTCTGTGAATAGCTTCCATTCGTAACGTGTTCGCGAATGTCTTTTGGATCAACATCCATTTCAGAGATCATCGGCCTTGCGCCACCCACCAAACCAGAGAATGGGCCACCCCCAGAAGCTCTTCACGTTCTGAAGCGTTTTCCCAACAGAATTACCCTCCAAATCTTTTGGAAGAGGTGCTTTGCGACCCTTACCGGCGCTGATGGGCAAGATCTCCGGCTCGAGGCTTGCCTCTTCCGTCCCCATCAGCACGCTTCCTCTCGCATCAACAGCTTCGGCCATAACCCTTTTAACCCGTCGACCAGGAACACGTAACAACGTCTCGAACCTCTTTCTCTCCGTCTCGCCCAAAAACTCCCTCGAGCCAAGCTCATCACTAACCTCATAGAACCGCCAAGCTCTGGTCTCGGTATCCCCATTCCATGAAACATACACCGTCGTGCCCTCCCCATTCTCGAGCGCTACAATCGCCGGCTCCTCGGAGGGTAAGCCAGTCCAGTTGAACCGAAAGGCACGGTAATTCTCCACTCCGACGCCGAGGGCACCCGAGTCCATGTACGCGTGGAATACGGGTGTGCCGTCTGCTTTGAATTCCGTCACAGCGCCGGACGAGCCCCAGTTGACGAGGGCGTTGCCGCCCGGCAGTATCTGCGTCGACCCCTGACTCTTGGAGCGCGGGTCGTCGGGCGGATAGAACCCTTGCACGAGCTCGGCCTTCCAAGTTTGCGTGTTTATGCGGATGATCTTGCCGCTGCTCGTTGGGGCTGTGTGTACTTCCCCGCCGTCGTCGTGCTCCGTCCCATGCGCGCTGTTGTCGTACAAGCTAATGACTTCCTCGCTGTTTTCGGTGTCCTGCGAGAGCCAGCGCGCGTGGTGCTGGAAGCAAAAGTCGACGCCGCCACCGAGGGCAAAAGAGCTGTTCGTGCCAGCAAGGCGCCATATGATGGAGCCGTCGGTACCGTTGATCTTATGCACTGCACAGGCGTCGCGGGCGGAGATGAGGTAGTTTCCGGCCGGATCTTTGTCGACGCTGTTGATGTGGAAGTAGTCCCAAGCATCAGAGCTGTTGTAGCCGGATCCGGCTTGTCCCGGATTGATGGGCAGGATGGCCTCTGCGATGGGTGTTAAGATTATGTTTTAGACTAGAGTGAGGTGTTGGGGGTTTCTTACCGTCTGGTGAGACATGGTCCAGACTCGACCATTCAAAGAGGAGCCTGCCGGTGGCGATGTCGAGTTCTGATCGATTTGTCAACACTTTCAAACATACTCTTACAGCTGGGAAAAGAAACCCTACCCTGTATAATGGCATTCACAATCCACTGCTGCTCAGGTTTCGCGCCCCAAGGCGTCAAATCTCTCGGCACAGGCTGATAGATCTGGATCAATCCCGTCTCCTCATTCACGACATGGAACTCATGCTTATCAACCAACTTGTGATTTCCTGCCCTCAACTCGCGGATCGTCTCGTAGTGCTGGTTCAGAATCGTGATGTGCCCATGTCCGTGTCCGTAACCGGCGTTGTGGTCGCCCTCAAAGCTGAACAGCACGTCGCGGCCCCGCCACCGTGCGGCCTGGAAGTTTGTCGCCCAGATGCTGTAAATTGCATACCCGGACCACACAAGGTCGCCGTCGTCGCGAAGGACGTAAGGTCCCGCCTGGCGCGGGCCGTGTTGTGCCGTAGGCGTGTCGGGCAGGCCGGCGAAGGGGGCAACGAAGAGGTAACCTGGTTCTACAGCGGAGGGAGCGGCGGGAATGGTGATATTGAGGCGTGGAGGTGCGAGGTCTGGGCGGGAGCGAAACTGCCAGTCTGCAACTACTAAGCCGGAAAGAGTAGCGCGGAGGTTGCTAGCATGGTGGCTGAGCAATGCTTCATCATGTGGATATGTAGGGTTGTCGGATACGAGTGGTTGCTTCAAATTCTCCTGTTCGTGTTACCCTTTGTCAAATGGGAGTAAGTTTAAATTGACGAAGTAAGTCAAAGTGAGCCCTAGTATCAATAGAACTGGGTTAGAAATCCCCTATACTTTCTCTCTAATCTTTATGTGTCCACGCCTTCTGATCATTTTGCAACTCTGTCTCTTCTCTTTCAAAAGGTGAGAAGACACCCGGCACTTTTCAACAATTTCAGCTTCCCCTCACTGTCGTAAGGTCTATGTACCGGGAGTAGGTATCCTTGCATTGTTGCAAGTGCCTGGAATAACGGTATCATAGGATAATATGCCGACACAAATCCAACAAAGATCGACGATAAAATTTGTCAGATCTCATTCGCTTTGTAGGTCCACCTCAATTTGTTCAGCTTACATCTTTAACGTAATGTGCAAAGTCTTGTTACCTAGTGTCACAAAATCTGGATAAAGAGGAATCTGTTGGGGGGTTTTGGTCCAGAATGGTTACATTCGGGATCTCCTCTTTCGGCACAGAGAAGGACATCTTCCATGGCGTGCTCGGTATGAATCATTTGGCACATACTGCAGATCCTACCATCCCCACGCTACCAGTAGGTCCAATATACAGTGATAAACCAGACTTGAACATCTTAACAAACCTATCGCATTCATAGGCAAGCTACTGTACATGCAAGCTCATATGTATTGATGATGTCATTCGCACATTCCGGCACTGGTCAGGAACAATGCCGCGCAGCATTAGTGTGGGGTGGCCGAAGACTCCGTTGTCAGGCATGTCTTTCAAACCCTGGATCGAGACCGAAAGCCACTTACGGGCCGCATATTGCGTGCTCAAGATATTGATGGTGTGATATATCAGTGCATGTCAACTCGCTGGCTGCCGGACCAAGGATGTCCAGCCCGGCACCGATCCCCCATCTATGCTATGTCCCTGCAACGGACAATACCCGGCCCCACGCGGACCACTCCGTCGGTTCCCCATCGGGAGAGCTCTTGGTGAAACTGCAAGAAAAATACAATGTGAAAATCCCGCTTATCGTCATCCCGGCATACCCCGGTCATCCAGTCCGTCATTGGCACTTGGAGAAAAGCTGGGGTCGGTGAGAGATCGCAGCGATTGCGTGATGGCCTCCAAGCTTTTTCCTTTCCACTGCCTTTGAATTCTTCCCATTCTTTCTTCCTCACCCCCAATGATAGGGTTTCATACCAACGCGGACTTATCCAATCCTGAAACTTCAGATACCAGCAAACTTCCATTCTCCACACGAGAGAGTTTAACAACAACGCAATTATGACCAAACCGCACTCCCGGCCCCGCTTCTCGGACGAAGAAGTCGGCAGGGCACGAGCCACTAATCCTCCGAGCCCAGCATCGCTGCCGCCTCCGTACTCCGACCCGGAGACGGAACCTTCCGCTCCTCGCGAAGACCAGCCCCTCCTCCGCGATCCGGCCACCTCAATCGAGGCCGGCGACACGTGGAAACCCCCTCGCGGCTTCGGTTGGATCGAGCTGGCCATCATGTCCAATGTCTTCTTGTACGGCTTCGACGGAACCATCACGGCGGCGACATACGCAGTCATCAGCTCCGAGTTCGACGCCGCCAACACGGCGAGCTGGCTGACGACATCGTACCTTGTTACCAGCACCGCATTCCAGCCGCTCTATGGCCGCTTTTCGGACATTTTTGGACGGCGGATATGTTTCTTCGTCAGCAGCATCACCTTTGGGTTGGGGTGTCTAGGCTGTGGGCTGGCGGATAATGTAGTGTTGTTGAATTGCATGCGCGCGTTGACGGGATTCGGAGGAGGCGGGCTAATGACAATGGGTCGGTATTCCCCTTTAGGTTGAATAGTGCTGGCGACTGACACGAAGGATAGCTACCATCGTCAACTCAGACATGATTCCCTTCCGCAAGAGGGGCATGTATCAAGCCCTTCAAAATGGCATGTTTGGCTTCGGCGCCGTCGCCGGTGCCTCCTTCGGCGGGTCCATTGCCGACCACATCGGTTGGCGTTGGTGTTTTCTGCTGCAAGTCCCGATCTCTATCTCGGCGCTTGTGCTTGGCGCTCTGGTAATCAAGAACCCAGAAGGTGGTTTCGACATCAACACGAACGACTACAAGGCTATTTGGTCACGTATTGACGTCTCTGGAGCGCTGATCCTAGTCATTGCAATCTCTGTCCAGCTTGTCGGGCTAAGTTTGGGAGGCAATGAGCTGCCGTGGAGCAGCCCCGTGGTCATTGGCACCCTGGTTGGCAGCGTCGGTCTGCTTGCGTTGTTTGTGTTCGTCGAGGCACGGACTAAGGCTATTCCTGTTATCCCTTTGAGGATGCTCAAAGGACGTTTGCCAGTTCTCACGCAGATTTCCAATGTTTGCGCTGGACTTTCCGCATATGCGGTGAGTAACCATGTCATATGCCCAGGTAGCCCGATATTGTGGATACTAACTCATCTATCAGTACCTATTCATGCTACCCCTATTCTTTCAAGTCGTCTTACTTGACTCTGCCACTACGGCTGGTGCAAGACTTGCAATTCCATCGCTCGCGACACCCCTGGGTGGTCTTGTTGCGGGTATCGTCATGTCGCGCTGGGGAAAACTTGTCTGGCTCGTCCGCACCGGTGCTTTCCTGATGCTATTCGGAAATGCCCTTGTGACGGCCCTGCAGTTTCAGGACTCGAAGTGGAAGTATTTGGTCTATATTTTCCCGGCGAATCTTGGGCAGGGCATAATATACCCGGCGATTCTCTTTACGACGTTGGCTTCATTCGACCATGCCGGTTAGTCCCCACTCCAATATAAATGCCCTATCCGAGTCAGCTAACGTTCGCATGAACATGATAGACCACGCAGTTTCGGCGTCAACAGTGTATCTTGTTCGCTCTCTTGGCACTGTCTGGGGTGTGGCAATTACATCGGCGATAGTACAGACAACACTCAGCCTCCGACTGCCCGAAGCCCTTGGCGACATCCCTGATAAGTGGAGAGTGTGTTGCCCCTTTTTGTCTTGCTTGTATTTTGCGTTACTAACGTATGTCCTACATGTAGCTCATAGACGAAATCAGGCATTCTGTGACGGCTCTTAAGACACTTCCAGTAGAAGTACGCCTCCCCGCACGTCACGTCTATTACGAGGGTATTCGGTACGCTTTCGCTGCATCGACAGCGTTCGCTGGAGTCGCCCTGCTTGCAGCAGTTTTCGCAAGCCCGCGTGGCCTCCGTAGCACTCATAAGTAAATAATTATCAGAGGTTGCCTGGTCGCGTCACTTGGTAATTTCTATGGAAAAGTCATGATCAAGCTAAGGAGATGGTGCAGGATGCTGACGCATAACGATGGATATCAAGACAGTGGTTGTTCCGCAAAATATGCTGGGAATCAAAAGGAAACACTAGACATTAGACGTTTCTACAATGCAAGAACCAGTGCAATTTCTTTCTGAGCCATAATCTTGCTGCAAGGGATGCTTAAAGATTCTGGGACAAACATAACACGGCGGAAGCACTAAAACTTAGATTCACTGCTCTTGCAATCCCGTATCGTTCTCTTAAGAGCAAAAGACGCCGAGGAATAAAAAGATCGATTTAGGAGGCACATGCTATCTCTATTACATGGACTAGTTGCGTATGCCAATAAAACCCCATGTAGAAGGCTTAAAGTAAAAACAATCTCCTGCACCCGCCAAAGAAGCGTAGTCAACAATCTACTCAAGCCAGTTCTTTCTCAAGAGCATCCGCCATCTGACCCAAGGTGTCAAACTTCCAGTCATAAACCTCGCGATTTCTGTTGCCCATTACCGCACCAGGCCGCACGATCCAAGACGATTTGATCCCCGCCTCCTTCGCGGGATGGTGATCATGAAACTGGCTCTGTGCTGTTTGCAGCACCTGATCCTTTTCAACTCCAAAAGTGTCTTTAACCTTGCGCAGCATGTAATCAAAGTTGCGTTGGTCAGGCTTATAGGACCCAACATCCTGAGCAGTGATCACCAGATCGAACGGGACACCTTCAAGAGGCCCCGGGTTGGTGGCAGCGAAAGACTCGCGGTCGACGTTAGACAGCACAACAAGCTTGTAGTACTTTCCAAGGCGGCGCAGCGCATCGACCGTGTCAGGGAAAGCGGGCCAACGACCGACCGAGTCCCCGAAGGCTTTGGAGGCTTGCGGAGCCGGCGGAGCCAACCCAAGCTTTTCGGCTATCTGCGGATGGATCGTGGTGAGTAGTTCGGAGTACAGAAGGCCCGGGGTCTTGGTTTGCTGTTTGACTTCGAGGTCATGGTACACCTCCAAGAGATGTTTGCGGGAGAAGTCGGTCCGCTTGTTTTCTTCTAGGAGGGGCTGCAGAGCTGCCAGCATGCCGCTCTCCCAGTCGATCAAGGTGCCGTAGACATCGAAAGTGAGGACACGAAAGTCTCTTAGGCTCGTCATGATTTCAAAAAAGTGCGGTAAAGGCGATAGTTGTTGCTTTTTCTTGTCGATATCGTATTGACGGTTGTATTCGCAGTAACTTAAGAGATCTTAATGCCTATTTGGCTTGCGGTGGAATTGATAGTGTGTAATGTGCGGTGGGAGAAGGACGAAACAGTCTGAGGGTTTTCGAGCTTTGAAGCAGGAGTAGTCTTAATATTTATGACTTTGACCTATACTGTCGGTCCTTGGTTAGTATCTAACATGCACGATGAGGCTGAAGTAGTGACGAGATAGCCTCCGCTCGAAAGGGCGTAACATGTAATGGGTACGTATTACTTTCCGCGGATCCCATCCCGACCGGATGGTCGTTTCCGGCCGTCCAAGCAGACACAGTGGTTAAGCACGGTTAACACCGGCCCGGCGACCGGACCGGGCTCCTGTCTACAGACGCTAAGCTTTGTGTTGCAGATTTATGTAGCAAAATGCTGATAATTTCCAATCTTGGCTATAAGGGTTCAATCTGCAATCTTGAAAGACCTTACTAGACGGGCTTTGTTGATGGCTGAAACACTAGGGTTCGTATTAGTAGTATTTGTAGGTGGCATTTTGACACATTGCGGTTAACCGATATGAATTGGTGCATTCGTGCAACTATGTATATGGGCAGACTATTTAACTTAGCCTCTAATCTTCTCGAGGACGTACGCCTGAGGGTATACACGAATCGAGAGCAATTCGTACGCTGATATCACTGTCTGACAAACGCGGTGCGTCTATCGTACTTCTATTATGATTAAAAGACCACAGGCAACTGCGGATTCTACGCTGATGCGAGGAAAAGACTAGCTCATGTTTGCTGTGGAATGATTCTGACTCACAAAAAATACTAAAAGTTTACCCAGAAAGCAGTGTTGATGCTGACTGTTGTATTCTGATCCGGGATTGTTGGATCTGATATTAACAATGGCTTAGAGACTAGGACAAGGGGGATCAAAGCTAGACGCCTAAGTGACTGGCCTGGAAAGCAACCATCCAGGGACATTAGGATTTCCTTGAAATGAATGGAAAAGAGTGTGAGTTGATCCTCAAAACTCTGGGTCTACATAGGCCATCACACTAAAAGCCTTCATCGCAAGCCAAATCACTAACTAGGAGCGACTCGAGCAGTTTGGTAGATGGAACTCACGAATGTGTTTTGTCATTGACTACTTATGATGGTACCAGTGTAAGACTTGTGGCGAAGGGTTCGGTGGAGTAGAGTCCAACTATTGCCATTCAACTAAGAAGACCAAGAGGTGACACTGGAGGAGGTCGAGGGCTAAGTTAAACGAGATACGAAAACCCACTCATGTTCCTAATGGCTGATGCGATGCTAAAAGACAGTACCCACATAGGGACTGGCTATTCAGATTAAGGGAAACTAGCAAGTTTCTACGCTGGTTTTCAAGAGCTATCATTGGCCACGGCTCAGTCGGCAGTGACTCGCCCCGCTTGGGCTCATAGAGTGCGATTAAACTAACCATGTTATTCTTTATGCTCAGTACAGATGGAGAGAGGAGTGGCATTTGAGCCGGTGCCTATTGTCGTTTAGAACCGGCGACCCCAACCCCGGTACCGGCCACTCCCCGGTCGACGGTGGCCGCCAAGACTAGCCCAAGACTAATCGAAGCGGGGAGGAATGTGGGGGAAGACTGCTCGACAACAATCGAAGCGAGACCTCTCAATATTTAATTGGCATAATAATTCTGATATGTTGAGAACACTCCATCTACAAGGAATAATTATACGCCCAGTATATCTAATCACTGTTTGATATAGCAACTGATACCTACGGGAAAGATAGAACTGATGGCACCGGAACCGGATCTGCTAGTCGGCTTCCCGGCAAAAGCACCGGCGAAGCCAACTACCAAGCTGCGCTTTGCAGATGTAAGTTCCTTTCCCGTTAGCCTTATGCACACATACAGCACAGATCTTAGGGAGCTAAATATCTGTCCCAGGTCGCTGTCACAGGAACAGCAAAAGACTTTGCAGGCTTCTATAGAGGCAAGCAGTACCATCAACCGGACTTTGATGCCGTCCTCGACCGCGCCCTGGCCGCGGGTGTCGAGAAGGTGATGCTGACCGGCATGTCCCTTAGTGACGCGGTGACCAATATTTCCATTGCGAAGTCGCGGCCGGCGGGGACCTGTTTTGTGACTATCGGTATCCACCCGTATCATGCAACCGAACCGGATGCTGAGGAGGATGGCGGCGAGGACGGGCATTTCAAGAAGTTGGCGCAGACCGTCCGCAACGCTCTGGAGCCTACGAACGAAGGGCCTCGGTCAGTGTTGGCGGCCTTCGGCGAGCTTGGCCTCGATTACGACCGTCTCAACCACGCCTCCAAGGAGGCACAGATCCGCACCTTTAGACGCCAATTGGACCTCTTTGCTGAGGAAAAGTTCGATCTACCCCTATTCCTCCACTGCCGCGCCGCGTTCGATGACTTTGTGGACGTCGTCAAACCCTACCTCCCTAACCTGCCCCGCCGAGGACTCGTTCACTCTTTTGTCGGCACCTCAGTCCAAATGAAAGCCCTCGTGGAGATGGGATTCGACGTCAGCGTCAACGGCTTCAGCTTTCAGGACAAAGAGAGCCTGGAGATGGTGCGCGAGATCCCACTGGAGCGATTGCAGATCGAGACGGACGCGCCCTGGGGCGAGATCCCCGCTGGTTCGGAAGTTGCGAAAACATTTCTTACCAATGCGCCTGCTTTGCCGCAGAGTAAGAAAAAGGACAAGTTTGAAATGGGACTGATGGTAAAGGGTAGGAACGAGAGTTGTACTATCGATAGGGTGGCTTTTATTGTGGCGGGGTTGAAAGGATTGAGTGTCGAGGAGGTGGCTGATGCTGCTTGGCGGAACAGCGTCAACATGTTTGGGCTTGGTGAGCTATGAACCAGGTGCATAAGTAAAGGGAGGGATAGATAAAAGTCCATTCGTTGTCTCTAGAGTATAAAGCAACAGCAATAGGATCAGAGCTACTGCATTTCCGACGAAAGGTTTCGAATAAAGGCTCCCGTAACATTGACTGTCTAAAGAGTCTTCTCAATCAATTTAATACCCTCCTCCTCAAGCTTGTCGCGGATTGGGTCGCAGATCTCCGCTGTGTAAGGCGCTAGTACCCCAGGTACATTCAGGGCCGGCTCGCCATCAATCAGCAGCTGGGTAGCGATGCCACATGTAACGCCGACCGATTTCGCCATGGCAGAATGCCCATCGGGGTCTCCCAGAAGCTCCAGTGTCGAGGTTCTTGTCTCCTTCACATACCGTCCATTAGCATCAATGGCACAAAATGCGAGCAAGGCACTACTAGCTGCTGGTGGTGTTTACCTTTCTACCGTCTTCCCATTGAATGACGAACTTGTGCTGGAGCATGACCAAGTCCCGTTCACCGGGCTGGAAACTCATGAGCCGCTCGAGCTCGGCACAGAGTGTGTCGAGAAGGTTTCCTCGAAGGGTGGCCGGCGTTTCGGAGAACAATCCAATCCAACGCAACCCTGAGATGATTCTCTCTCTCTCTACGTTGTCTGAGAACCCGCACAACTCATCAATGCGCGTAATGAGGGATCTACGCCCCGTCAGCGGATAAGCGCGATAGAACTTGTGTCGTTCGGGCAACTCACTCTTCATCAGATCCATGAGAACTTATTGTTCGGCCAAATACTTCCCTCAGCGTCAAACCGCCGCTTTCCTTCTCCAACCACGCCCTCGACTGCGTATTCAACCACCCTAGCGTTATCAGCGCTGCCACAAAGGACGGGTTTCCCTCATACCGCAGCGAGCCTCGGACAACTGTCTCTGCTTCGGGGATGTTGTAAAACTCTCGAAACGGGACTGAGTTCCGGTTCGGGTATGCTACGAAAGAGTATCCGTCGGCGACGTAGTATGGGGTCGCCTGTGCCATGAGGTCTTGGTTGGAGATTTCTATCTCTTTGCCGTCTTGGAGGTACGAGGCCGAGTTAAATTGTGAGAGAAGGGCGCCGCGCGGGGACCAAGAAAACTTGAAGCGGAGGGGGTTGTCGGCGCATTCTGGAGCTGGGAGGCCGCCACAGTATGAATGGAACTCTTTGATCTGTCAATATCCTCTGTTAGCACCTCATTGTGGATATCCGGGAGGAAACAAGTCGTTACCTTTCCACCCTTGCTGTGCACCTCGCCAATGGTTTTGATAGCGTACAAGTGATCCACGCCTGAAGAGTCTCCATGAGCCATTTTCTCCAAAAGAATATTAAGGAAAAAGCAGAGGGGAGCGTCTCACCAGGATCAACACCAACTTCGTTCAGAACCGTGATCCCCGCCGCTTTGGCTTCATCCTCCAACTCCTTGATAGCCGGAGACACATAACTTGTTGTCACGACATGCGTGTTGCCCCTTATCCCGGCCTTGATAACGACCGGATGATGTATGAAGGGAACAAGAGATATAACCAAGTCGTGGGCTGCTACATGAGCGTCTAACTCCGTGGAGGCGACGTCAAGGGCGATGGCCGTGGCTCGGGGATGGTTCGATGCCAATGATTGAGCGGTGGACCTGGTCCGGCATGCTGCGTTCAGGCGTCAGTTGTCCGAAGAAAGCCCAATTGTTAGAGCGCGGGATATGGACCAATCGTCAATTTGTTTCTCTCATTTCGGAGGAGGTAATCGACGCATGGCTTGGCTACCAAGCCGCTGCCGAGGACGAGGATCTTTTTGTCAACCATTTTGGCTAACCGAGAACAATTCGACGGCTGAATTAAAACCAATCAAAAAGAACGCAAGAAACCAGCTTAAAATTCTAGGTAAGATGGAAAGAACCATCCTTATTGACTTATCTATATCCCTGTTGTTCTCTCCACCCCGTTCTCCTAACCACCTCGTTGGTCGTGAGTCATCCGGCGGAAACGTTTCAACAACCGACCACTTACTATGACGTGCGAGTTACTAGAAGAAACCGCTAATGATTTACACGCAATTGATGGTCTTATTCCCGACAGATCCCTTCGAACAGACGAAGGCGAATGTTGGCGCTATGCGGGGATCCGGGCTGCGTGCATTCTTTCCATGGCCAGGGTTAGCATGGTCAGGACTTGTGCTGCAGTCAGACAAGATAAGGATCTCACATACTTATTCTTAACGTTCTGGAAACACATGGAAAAACAGGCAAAACACATGATTGAAAGATCAGGTTGGTTACTGGTTGGTTGTTGACAGATTACATGGGCAACCTTCCCCAATACCTGTCTTGACCGATCGCAGCGGCACTCAGCCTACGTCTCCACTACAAGCATTGATAATACCATGGGTTCAGCACCGTGCAACTACTACCAGCCGCACACTTCGTCGGCCCAACATGATTGGAACCTCCACACTGTCCATACTTAGTCTGCGTAGGCTCCGGGGCCGGGGGCGGTGTTGTCGATGTACTGCGCGACGAGGTAGCCGAAGTACTAGTCGTCGAGTGGACTGTCGACGTAGCTGTTGGGGGCGGAACCCAGACTGTGATAGTCACAATCACGGTGTCAATGTTTGTGACCGTGACGACCTGTGTCGTCCAGCTGGACACAATGACCGTCACAGTGGAGCCTCTGGCAGAGGATGTTGACGGAGACTGGGTAATTGGGGAGGATTGGGTTGTGCTTTGAGTCACGTAGGTGGTCATAGTTGATGTGACTTGGGGGGAGCTTGCTGGAACTTATCTTAACATGCTTCTCCTCAAGAAAGGCTTCCCAAATGGTCAAGGGACTGGGGACTTACTCGTGGCAGCACTTGTCGATGTTGCCAGTCGTGTACTAGTACTGGCTCGAGCCGCTGCAGCGCTCGAGAAAAGACTGACCAACCCCGTGTAGGCAGGCTTCTTTTGAAGATTACTGTTCCAAAGGCAAGCATCTCCCTGGCCAGGGAATGTTTGCGGAACCCAAGAGTACTTGCCAACGTATTAGCATTTAAGCGTTGCACATAGCGGGAAACGGACTCACCTGGTCGGCAAAGTCCCACACCGTGATGCCAACACACTTAGGCGTATCAAGACATGCTTGCGCAACAATCTGATAGTCCCGACTCTGCTGCTGCCGATCCGCATCTGAAGCAGGAAGCCTCGGATGTCGAATATCGAGCTCCGTGTAGGCAACCTCGTCAACCAAGGCTGCGAAACCACCCAAAACGGTTTTCAGGTTCGCCAAGCTCGGCGTCTGGCCCACGATGAAATGGGCCTGCAGGCCGACGCCGTCGATCCTAGCGCCTGAGGCCTTGATGCTGCGCACGATGTTGAGGGCTTCATTGTACTTGGCGCCGGGACTCTCAATGTTATAGTCATTGTAGTACAACTTTGCGGCTGGATCTGCTGCGCTGGCAGCTTGGAAGGCGAGGGGGATGAAGTCCTTGCCGAGGGCTCGGTACATAGGGCTGTTGCGGTAGGCACCACTATCCTCGAGAGCTTCGTTAACCACGTCCCAGGCATAGCATTGGCCTTTGTAGTGACCGGCCACGTTCTGGATATGGGTTTGGAGGACTCTCGTCATGGCATCGCGTCCATTGATGTTGTTGACTGCTCGTTGTCAGAGGCTTGTAGAGAACCGACTCAAGATTATTAACGTACCCCAGCTGGGCAGCTGGCTATGCCACACAAGAGTATGGCACCGCAGAATCTGGCCAGCCTGTCGCGCTCTGTTGGTGACAGCATCACCGTTGGTGTAGCTGAACTGGCCTTGGGATCGTTCTGTGGAGTCCCACTTCTGTCCGTTGGCTGGGGTGATCTGACCGAACTCATTCTTGTTCGAGGCGATGTTCATGTACGCTTGGTTGTTAAGGCCAGGATTATCAACAGCTGTGCCAAAATACTTGAAGCCTGCCGCAACAGCGATCTGGTTCAGCTGCGCGTTGACCGGAATAGATGCAACCAGGACGGTCATGAGAATGCTAATGAGGTACATCGTGAAGATTGCTCGGGTTGGCCGAAACAACAAGAGATCTCAAACACAGCCTACAAGAACACAGCATCGGTTCAGCAGCACAGAAAGACACCAGGATAGTAATATGTAAAACCTCTTTGTGAGCCATATCATGGCATGACTTCAGGCAGAACCTTTTGGGTTGTGGTTGCGGTAGTGATTTAATATGGATCAATCACGAGATGGCTGCAAGGGGATGAAGCCACAGACTGCCGACCATGGATTGGCATTGTATTTCCTGGTTCTCGTGCGGGGAGAGCATTCGGGTTGGACATCGGAGTCTCGAAAAAACCTTCTATCGATATGAAAGATAGATTTGTTCAGGATCAGCGATGTGCCATAAAGACATAGGATGCCAACGATGACCATTTCGGGAAGCGGGAGTTGTAGTATCGAATTGTGATGTTGCCGAATTAGGCCCCAATGTACACTCAACCCGGCTAGATCTAGAAGCCCGGCCCACTAAGAATAGGCTTATGGAGAGGGCTAGGAACTTGGCACGCGATTGTCACCAATACTGTTTAGGCTAATAAGATGGGAAGCCCACGGTCGGCTGCTAGGTAATTTGGCTCAATGTTAAGTCATATTCGTAACGAGGTGGCGATTCGTTCCAGGCGGGGCTTGCGTTGTGCATGGTTGCTGCTATTCTTCTAGCGAAACCAAATAATTCCTATAGGCGAGTTTGTCAACCGGTTGGTTCCGGTGAAGTGGTCAAGCTATACTCTTCGTGGCCATAATCAGGCTCTGTAACCTCCGTCGAAGGACTGTGGGTTGGCATCAGGACGGTTTCGAACGGAACGAGGCGGATGCGGGGAAAGACAAGCACCGAAGGAAGTTTGAACGTGGCAGTATTAGCTCTGATACGAACCATGTCAAGACAACAGCTTCGACTTAAACACCGAGGCGAGACACACAAGCGATGCTCTTTGACAAGAGGTAGCCTGTCCTTACCTCTCCAGGGGTTGATGGACATGAAATGAAAGTGGATGGCCTTGGAGACCCTGCAAGTTATGGCCCTCTGCGGCTCAATCAAGTCCACGGGCCTTGCGCTAATCCTGACGTCGTCAGCAGCTCTGCGTGGTAGCAAAAACAGGCTGACGGTGATGAGTCGAAGCCTTGATCCACCAGCGCAGTTCTAAGGCTGTTGAGACTCGCCTCCTCAGTTTTCCACATTCCAAAAAGAGCCTCGATCTATGTAACATAACCGCATGGGTTTCCTGCAAGTGTTTAGTAGCTCGCCTTGAGTGGATCCTCCGGCATGTCCTTGGCAAGGAGTTGAGTTGTTTCGATGTGCAAGGCGGTACTGCCCGCATTATCATAGGGCTATGAACCGCCCATCCCAGGGCTTCTACTTAGCAATGTCCGAGTGACCAAAACCTGAACGCAAGTTATCGCCTTGCTTTTATCTCCTTCCTCTTTCACATCCTCCTCCAAGTACCTCGGCAGGGAAACCGCAGAAGACTATAGCAGGAACAACAGAGACGAGGCAGACAAAGGCGTGGAGTCCTGAATGCCGGTTCTCCGTCTCTCTTGTAGTAGCCAATCTGTACTTCGCTGATTACAATGACTTGTTGGATGCTCACTGGCGATCACGTCTCTACCCATGACATGAATCTCAGACCTTCTGCTCGTCAGGAGGATATATGGTGATCGCCAAACTCACAAGATCCCTGACAAGAAAGCCTCAATTTCGTTTACCGGGAGTTGTTTTGAAAGCTAGCATTGTACTTCCGTCTTCTTCTAATATTGAGCAATCGAACAAGGCTAGGATAAGTGACGATCAACAACCAGGAAGTAATTGTACACGCCATTCGGGGAGGGCCGTATCATCAAAAGAAATGTCTGGTCTTCGATTACTGTTCATCAGCATTTTGACTACTGACGAATCCGGGGTTGACAGCGCCGATCATGGCAGCCCTGGGTTCCAAGAATCTGGGACCAACACAAAAGTGAAGGGTCCAGGGTTCGTCCGGATCGTTGAAGAACGTGAGATCCTAGTTATATAAATTCCGACCAACACTGAGTGGCCGCCTTTCGTTGCTCCCCGCATTGTCGCCTCAAAGTCAGAAGCGACGATCGTTGTGATCTGCATACTTGGCCGCCAGTGAGCACCGGCGCCCTGCCCTACCCACCAGGTTCATCCATGAAGGGAACCCATGGGTAATCAGTGTATGCCAGGAAGCCACGAGGGCACGCTCCATCCCAGCGTGTTCGAGAACAACGGTGGCGAGAAGACGGACCTGCAGAAACGGCATTCTAGTTCGTCAAGGGATCTAGCAGCGGATTGATCCATTGTCGAGAAGTGACTGACGAATGGCAGGCATAGGAAGAACCATTCAATGACGAACGTGGACACGAAAAGCGACGACACAACTTCGTGTAGATGGCTCCGACGCGAAATGCGATGTCTGATGATGATTCGCGGTTGCGCGGCGGGATTATTGGGGGCGTGTGAGGCGGACCGTCATGGGGTTGCCGCCGTCCGCCTCACTTTGCCTATCTCCTGCAGGCTCACCACCCCAACTTGTAAGGTGGAACACACACAAACACACACACGCCCAGAAGGATGGGTTCCCACCCTTGTGAGAACCGACACAACAAATGAGCATATGTGGCGTCCGTCCTTGCATGCAGGCATTGTCGAGGCAGGTTCTGACGACTTAGAACCCGAAGCGGTGAGGATGCCGACAATGACTGTGCCGAAAAGGCAAGACCAAAAGTGCTCTTTGTGTCTTTCTTGGTGCAATAATATGCCTCGGGAACTCGTAATCTCGACTCTGTTGCGGCGTGCGAGGATTGGCGTGCCCAGATCATCGCATATGTAGTTGGCGAAGATAAATACTGTCTTCGTCCTCCTGATCGCCATGACTTCTTAACGATTCGAGCCATCTCCTCCATCCCAGGTGCTGGGACAGACAAATCGCATTTCTCATGTCCAAACAGTTGCCATGACTTCGCCAACAGAGATGAACAAATACTGGATTCCCCGTTTGGACATCCACAAGAAGATTATCACCCAAGAGCTACCCTACTATCTTGGGCCGGATGCAACGGTCAGGCCGTACACAAACGAGGTGTGAACTTCTCAACCAATGTGATTGAGACGCCTCTCACAGCATCTATAGGGAGAAGATGGGTTTCTCATCACTACCCCGGGCCCATGCTTGACCGATGTGAGCTTCGCCATAATGTCCTCTTCTTTTATGAAGCGAACTTTCTCACTGACTGTCCTGACTGCATCTAGGAGCAAATAGACGATATTTGCAGAAAATCCAAGGAAATATGGGAGCGGCAGGCGGCCATAAGGGCACAAGAAGCCGACAAGCCTCTCAAGAGGCCCCTGCACCAACCGGTAGTGATATCGCGAGGGTCGAACGATTCTTCGCGGAGAAGACATGAGCGGCATCGACGTTACGACGACAGGCGTCGTGAGTGAGGCCGAGCAATTTGGTGGAGCTGGTCATTGTAACCGAGATCTCAGATTGGGCCATACTTCTGGATCCAAGCGTAAACACCAAAGGCGTCGCTGGCGGCCAGCTTAGCGCCTTAGTGTGTGACGGGAAGAATTTGTGGGATTCGATGATTCGAGGCATGCGATCAAGGCCGTGTCCCTGTGAGGGGACGCGCTTTGTGTGGCCTGGTGGCCGCAGCGGACGGTGGATCCGACCAAGCAATCTTTATGTGACTGGTTGGACAACAGGCGGAACGAAGCAGCGTAACCAAGTCATTTTGATTGGGACGAGCAAGAGTATGTGTCGTGGAATCGTCCAGCAGCAGTCCGCCATCTGGCAGGTCTGGGAACCAATGGTAGCAGCCAGACCTACGGCATCGTCTGCCCATTGCTCCTAACGGGTATGCGTATGCGAAAGCGTTGTGAAAGGGCACGGAGCAGGAGTGCAGCGCCAGCGGGATGCGGCCAGCTAGCTTTCCTTTAAACAACCATATACCCAATTACGTACGTTTTTCAGTTCCCGAATAGACAAGATGCATTACAATCGGACCAAGTTGTCGTTGCAGGCTAACAGCATCCGAAGTCCAAGCTCTTGTTCAATAGAACCTTCCGACAGGACGCCAAGGACGGAACTGCACTCGGTCCGTCCTCAGGCTTAAAGAACGGATGGGGAATTCGTCACCAGCTGGGCAGAGACAACGCTTATCGAAGTCAGTGGTTCGTGATTCCGGCGGCGAATCGGACGACGGAAGGCAGCCTGACTGCGGTAGTGAGCATGGCGAGTATGACAAGCATGACACGTCTGTCATTGTTGTGAGTAAGGCTCCGGTTGACGTGTGCTCGGGTCAGGCGGCAGCTTTTCACAACGGGTGGTGTGCTTCACCTTGTCGAGGCGGCGGCTACGGACTCATCCAGACTATTGATCATGGTATCGCGAAGGTAGTTTCGTATCGTTGAAGATCGAGAGGGCCGGCCGACCAGAGTATCAAAGCCTGGACGGCCACTTTCCTTGGTTCGCGGGTTGTCCCGTTGGCCCGCATCCCTGAAGGCGGCGGCGTGACATAACCGACAACGTTAACCCATTCGCCGATCTGTGTTTGGTTCGACCTCATAGTGCCCAGTAGAAGCTGAACGTCAACCAATGCACTGACGTTGGATCCTTTGGGAAAGCCGTGCTCCAAAGTAAGCACTGCTGAGTGCGTTGAATAAGAGGTGACACTGAAGCTAAGTCAGTACACCATAGCTACCAGGCAAATCCTGAAAAATCAAGAGATTTTGATTCTCAAACAATGGTATGGAAGGTAAGGGGGAGACGGATCTTACCATCCCAAGAATCTGACCTTCTCTCCTGGCGACCTTAACGACAGGTCTGATAGAAGACACAGTTGGGAAGGAAGCGGGCCTCTAGACATGGCGACGCATTCGGGACCTAGTCGCAGGCGTATAGTTTATCGCCGTACTCAGAGATAAAGTGCTTCAGGCACCTGACAAGCTGGTCATAGTGACACTGATCTGAGGGATATAGCTAGGT